GATAAGAACAGAAATCGTGCTCCGGCGGCACGGCCGCAGCAGGAGGCCCCATTAGCTAAAGTGGTGCTTCAGGTTAAGAACAGTTTCAGGTTAAGAACGGACCTCCGGAACGAATTAAGTACTTAACCCGAAGTACCACTGTATCCCTATTTTCCAGGGACAGCCCCGGATTTACAGATGCCGTCCCAGTTTCTGGAATGTCCTGCTTTTCCTTAGGACACCCCTATTTTCATCAAATAAATGTTGGAGGGTATTGAGTTATGTGACCCCCGAGCTAAGGAGATAAGAAACTATACAACCTTGAGAAGCCATTTGAAGGCAGCCCTATATAGGGAAGTTTTTTAAATGTTTTAATGTTTCATATATGTTGGAAGCCACCCAGAGTGGCTGGGGCAACTCAGTCAGATAGCCGGGGTATAAATAATAAAATCATCATCATTGAATAGGACAGGGGTCAGCAACCTAAGGCCCATGGGCCAGAAGCAGCCCGCAGAGGTTGTTTGACCGGCCTATGAGCCACCCCTGAACTGAGCCGCCAGCTCACGCGCTGCACTAAAGCGGTGCAGCGCGGTGCGGGGACTCACTTCTGCGGCGCCGAAAACCGCGTATGCGCATGCACAGATGCCGATGCCCAAAATCGTGTCTGCGCACCCGCAGTTGCCGAAAATTGCGGGCGGGCGTGCTCATGATCCAGCCCACGGAGGGATCTCTGTGGGACCGATCCAGCCCAGGCAAGATAAACCTTGCTGACCCCTGGAATAGGACGTCCCTATTTTCATGCTGGGAGGGTACACAGCTCATGCAGGATTTATGGCAGCATTGGCAGAGATACCGTATTTTTCGCTCTATAGGACGCACCGGACGATAAGATGCACCTAGTTTGGGGGGGAGGAAACAAGAAGAAAAAAATTCTGAACCCCAGAAGCCAGAGCAGCAAGAGGGATCTGGCTTCTGGGATAGCCTCTTGCTGTTCTGGCTTTGGGCATAGCCTGCGAAGCCTCTGCAGGGCAGCGGGGTGCCTTCACCCCACTGCCCTGTGGAGGCTTTGCGCAGCCATCCCCAAGCTAGAACAGCGCTCCGTCTTGCTGTTCTGGCTTTGGGCTTAGCCGCGCAGCCTGCATTCGCTCCATAAGACGCACACACATTTTCCCTTACTTTTAGAAGGGAAAAAGTGTGTCCTATAGGGCGAAAAATACGGTACATTCGTAGTCCATTTAAAATTTGCATGGGGTGGTAGATGTGGCTAAGTTCGTGGATGCATTGTGCTTCCTGTGTAATAGGGTGCATGCAGTTTAATTTACTGCATTTTTACCCCCAATTCTAATTACTGTCCCCCAAAGCAGATTGCACCAAGAATGGGATGCGGGTGAAGCTGTGGTTTATACATAAGGTCGGCGGTTTGAATCCCCGTGATGGAGTGAGCTTCTGTTGGTCTGCCCCTGCTCTTGCCAACCTAGCAGTTCAAAAGCACACCAGTCAAGTAGATAAATAGGTACCGCTGTGGCAGGAAGGTAAACGGCTTTTTCATGCGCTCTGGCTTATATCACAGTGTCCTGTTGCGCCAGAAGCGGTTTAGTCCGGCTGGCCACTTGACCCGGAAAGCTGTCTGCGGTCAAACACCGACTCCCTCAGCCTGAAAGCGAGATGAGCGCCACAACCCCATAGTCGCCTTTGACTGGACTTAACCTTCCAGGAGTCCTTTACCATTATTTTTTTTAAAAAAAAACTTTTTACACCAAGAAAAGAAAAAAGCCCTGTTCTCAGGGTTACAAAGGTGCTGAGACTCACCTGGGAAAGCAGCGCCAGAACAAAGTGGGGAGCTACCAACATTTATATCAAGTTCAGACCTGGATGGTGTCTTGCTGGTGTTCTCGCCTGACAATTTGGCTCCATATAATGGCTTTTCCACTGTGTGTGTGGTCAGTGAGAAAGCTGTGAACCAATGCACAGAGGGCAGAGGCTCCTCACTGGGTCATCAGCAGATCATACGAATCAGGCATTAAAAGTCCCGCAATGGAAAGTGTTGCTCCCAAATTGATGACATATACACATCGCAATAAGCCGCACTGTGGTTTACCTGGGGCCGTGTGAGTATGTTGACCCCTGGAGAGGTGCTTGCACCTACCTTGCTCCTTCCTGGTCAATCAATCAATTTTTATTGCCATCCTTTTAGCAGTGTAGCGTGGTAGCTAGGCTATGGTTTGTCTTGTCATCCAAACCGGGGATCATGGTTCAAGGCCTCTCCTCCTCAACCACAATCTGTAATCATAGGAACAGTACCCAAAGGAAGAGAAAGGAGCAAAGCAAGTGCAAATCTTCTCTGGGAGATGGTACATTTGTGCAGTCCCAATAAGCCATAGTTTGGTAGCAATAATAATAATAATAATATCATCTACCCCGCCCACCTGGCTAGGTTTCCCCAGCTAATCTAGGCAGCTCTCAGCAGAATAGTAAAAACACAATAAAACATCAAACATTAAAAACTTCCCTAAACAGTGCTGCCTTCAGATGTCTTCTAAAAGTTAGGTAGTTGTTTCTTTCCTTGACATCTGATGGAAGGGCAATCCACAGGGTGGCCAGCACTACTGAGAAGGCCCTCTGCCTGGTTCCCTATAACCTCACTTCTCCCAGCGAGGGAACCACCAGAAGGCCCTCGGTGCTGGACCTCAGTGTCCGGGCTGAACGATGGGGGTGGAGACGCTCCTTCAGGTATACAGGACCAAAGCCGTTTAGGGCTTGAAAGCTCAGCACCAACACTTTGAATTGTGCTCGGAAACGTACTGGGAGCCAATGTAGGTCTTTCAGGACCGGTGTTATATGGTCTCGGCGGCCACTCCCAATCACCAGTCTCGCTGCTGCATCTGGATTAATTGTAGTTTCTGGGTTACCTTCAAAGGTAGCCCCATGTGGAGCGCATTGCAGTAGTTCAAGCGGGAGATATCCAGATCATGCACCACTCTGGCGAGACAGTCCATGGGCAGGTAAGGTCTCAGCCTGTGTACCAGATGGAGCTGGTAGACAGCTGCCCTGGACGCAGAATTAACCCACGCCTCCATGGACAGCTGTGAGTCCAAAATGACTCCCAGGCTGCACACCTGATCCTTCAGGGGCACAGTTACCCCATTCAGGACCAGGGAGTCCTCCACACCTGCTCGCCCAGTCCCCCCAAAACAGTACTGCAGTATATGAGCCAAACCACTGTCACAGCCACTTTGGATCTAACGTCTCCTTGTTGAATAGAATTTCTCTGATGATGGGACAGTAAGGAGGAGAGGAGGCAAGTGATAAGGTTTTCTGAGCAATTCTTCATTGACAAGGAAGCAGGAGCCGTGGTTCTTAATTCTTGGAGACCCTGAAAAGTCTCTGACATCTTCTTCACTTACAGCCCTTGAACCTGTTGTCGCTCTTTTTAGCATGGAGAGGCATGTTTGCATACGATTTCTGAACCAGGGTTTGCCAAAGACACCTGTTTAAGAATCCCGGAAGCTTAGCCCTTTGGGATCCATCATCCTTCTTCCAACAACTGTTATTTCTCCCTGCACCCTGGCCCTTTCCCCCCCGCTTCCCCATGGTTGATAGCTATGATATTTGTAGATCCAGCCCAACCCACTCACAGGGCTCTAGGTAGGGCTGGGCAATATTTGGTTTTCAACATAACGATATATCGCAGCTAAACATTGCAATACAGTCACACCTTGAAAGTTGAACAGCTTTGCTCCCAAACGTTTTGGCTTCCGAACGTCACAAACCCGGAAGTGACTGATCTGGTTTGCGAACTATTTTTTGAAGCCGAACGTCCGACGGGGCTTCTGCGGCTTCTGATTGGCTTCCTGCAGCCAATCAGAAGCTGTGCTTTGGTTTTCGAACGTTTTGGAAGTTGTTTTGGAACGGACTTCCAGAACAGATTCCATTTGACTTCCAAGGTACGACTGTATATTGATATATCACAATGTCTGAAACAAGGATGGAGCTTTATGTAGAGGCATTGGCTGACTTCATGGTTTTTCCTGAATCGTGATTTTTGCATAGCACATAAACACACAAACGATTCACAATATATTGCCAGGTCAAAAATTATGAAACCGATTATCATGATATGGACTTCAAACCAGTTTGGGACGATATATATATTGCCCAGCCCTAGCTCTAGGCAGGTTTTGCTGAAAACTATGCCTGTGGACTGCGACGCGGGTGATACTGTGGGTTAAACCACAGAGCCTAGGACTTGCCAATCAGAAAGTCATTGGTTCGAATCCCCGCGACGGGGTGAGCTCCTGTTGCTCGGTCCCTGCTCCTGCCAACCTAGCAGTTCGAAAGCATGTCAAAGTGCAAGTAGATAAATAGGTACCTCTCCAGAAGGAAGGTAAACGGCGTTTCCATGCGCTGCTCTGGTTCGCCAGAAGCGGCTCAGTCACGCTGGCCACATGACCCGGAAGCTGTACGCCGGCTCCCTCGGCCAATAAAGCGAGATGAGCACTGCAACCCCAGAGTCGGCCACGACTGGACCTAATAGTCAGGGGTCCCTTTACCTTTTATGCCTGTGGAGGACAGGTTAGGATTCAGAACCGACTGGGAGGTTTGCCCCACTCTGAGTGCTTTTTTTGTCCCTGCTGAACTGTGTGCAGACAGAGGAAAAGCCACCAAGCCAATAATGAACCTGTTGAAGGCAGATTGTACATGGGGCAGCACAGCGAAGAAAACAGTAGGCAAGTGGCCTGCATGCTCTGTTCACTGAACCCTAGTAGCACTCTCAAAAAGGACGGGTCTTAAATACAATTGCTTACTATGCTCCTAACAACTGTTTCTGCCTATGCAGAATCAGCTCGACGGTTTCTCTCTCTCGCCAGCCCCCTTCCTGCTTTCAAGGTCAATTTAATTCTCTTTGATCTTTTGGGCATCATTCACCACCTTGATAAACACAGCGCTGGAATTACCTTTCAGCTAATGTGAGTTGCTTTGCCGACTGTGTGGGAAAAAATGCACAGGGAGCATTTCTGTGTAGAAAACAGAGTCCAGAGGATTTCTGGCGCACTTCCAGTTCCTTGGAGAGTACATTTATTCATTGGTTAAGCAGGCAAACAGCTATACACTACGGTGATCAGCATAAACAATATTTAATACAGTCACATCCCAGAAACACAGAATTCTCATTGCCCTTTTTCTTTTTCTGGAAGTGCACATTAGTTTTCCTTTTAGTTTAGCAACAGAAGTCCACAATCATGCATATAACCCACCCGCACATTGTGAATTCCTGTTTAGGCTTACTATAGCAGTATGGAGTCTATGGATGTTCTTGGAACCCAGTTACCATCAGCCCCAGTCAGTATAGCCAATGGTCTGGGATGGTGGGAGTTGTAGTTCAGCAACTTCAGTGTGTGCTTTTGTGTTACGGATGAGTTTCATCCCACTCCAAATAACCCCACCCACTTCTTCAGCCTGAATCTAATCTGTTTTCTCTCTAATAGAACTCTTCCATCCTTAAAGTTCTTCCCTCCTTTCAGCATGCCATCTTCCATCTCTCTCAAATCCAGGCCCGGTCTCTTACCACAACCTGCAGGCCAGACCTTCTTTTAGACCAAAGCTTCTGCTCCATCAACTGCCCCTTATTGCTGTATCCTTATTACTTTCAACCCTGCTGAAAAGGGGAAATGGCAGTGGAACCAACCAGGAAGTGTGTGTATACATAAGCTCCACTTTAGCCAAATGCAAGGGAAGTTCATATAAACTATTTATTTATTTATTTATCTGTCTGTCTGTCTGTCTGTCTGCATTAGCAGTTTCTGTAATTGTGGTACAGTGGTACTTCAGGTTCTTGAATGTAATCCTTTCCAGAAGACCATTCAACTTCTGAAACGTTCAAAAAACCGAGGAGCAAAGGGCTGGCTGCAAGTTCAATTGGAAAAATAGAAAAACACGTCCAACTTCCGAGACACGTTCAAAAACGGCAGCAATTGCTTCCAGGTTTCTGGCGTTCAAAAACCGAAACATTCAGCTTCCAAGACACTCGAAAACCGAGGTACCACTGTATCTTGGGAATGTATCAGGGAGATGCATTCCAATACACAAACTGATCTGCAGAAAGATGGAGCTACTCTTTGGTTCATAAACTATCCAAGAAATCAGTCAGTCTTTCTGTCCAGAGGACATCCGGGCACAGAAAGTCTCCTCTTCACCATACTCTATTGTACCAAATGTGTGAGAATGTGTCACATTGTCAGGGGGAGGGTTTGCACATGGCGATATTATGTGTTGCTGTAGTCCTGGGATATCAGGAAGGAAAGTAAAGGCAGTTGCTACCACCAGCCATTCAGCTGCTGCAGTGATGTATCACCACAGTGGCCATGGCTAGATAGGCACCAATGATGATAATTCTGCACCTCCTCTCTTATGAATCTAGGAACTTCCAGTGGTATGTGGTGCTGACTACATGCAGATATATGCACCCACAAATCCCATATGGGAAGATGCCTGCCATAGATATTTTTCTGAATACCATAGTCGGCATAAGCCTGCTGAATGTCCTTAACTCTGTAACTGGGTGATGTCCCCTTCTCTGGATTACTGAAATAAATTGAGGAAGACGTTGTGTTGCCTCTCCACATGGGACATTTGCACATGCTGAGTAGCTTCACAGTCTGCTCCAAGGGGAAAGGATGCTATGCTTAACTGCTGTCACTAAGACACGTGGGGAAGGAGGAAGTGAAACTCAATGGCATAACCATAGTTTGTACTCTTAGTTATCAGAGATGATGTGAGGTCATAGAAGAAAGAAGTGGGCTGGACCTAAGCATCTGTCCCGAATGCTTTAGAAACAGGATATCCTTTCTTAAGACTCAGAGTGAGACTGGATAATCCATTCATTGGGGTCTTTTCAGTCTCCATATGTTTGGAGCCTCTGTTACCTTCTAGATTAAAGGATAATCATTTATAATTTGGGGGAAAATACCGCTAAGAAAGTTTAAGTTATAGCCTGGGGAGAAAGAGTTTTATTCTCTCAAGAACAGTGGGTAAAAACTGAATCACAGAAAATAATTTCACGCAGCCATTTAATCATGGCATTAAAATATCAGCTATACTAAAAACAGCTGTTGCACCCAGCAACATCAGACCAGCTCCTTGATGAAGCTTTACATTGTTAATCCTGCTACATGTTTTGTAGCAACACACAATCCATTCCTGGTTACAGAACACACTGAACTTCCAAATATTTTTCCACTAAAGGACACTCTGCGGCAGGGTTTCTTCTTTTGAAATCAATATGCCCAGTGTGATCAGAATCCCAGCAATTCTTTCGGTCCTTTGAGATACGACAGACAGCTTTGCCAAAGCAACATTATACATTTTTAGTCCACAGTAAACAGACCTTACATTCTTCCGTTTGGGTAATCAGGTGTAATTGAGTAAATATGCACATACAGATGCCATCTTTTGACACTAAATTCTTGTGGAAACAAAATAAGGGGACTGGCTGGCAGATAAATCTCTCTGAAAATTTATATGTGCACCAATAAAGATTCCATTATGTGGAATATTAAACTTGTACGGATTTCATTTTTTTCCATGGTTTTGTTCAAAGATCTTTCATGACTATAGATGAGCATTCAAATAAAATTAAAAGTCCCATTCCGTGTCTGTTTCCATGGTGCGCTCAGCTCAACTTTCTGCCTGTGAGGAAAAACTGTATGTCTATCCAAATCTGCTCCTAATCATCACTCTCGTCTTCATCAAACGAAAGCAAGCTGCTATTTTTTACTTGCTTGGTTGTATTTTGGGAGGTTGGAGAAATCCTCTTTGTCTCTTTTCTCTTCTTACTTGATGTGGCCGTCAAACCGGAGTACTTCTCTTCTGATGAACGCTTAGGAGGTTTCCTAAACATAATCTTTCCATCTCCAGAGTCAGCTTCTTCATCTAGGGTAAGAATGCAAATAGTCCTTTATGTGCACACTCTCGCATCTCTACTTTCCCACCTTCTGAGTTTCAAAAAAGTATGATAATCCTACCGGATAGCTCAAGTATCCTGGTAAAAGGCCGCAGCAGTGCATAAGCTTATTCTGCAGTATCTTCAGGCAATGGATGAGAGACACCACAATCTGAAACTCTGTAGAGCCACTACAGACAATGTTAAAATGAAGCAATGGTCTAAGACAGTGGTTCTCAACCTATGGGTCCCGAGATGTTGTTGGACTACAACTCCCATCATCCCTGAGCTCTGGCCTTGCTAGCTAGGGGTGATGGGAGTTGTAGTCCAACAACATCTGGGGACCCACAGGTTGAGAAAGGCTGTCTAAGCAATTATAAGGTAGCCTTCCGTCTTTCTCAATATTAATTTGTCTAAATATGCTGCCCCCCCCATTCTGTCTTAGTTACACTATATGTGGTGGAAGTCATAACAAGGTCAGGTTGGCCCAGTGATGTGCTGCCACTATAATATGTTGATCTGACCCACTGCAATGAAATTTCTCAAAATTTCATACATGAAAGCCCAGGATCACCTGACTTCAAAACGAGCAAGAGTGGAAGAAATCTGATGCAACTATCTGAAGGAAACTGGCAAACGTTACAAAGAATCTTCGTAACTAATGTAGTAGGTAAGCACACAGTTAACTTAAATCGTATTCGTAAATGAAAATTAAAAAAATAAAACGACCCTAAACTTGAAAGTTTCCTTATTTTTTCCAGGTACTATCAGTATGGATGGTATCCAACCAAGCTTAACTACTGTAAGAGCAGACCCACTGAAATTAAGGACTGCCTCTTGCCAATTTAATAGACTCTGACCTGTTCAAATGGGGAGTTCAAATCCCCAAATTAGCCATGAATTTCACCAGGTGACCTTGGGCCTCTCAGCCTAGCCTACCCCACAGGGTTGTTGTGGGGTTAAAAGTGGAGGGGGTGAACAATGTACACCACCTTGAGCTCGTTGAATGCAATTAATAAATAAAATAATATAGTTACCACAGACCAGGAAGGGAATCTTGAGTATGTAAAGGGAGGGAGGCTCATTTAATTTAATTAATTGTACACCCTGTGTACAATGACAATAAAGGTATTATTATTATTATTATTATTATTATTATTATTATTGGAAGGACAGAATATAGTCCATTCACAACAGCCAAATCACGGTCTGGTCAACACATTGAAACTATGTCATTGTGCACATACAAGGCGTAAAACCTACCAAACCCCGCAGCACAGCTTAGGTGAAACCCGCATTGAAATAAATGGTGGTTGCATAAGAGGCATTGACTGATGGATTGCAACCACGGTGCATAAAGGGCATCATAATGCAGTATGTGAAGGCTAGTAAATGTTGCTTGAGGAAGTCGATGAAGACAAACTCTTGAGACTGGTAATGTGCGAGATGAAGATCATCGGCAAGATTGAAGCATCTCAAAACTGTTTTGCTAGGTATGAAATCTAGTGTCATGAATCACAAGCAAAGCGTTATGCTGAGATGGCTTGCAATTTTGATAATTTATAGGTGGCGGAGCATTGAAAGAAAAATCTAAGCTTCTCCTCGGCAACACATTTTTCTTAACTAAGTAACAGAATGTTTTAAAAATCAATTTTCTAATAGAAACTTGCCAGAAACACTGTGGTTGATTGATCTTCATTTAATAACTTACTCTGTGCCCTTGCAACACCATTATCTTGAGATTTATAATAAGCCACAGCTGTGATGGTACATGGTACCTTTTCCATCAAGGCTGTCATGGAAAGCAGTGCAAAGGTGGATTCGATATGAACAAAGTGGAGTACAGAATGCACTCTTGTTGTAACAATTACCCTATTTAAAACTAGTTCTGTGATCCAAGCAAACTCAGCTATGTATTCTAAGAATTTCGCATTCAGACCTCAGCAAAGACAAGAGCTGGTTCTCCATTACTGCTCGACGCCGCTGCCTTTTTGAATTAAATAAGGCAGAACAGGTAGGGCAGGAGTGAGCTGGGCTGATGTTCTCTCTTTCTCTCTACTCTCCCGTACAAGGTCTCATTTTATGGCTTACTACCCATGGACTGGCCAAGACTCCCACTTCGCTCCTTGTCTCCACTGAAAGCTGCCAGAACTCCAAACAAAATTAATGGCCTCCCCCAGCACTGGGAGAAAGTGGCTGACTCCAAGGGCTGGCAGGAAGGAAGAGCAGGTGATGAGCAGAAAGTTGACTCAAAAGAAAGCTCATGATCAGGGTGGATTTGATTTAAATCAAATCGATTTAAATCACTAGTCAGTAAGACTTGATTTAAATCTTTTTTTCTTTTCTTTTTTACAGAAAGACTCATTCTTGCTGGTATAATCTTAATATTTACAACCAGTAGACGGTTTCATTTTTGGAATAATAAATTTTCAGAGTAGTTTTTACAGTTATATCAAAAATTACTGATTTGGTTATACTATTAGAAATACATAGACAGATAATTATGAAATTATCATGAGATTTAATAAGTTAACTGTTTATATTTGGACAACTTTTCTGCTGTGCTTTACTGGAAGGAGAAAAAGAATCATTTCCTTAATAACAATTTAAACAATTTATTTAACTAAAACAATAACATTATAGCATATGTATCCATGTTTGTTAACTGATTTGGTTAAACAATTTTTTAAAAAAACCTTTGAGTTTTAGCACACATGAAAAACTTAAAACAAATCCTTATTTCCTGATGACTAGCTTTTGGACTATAATGTAACTTAAAACAGAAAACTACCTTTAGAAATATTTTTCCTCCAAAAGCATTTTATTTTAAAAATCCATTTTAAATTTAAAAAAATCCAATTTAAATTTTAAAAAATCCTATTTTTAAATTTTTTTTAAAAAAAAAAACATTGATTTTTATCCACCCTGCTCATGATTGTAGAAGATGCAGAGCAGACAGATGCCAATGCCTGAGGGGGTGTACACCATTTTGGGATGGTGGATTTTCTAGATCATATGGCGGTGTGTTAATTAAAGTAGCACTGAGAGAGGGTTGATCTTTCTGATGATGTGGAAATCAGAGGGACTAGTATAAATATCCTGTAACAATGTTTTTAATGAAACACACACACACACACAAATACACACCCAAAAAATCAGACCTTGACTCATAGATTATCTACGGAAGAAAAGAAAACCTGCCAGCAGAGAGAGATGAGAGAACTAGGATAGGATACACTGGCTCACGGAGATCAAAGCCTTTCAATCAACAACACCAACCAATTTTGGGAGCCCTTGACTCCGCTCCACATTGTCAGCAGTGGTGAACTGGGGAATAAATCAGCGAGGAATGACTACAGGTAAAGTCTTATGCAAGCAGTTTGCAGGAAGAATGAGAAAGTGGAGATGAAGTCCTAAATCAGCTTGGCTAACATGTTGAAGGAAAGCAACTTTGATTTGTGAGGGCCTGCAAAAAAAGCAAGGAAGAAAGGATACTTTCCCTTTAGCTAGGAACAAAATACATCTCACCCATTCTGAGATACAAGAGTGATGGATTTCTACCGCATCCTACAGTTGGGCCAATGACCTCCAGAAACTGATGAGCTATCTATCTTTGAAAAGTTCAGAGAGGGATTTGTAAAAGAAGCAAATGCTGTTAGAAGCCTGACAACAGCCAAAGCCAGGAATTTGAGAGGAATTGCTTTTTATCGAAAGTGAGCTGACAGTTGTAGGCCGGTGAATGGTTAGGTTTTACAGAAATGAAGCAGAAGTTAATTTTGACAGAAAGAGAAATAAAACATTAATAACAACATTAAAACTTTAACAGATCAGCACAGCTAAGGCTGCCCAGGAAGAACATATTTGGCACAAACAAGGAAACAAATGTTTTAAAAATAGCTGGCAATGTTACTGGGGACAATGCTAAACAAATGACGTTGTTTAAAATCCTTTAAACAAATACTGTTTGTGTCATTGCTGTGGTCCTGGACTAAGAACCTTCAGAGGCTAAGCTCTCCAGCAGTGGCTCTCAGGAGGCATCTTACTAGTTTCCTGGTCCTTCCCAAATAAAGTCCTCCACCTTGGATTTTGAACCCTGGCCACAAAAACCTGGAGAAGTTCCAGATGATGGGGAACTAACTTCATATTCCTCCAGTGATTAAGAAAGCCTTGGAGAAAGCTTACTGAGAAATGATATACAGTACAATGAAATGAAAAGGATGTTCAAAATAACTTTTGTCAAAAAACAACAAGCCAGTACTTTTCTTTTGGGAATTATAGGGACAGAGCTACCTAAATTGTATAGAAACTTATTTATGTATGCTACTACAGCAGCAAGAATGTTACTCACCCAAAAGTGGAAAGAAGCAGAAGTCCCAGGAAAGGAAGAATGGATACAAAAACTTATGGAATATGCAGAAATCGTGGAACTTACCGGAAAATAAGAAATCAAGAAAACAGAAATCAAGAAAACAAACTTTTTATAAAAGAATAGAAATGGTTTGTTGAATACTTACAGATAAATTGCAAACAGGTAAGAACAGTAGCAGGATTATTGTAATAACCTGCAGTCTCATAAGAGTATATATTTAAAGTAGATAATTAAATGAGCAAATTAAATGAATTTGGATATGCGGAAGAGATTAAAAAATAAATTTAAGGAACTGCAGAAAGAGGGGGAAGGAAGTCAAACGCTGAAATGTTAAATTGATTGTAAAACTAATGAAATGTATAAATTTGAAAAGTATAAATAAAAACTTTTTTTAAAAAAGAAAGCCTTGGAGAAAGTGGTTTGGTGGGGCGGGGTTCCTGTGGGAGCACTTTGAAGGTATGTCATTCAAGGTTGACTCATTAAAGTTCATGGACATGACCAACTGAGGTCCATTGATTTCTATGTGTCTACTCTGAGTACGACTTAGCTGAATAAAACACAGCCATTCCAAAGATATCTTTATTCTCCACTTTGAATCTTATTAAGACAATTTCAAAAGGGAAAAAGAAAAACCTTGTTTTAAAAGAGGTAAATCACAGTTCTATATGCATGCACACACAAATTCAGTTCCCAGAATTGTCATTTCTTTATCTCTGTGGGTTCTTCGCAGAAAGTTGATGGGTTGTTGTTTTATATTATAATATCAAAAAATTACAGTGGTGCCTTGGAAGTCGAACGGAATCTGTTCCGAAAGTCCGTTTGACTTCTAAAACATTCAGAAACCAAGGCACAGCTTTCAACTGGCTGCAGGAAGTCACGTTGGACGTTCGGCTTCCAAAGAACATTTGAAAACCGGAACAATCACTTCTGGTTTTCAATCGTTTGGGAGCCAAAACATTCGACTCCCAAGGTGATTGAAAACCAGGGTACGACTGTACTAGGGATCAGATGCAATTATTTCATGTGTCAGGCCACCTTTACATTATATAGCAAGAAATGCACACATCGTGGGATCCTGATGTGACTGAAAATATGCATCTGTTTCACACACACATTATGCTTTAAAAACTTATATTGTGAAGCCACCCTCTTAACAGTCTATTTCAATAGGGGTACTGTGAGACTGCAAAGGCATCTATACAATCCTCAGTTTCCACAATGCTGTGCAGAACTTAAGAGACACAGCACAGAGCTCAGTTTCTTTCTCCATAATGGAGTCCCATATTAAATGGAGCTTTCTTCCAGGCTTCCTTTGCCTGCCAGCAATTCAAGACAGAAGCAGGAAAGCCATGTAGATCTGTCACCACGGCAGGGCTGAGGGCTCATCAACATGATCTTTACTCACTAACGGCAGAAGACTGAATAGCTTAACAGCAAACCTTTTGGCTTTCTCCAGCACCAACTGTACATGTTCCTCTAGCCACTTATTCATAAAGGCTTTGCTCTAATGTTCCCACTGGTATGGTACCTCACAATTCTCAGACCACCGGCATCATTAAACTAAATATGTCTCTCTTTCTCCCCTGAAAAAAGTATTGAAATAAAGAGCGATGGAAACCAATCTATTGTCCGGGTGTTGAAAGTCAAGTGATACACAAGGTTATTGAAATAACAGCAAGTCAGTAAGGCTGCCGATCAGCTACACGTCAGCACAAACTCACAAAGTGCTAAAGCAGCACTTTGGGATGTAGAAAGTGTACTTTGATGCCCAAGCAGATAATGTGTGGCATATGGCTTAAAAAAAAAAAAAAAACTAAACAAGAGAGAGAGAGAGAAACCAAGCAAATTGAACAAGACTAGAATAATATTACAGTTTGAATGAGTAAGGACACTCGCTGCCAAGTTTTTGGACTTGTGCATACATTACGATGTCCCAGAGGCCAGATGTACTAGAAAAGGAGCAGAAAAAAAATCAATTCTAGAGATTATAATGAATACATGAAAAAGGCATTATACACCAATTACCATTTTCTGCTTCTATGAAATTTTATCTCAGAAAAAATTACCTTTGACAGGACAGTAATTCTCTCTAGGATTCAAGCGGAAGGTTTACAGAAAAATGTTGCGCAGAGACAGACTTAAGCTCTTTTCATTTTTAGAAACTAATTTAGCTTCTACCAATAAATTAAGGTTAAGTGAAAATGTTTAGATTGTGGCTAAAAACAATTCTGTTAGGAGAGATCTGCTTTATCCTCTGAAGAAATGTGGTTGATGGAATCACTGCCAAACTGATGTTTGTGTGTTTCTGTCTATCTCCTTTGTGTGCACTGTGATATATATACACAATATTATAAGCAGCTGGGGTGTAAGGGGTGTTAGGGGAGAGGTGGTAACTCTGGTGGGGGGGGCACATCATGCTCGTTCTGGGGTAGTTTGTCCACCTTTGGTCCTCACCCTGAACTCAGCTCTCACCTGTGGCTCCTAGAAGCTGTCAGCACGTGACAGCAGCCACATCCCAGGAAACGGCTTTGACTGGCCAGCTAAACCAGGTGAGGGTAGCTGGCTCAAACCCTCAGTGAGTTAAGGACTTTCCCTGCATGAAAAGACAGGCTCTGGCGGATTGAGCGGACGAGACCAAATGCAGGTCCAAATGGTCAAGAAGGCAGTTTCTGCGCATGCTGTAGAGGGAAGTGAGGGGCAGATGGGGTTTGTCAATCAGGCAGGTACACCATCTTAGAGAAGGAAAACTCTGATCGTAAAGCCTACACTGCCTTGTGGCTGTACTCAATTGTGAGAAAAGCTTCAGAAGTAAAACCTGAGGGTGGTATCTTGTACACCTCTTTCCACCAACTCCTGCAGCCAAGCTGGTGCCAAATGTATTGGTCTGCTTTCCTTTGGACCACATCAGTGAAGTGTCTTGTTATCTAGGCCAGTGTTTCCCAATGGGGGAGCATATGGCCCCCTGGGGGCTCCAGGATGTTCCAAGGGGGGCATAGGTGAAAATTGCATAAATGGAGGCTAGGGGGCCACAGAGGGAAGTGAGAAGGGAGAAATCAATTTTGTTTTTTAAAAAAATCCTGACTGCAAACCTTTTGGCTTTCTCCAGCACCGCTTGGCCTATCACAAGCGAGTAAGGGGGCGGCCCACCGGGTCCTAGCGCTCCTTTTTGCCATGTGTGTTTTCTTGGAGCAGTCCTGGTTTGTTTCCGGCAGGAGAGGGCGATCACCGAGACTCCCGTTTTGACAAGTAGAGCCCACGATCCAGAACCCCCGGGTCAGGTAAGTGCGGTGGTGGGGCAACAATGGGTAGGGCTGGACAAGCCAGAGCTGCTTGATAAGATCTTTTTGCACCAGGTCAGTGAGGACCACTTGTTTTTAAAATTTCTCCCATATACAGTGGTACCTCGTGTTACGTACTTAATCCGTTCCGGATTAATCTGTTCGTAACCGGAAACAGCTCATAACATGACGCGCGCTTTCGCTAATGGTGCCTCCCACTGCTGCCGCGCCGCCGGAGCACGACTTCCGCTCGCATCCCAGGGCAAAAGTTGCAACCGGGAGCACCTACTTCCGGGTTAGCGGAGTGCGTAACCCAAAGCATTTGTTGGGGGACGGTACGTAACACGAGGTTCCACTTTATACAGAACTCCCTGTGCACCTTTTGGACTGTATATGTAGGTTTCCCCCTTTGTGTCAAATAACTGTTTACAAACAAAACATTTAAATAGCTACCTTTCTACCAGTAGGACAAGGGGGGCATGGGCGTAGCCAGGATTTTTGTCGGGGGCAGGCTTTTGTTAATGGGGCAGAACCTCAGATTTGTATTGTGTCCATGGGGGGCACAGGAAGGAAACAAGTTCAGAAGGGGGCCATGGTTGGGAAAAGGTTGGGAAACACTAATCTAAGCAGCCCATGAACGCCATACACGCTGACCAGGCTTGCACCTTAGAGAGGCCACTTTGGTGCTGATAACGCAGCAAAAACAATGCAGGAGGCAGCAGTTACAAGTTATTGGTCTCTGCAGCCACAGCGACTACTGTGACTCTCCAGCTGTTTGATTTCACCCCAGGAGGCGCACTCCATTGTCCCTCGAGACAGATGAACAGTAAGAAGTTGCCTTAAACGCGGTTATGTCTTTCTGTCCCTTTGCCGTGGCTGTCACTCTTGTGCTCTTAAGTTCCACCTTGCATCTCTAACCTTATTATCTCTAACTAAAGCTAGGAGAGAGAGAAAGCACACCCAAAGGAGCCCCTAGAGAGATGAAGCAGCTGTAATGCAGAAAGGAGAAAGCCAGCGACTTGCAATGGCAAACCAGGGAAATGGGACTTGGTGGCAGTATTGGAAGATCAACACAGAGAGAGTGCTAGGGAGAGGGGCAATAAGTAAATCAAAGTGAGCAGACCAGGGGGCTGGATAGGCATCGTATCCAAAGTAACTGACAAATTAGAAGGCTGCTTGATAGAAACTGTCCTTCTACTTAGTAAAGAATGCTGAACTTAGTATTTACAAAACGTACCTGTGGCTTTGGGAGTCTCTTTAACCTCCTTTTTAATCTTCATCACTTCTTCGGCACTCAGGTCCCCTTTTTTCAAAACAATCACCTGTGGCTGTTCATCCTCTTTGTCGCTTCCATCCTCATCGTCATCAGCTGGGAGCTGTTCTCTCTGGAAGAAAGGAGGAAAGCTAAGCTACTCAGATGGTAATTCCCAAAATAATTTTAAGGTAAGAAAAGGAAGATTTGCAGTCATCTACTACCATCTGACCAGTTCTTTTGGGTTAAGGAAAAGACAAAACAATAATCGGAATTGGCAGAACATGAAATTATAAAATGTCAGGAAGAAGGCTGGCTGGAACAGCTTCTCTCTGTTATCTTCTATGTCGGGACTGGAGAACCTCTGGTCCTACAGACATTGTTGGACTGCAACTCCCATCACCCCCAGCCATCATAGCCAATGATCAGGGTTGAACGGACTTGTAGTTCTGCAACACTTGGAGGGTCAAAGGTTCCTGAGTCTTGTTCTTTCTGAAGGGTCTTCTTTTATACAGTAAAATAATTCTAATAACAACTACATCACCTGAATCCCACACATCATTAAGTTTTATTGTAAGAATGCCCCTTTGAGGCAAACCATGCATTTAATTATGTACTACGTCCAGTAAGTAAGAAACCAATACTTTTCTAATAAAAAGAAAAGGAAACTTTCAGACAGTAACAGTCAGTGCAGTCTGGTGTTGGTTAAACATGAAGCGGCATTCGGGTCCTACCTCTCTTGTGAAGTTAGCCTGTGGACAAACTACACCTTCACTGCCTCAGTTCATTTTTCAGTTGTCGATTGGGATAAATAGTGACCTGCCGTTCTAGGTTTTGCTGAGATAAAACATAAAGGCCCAATCCTAAACAGGAGTAATTCCAATTGAGCGGGTATTGAGGATTGCTGTTTAAAGGACTTCTGAACACACCATGTCACTCTTGTGCCTAATCCTAGCCATTTTCACTGGAAAATCTTACAGGAATCAATGCATTTTTCCCAGGTAAGTATGCTTAGGATTGCAGCATTAACTGCAAAGTAGTAGGCAAAAGATGTAATGTTCTTGAGCTGGTTTACAGCTACAGATTCCAAAAATCTTACACAAAACTTGCTTCCAGTTATCAGCTAGAATGAACAGGTAGAATCCAACTGGTGCCCTTGCACTCGCACAAGACCTTTGGATCTAGACGGCTCCACTAACAGAACAGGACAGGTGATTTTTGCTGATTTTTACCCTCTACCCCTACAACCACAAGGTTCTCCTGTTATGAGAGAGGGAGAAAAGCTTTTTCTATCCACTTTCTCCTTGCCATGCATAATTTTATAAAATTCTACCACGTTCACCTCTTAATCACCCAAAATGCTGCAACCTTTACTCATAGGGGAGTTGCTCCATTCTCTTGATCATTTTGGCGCCCTTTTCTGAATCTTTTCCAGCTCTACAATATCTTTTTTGAAGTGAGGCGACCAGAACTGTACCCGGTGTATCTGAAATGCGGTCACACCACAAGTTTATCAACTTAGGATATCAACAGCTTTCTTTTCCATTTCTTTCTTAGCAATTCATAACATGCCTTTTTCACAGCTGCCACACACGGAGTTGACATTTTCATGGAGCTATCCACTACAACCCCAAGGTCTCATATTCCTGTCAGCGCCAGCTCAGACCCCATGAGTGTATATATGCCCTTCCGGGAGCCCAATGGGAATCCACCCAATCTTTCTGGAATCCAGTCTAGATTTGCGAATCTGTGATTTTCAAAGACAGCTTATACCGAAAGCAACTCAAATGCTTTCAGATTTCTGTGAAGTGCAACTAGTCAGTCAGCTTGCATCTAAAATACAAAATGTGACAGCTTTTTATCTACGCAATGCAACCCAGCTTGAAGGTTTGTACTGCTTCTCATTTCTGCAGCCCCAGAACACTCACCAGCGCAGGCAGAATAGGAAAACAATCAAACCTACGAGACATCAAATGCAGAGCTACAAATTGGTTTCCATCACACTGCATGAAACTGTCAGAGAAGCGAAACTAAGGACAAATGGAAATATTACTTTTCCTCCTCTTTATCATACTCTGCTGCCTTTTCTCCCTTTGACAATTTGTTCATTAAGAAAGGATCTCGCCTGGTTTGTCCAAACTAAACTTGCTATCTATCTATCTATCTATCTATCTATCTATCTATCTATCTCTCTATCTTGTACACGGCCCTTCATCATCATCTATCTATCTAGCGATCTATCTAGCGATCTATCTATCTATCATCTGTCTTTTATACGACCCGTCACTTGTAGATTTCAAGGCAGTTCGCAACATAAAATTACATTATAAAAAACACAAAATACATAATTAAAAATAAGAACAAAACTCTCACGCAACACATTCAAAAGGGCATCAAATGTCAATAAGTCACAGGCCTGGTTGAAGAGGAATGTTTTTGCCTGGTATAATGAAGGGGCTAGCCGAACCTCCCTGAGGAGAGCATTCCACAAATGGGGAGCCACTGCAGAAAAGGTCTGTCTTGCAAAAGGGCATGGCTGGAAGGCAGGCTGGAACCCTGAACAGGAGCATTCCATACTCCAACGTCTTGCTGCAAGTTCCACGTGCAAAATACTATTTGTTAGGTTTTTGCCCTGCCGAGGCAGCGTGTATAGGGTTCCCTGAAGGTCTGCTCTGCGACTAGACCCAGACCTGAATAACATCAGCAAGACTGCTGCATGGCTTGAGTCTTTTGGACTTTGCTTTTGGACAGAGAGAATAATTGTATGCAAATTCACATAGACATAGAATCATGAAATTGGAAGAGACCCTAATGATCAGACCAACCCCTGGCAAGGCAGGAATATGCAGCTTTCCCTTATGGGGATCGAACCTGCAACCTTGGAATTATCAGCACCACGCTCTAACCAAGTGAGTGATCCATGCTCTGTCCACACAGTGTGTGTGTGGGGGGGGTATGTATCTATACTTTAAAAAGCCCACAGGAGAGGGGAGGCAAACCTACCCACCCAATCTTTACTTCCCTGTTCTCTGCTGCTTAAAGCTGCCCCTCCCTGCCTGGCTCCACTACTGGCAAGGAAAAAACTACGTAAAGCAGAGGAGCATGGCAGGGTAAGGCTGAGTGGGGGGTGGGCAAGTTTCACTCCCCCCCTCCATCAACATGCTCCTTTTAAGGGTAAAAAGTTAACTCCTACCCCTGCTTTATAGCCAAAGGGGCAGTCACGTGTTTAATAAACATGCACAAGTCTGGAGCGGCTGCAATATTTATTTATTTGGCTTTAATTTATTTATCAACTGCTTCACAACCAAACCAGCATGGTAGACTTCTACAATCATACAATTTTAAAAAAAAACTTTTGCAAACCTTTTTTTATTATTATTTGTAAAGAACAATTTTCATATTGAAACACAGATGTAACACAGAAGCACACATAAAAAATTACGGCATGTGCACAAGAATGTCTGTATATTTCTGGATTTGCAGCTGATCCATCAAGATCTCTGGCATTCTCAGGGCTCATCCAGACTTCTACAATCGTACAATTATTAATTTCTAGAATGACTTCAGCAGAAGCCTTCTTCAACAGCCTAAATATGAAAAATATGGATTGCTTGTGTGAATTTGTGTGTCACCCTCATACAGAGCAAGAGAGGCCTACAGAGATTCAATACAAGCTTATTTGCATGCACTCGAGGGCTGGGCACGAGCAGCGGGGCTTTTCATATCTGTTTTGGGACTGTGTCTCACTCACACGAACCACTTTCAAAGCTCAGTCTTCACCCACTTCTTTCGCAAACAGCTGGTGGCGCAAAGCCCAAGGGCTGCTATGTCAAGAGAGACAAAGAGCCTGGCTATGCATGCAAATCTGACATAGGCACTTCTCTGGGTTTAGGACCAATTGTTTGAAGCGGTGATGCTTCTGAATGCCAGTTGCTGGGAATCTCAAGTGGGGAGAGGGATGTTGTGCTCAAGTCATGCTTTGGGGGTTCCCACAGGCATCTGGTTGGCTACTGTGGATGATGGATGAGGATGAGATGCAGTGTTAAAAACTGGGACAGAAAAGGTAGGTGCCAAATGGCTTTGGGGGTCTGGGTTGTGGGCGCCAAAACAGAATGTCTAGTCGCCATGGGGGGTGTCGGCAACACTTTTTATTATTTATTATTTTATTTATTATTTTGATAAGCATGAATTAAGATGCAATTCACATAAGTGACACTTGCTAATATCACATTTTTAGCAGAAATTGTTAATACATGTTTAATTTGGTGTTTACAATAAAAATATTGGTACCACACTTCAGTTTTCAAAACTGCTCTTTATTGTTAAACACCTTAACATATTGTCTGTCCTCAATATATACTTTGAGGCTACAAAGCACATACATTCCAGTAATCCTTGAGTGTTAGCCAGGTGCAAAAAACGGGATCTACCTATAACTTCTGTTATCAAATGAAGCACAGGTTAAGGGTTTGACACCAGATCAAAAGCCAGCAATGCCATTCCATGCATGCTAGTTTGGGATCGTTGGTCAAAGTGGCCATTTATGCTGCAAAGTGCGAGGAGTAAGATTAATTCAGTTTAGCTTGCACTCCCTCTGCTGTTTGTTTCTGCAAAAATAGCACACCAGTCATTGTGCCAGATCCTTCCTTTCTCAAGAAAGCAGGTATTATTTTCCTATCCCCATCTCTTTCTTGCACAATCTGATGGATCCACCCTGGCTAAAGAATAAAACTGCACTTGGGAGTGAAAGATTTGGGATCTCATTAGTTAGGATGTTCCCTAAGAGAAGAGAACAGGATGCAGGGGGAGAAAGATACTCCAGGGAAAGAAAGTGATTCAAGGGGAGATTTTTATTCAAATAAAAATATTTATTAATAATTAATAAATAAATAAATAAACACTACATCCTGTATTGATACAGTTTTGTCCTGTTATTTCAAATCTTCTCTCTATCTTTGCCAAGGTGGGAATCCCTAACTTGTTAGGGAGAGGATCCCTAACCAAGGATCCAAGTTAGGGACCCCTCTCCAAATGTGTTTGAAACGGTGTGCAAAAGGCCATGTACTCAAGCTTTGGGTCTGTCCAAATTGTGGCATTTCCAGAGGGACTATGATGTTAGGCAAAGCTTTGAACTCACTTCAGCACCAGATCTGGGGGGGGAAATCGACCCCCCCAACCGCCCCGCCTTTTGCCAGAACAGAGGCGGCAACCCTAATTCGAAACCGGGTAGCGCACGAGACCCTTACGCTCAAGGTCGTGGGTTCGAATCCCACTCTGGGCAAAAGATCCCTGCGCTGACTACAGACGACCTCGGTGGGCCCTTCCGCTTCTATGAAGCGCGGGAGCCCGGACACCAGGGCGACCCTCTCGCCGCCTTTCCCCGCCTGGCCAGCGAAGGGCCCCGGGGCGGGCGCTCGTCGCCGTTACCTTGGTGTCCACCGTGGGCCCCTCCCGGTAGCCGACTCGCGCCTTGAAGCGGCTCAGGAAGGCGGGCTCGGCCGGCCGCACGTACGAAACCTGGTTCTTTTTGCTCATGGTGCCGCTGAGGTAAACCTAGGCTTGTGTGAACGCCGAGCGACGGCGCCTCACGTCACGTCACGCCGACGCCCCGCCCATCCCGCTCCCCGCCATCTTGCTTTCCCTTCCCGCCTTCTCTCCCGGCGTCACGTGACGGAGGCCGTTCCTTTCCCCCGCCCCCCACAATGGCTGCCTCCGCGGAAGCTTCGTTCGCGCCAAATTTAAACAGGGCGCCATTTTCAGGCTTTTAAGCCCTCAGAGGAGTCGACGTTGCGGAGGGGGATTATCGGGGCAGAGAATGGCCCCCGGGTCGAAAGGTAAGGAAAGACGGCGGTGGGGGCGAAATGGGGCTTCGAGGGAGGGAGGTTGGATGGGAGCTGTGAGGAAAAAGCTCTTTCGCCCTATGCATTTTTTTAGCGGCCGCGGGGTTTCCCCCACATTAGCTGCTGTCGGGAGTCGGCGCTGAGGAAGGCAGAACCGGCTGGGGCTCGAGAACTCTGCATGCGAGCAGGAGAACTCTTGGCGGGAGGCGGGCGGGGTCCGCGGAACTCCCTGCGACGGGATGGGGTCGGACCCGCACACGCAGCTCAAGCCCCGAAGGCGCGGGGAGGTTCCGAGGCCCCCTCACACGGTTATGTGGGGCGCCTTGTAACTGAAGGAGGCTATTCGCCCCCTTTTTAGAAATAGTTTAAAAAAGGAATACTATATGCAGAATTCATCATGCGAAAGGCTGGGCTGGATGAATCCCAAATCGGAATTAAGATTGCCGGAAGAAATATCAACAACCTCAGATAGGCAGATGACACAGCCTTGATGGCAGAAATTGAGGAGGAATTAAAGAACCTTTTAATGAGGGTGAAAGAGGAGAGCGCAAAATATGGGTTGAAGCTCAACATCAACAAAACCCGAAGATCATGGCCCATCACCTCCTGGCAAACAGAAGTGGAAGAAAGGGAGGCAGTGAGAGATTTTACTTTCTTGGGCTCCATGATCACTGCAGATGGTGACAGCAGTCACGAAATTAAAAGACGCCTGCTTCTTGGGAGAAAAGCAATGACAAACCTAGACAGCATCTTAAAAAGCAGAGACATCACCTGGCCGACAAAGGTCCGTATAGTTAAAGCTATGGTTTTCCCAGTAGTGATGTATGGAAGTGAGAGCTGGACCATAAAGAAGGCTGATCGCCGAAGAATGGATGCTTTTGAATTCTGGTGCTGGAGGAGACTCTTGAGAGTCCTATGGACTGCAAGAAGATCAAACCGATCCATTCTGAAGGAAATCAGCCCTGAGTGCTCACTGGAAGGACAGATCCTGAAGCTGAGGCTCCAATACTTGGCCACCTCATGAGAAGAGAAGACTCCCTGGAAAAGACCCTGATGTTGGGAAAGATGGAGGGCACAAGAAGGAGGAGACGACAGAGGACAAGGTGGTTGGACAGTGTTCTTGAAGCTACCAGCATGAGTTTGACCAAACTGCGGGAGGCAGTGGAAGACAGGAGTGCCTGGCGTGCTCTAGTCCATGGGGTCACGAAGAGTCGGACACGACTAAACGACTAAACAACAATGCCCTTTCCTAAGTTGCTTATTGGGATCTTCACTTTGGCAAGGTAGTGCTGAAGGGATGGCTCAGTTGGTAGAGCGTGAGGCTCTTCATCTTGGGGTTGTGGGGTTTGAGCCCCACTTTGGTGGGGGGGGAAGGTTCCTACATGGCAGGGGGTTTGGACTAGATGACCCTCATGGTCCCTTTCCAACTCTTAAGTTATCTAAGGATAAGCCCCACCTAACTCTGCAGGATCTGTTTCTGCTTAAGACGGGGGGGGGGGGCGGTCAGCAAACTTTTTCTTTTTATATATATATAAATTTTTATTAGTTTTTTAACATATCATTTTCAACGCTAATTAAACATACTTTTACATCTTATACAGTTTTTTTGACTTGCATCAATCACATCTGAAAATTTTCCAATCTATTCACTTAATATACATTTCTTACTTTCACTATTACATTTAAATCTCATGACTAATATCTCTATTCTTTCTCTACTTTGCAATCTTTCATATATTTCTCCTTACAAAACTTCTTGTAGTCCTACTAGCGTAATTTGTTGATTACAGTTGCTCTTCAAATAATTCGTATATTTCTTCCAATCTTCTGTGAATCTCTGGTCCTGCAGGTTTCGAATCCTTCCTGTCATTTTATCTAATTCTGCATAGTCCATTAATTTTGTCTGCCATTCTTCTTTCGTCGGAATTTCTTCTTGCTTCCATTTCTGGGCTAACAATACTCTTGCCGCTGTTGTTGCATATAAAAACAATTTAACATATTGTCTATTAATATCCTCACCTATAATGCCAAGTAAAAATGCTTCTGGTTTTTTTTAAAAAATGTATATTTCAACATCTTTTTCATCTCATATATCATTTCCCAGAAGTTTTTTACTTTCTTACATTCCCACCACATATGATAAAATGTTCCTTCTTTTTCTTTGGGTCAGCAAACTTTTTCAGCAGGGGGCCGGTCCACTGTCCCTCAGACCTTGTGGGGGGCCGGACTATATTTTGGAGAGAAAAAAATGAATGAATTCCTATGCCCCACAAATAACCCAGAGATGCATTTTAAATAAAAGCACACATTACCGGACTGATTGCAGGCTGGATTTAGAAGGCATTTGGGCCGGATTCAGCCCCCGTGCCTTAGTTTGCCTACCCATGGCTTGAGACGTGAATCGGATGGCGCAGTTGGCAAAGAGCATTTTCATGAAAAAGCGATAAGTTAAAAAAATAAATAAATCGTGGTTTCAGAGATTGGATGGACACCTGGTTGCGATTCCCGCATCCTCTTTCCAGTTCTATGGTTAGGGAACAGATACAGGGGTTCACATGCAAACACCTCAAGTAAATTGATCAATATGAATGTGCATGCAATAAGTAATGCGTGTCCACTTAGGACAAAAAGGGGGGGATTATTCTAAGCCCACTTTCTGGGGAGTTTACACCTCTGGGGTGTTCACATTACACACCTTCCAGGTGTACCAGAGTATGGGTACCAGACCTTTGGCAATACAAGGTGTTTGCATTATGTGTGACATCATAGCTAGCAGCTGTCTGTCATTGCTTCAGTTTTTTTGTTTTGTCACCCCATTTTCTGTAGCTTATTTTGTAGACACTCCATAGAAATGTGAATAATTGGCAGTAGATAGATGTCTTACATACAGTTTTTAAATTATCACGTTCTCACTTTCGTTTTTTAGGTGACACAGCGTTAGCAGCCTCCAGGTAAGAATCCATTAATTATTGTGTGTAAGAATTAAACATCAGATTGGGCAACTTCATTGTGTGATCAAGAGATTTACAATTTGATCCTAATTTACAATCCTGGCTGTTCCAAAATAAATATTATTTTTTAAAAGGCATGGACGACTGTCAACCTGCAACAAAATCAGATGAACTGATGGTGCAGGTTAAAACAATAACATTTCCACAGCAGTTGCATAACGTAAGATAAATATGTTTATCTAGTTGTGTCTGCATATTGTGTCATAAGAACGAGACAAAAATAAAATGACTTTACAAACATGTTACAGCTGGTTACTAGTATACTAATGTAGCTGTTGTTTTGTTTTAGTGCTGAAGGTGATGCTATCAAGGTTTTCGTGAGGGTGCGCCCTCTAGAAGAAGGAACTGTGCTTGCTGACAATGGCTTGTGCTTATCTGTTCTTTCATCAAACACTATTCGCCTGAATTCAAAGCCTGAACCTAAGATTTTTACCTTTGATCATGTGGCAGATGTGGACACAACCCAGGTAATTCAACAGATAAGTTAGTTCCTAAAAGGTTAACTAATTTTTTAAAAAAGAAAGAAAAGAGACTTCTTTGGCCATGTTCTCATTTGTAATAGAAAATAGTTTGCATTGAGCCATCTACATTAGCATTAAATTTTTCAACTGAAATTGCAGATAGGTGCTTTCATTTAAGGGGCTTGTATAACACAGGTTATTAAAATTGTTACCCACCTACCTTAGGCTGCAATCCTATACACACTTATTGAGGGGTAAGTTCTGCCTCCCCACTTCTAGCTACTCTCTGGAGAAGAGACCCTTTTTAGAATATTACGGGGGTGGGCTGGGGAAGGACTAGACCGGGGTCAGCAAACCTTTTCATCAGGGAGCCAGTCCACTGTTCCTCAGACCTTGTGGGAGGCCGGACTATATTTTGAAAAATATAAATACCATGCAAGCTGTTCCCGCAGCTGCCTCAGGACCTGGAGTCGGAACGCACTCTGCACACACTCAGGAGCATGTCTCAGCGCTGCCCGCTCACCGGCGTTGTTGACGAGCAGCAGCCGCTCCATTGGCCCATCCCCGCAGAGCTCCCAGGCAGTGTGCACCATGCCCTGCGGCCCATCGTGCAAGGCCAGGTTTGCCGACCCCTGGACTAGACCATGAGAAAGATGAACATAATATTTTGGCTGCCGTTCATTCATTTTCAGCTTTCTGTTCTTGTTATAAAAAAGCGTGCCTAGACATTCTGTTGTTGCACCCATAACCTATGGTTTAAGGTGCCATTTAGCGCCTAGCTTTCATTTTCTAACACTGCTTTAAAGTGCCTGAAATAGCTAAGAATTATACATAGATAATATATAGCCCCTTTATGTGAGCTTGCAATCTAAGAATGTTGAGAAGAAAAGGGGAAAGGGAAGAAGATGAAAGTAAGGAAACAGAATTGCTAGCTGACTGGTGTGTGCTAAGATTTATGATACATTAACAATTTCTGTTTTAGTAATAGCCATATTCATTAGATATATTCTCATAATGGTTCCAACCTATTACTTGGAAGTGAGTCTCATTGATTTCATTATTTCGTGCATAATAATGGTTCTTTAGTATCAGTGGAATTGCTCGTGTTTAATGAAAAGTATTCCTTAATGTCAGGGTATGTGTATTGTTTAATGAATAGTGCACAGTGTGTGGTTATATGTTTGTGAATACTATTAAGTCAAGCTGTTTTTATCATTATAACATATTAAAACTATTTTTTAAAATCTTTTCTGCCTAGGAATCAGTGTTCTCAAGTGTGGCCAAAAAGATAGTAGAATCATGCATGAATGGCTACAATGGAACCATTTTTGCATAGTAAGCTTTTAACCTTTTTATTTCATGCAAATAGTAAAATATCTGATTTGAATTATATGAACTGCTCTGTTTGAGAAATACATTACCTGGTCAGACCATTCTAAGGACTGTAAATTTTAAAGCATGAATTCATCTAGTCCATTCATCCATGTGTGGCATTAGCTTTCCAGTGTCTGGAGCCCAGCATCTTCCACATCGCCTGCTACTCAATCCTGTTTAACTTGAGATGCCAGGAGTTGAACCTGGAAATCTCTGCATGCAACACATGTGCTCTGCCACAGTCTGGTCTCTCTACATTTAACCCTCTTAGTGGTACAGAATTAACCCTAGCAAATATATATATATGACTAAATGAGTAAGTTCTGATTACTGAGATATAATTATACGTGCGTGCTGCTTCTTTTTCTCTTTAGTGGCCAAACTGGTTCAGGGAAAACCTTTACGATGATGGGTAAGTACAACACATACCGATTTGTGTTCACAGTTGTTTATCTCATTTTAGATCGCAGTGTGGGATCCTCTTTCCCCACCGCTTTGCATTGTGTAATATTAACTTCTAACGCAGTATTTCCCAAATCTAGGGCTAGTTTCATATTAGGATATCATTAACTTTGCCATAGTCTGATCTAACAACATAGATCAAGGAACTGCAGTGTTCCTGACTCTAAGAGATAGCCAAAGCCTTCATCAAAGGGACAGGTGAAAAAGATACTTGGAAGAGTCTTGGAAGGGATTAGAGTTGACTAATCAGGCATCAGCATCTTGAGGGGGGGAATATTGTGCAGTGGTACCTTGGTTCTCAGACACCTTGGAACCCAAACATTGCAAACCTGGCAGTAAGTGTTGCGGCTTGTGAACTTCTTTCAGAAGCCAAACGTGCTCCGTTGAGTTTTACACTGAGGTCTGTCTGTTTTTGCTATTTATTTTGCATTTTTGCGGCTCTTTTTTTGTGACTGTGGAACCCAATTCAGCTACTTACTGATTGATTGTGTGACTGCAGAACATTGTTTATTGCTTTCATTTTATGGATCAATGGTCTCATTAGATAATAAAATTTATGTTAAATTGCTGTTTTAAGGGTTGTTTTTAAAAGTCTGGAATGGATTAATCCATTTTGCATTACTTTTTATGGGAAAGCGTACCTTGGTTTTGGAACGGAGTTCTGGAACTGATTAAGTTTGAGAACCAAGGTACCACTGTATCACTTAACCAGGCTTCCTCAAACTTGGCCCTCCAGATGTTTTTGAGACTACAGATCCCATCATCCCTGATCACTGGTCTTGCTGGCTAGGGATCATGGGAGTTGTAGGCCAAAAACATCTGGAGGGCCAAGTTTGACGAAGCCTGCTCTTAACCATGGCCTTTATCTATTCAGTAAGGCTTCCTTCCTATTTCAGAAACATTGTATGCTACTAATACTAATAATGTAAACCACCTTATTTCTGCTAGATATTTTTAGATTTCTATCCAAGCAATTCTTTCTTTCTTTCTTTTTTCAAGGTCCTCCCGACTCTGATAACTTTACTCATAATCTGAGAGGAGTAATACCACGGAGTTTTGAATATCTGTTTTTTCTAATTGAACGTGAAAAAGAAAAGGTAAATCCTTTTCTTAATGAAGATTGTGCTGAAAGTCCTTGAGGGTTCGTTTTAATTAGTAGCAATGGCATCCAGCTCTTGGGTGCCCTTCATTCATTTGGAAGAAATAACTTGCATGTTTAGAATGATTGTATAGCTTGGGATCACACTATTTCATACAGGCAAGCAGCTATGCTAGCTTGCTACTTACGCATGTTGAGTAGCAATTGGCTTCCAATGTGCAAGTGAAATGGTAGACTTCATTTCTACCCTAGTTGACCCTCCCAGCCATCTGTCCAATTTCAAGCGTAAATTTATCTGTTTCAGAATACTGTGTTGTGCCTTATCGCCTGTGCTCACTGTTCTCTTCCAACCAGAGTTAATTGCTAGGGCTGAGCTGCTACAATATTGCACTGATTAAGCTCTGTTGGCCCTTAAAGGCAAAAAGGATACAGAGCTGCATGAGTAGTAAATGTAGTACAGTGCTACTCTTTCCAGGCTGCAAATAGAAGAGCTGGACAATCCATTCAGTTTGCCCCAGCTTTTAATAGCTGAAATGGGTTCAGTGGGTAACAGCAGAAGGACAGCTGGTTATGAACAGGACCAAAGGTGGTGTGATGGGGCAGGGAAGTAGGTGGGTAAACTGTTTCTTGAAGGGCTTGAAGTTCGTACGATAAAGGCTCCAAATATGTAAAGTGAAAGTAGGAGTTGGGTGGTAAAATATGTCTTTTTGTAAACTGTAAGAGATCAATAAAGGCATGCCTTCATAGTTGCTGTGAAAACCTTGTAATGACGTTAGAGGCCAGATAAAATTAAAACAGCATTTTCTGTAACACAAATGTTAATGTTTCTTATAGGCTGGTACAGAAAAGAGTTTTCTCTGCAAGTGTTCGTTTATTGAAATCTACAATGAGCAGCTATTTGACTTGCTGGATTCTGCCTCAGCTGGACTCTTCCTCAGAGAGCACATCACAAAAGGAGTATTTGTTGTTGGTGCAGTGGAGCAAGTGTTGACTTCAGCTGCTGAAGCATATAAAGTATGCTGTTTTGATAAGTAGAGGTAGACATCCTTGCATGTTGTAATAGAGGCAGCACTCATTGAAGTAGCAGAATTATGATTTGAAAAGCTTAACTAAAAGAAATAACTTGGGCTTCTTATGCTTGTTTTGTACCTTTTGCCCTTCAGCTCCCTTATGTTGGGCTATTTATGTTCTGCAATAAACACTCATTCCTGCAGCTCAGCTTCCAGTGCCCGGGATGCAGAAGGCATGTGCAATGCATTAAGTGTGCATGAGAACTTTTCACGCTCGCCTTTCCAGCAGCAGAAACACTCTTGCACCAAAATCCACTCCACAAACTGGGCCTATCTGGAACAGTATTTCACAAGGTGTGAAAGACTGTCTCTGGAAGGGGAAATCAGCCTGGCTCATGTGTACATCAATATACGCATAGGTACATCAAAAGTACAAGTATAAGATTTTTTTAAAAATAGGATGGGAGACTTGGGAAGCCATGTTATAAATTCCTTTTGAACGGGGATGTGTAAAACATGCATCATTGCCTAGAAGTAAGATGTTAATTTAACACTTCTTGCAGATTAGGATTAGAAATAGAGGGGATCTTTCGTTAACACATTTAAGATTAGCACTACAATCCCAGTTGTGACTCCAAAATAGCTTAAGATAAAGTTGTTGAGCCTGTTCCATAATATATTGTAAATGCTACTCGTATCTTATTCTGACTAGGTGTTAACAACGGGCTGGAGAAATCGTCGCGTAGCGTCTACCTCAATGAACAGAGAGTCCTCAAGGTCTCATGCTGTTTTTACTATCACGGTCGAATCAATGGAGAAAACCAATGACGTTATGAATATTCGATCATCTCTGCTGAATTTGGTAGATTTGGCTGGATCAGAGAGACAAAAAGATACTCACACAGAGGGAGTTAGGTTAAAGGTTAGTGGCGAAACAGTGCATTCTTGGTCAGTGGCAGTGGCGTAGTGTGGGTTGTCAGCACCCGGGGCAAGGCAAGTAATTTGCGCCCCCTAACCCGTGGATTTAAGTAGGGGCAGAGAGCTGCGAGCGCGCCCCCCCCCATGTTGCGCCCGGTGCAGCCAGCCCCCCCTGCACCCCCCACGCTACGCCACTGGTCAGTGGGAAATGGAGCATGCAGAAAAGGGTTAACTCCTCCTGGAGACAGAGTCCATGCGCTTGTATAATGCATGCTCCACTACCCGCTGACCAGAAGCACACTTCACAGTAACACCAACTTGTTGATTTCTTTTCCACTAAAAACAAAGGCATTCACTTTTATTTTCTTGTTTGTTCTAGGAAGCAGGGAACATAAACCGTTCATTAAGTTGTCTGGGCCAAGTGATTACTGCACTTGTTGATGTGGGCAATGGAAAACAGAGGCACATCTGTTACAGGGACTCCAGGCTCACTTTTCTGCTACGGGTAATGTGTACCATTAATTTTTAGGACATTGGTTTTCAAAAGACAAAATGCTTTTGACTTTTATATTATTCAGATGTCTTACTTGCGGTATGTTGTCCTGGAAAATCAATGATTACTACAATCTGTTGCCGTTGGCCACATAATGCTAAGCCACAAAGTTTTGCTTTTTAAGCTATTCTGTACACAAGCTGCATGTAGATTTACACAGCCGAAGAGTGTTTCCCTCGCTCCTCCTTCATGCAAGCTAGTAAACAAATCGCAAACAGGCTACTTTAGTGTTATGTCTGAATCTGGGGTCATGGATTGTTTGATCATAATAAATCACGTGATAATCCAACAACAAGCTTTTGTCTAAAGCGGGCTAGCAATTGTGGTTTGTTATGGAGAAACAAGCCATGATTCCAGGTTTGGATATACTGCTAAACTAGCCCCTTTGTGGTTTCTTTACCTGCTTACGTAAGTATTCAGGCTGCTTGCACTAACATGCAGTATCATCATAAACCAAACATAGTGGCAATACATATGTATGTGGTGATATTAATCTTGCTTTAGAGCATCCTGTCACACTGTTCTATTGAAAGTGCCCCATCAGAATGTTAAGTCCTGAAGCAACACAGTCGCCTAAAACAGCGGTCTTACGAGGAGGGCGTTATCCTCCCCAAAACAAGGGTTAGTAGAAGAGGAAATAGTTTGTGTTTCTATAAACACTAGAATTAGTTAAACTATGTGCTTTTAAAAGTGCTGTATCTCAAAGTAATTTTCATGTCTTCAAACAGGATTCACTTGGAGGTAATGCCAAAACTTGCATCATAGCAAACATTAATCCAGGTTCCAGATGTTTTGGTGAAACCTTGTCCACCCTTAATTTTGCTCAGAGAGCCAAACTGATAAAAAACAAGGTATTTAATTGGGACAGAATATTACATTGGCTATTCAGTCACCTTATTTTTCTTCACAAATGTACATAGTTGTAAGCAATTTCTTTGTCTGAAAGGGTTCTTTGGCAGAAAAAAGGTTTGCTAAATCAAAATAAATATTGTGAGTATTTCTCATCTATTTCAACTCTTACAATACTGTGTTCTTGCTAAGTCTTAACATTCCAGTCGTGAAAGTGGATAGACCAACAGGGAGAGGGAGAGACTGCAGTTGCAGACATTTAACAAATACCTTGTCTCCTTCAAATTACTGAAAATTCTATCATTTGCTGTATTAGGAAATGGGTTGCATTCCTTTCTAGAATGCGTGAGGTATGTTTCACATTTTTTAGCTGTGTGTGCAACATACAATTCAATGATAATTACATGAGATAAAAGTAACTTCTATTCACTTTGGACTTTTAAAACAGTATCAGACATTGTGGAACTTGTGTAAAAATGAAGAAACTGTCTGAAGTTCCCTTCTCGCAGTTCTCACAACCAAGACACACAAGCTTTCTGGCCTAGAACAACTCTCTGTGCTAAACCTTTACAGTGTGCATCTATTAAGAACTCCCAAGCTAGAAGAATCAAAACTGATAGGCAGAGCTATGTGCATCTTATGCAAACACGATTCACAAATTTATAAATGTGCATATGTGTACTATTGCTTCTGCCAACATCAACTTTCAAAGCCTTCCTGGGTTGCAAAGGGAAATAGGGCCATAAGTTAAGGGGGTGACGGTAGTGTTGGGTTTTTGAATACGTGCAGCGTCACACAGAGTCAATTAAGAGTTGGCCGACAGCCAAGGCCAAGTAAAGGAGTAAAATCTGCCTGGAGATATAGAGGCCTGGAAACAGCTCTACCATTGGTCAAGGTCTCTCACAGGCATAATGATTTATGGCCTACTGACTGGAATGTGTTAGTTGGGAGTTAGGTGTTAGTGTTGTCTACGAGTCGTGTGGTGAGAGAGCTAGTTAAAGATCCGTGTTCTGTTCTGTTCCTGTAAATAGTAACTTGAAGCCCACTGTATATAATAAACACCTATAAGTAACAAGTTACTGGTTCCTTCTTCGTCCATCCTGCCTGCAACCGATTGCTTTCGTGAACCCTGCGTATACTCTGCTAAGGTCTGGCTAAACTCCTGCAACAGGTCAGAAAGTTGCAAAACACCAACAGGTAGCGAGAAATGGGGGGGGGGAGTCAGTAGTATTAGTCATGAGTAGGGGCAGCATGTAGGAAAACAGAAAAAGACTCCCTAAACTCGTTTCTGTGCCTTCACAAAGCAAACCTATACATTTTTCACTCCTCACGTGAAGCCTTGTGTTAAGAACATGCTTTTCTAAAAGAAAAGAGAGCTGAGATCAGGGGAAGGCTAAATTCTACACCTGCTTTTGTAAATGCATAGAATATATGCTGCCATGCTAGTATCATATAGTCTTCTTTTTCAATATTATTTTCTTTTTAACCTATGATGTTTGAAAGTGAGAACAACGCATTCTAGTTGGCTTTGTCAGTAGGATTTGAATTATCCGATCATCAGGCGTGTGTGTTTCAATATTTTATATTTTCTATTTAAGGCTGTGATAAATGAAGACACCCAAGGAAACGTGAAGCAGTTGCAGTCTGAAGTGAAGAAACTGAAAGAGCAGCTTGCTCTGCTTAATTCAGGGCAGTCTCTGCAAGATGCTTCTCTACCTACAGGTAAAGCCTATCCCCTTTCCTCCCTTAAAACTGGTGTTTCAGGATGATTTGTTTAAGCACTCCATTTGTTTTCCATTTTAAAAAACCCCTCAATGGTTTTTTTTTAAAAAAAACATGACTTTTGTACAGGATCAAACTTAATTCATGCCCCCAATATATCGCAGAAGCAGAATGTCGTAATAGAAGACTGGTTCTCTGTATGCCAAAATGGCACCTTCCACAAACACAAGAGCGGAGGTATCAGCAAGCTTCAGAGAACCAAAGTTTGCAGAACTACAAATAAATCTTTAGTGGGGGAAACCAAAACAGTCCGTTGAGGACTGAGTGTATTTATATTCTTACCAAACCTTTCTTCCAAATTGCTGAGGGTGGTTTTCAAAGTCTCTCTCTTCCTGAGCTCCCATATTATCCTCATAATAACCCCATGAGGCAAGTAACCCAGTCACCCAGTGAGCATCATGAATAAGTGAACCTGGATCTGTGCTCAGTAGACACAGAATTCTGGCTGGTGTTGGAGGAAGAGGGGGAAATGAGGTGGATAGAATGGTGTGCTAGAAGAGAATATGACTAGTTGACTAGAATTCTGAACAGAAACATTCAATACCACAACATGTTATTGCAAGTCCCATTTTCAGATCACGATTTGGTAGAATCCTTTAATAGCTAACCTTTTATTTTCACTATGGTTATTAACACAGAATTAAACTGTAGATGTCTATCACTACAGCTCAGACAATGCAGAAGCTTACAGTGAAATCCTCTGTATATTTGCTAGGGAGTAACAGTCTGATCGGGACGTGGGTGGCGCTTTGGGGTAAACCACAGAGCCTAGGACTTGCCGATCAGAAGGTCGGCGGTTCGAATCCCCGCAACGGGGTGAGCTCCTGTTGCTTGGTCCCTGCTCCTGCCAACCTAGCAGTTGGAAAGCACGTCAAAGTGCAAGTAGATAAATAGCTACCTCTCCGGTGGCAAGGTAAACGCCGTTTCTGTGCGCTGCTCTGGTTCGCCAGAAGCGGCTTAGTCATGCTGGCCACATGACCCGGAAGCTGTACGCCGGCTTCCTCAGCCAATAAAGCGAGATGAGCGCCGCAACCCCAGAGTTGTCCACAACTGGACCTAATGGTCAGGGGTTACTTTACCTTTAATGTGTGTAAACTGTAGATATCTATCACTACAGCTCAGATAATGCAGGAGCTTACGGTGAAATCCTCTGCATATTTGCTAGGGAGTAACAGTCTGATCTGTGCATGTCACCTTGAAAGTTAGTCTGGATCCAAATCTTTGGGACTAAATTACATTCGCAATTCCCATTCATTTCTGTAGTTAATAAGTAACGAACATAGGCCGCAATTCTCCACCTGGAAGTAAGGCCTATTGAATTCAGTGGCATGTACCACAAGGTAGACATGGTTGGAATTATAACCATGATATTGAACCAAGCAACAATGTTTGTGAAACTTATCCTCAACTAAATGTGGGTATGATTGTTGCTTTAATGGCCAATTCTGTGCAAACGCAAGGATCCCAAATTCTGCACAGAATCAAACTGAATCCTTTGGAACTGACTTCTTAGTAAACACATTTAGCATTCTTTTGTATTTCAGTTATGCTTAACTGAAATGTTCAACAAGCTTTTGTATTTAAACATTTTTAAAAAATATAAAAAACCCAAACCTTTTTATCCTGAATCTCTTTTAAATGCAGTTTTAGATAAGAAAGTTTAGCCATAATCATAAAATGATAATGTCTACTTCAGCTATAACATATTAAAAACCAGTGCTAAATATCTCAGTTGACACACAAAATAGACAAATAAATCTAGGGAAGTGTTAACCTAATGTATTTTGTTCTACATTCTCTCTAAGCTACCCTCACACGTGATGTAGGAAATGCAGATTATCTGAACCATTTTCTTGAAGCAATGCTGTTATTGGAAAAAGGTGAAAGTGAAAGAAAGGTAAGAATAGGAATACTATGGTACGTGTTAGGAAAGGTCCAATTAACAAAAATATCTTTGCCCTGGAACAATAATTTATCCCTTTCTTAAAAGCAGAACTAATTTATTTATATGGCTCCACACATACACCCCAAATCAGTTAAACACAAATGTTGAGAGTGTGTGAATAGCATATTAACATAAGTTTGTGCCTTCATTTAATGATTTCTGTTGATCACATCCAAGAGAGGGTTGGACAAGTATACTTTTCATTATGTATGTGTCATGATGCTATTGCTTCCTGCTTAATCGGCTGCCTTTATTTTCAAGATGCTGTTAGAAAAAGTTGCCCAACTAGAAGATCTCTGTGTCAAAAAGGAGAAGTTCATTCAGTCCAATAAAATGATAGTTAAATTCAGAGAGGATCATATAACTCGCCTGGAAAAACTACATAAAGAGGCTCATGGCAGCTTTTTGCCCAGTGAACAAGAGAAGCTCTTTGGGGAACTGAAGGAGGAGCTGAAGATTCTCAGAGAACAGGTAGCTGTATTTTTGTTTAATGTGTTACCCGGATCAGGCCAAACATCTGTCTACTCCGGCATTCTCTGGCAAGCCAGATGCCCCCAGAAAGCACATTAATTGAGCAACAGTCCTCTTCTGTTCTTGTCTTCCTACATCTGTTATTGAGAAGTGTACTTCTCTAAACATGGAGGTTAGCTGTTGTGGTTAGTAGCCCTTAAAACTTCTACACACAAATTGTAAGTAGGTTTTTTGGCCAATGTACACAGCTGAACCAAAAAGAGACACACTTTTACGCTATTCCTGGTATTAAACTCGGATGAAAAACTTTTAAGCTGATTTCAGCACTCTTCCGTAACTCATGGATCTTAATTGATTTTGAAGGTTTTGCATTTCTTTTTGTGGTTGTTGAGTTGATTTTATAATTTGTAATCTATATAATTCTGAAAGCACTTATTGAAAATCAGCTTCTGTTTTTATTAACATATGTATTGACTTCAGCTGGATGCAGCAAACAATTTCATCCAAGCTAATCTGAACTACTTAACCAAGTATGTTCCAAAGCAGAATGTTCCAAAGAAGGATGTACTTGTGCATTTTATATTTGACTTCCTTTAGTAATGTTTTCTTTTGAAATGTTTCAAGACTGTTTTGTTTTGTTAACTTTGCTGCATTCAATATGCATTCTGTAGTTGGCCTCCTTTGTGATGTTTTCTTTTGAAATCCTTAAAGACAATATTTAAGGATTGTTACATATATTGTTTTGGATATACACTTTCTACAGGATGAGTCTTTAAAAAGAGGCCCCATGGAACATGTGTACTCTGTATCCACGGGGCCTCTTTTAAAGGACTCACCTTGTATTTGACTTTCTTCTGTAATATTTTGTTGTCAATTGTTTTGTTTGATGCTTTAATGTGGGTTGTAAACTCCTTTGAGATCCTTTTTCTTTTACATATAAAGTGGTATAGAAATGAAATTAATAATTATAATAGGATCAAATAGGACACAAGCCTTTCAGAAATGTCATGTGGGCCATAGTGTAAAAATGTGCAAGGAAAAGCATCACTATTTAAAGCAGATATGTGTAAATACAGTGGAACCTTGGTTTTCAAGCGTCTCAGAAGCTGAACGTTTCAGAACCCGAACACCAAAAACCCAGATGTAATTGCTTCCATTTTCAAACACGCCTCGGAAGTCCAACGGCTTCCAAGGCGCATTTCTCTATTTTTTCAATTGAATTCTCCGACCACCCACTGTGCCTTGGTTGTTGAACATTTCAGAAGTCGAGCCATCTTCCGGAACAGATTACATTCAACAACCGAGGTTCCACTGTATTTAGTTTTGATGTTCGTTCCCTTTTGTGTGCTAGGAAACTTTTTAAAGAGAGCCTAATAAAAGTAATCAGGATTTTTAAAAATTAAAATTTCCTGTACTAATATAGCAACACACCTGTTTGGGTTTTGAGGATTGTTTATATCATGAATTAACAGAATATGTGTTATGTACAGGTGGAACAGCATCCACGTGTTGCAAAATATGCTATGGAGAACCATGCCCTTCGAGAGGAGAACAAACGACTTCGCTCCCTGCAGTCAATGAAAAGTGCCCAGGATATTGATGCTCAGGCAATGGCAGAGTTGGAAAAAATATTTTTAGAAGCTTCAGGTAGAGAAAGCAATAAAAGAGGTATGAAAAAGTTGAAATACATTTTTCATATATGAAGTTATATTTTTTTTAAAGGTTCTCTACTCTGATCTCATAGTTAAAGCAATCCTGTTTTAACATTTTTCTCCTCCAAAGCAGTGCCCAATAAATTCACTGGCTTTTTGTTTTCAGGTTTGATGGATTTTATGTCCGTTCCTTTGGAGGACGTTACTAGGCTGAATGAGTCATATACTGATAAACATTGTGATTAGTAACTCTGGCGGCAGTTCTTGTCAAGACAGACTGCTTCAAATGAACATACTGCAGTCGGGCTGATCTCCCTCTGCAATGCTTTCTGCATATTTTAAAAGGCAATTGTCTGCCTGGCATCATGTTGAAGATCTTGTGAATTAATAGGAGCTAGTTGCTGATAGAATAAAATTTTATGCATACAGTGAAGGAAAGTTAGAAACGGCTGCCTGAAATATAGAACTGTAGAGTTGGAAGGGACCCTGAGGATCATCTAGTCCAACCCCCTGCACTGCAGGAATAGGAAGCTGTCCCAATACAGGGATCGAACCTGCAACCTTGGTGTTACTAGCACCATGCTCTGACCAGCTGAGCTATGCAGTTGCATAACCCGGTGTCTGGCATAATATGGCCTAGAACAGGCATAGGCAAACTCGGCCCTCCAGATGTTTTGGAACTACAACTCCCATCATCCCTGACCACTGGTCCTGTTAGCTAGGGGTGATGGGAGTTGTATTCCCAAAACATCTGGAGGGCCGAGTTTGCCTATGCCTGGCCTAGAACACGGCTGCACAGATGAACTCTGCACTATTAACTCCATCATGGGAAATATTTCCTTTGGAGATGGAATGTCATCACAGCTCCTTGCAGGAACAAAACTGATTCATTTGAACTTCCTACTATGAAAAAGCATTACTTAAAATATAAATATCCTAAGTTTTTATTTCATAAAAGTATTACAAGGTTTCAAAGAAATAATAGTAATTTTATTATTTATACCCCATCCATCTATCTGAAGGGAGTGTCTGTACAGGTGTGGGCATAGCCCACCTTACAGTGCCATGTGGTACAACCTGGGCATACTTACCGGCTGTTTCTGAGAACTAGGCTCAAGGCTATCGTATCAAAGTGAAAGCACACGTTGAGGACCTTTTTGACTTAATTAGCCAGTGGTGCAGGACAGCAAAGCTATAGATATAAAAAAACACGTGACAATTGTTCAATATGCATTCAGAAACAAAATCCAATACATTCTGTAAAGAGAACAATCTTTGATTTTATGCAGGTTTAAACATTAAAAAAATAAAAATCATTGCAGCTTTCATATGCTGCATGGACAGGTGAAGGTGTTTGCTTTCGCACATCTAAGAAAGCGTACATTTTTAAATCCCAAACAGGTCAGCAGATGTGTTCTACTGCCTCGTCAACAGACAGCAGCTCTAGTGAAAAGCTGAAGGAACGCCTCCTCACCACACAGAGCGAACTGGCAAGTTCCAAACAGGAACATGAAGAATTTAAAGAGCTAACAAAGTAAGATGAATCTGTGTCCTAACATTCTTCCACGAAATACCCTTCCCTGAAAATATAAGCAGCTGTTTATCAAGGGCAAAATTCTGGTTCCAACCAGAATTTCTAAAACCATATTTCTAAAAGTATGGTTTCCTCAAGACAGAAGTTAAAAGCATCAACAAGCCTTGTATCTAACAAATGCGTGGGAGGAGTTTTTTTGGGATGTTTCCAATCTAAGCAGAAGACACCATCATGAATCTTGCTGTGTTTTTCTTTTTTGAGATTTTTTTTTCTTAATGAGAGTCATTTTAATAAGATAACCATGTTTGATTTTATGATGCATTTGTTTCTTTAACAGGAAAAAACAGATAGAGCTTGAGTCGGAACTTCTGTCTCTGCAGAAGGCAAACCAGCATCTTGAGAAAATTTTAGAGGCAACTAAGGCGTGTAAACGCCAGGAAGTCTCCCATCTTAATAAAATACACAGAGAAACTTTAAAGGTATGAGGCTATGATAAGGAAAGCTAATTTAGCTGTTTAAAATATAAGGAATGTTAATGAGCTTTGTGCAAAAAGAAAATTCTCATTTAGGGAGTGCATGCATTAAAATCCATGTTTTATAATAGGGATGCACTGTTTCATAGATGAATGCTGTTTGAGAAAAATAAGGAAAGGAACCTGGAATTCAGACTTCTGAATGCTACAAAAGAGCTAAGGAGAGATTCAAGCAAACTGAAAGTGATTGCACTTAATAATAAAATAATAATAATAAATTTTTATTTATATCTCACCCTCCCCAGCTGAAGCTGGGCTCAAATTTATTTACATACAATTTGGGGTGATTTCCCCCTCCCTCAGCAACCCCATATGCTCTGTTCAGGAGGGCTTCCTAACCCACCAGAGAGGCAGGGGGCAGGAATAAGTGGCTGCAAGAGGAGGGAGGGCAGGAACATTTTCATCTCATGAAGTTCCTTAAGTTTACTTACCATATGACGCAAATCCTCTAAATTTACTTCCATGTTATTCCTGTATTTCTACCTATGTATATGGTGTGTGTGTTTTAAAAAAATATCATTTCTATTACAGAATATCGCTACCCCAACAAAGGCTTATCAGCTAAGATCTCGACTGGTGGCACGATTTACCCCTGAAACCTTGAGCCCGGAGTCTGTTGATATTCAAAGCTCAGGCGATAACGATTATATTTTTAATGAGCCCATGCCTCCTGAGATGAATGAACAAGCCTATGAGGCTGTTGCAGAAGAGCTGAGAGTGGCACAGGTGAAGTTTCAGGATGCAAAATGCAGATTTCTAAAAATGTTTCATCAAGATGCTGTGAGCTAGGAGGTATGAATGGGCAGAGTTAAGTCAACAGTCTCAGGCAGATCTACAAACCTGTGGTGAGATTGCACTTGGAATACCGCGTATAGTTCTACTCGCTTCCGCTCAAAAAGAACTGGAAAAGGTTCAGAAAAAGGCAATCAAAATGATTGAGGGCTTGAAGCGACTCCTGTGAGGAAAGTTTACAATATTTTGGTATTTTTGGTTTAGAACAAAGGTGTGTAAGGGAGGGACATGATAGAGGTGCATAAGATTTGGCATGGTGTAGATAGGAAACCGTTTTCCTCCCTCGTAATAGTAAAACCCAGGGCCATCTAATAAAACAATGTTGGAAGATTCAGGAGAAAAGAAGAAAATGCTTCTCCGCACCAGACATAGTTAAACTATAGAATTTGCTCCTGCAAGAGGTGGCGATGTCCACCAACTTGGATAACTTCATTTTATTTATTAAATTGCTACTCTTCCTCTCAAAGAAGCTCGGAGTAGCAAACACGAACATAGTAAAACAATACCATTAAAAATACATTTTAAAATATTTTAAGCATCTAAGCTAATAATTTCAAGGTATCCAGGAGCCTTTGAGCCATCTAATGCCTGGGTAAACAGTAATTTTTTTTAAATTTCTTCCTGAAAATTAATAATAAAGGAGACAATGGCTGGCCACTGAGAGCGGGTTGCTGGACTAGATAGACCTTTGGTCTGATCCAGCAGGGACTACTTATGCTCAGATTTTACTTGAGTGCTTTTAGAAAATGCGTGCAAAGGCTGTTCAAATGAGAGAGCTATCTGACGCTGTTCATCTTTCTATGGAAACTTTTCTCTTTAGCCGTTTAGCTGTATTTGGATTCTGGCTGCATTTACAATACAGTAAGGCTAGGGCTTTAGAACTCTTCCTGTAGATTTACAATGTATTTACATACCCCATAATTTTGTGCAGGAATATATAAATGCATTAGAAGAAAATACTTAGTAGCGGCAAAGCAGTTGCTAGTACGATTATAAATTTGCTTAGTTTTCCCTATATGTCCTGTTGCAGGAAGAATTAAGCACTCTTCAGATCAAACTAGATGCCGAAGAAAGTAAAACTGTAAAACTCCAGCAGCATATTAATAAATTGGAGCACCATTCTTCACAAGTGCAAGAGGTAAAAGAACTAGTGCGAGGACTCTTGTAGGAGGAAGTAGAAAGCTTAGCTTAATTATTGTTACTATCTGACGTAATACTTCATTATTTACTTAAACTGCATGCAAAGATTTTTCTTGAAGTGTCCATGGCTGCTTGTACCATTTTAAGACTTAACAGGATCCAAGACTTAACCAATCAGAACAACAGGGCCGGGCAATGTTCCTTTGTAACTTGTACATCCTATGCATTCATGTACATATGCATTCTCATACTCAAACACTCATTATTTGACTTCTTCTTTTTCCAACTGAAGCTCTTTGCCTCGGAAAGAAGCAATTGGCAGACTGAAAAGCAAGGGCTTCTTGAAAAGCTAGACTATCTTGAGAAACAATACCAAGACACTCAGAGGAAGGCGGACAGTAAGTTTGGGTAACAATAGAATTCTGTGTGATTTTTTTACCAAAGATGTATTTTTTTTCTAGTGCAGCACAAAACAGTCCCAATTTGTGCACTGTTTTCACTACTTCCGTGTGACCAAAATGTATGGCTGAAAATTGCCTTTTGCTGAGAATGGGGTAGATGGGTCCACTACCTCCATCTTTTCAAAATTAATTCAATTTTTCTGTAGATCTATAGGTCACTGTTCTTTGTAGGTAACCCCATAGCGGATCATTTAGTTGTCTTTAGTCTGAAAATTGCAATGGAATGGGAGTCAGTGGGCACAGCCAATAGAATTGGGTGGAGGGAGGAAAATATGTTCCCCTAAATGGTAGAGAGATAGATGTTGCCTCCATGTATGTGTATGCATTTGTTGGAAGCTGCCATGCTGCTTTCTGGGTAGAAAGACAGAAAAGAATTTAAATTAATGAGAGTTATTGGGCTTCACTCAGAATTATTAGTGCATTTGCTAAAGCTCTGAAATCTGCTATACACAGAGTCTGAGGCACTCCATTAATCAGAAAAATCTGAAAAGAGGACGTAGGCACTTCTTTCTCTCAAAGCGTGACATTTTCCCTAGAATATCAGATAGAATAGAAACAACCACATATGGAATGGAATATTGGGTTCTTGAAGATTGGTTGCTTCTCTAAACACTGCTAATAGTGGAGGAACGAATCTCTGCTTGCATAATGAATGTGACTCAGCTAGTATGATAAAACAATTTTTATGGCAGTAAATGCTTTCTGAAGTATATGCTAAAAAGTACAGCTTAATCCCAAGTCAATACAACTGGACATGAAAAAGGGTTTGGCATCATTCCTTGAATTCTTTACTTACTGAAGTGCTTTTGTGATCTTCGTAGGGTTTTGCCTTTCATAGCTGCCCCAAATTTATAATTTGACTTTACTACTTACTGAGTATTCTTCTTCTGAAAGATGGCAAGAATGGCTTTAGTTGGAACTTTCGCATATTTCTTTAGCTTTCAGGGAAGACTGGAATATTTGGTATTACATCAAGTGAATATTGGTATCTAATAATGGAATTTTTTACAAGTGCATTTTACAAGGATTTTGTTTGTTTTTTCCAAACAGTGTTAAACACTGAGGTTCGTGACTTACGAATAGTCCTGCAGTCTGCAGACAAGGATCTGTCTGCTGTAAAAATGGAATATGACCATTTCAGAAGAACTCAAGAAAAAGAAATGGGTGAACTCTCTAGCAGACATATGAATGTACAACTGCAACTTGATAACGTAAGGTATGCCATTATTTTAACAAAAGCTTCTTAAATACATGAGAATAAGGGCTATTTCAAACTTGATATATTTTCATATGAATAGCACCTCTGAATAAGAGAAAATGTGCACAAATGTCTCTGTGTCAGCTGCCACGTGTGGTGACTGCTGAAACATTTACGTATGCCATGATATTCACATGAATTGCTGTCTCCTGCACTGAAGTACCAGCTGCGTAATATTTTCAAGAGGAAGATTTGGTTATGTGCTATTCCCTTTACCGTCACCTGGTTTGTGGGGGGGATTAAAACACTAACTTCAAGTTCCACAGGCTCAAATTAGAAGAAGATTGCTAAAATAAAATGAACCTTAGGGTGTGTCTACACAGTAATTTATTTCAACAATTGGGCTTATATTCACAAGAAACTATTCGATTATCAGAAAATAAGCTAAGATGACAGTCTACATCTGATTTTTCAAGTTGTGTTCTAGGACACCTAGGGGTCCTTTGGCAACTTGTCAGGGACTTGTCAGTGAGAAGATCTGTAGTGGCAGAGAAATCTTCTCTTACACTGCACAGCTACAGGAGAGTGCTGGCTGTGCTTTAGGGCATGTCCTCAATTCACATGAGGCAATTGTGAGGGTCCTGCCTTGTTTGACAGGGTACCTCCCACAAAATGGCCCAGAATCTGGAAATCAGTATGTGTTGAGGTAGAAAGAGTTCCTGGAAGGACATTGAAAACCACTGATTTTAGACTGCATCATATAGAAAGGCCTCCTTTTGGTCTATAATGGTACCTCGGTTTTCGGACATCTGTTGCTTAACGTTTCCATTTTTGAATGCCAAAAATCCAGAAATAAATGCTACCATTTTCGAAGGCCCTTCGGAAGTTGAACGGCTTCCGCTGTGTGTATCTATTTTTCACAATTTTCTCTACTGAATTGGCAGACTGCCCTTTGCGCCTCGGTTTTCAAACCTTTTAGAAGTCAAATGGTCTTCCGGAATGGATTATGTTCGAAAACTGAGGTACCACGGTATTGTGTAAAAAACGGATACCAACAGCCAGTTTAGTCTTGTTAATTAGCTGCATTCTGGAAGTGGTGTTAGTCTTTTTCTGGCCTATATCGAAAGGATTTCTAGTACTTGAAAGATATAAAATATATCTGTATGATGTGACTTCACCAGTGTGCCTAGGTCTACTTGCTTTGGCCTCTTGCTCTGTATTTCTCTCTCCTCCAGCCGTCTTTTGGCTCCACACTAATCCTTGAGGTGATGTACTAACTTTGTTTTGAAACTTGAAACATGCAAGACAAAACCAGACGCATTATGAGTAATGTAATATTCTTTCACTGAAGGCTCGAATACGAAAACATTCTTGAAAGAAAGACAAGCCTGCAAGATGACTATGACAACCTGCAGGAAATACTGAAATTTGAGACTGACCAGCTAACGCAGCAGCTCACTGATAGCAAGCAAGAAACTGAAGCACTGAAAACTGAGCTTTGGGTAAGTAATGAATACGAAAAAGATTTCACCTTTAACTGTACATTGTATAGATCAGCATAATTAAAAGATTCGTGGCAGTGAGAAAGGAGCAAACTATCAATTTGCCCCAATCCCTCCACCTACTGCAAGATCGGATTGGACACATATAAGTGTAAACATTTATGCAACATGCATTACACAGGTGAAGACGAGGAGGGGGAGCCATTGCATTTCCAGGCTTCTACTTGTCTATCGGGACGCAGGTGGTGCTGTGGGTTAAATCACAGAGCCTAGGGCTTGCCGATCAGAAGGTCGGCGGTTCAAATCCCCGCGACGGGGTGAGCTCCCGTTGCTCGGTCCCTGCTCCTGCCAACCTAGCAGTTCAAAAGCACGTCAAAGTGCAAGTAGATAAATAGGTATCGCACCGGCGGGAAGGTAAATGGCGTTTCCGTGCGCTGCTCTGGTTCGCCAGAAGCGGCTTAGTCATGCTGGCCCATTGACCCGAAAGCTGTACACCGGCTCCCTTGGCTAATAAAGCGAGATGAGCGCTGCAACCCCAGAGTCATCCGCGACTGGACCTAATGGTCAGGGGTCCCTTTACCCTTTACCTTTACTTGTTTATCTGCTTCTAAGGAATACCCTCTTATGTTAAAACAGCTACTACTGTCACAGGCAGTTAATTCTTTGGTGGAACTGAAGATGAGCCTAAGTATTTCTGCAAAAACTCACTAATTCTAAAAGCTTGGCCTTCAAAACAAATTCCCTTCACTGACTTCCTGTCTAAAGCTTTTGGAAGCTCTGTGTTCATCCTGTGTTAGATCAGACACAGGTGCAGGGTCTGTATCTCAGCAGCGATTTGGATCCTTATGAAATGCTCAGGGTTTTTATCAACAAATAAACCCCGTAACTGGCCATGCAATTACTGGCAAAATGAGGGAGCACACGCCAGGACTGGATCACTTTAGCAGCCTTGCGCTGCTGTCTCATTAATGAGGCTTTCCTAAGGTTAATAATACTATATATTTACTGAAGTACTTAGGAACGTTAAAGAAAGAACTGAAAATACTGCAACCATTCACCAAATGTTTGTACATCTATTATCTTTTAGAATGCATTGGGCCTGTTGGAAAGTGAAAAGGAACATAATCAAAAATTAACAATGCAATTACAAGAAGATAAAGAGCATAATTCCAAGTAAGTCTTAACTATATGAAATCACGGAGTTCAATTTTGGGTTGGTGGTTGCATCATTTTAACATTTTTGAGTAGTATCTGTGCATTGAAATATATAAATCCATTTTTGGTGGAGGAAGTAATTGAAATATGCCCTGTACGTTAGATGTTCTACATCTACCAATTCCGAAATGCCCACTATTTTAGTCGTATCCCAACCTTCCCAAGATGGGGTACAGTAGCGGACACCCTATTGTGGGTTAGTTCTTTTAAGATGCTGGACAGCAAAATGAGACAGTGTTTCAAAAGCAGCAGAGTGGGCCCACCTGCTTAACGCAGCGGTTCAGTTCTGGGGGTCTACGCGCAAAGACAAAATCACACAACGTCAGGAACCCCCAGAACCAACCCCCTACAAGGTAAAGCGCTGCTTATTGGGCTCTGGGGAGATCATGGCAGAGAGCTCTAAAAGCTCTTTCCGCAGCTTAGGTGATGGGAAATAAATAAATGGAGAGCAAGGAACTGGGTTTGCCCCACTCTCTATTTATTTCTTTACCCCTCACCTGCATACAGTTGCGATCGTTTAAGTAAAGTGAGCGTAAGTTGCAGGTCTGCTGTAATTTTTTTAATACCTTCAGATGAAGCAGGACAGAGCAGCATTAAAACCCTTCTAAATCGAGAAACAGTATCACATGTGCATATCAATCTGACCTGCTGGTCAGCTGAATGCGTTTCTCCGCTTTGCACAGCACATCTCCTGAATTTGAATGGGTTCCTTCCACAGAACTGAGACCTGTGATATAATTCTAATGGTAGGTTTTCTTTGGGGAATAGACAGCATTTAGGATGTGCAGAGAAGTCTGTTTGACTTCCAAAACTTTCAAAAAACAAAACACGGCTTCTGCAGCCAATCGGAAGCTACTGAAGCCCTGCCAGATGTTCGGTTTCCAAAAATAGTTTGCAAACCGGAACACACACTCCTGGGTTTGCAGCGTTCGGGAGCCAAAACATTCGAGAACTAAGCTGTTCAAAAACCAAGGTATGACTGTACTCTGGTTATAATTGGTGACATTGAACTGCCTGATATTTATTAGTGAATTATAAAAATGATAGAAGTGAAAGGTTTGATTGTTTAAAAAGCTAACTACTTGATCAAATTTCAATGTACGTATTATTAAACATTGTCTATAAGTGCTGTCTTGAGATATTAAAGGAGTTTACGTTTTGAAAAGCAATTAAAGCTACTGTATATAGTTAGAAGGAACAGGTTATCTTTATTTATTTTTAGTTCCCTAACAATGAACCTGAATCAAAATGGTTGAAAATTAAACCAACCAAAGTTTTGTTTGTTTGCACTTGCTATTAAACATTGCACCTATGCTAGAAGTATAAATATAATTGCTCTCATTATTAAATAGCATTTCTTTGTGGAAGATTTGCCACAAGAAGTGGTAAGTGATAGCTAACAGCAATTCCAGCAAGTTTGGGGAAGAGCTTTCTTCTGACAACAGTTGTAGTGCCATTTTCATACTGTAGAGCATAACTAAATTAAAATTAGCACAAGACAAACTTGCAAAGTTTACTTGGGTTAGTGCCTTTTCTTCTGTCCCTTATAAGTGATTGTATTTTTTCTCTGCTAGGGAACACCTGAAAATTAGTGAAATCGTGGAGCTAGAGAAGCAATATTCCGAAATGGTGTCAAGATGTGAGCAGCAGGTACAGCAGTGTGTGCTTACAAATGGAGCATTTTAAAATTAGATTTTCGGTAAATGTAGTTGACTGCTATATTTGCAAATCCAAGGAGAGTTAATTTGAAGCCATTTTTTTTTCCTCTAGGAAGTAAAGTTGCAGAATTTGGAGCAAAATCTAACTGCTTCTGAAGAAGTTATTGTTTCTCTGCAGAAAACAAATGCTGCTGATAAGGTATGGATACAACTTGTGCACAAAATATCCTAAGTGTGTGTGTGAGCAAGAGAAAGAGTTGATATTGTTGCTTGGGTAATAAACTATCTGTTCTTCAGGAAAGAAAAGGTTTCCCTGCTGTAGCAGGCATTCTGTATACAGTAAATCAAAGTTTTGCGATCCCAGTTAAAAAAACTTTCATTTACTTAATTTATTTAGATGTGTGGAACCTAATGAGAGAGAAAAGGGTTTTCTCACAAACTTGACACTTTTTAAAGGTAAAGTTTTAGTTAAAGTGTTGATACATTTGTGGGTGTATGAGAGAGAGTCATTTACAAACACCATCCTGATGCTCATAGAATCATAGAGTTGGAATAGACCACAAGGGCCATCAAGTCCAACCCCCTGCCAAGCAGGAAACACCATCAGAGCACTCCTGACATATGGTTGTCAATGCTGGCCCAAGGAGATTAAAATAATAATACTAATAATAATAATAATAATAATAATATATTACTTATACCCCGCCCATCTGGCTGGGTCTCCCTAGCCACTCTGGGCGGCTTTCAACAGAATATTAAAAACACAATAATACCTTGTGACATAGTTGCTGTATGGAATTATATGCCTTAACAAATCAAGGTCAATACAACGTTGTTCTTTTTGTTGTAGGAAGTTGTGTCAGACCTGATGAACCAGATCCAGGACATGAGGAGATCCATTAGCCGGAAGACAGAGTGCATAGAAGGGCTTACAAGTGAGCTGGAGGACATAAAAGTATGTTCCATTCTTTCCCATAGGGAACCCAGAGCGATGTGTCAAAGTGGAGTAACAGATCAACAGCAGGTTGTGCTGAGTGCTTCTGGTTTCTTTGGCTGGGCTGATGACTGAACTTCGTGTATCATCTCCATAGACCAGAAAAACAGCTTTGAAATGTACATGCTGGAGCAGTAACCTAGATGTTCCAAAAGTCAGAAAAAGAAGTCTAGTGACAGAGCATGGAGAAACTGTTAACAGTTAATAGGAGATTCTAGCTTATGGTCTTTAACTGAGTATATAACTAATATTGTTAGATGGTCATCATCTTGGGTGAATTATTTTGTGGTATTTTTTGAGTCACTCGGTTTTTTTATTCCCCCTTAGTCTTCTAATTATGAAGAATTGTGGGTTTTTTCCAGTTTTCAAATTTTATTTATACTTTTCGTTTATACCTTTCACTAATTTTACAATCATTTTAACATTTCAAAACTTTACTTCCTTCCCCCTTTCTGCGGTTCCTTAAATTTATTTTTAATATCCTTTGCATATCCAAATTAACTCAATTTGCTCATTTATTCACCTGCTTTATACTAATTATGAAGAATTGGAGGACTTTGTGATATGTATCAGAATGGATGTAGTCAGCAATTATCTTTACTGACCTGTAGAAATAAATATAGATCTAATATACGTTGTTTTCCTGACATATCTACATTCCTGCTTTCTTAGTCTAAATATAATTCTGCTATGGCTGCAAAAGAGGAAAGCAGAGCAGTTATAGAAGATCAGGAGAAGCAAATTGAGGAGTTGAGAGAGGCCTTGGAAAGAGCACAAGCTGCTGACAGAATTGAGGTACAGTCTTTGTTTATGGTGCTATTTCATATTGTATCCCTGTTTAAAGCTGCCTATAGCGTGTATGATATATTTGTACAATCGTTCAGCAAGAATAGGGAATGAACATACTATTTCCTGATGTGAGTGCTGTTGATCGAATCTCAACCGCCACCCTTTAAACCAGGGGTTATTAACCTGGTTCCTACCGCCCACTTGTGGGTGTTTCAGGATTCTAGGTGAGCAATCACAGGTTCTACGGCACAAGCTGAACCCAACTTCCATCAAGCACTGGTGGGCGGTAAGGAAATTTTACCAGGAAGAAAGATGCATTAGTGGGCGGTAGGTATATAAAAAAAGTTGACTACCCCTGCTTTAAACAATCAAAATTTGAATCCTTGCCGTGTGGAATAATGGTTTCATCAGTGGTGGTGGTTGGAAACCAGTGAAGAGACATTTAGGTTGCATTCCACTGGGACGCGGGTGGGGCTGTTAAACCACAGAGCCTAGCACTGCAGTGGATCCTTGGATTAATTGCCCCTCCCTTATGAACACAAATCACACACCCTTATCTCACCATGTGGACAGATAACCCCTTCCCTTTTCCCCCTGCCTAGCTTTCTGTGCAGATTCTGGGTAACTCTGTCGCCCTCCCACAAGGAGTAGCTTTTTAAAAATAAATGTATCTGTTTGTACATCCTTTTCTTCTTTCCTAAACTGACTCAGAAGTATCAATGCTCTCACCACCACATAAATCTAGTTTAGATTCATAACTCCATAGTAGGTTACGGATTTCATTTTGCACACTTTTTCTGGATTCTGCCTCAATTTAAAGTATATTTGAGTTGTGTGGTTAAAAATAGTCCCGGGATGGGGAAGAAGTAAGATAGTGATGTACTGCACTCATCTACTTTAGAATAAGATCACTTTTCCTAGATATGCAATACAATATACAGTCGTACCTTGGTTCCTGAACAGCTTAGTTGCCAAACAAATCGACTCCCAAACACTGCAAACCCGGAAGTAAGTGTTCCAGTTTGCGAGCGTTTTTCGAAACCCAAACATCCGACGCGGCTTCCGCTTGAGTGCAGGAAGCTCCTACAGCCAATCAGAAGTCGCGCCTTGTTTTTCAAACGGTTTCGGGAGTCAACCAGACTCCCAGAACGGATTATGTTCGAGAACCAAGGTACCACTTATCATCCTAGTTTTGTGTTTATAATTCTGGATAACGGACTGCAGTTATGGAAACTATTGCATTTATTTTTAAAGGGCAGCTGAGGAAAAATAGAGGGGCAGTGAATGCTATGTATATTACCATGTTAATTATACCATTGGCCATATAATCACTAGGCTATTTGTTGCTGCTGCTGTTCTTTGCTTTACGTAGAAAGAGATTATTTGTGAAGAACTACAACATACTACTGAGCAGCTGAGCAGTTTAACAGAAGCTTCTAAAAAACATGCGGCGCTTCTTCAGTCTGCACAAGAAGACCTAATTAGGAAAGAAGCATTGATCCAAGAACTTCAGGAACAGGTAAATATGAACATTACCACCTCTGAGAAATAGTGGAAGAGGAAAAATAAGCTTATTAACCTGGCCCGACCTATCCTAGCCCAGACTGGTTGCTTTTGTGTTGTTATAAGACTGTCTATGTTTAGACATAATGTTCAACTATGATTTAGGACTGGGGTCACTAATGTGGGCACAGTGGCACTTTTGAGGTTTTCTCCTAGTTCCTGCCAAGACTGAGCTCCCACTTCAGGATCTCATGGATTGCCATTATTTTTACAATTGTGTGGTGTCCTCAAAACAGCCACCAAATCACAGGCCAACTCTGTTGGTAGTTTTGAAATGGTGGCTCCCAGCCGAGGGTCTTTTTTCCCCTTCTTTTTTTTAAGCTCATGGCAAGCACCAGATTATATTTTCTGTGCCAGTCCACCAGGGGTGGGTGGGATTGCCAAAGTCATTTCCCCCAGAACCCTACCTATGGTGCTTCTTGCAACATGAGGTCCAGTAACTGCAGTAGCAACTTTGCAATGTGGGGTTTCTCCTCTCACACACCCCCTTTAATTTCTTCTGCCATTGCAACCATAGCCCATCATTGCAGCTTGCACCGGCTATGGCTAGAAACCCTTTTGGTATTGGTTCCTTACTAGTGTAAGTAGGCTATGAGTATACATCAGTTCAAATGTCACAACAGACTCTTAAGGATACAAAGGAAACCCATTAGCAGCTGGAGATGTGTTATCCAGATTGAAATGTTTTCAGGCTACCTCAGTATAAAAGTCTAACCTGTGTTCCCAGAGACCCTTGCAGATGTGTATCGTTTTATAATACATGGTAGACTTAGGAACTAGCAGGATGAAACATTTAGAAGTATTCCAGATTCTCAGGAGAAATATCTAGAACCATGTTTGCTGCCTACGTTAGTCAAGATAGGCAACGATTTGTGACCTTTGAATACCGGTATTTTGATCTGTTGCCGTTTTCTACAGCTGGATAAAAGGACAGGAGAATTGGAAAACAGGAGAAGTGAATATGAAGCTAAAGTGCGCCAAATAGACCAGTTTATGGACTCTGCAGTCACAACCCTTCCACAGGTATGATTGTTCTTAGGAAATCATTTTTTATTATTATTACCTGCAGTTACTTCCGTGAAATGTATACCTGCAAGTTTGTCAAAAGAGAGGTCCTGATCTATAACTAGGCAAAGAGCTGTGCTAGAGGTAAAAGGCTGTTCATTATTGCCCCTGTTGTGAATGCCCTTTTTCATTGCCAATCAAATAAAATGGTAATTTGAGCCTTTGGACTAAGTGGCTGCAAAAAATGGCGAGAATTTGTGTTTTTTTGACTGAGCAATGCCTGTATAAAGGTTTCATAAATTTGTCCCGTAAGCAACTTGTGGTATATTCTAAAAGAGTTTCATGTTTAACTGTTCAAATGGTTTTGTGTTTCCTTGACAGAGCCCTCGAACTCCTCCCAACAGTCTGGCAAGATTGTTTGAAACACATGAGCAAGAGATAGCAGATAGGACAGCCTCTGCAATTACCCTGGAATGTCTTGTATCCGAATTAAATGAAGAAAGAGATGCTAAAAATAGTGAAATTCTAAGACTAAAGGTAAATGCTCCAAGCACTTTGTACATTGAATCTGATCATTTGTGAACTATTGTAGTGTACATGCTTAAAGTGCTACCATTTTGAAAATATTAATAATCTTGATGGAGCGTATTTTTAAAAGGAGCGGAGAGCAAACATGCCATTGGGCCAACAGAGATTGGAGAGAGTTTAGTGACTTTTTTTTGTTGATGTGAAGCATGCAAATTTGGTACAGACTTCAAGAATACCTGGAACTGTTATGAAACGCTTATTTCAAATCAACGGAATCATATTGTCCTCTTGTTTAGGCTCAGTTATGTGAACTGGAAAACCTCCGTCTGGAAATGCAGGAATTAATGGAAAGCAACAGAAATCTGCAGAGCCAGCTTGAAGAAGTGAAGAGAGGAAGAAAGATCAGGTACAAATCAGTGCCAAATAATAGGATGGCTTGTGTACAATTCTTCAGTAACAACTAAAGGGAACATTTTTTCTTTTGTTTTGCAGAATTTGAACCAATAGTTTGAAATGCTACTAGACTTTGCACATTATTACAATTGACTTTTAAAACTTTATTGTTGTCCTTTCCAAGGATATTTGCCTTCCAACATACCTATTTTTCTCTTGTTCAGGGAACAAGTCTTTCTGCAGCACAAATGAGAGGACAGGCAACTATCAGTCTGGTAGAGCTAGCTCAGAAACCAGAACATGTTTCATAATACGCAGCAGCTCAGCATCCATAATTATAGGAATGTAGCCTAGGTATCCGAGTGCCCTTCTAAGATGCCCTGGAGGGAACAAAAGAGAAAAGATGAGAGCTTTTCCAGAATTTGAGCTTTTCTTCAGAAAATAAAACACAGGCAATTTGCAGGTTAACCATTGAAGACTGTCCCAGAAAAAGAAGGACTGGTGGGGACAATAATGAGGAAGAGAAGGAGGCGTCAGTGTTTGCAGGGCAGGGGGTGAGATTGAACTGGTGGAAGCTGGAAAGTTGACCCCTTTCCTTATGCCCTGTCAAAACCCCAGAAGTGTGTGGACCATAGTGTTAGGGCAAAAGGGAAAAGACTATTCTCAACCACAGCTAGAACCTACTGGGTGCAGGAGTACAGAACAAGCCACCTAGAGCTAGGAGTTCAGAGTCAGTCAAGTTGCAGTAAGACATTTTCAGGAATCACCTAGAGTTTAAGGCTTAAAGGTGTGAGTTTGAGCACCAAGCTCAAGAACCAGCCAGACTGAACTTTTCCCAGCAAGGCCACTCCTGAATCTCAGAGTCTTGTTTGAATCTCACACCAAGTTTCAAGGTCTAAGACCAGTTACAGCCTTTGAAAACAATACTAAAGAGTGGATTGGGTCCTGGAATTTCCTGGGGAACAATGGGGGTATGATTATCTTTGTCTTTTTCCCCTGAACTTACAGAGAAGGAGGTGTGGGTTCTAGGTGGGCTTACTTCTCGTAAGAAGAACACCCAGGGTTCTCCATATCCAGCTGAGAAGCAATACATGTTGCCTTAATTAAATAAGAAAATTGAGGAGACTAAGCGTAGGTGATTCCAAGAGGTCCCAAGCCAATGTATAGACACTCCTATACCCATCTTGATATAGAATGCTGGCAGGAAACTGCAAAATCATTTTGTCCTAGCTTGCTAGATTTTGCCAATTTACATATGCAGACTACCGTACTTTTCACTCCATTGGACACAGTTTTTCCCCTCCAAAAACTGAGGAGAAATGTGTGTGCGTCCTATGGAGCGAATGCAGGCTTGTGCCATAGCCGCGCGCAACCCCTCCGGCAGGGAGAGGCTGCACGGGGCTATGGCTTCTTTAGCCCTGCGCAGCCTCTCCCGGCAGGGAGAGATTGCGCGGGGCTAAAGAGGAAGCCAAAGCAGCCAGCGGGATCCATCCCGCTCGCTGCCTCGGCTTGTGCCATAGCCGCGCACAACCCCTCCGGCAGGGAGAAGTTGTGCGCAGCCTGTACGCTGCTCTTTGGGGCTGGGGGGGGGGGGAGATTTTTTTTATTGATTTCCCCGTCTAAAAACTAGGTGTGCCCTATGGTCCAGTGCGCCCTATGGTGCGAAAAATACGGTAAATGAAAACTTGAGCCAAGGTGGTCCTGTAGGGACCCAAAATGGAGATGAGCTGTTGCACACTGGCAACACTCCTCTGTTTCCACAGATGCTTTGGAGTTGCAGTTGAGACATGATGTCGTGGGATCACGACCTGGCCTTTTTACATTCCTTTGTCTTTGTGGTGTACCATGCCTAATCCATAAACTCAATAGGTAGCCTTGCCCTGCCACCATCTGCAATATGGGGAACAGTGATTCTGGAAGATCTTGTATTTCACATGCTCCAAATACTTTTTTAAAAACCCGATATTTAAATGGTAATTGATAATTACTTGTTATAATTGTATATACTGTTTTGCATATTTTAAGTTGCCGTTGATTGTAACGTTGCGATCTGCCCTGGGACCTTGCAAACGGTGGGCAAGAATTCTTATTTATAAAGAAATAAAACAAAATAAACTATTTCTCATCCTTGGGTTTCTTGACAGCGGCACAAAGTATCCAGATATTAAAGACCTAAGGGAAAGAGATAAGGAAATTGCGGAAGGAAAACTAGCAAAGGTACTTGCATCTTTTGGTTTAATTATGGCTGTCTTGTTTTGAATTTGGTTATTGCTCATGTCCTTGACTTGAACTATTGGTTTAACTTTGACTATTTTGATTATGTTATTTCAGTCAAGTTTATTATACAGAAAAAGTAAAAAAGAAATTAGTTAATTCGGATGGATTGCTCTGGATTCAACTCCCTGCTTGCTCCCCCACGACTTTGCGGGTGGGGAGGCGGGGGAGTTGTCCTAACCACAATCCCTGGTAGATGCATATATCACAGTCATACGTTAAAAAAGCAATGCTGTTACTATGGAAACTTATCTTTACAATGTACTTTCCATCAACATCAAGTCTTTTAACAGTTGCAGAGCTAACAGCAAGCACTGAAATGGAGATAAATTGCATTTTTCTTCAAGAATATAACAAGGTTCTATAGGTGACTATAGTTACAGATACAGGCAACCCCCCATTTACTGTTGGCTATTTGCAGTTTAGTAGCGCTGCAGAGAGCTTGCTGGGGAGACCATGCATTAAAAAGGGACTCAAAAATAACTTAAACAAGGTTTTAATTACAAAAACTCCTTATACACTAAATACATCAACAACAAACCAGACCCAACCACCAACCCATCCCCCAGGGTAATGGGAGAGCTAGGTGCTGCTCCTTATATACTGTACCAGGGGTCTGCAACCTGCAGCTCCAGAGCCACATGTGGCTCTTTTACACCTTGGCCGCGGCTCCGGGGCGGATACTAGCGAGGGGAGGAGGCGCATTGTGCGCCCCGACACTCCCCACTGTGGCGGGCGCTGTACTGGCTGTGACGTCGCATGGGGGCGGTGCGTGCGTTAGTCACGCACCGTCCCGACGTCACCTTCCCGCCTGCTGTCAGATCGGACATTAAGGTAAGAAACAATATATGCAGTGTTATATTTGTTTTAAATGTCGCAATGGTTTTGCGGCTCCCAGTTTTTTTTTTCCTTCGGAAACGGGTCCAAGTGGCTCTTTTTGTCTTAAAGGTTGCAGACCCCTGTACTATACCCAATTTCTGACACAGCTTGATTAACACAACTTTCACAGCTGTAAGACTGGGTCTCGTTATCTGCCTTGGCCCTTAAAGACATACACAACTTGTGAAGCAATAATGAACCTTCACATTTTTAAGTGACCATTCAACATTTACATGGGAGTTACGTTCCAAGACGCAGTGTTTTTAAGTGAAATCACATACAGTGGTACCTCAGGTTAAGTACTTAATTCGTTCCGGGGGTCTGTTCTTAACTTGAAACTGTTCTTAACCTGAAGCACCACTTTAGGTAATGGGGCCTCCTGCTGCCGTTGCCCCACCAGAGCACGATTTCTGTTCTCATCCTGAAGCAAAGTTCATAACCCAAGGTACTATTTTTGGGTTAGCAGAGTCTGTAACCTGAAGCGTATGTAACCTGAGGTACCACTGTACATTTGAAACACCATTGGAAAAAGCCTGCGAACGCCATCTAAACCTCTGGAAACCCTTGAAAAACCCTTTAAAAAACCAGCAGCACTTACCAGAAGCCAAACTCCTCCACAATTGCTCCCTCTAAACCTCCTTGCTCTCCACAGGCCTCAACGGTTGGTGCAAGGGCTCCTGGGATTGCATTTGCAAAGGATTGTGGGATTGCTAACCACTGTTCTCGTGCCCCTTTTGCCCTTTCTGGGCTCATTTAGGGCCATTTTAAAAGTCACGTGTATTTTGTGCATAGACTTGCATAAATTGGTCATTGCCAATTTCAGATTACTTGACTGTTGCTGAATAATGTATCATTGCTGCTATAACTTCTAAATACTGCAGTTAAGTACAGTTCTATTTTATTTCTTTTCTTTTTTTTCAGAGTAAAGCGCTGGAAGAAACACTGAAAGTTACATCAGAGTAAGCTGACAATTTCTGAATTGATTAAAAACATAAACCATTTGCACAGATATTAACCATTCACTTACACAGCTAAGCTAAGTATGCATAGCACAAAATACTCACTTTTAAGATTAAGAAAACAAGGGTTCCAAAGTGACTTGGCTTTCTGAAACATCAATTTCTTCCTTGCTTTTAGCCAGTAGATGGCATCAGAAAACTTGCATATTTGCCACAAGACTGTTTTCTAATTAAGTACTTTTTACAAATTTAAATCACACGAAGCTGGTTTGGAACCAAATATTATGTGCAAGTTAAACTGAGTACAGTAGAACCAGATTACAAGGAAAGAAATGTGTTTTTAATTGATTGATTTATAATGTTTATAGCCTGCATTATAGCCCTCAAAGCAGCTTTCAAAAGGTTCTCACAATAAATGATGGAGGCAAGTCTTTCTGGCAGTTAGCAGACGTTGTTACAATTCATACCTTAATGCTTATGTTGAAAATTCCTGGATTACAACACTATAAATGACAGCCTACATGGCAAAAACAGTAATCGGTCAGTTGCAATTATTAGGGTTTTATGCATAAGTAGTCTCAAATCAGTTTCATAACTGATGTGAGAAACTGACAAAAAATCCAGGAGCTGTTAGCTACTTTCAGAAATTACTGTATTTTTTGCACCATAACACTCACTTTTTTCCTCCTAGAAAGTAAGGGGAAATGTCTGTGCATGTTATGGAGCGAATGCCTGCGGGTGGCGGGGGGGATCTGCTGCAGTCGTGAGCAGAGGATCCATGGTTCCCCTTCCTTCCCTCCTCCATGGTTACAAAGCATGGATCCACATGGATCCTCAGGATTTTTGCATTGGGCTACTCCAAACTCACTGTCAGATCACATGTCTGTGGCCACAGCATGAACCACAAAAATCATATATCCACTATTTTGTTTAGAATATTTTTTTTCTGGTTTTCCTCCTCTAAAAACTACATGCGTGTTATGGTCTGGTGCGTGTTATAGAGCGAAAAATACGGTATTTCTGTGAAACAGGAATTCATGGCATCAGTTTTGAGATTGAGAGGCAGGTAGAATAACACTGTTGTTAGGAAAAGTAGAAGTGAAAATAATATAACTGTCAAGAAAGAAGTAGTGCAATAGTAGATTATAGCGACAGGGAATTATCATGCCTGCATTATTTTCTGTTCGTGCAGTCTTCTCTATTTGAGGGCCCGATTCTGATTTCAAACATTTTTCTAGGAAATGGAACATGCTGTTCTACCCCTTTCCTCTTTCTGGCATTGTCAACATCAGCAGCAAAGGAAGCTTCTAATTAAAACTTAAATCAATGTGTGTTGTAATGGTTTTTAATCAATGTTGAATGAAAGCCATACAGAGGTACAAATAATGTGCTTCTGCAGATCACCTGCCTATTGACCTAAGCACCTTGGTGTTCTCCAAAGTTCAAATATTGTTATACTTGCATTAGTTTATAAAACCTATGTGGCTTCTTCTCCCATTAGAATATGGGGGACATGCAATCCAATTCTACACATGTTTATTCAGAAATAAGTCTCCCTGAGCTCAGTGGGACTTGCCTGAAACTAGGATAGAACAGGATTGTAATCTCAGTGAAAGTTGCTACTAAGTATGCAACTAAGCATCATTGTCCGATTTAGGACACAGCGCAAAACCCTATCGAAGGTACTGACTTTTCTAATGCGCCTGGGGTGACCAGTGAAATAACGACACTGGGTTTTTTGCTGTCCTCATTTTAAGAAGACAATCACTCACAGGGATCAGCGGTGTGTAAAAAAAAACCCCACATCATAGCTTTGGCTGGATTGTGTCCTTATTCCGCGATTGGTAATGATAATTCTGCTACACCTTTTGTCATACGAATTGAGATTTTATCTTGCATAGCTTGCCAATCTTTTTCGTTTTCTTAGAACACCTTCGCATAGCACTGCTCTTGCTTCTTTGAGCAGGAAGAAAAAATGCTGAAACTATAACGCCAGTTTGGCCTAAATAAATCATAAGCTGTATTCCCTCTTGTTTTTTTTTATTATTTATAATTTGTTTTCCAAAAATGTTCTGTACAACTTATGACAGCAATAAAATGACTGTAAAAAAGCAGTGCATTATTTATACATACATTAAGGGTGCTAACCCAGCATTAATCTTGGAGAAGACCCAGTGAAATTGAGTATCGTCCAAAGCTCTCACAAGAGGGTTTTGGGTTGTTTTTTTTAAGCAACATCTTAAACCTGGGGTGGGAAACCTTTTTTTTTTTTCTATCAGGGCCCCGTGACTCTCTCACACACACACAAAAATCAGTTAGGGTCCACACACAAACAGCACCTGCAGAAAGCTTTGAAAGTGCTGACAGCTTTTCAGCGGCATTCCTCCCCACCTGAAGTGAGCTTTGAAGGTACAGATCAGGTCAGCTGACGTAACACCTGATCCACACTTTTCAAGGGTATCTGAGGCTGGGTAAAATGAAGCAATGGTCCAATTTGACCCCCTTGGCCATTGATTCTCCAGCCCTGTCGGAAATGTTCCAGTGATCACACAGATCTTTTCCCTAAAGAGCAGAGAAGTGATTCAGAATAACTGAGAATCTGCATGTTTCCGTGATATTACTTTGAAAGAGGAGAAAATCCACCCTTTTACTTTTATCTATTGTGTGAACAAAAGTGTGGTAAAACTCATCCTTGGTCTGTAAAGCTACAGTGTGATTATGAGGGCAGATGAAGGGATTAGAATCATAGACTTGTAGAGTGGGAAGGGAACCTGATGATCATCTAGTCCAACCCCCCGCAGTGCAGGAAAATGCATGGATTGAACCTGCAACCTTGGCGTTACCACATTCTAAGCAACTGAGCTAATAGTGTGTCAGTTCACCAAATTATTCTCAAATAAAAGAGTTGTGCTTTCCTCCCCGCACTCCCATGACCCAAACGAGGGTGAGAGTCCATGATATGAAGTATCATCTAAGGTTTACTTCCAAGTAGCAAATACTGGAAGATCAGGCAATTAAGTTCTAGCTAGTGATAAATTTCCACTATATTTTAAAAGTGTAAAATTCCGCATTTGGAAAAAGAAAAGTTGGAAACTCCTGCTGCAGAATAAATAGTGGTGAATAAACTTCTTAGAGGGGCAGTCAGATTCACAATGTCTCTGTGTACAATCACTTTTGACAGGTTAGAAGAAGCCAGGAGGGAGCTTAGAAGCAAGGAGGCTGCCTTTCAGGGAATGCTTCAAGAGGTGGAACGAACAAGAGCTTTGGAGTTTAAGGCCTTCACCGAGAAAGAAGAAATGAGATCAAAACTGGAGGAAACCTACGAAGAGAGGGCAAAAATTGAAAAGGTTTGTTTGCTGTGAGTTGGGTTGTGAGTTTGAACAAAAATAGAGCAAGTCCGTACCACGTGTGAGAGATTTTCAAGTAGGCTTAAATGCGGGGGTTGTCTAAGTCCGTGACCCCCAGAAGCGTGGTCAAATGGTCAGGGGATGATGAGATTTGCAGTCCAGCAAAATCTGGAGAAGGACCACAAGATAGCCACCCTTGCTTTAAAGAAAGCATTAAAGATATAGTTCATGAGTAGGCAAACTAAGGCCTGGGGGCCAGATCCGGCCCAATCGCCTTCTAAATCCAGCCCACGGACGGTCCGGGAATCAGTATGTTTTTACATGAGTAGAATGTGTGCTTTTATTTAAAATGCATCTCTGGGTTATTTGTGGGGCATAGGAATTCGTTCATTTTCCCCCCTCCAAAATATAGTCCAGCCCCCCACAAGGTCTGAGGGACAGTGGACCAGCCCCCTGCTGAAAAAGTTTGCTGACCCCTGGGTTGAATTCTTTGCCATTTAAGCTACATTCACTCTTGCTCTGGTGCTTCTCTTGAAATACAGGAGATGTCCTCGCTAAGGAAGCAGATTGAGTATCTTGCAGAAGAGAACGGGAAGTTGGTTGGTCACCAGAATTTAAATCAGAAGATCCAGTACCTTGTGAAGTTGAAGAAAGATAATGCTAAACTGATGGAGGTAAAATGAGATGAGAATCAATTTAGCTTCTGATGGGAGCTGGAACAAATACTTGATGAAGAAAATACTTTTGTACACTTAATAGATCTAATTTTCGGCCTTTCCATTCAACATTCTCTGGGGTTCCTACTTTGAGATAGGAGCTCTTCTTTCTAGTTTCTTGAGCCCAGACTCAAGTAGCTTGGTTCACAGATCCGAGTTTCTAAATATGTAAGAATGCCTGGGTGTCTGCATTTAACACTTGCAATTCTCGTTGAGTGTTGTTCTCTCTTTTGCAGACAGTTCAAGTGCTTCGTGTTGAAAACGCTTTTTTGAAAAGAAAGAGTGAATTTGATCAAGATCCATCCTGAAACAGCACCAAGAGTTTTAATTCTATTCACAAAGACATGCGACTGGGCTTCATCCTTCCTAGCGAAACGTCTCAATCAGGGTTGCTGCGAATTATGTTACAAATTCTGAGTAAAGCCTTCTTGCTGCAGGTAGATCTTCTGCCTCAGTGAAATTCTCCTTTCTTACCAAGCCATGGTGCTAATTCAGTCTCGTGTTGTAGGTGCTGGGATTATCACCATGACTCCTTATTGATGTACAGTATTCGTATGAATTTTTAAGTTCCTTACCTTTCCTAGATGAATCCCTTTAGCACTTCTTTCAGAATGTGTATATACTGAATGTGAGGAAAATTAGATGAATTGTTTAATTGTTAATTTTTCTACTAGTAGGTTTTTCTTTCTTCAGTAAAACAAAACTAAGTTTATATTTGATACTATAGGGAGTGTGAACTGCTTTTTTATTTGTAATTAATGGTCATTTTTAGCCAAACACCCTATAATATAAAAACATTCCTGTAAACGGTCCAAGACCAATATTAAACATAATTGCCAGCATTGCCATCTAACTAGCAGTGGTTGTGTCAACTGTACCCAGCTCATCCTGGAAGATCACAACAAACATTGTTAATCAGACGGAATAAAATTCATGGATGCCTATTACAGAAGACTGGGAACGTTAGAATTTAAACCTGGTGCACGGGCACCAGAGGCAATAAACGAAAATATGTTGTGAAATTAAGTTGGCTCTGCAGAAATTGATCTGGATAATAACTTGTTTCTTTTTCTTTTCTTTTTGTATTTAATTTTTACTAGTTTTCCAAATTTTAACAAATAAATCCAAATTAATTAAACATTTTTAAAAATGATTAGGTTTTCCGCTCCTGTTGCATACATGTTATAAGAAAAAAAACCTCTTTTTCCCTTATGGGGTACCCAAGAGCCCATATAGAGTCCTCTATTTAAGTTCTCTATCGGTAGGAGAAAATAACAGAGGCCAACCAGAGAATATTGAGAAGCAAGGCAGCTAGTAAGCCTGATCTTTATTAAAGCTGTTGCAACAGGGTATTCCCCACACAAGGGGGGGGGGGAGACCTCGAGCACAGGCGCACAAGCCCTTATATAGACATTTTAAATTGCCCACCCCCAGAAACATATATCACAGAAGGGGTGTAGCCCAAGGCCACCCCCCAGATACATCATACCTACATCACAGAAAAGGCAGTCTACAACAGAAATCTGAGCGCATTGTTTATCTCCTGTCTGACAAGTTACCTGATTGCATTATCTGGATTTTGACCACTCTTTTGTTAAAGGTAAAGAGACCCCTGACCATTAGGTCCAGTCGCGGACAACTCTGGGGTTGCAGCGCTCATCTCGCTTTACAGGCCGAGGGAGCCAGCGTACAGCTTCCGGGTCATGTGGCCAGCATGACTAAGCCGCTTCTGGCGAACCAGAGCAGCGCACGGAAACACCATTTACCTTCCCGCAGGAGCTGGGACTGAGCAATGGGAGCTCACACCGTCACGGGGATTCGAACCGCCAACCTTCTGGTTGGCCAACCCTAGGCTCTGGTTTAACCCACAGTGCCACCTGCGTCCCCTTTTGTTATTGTAACTACTTAATTCCTGAATCTAGGTCACAGGCTCACACCCTGTTCATATCTTGAATGTGCCCTTAAGACAGGCTTTGTGAGGAAGGAGACAACGGGGAGGTTTCCCACTTTGACCTTAAAATTCTTATAACATACATATGTCCAAATCTTCCTGATGTAGCTCCATTGGTCTTTTTCAATCCTCTTCTCATCCCTCTGTTCTTTTTAATCCATTTGCCTAGCTATCCACTCTTATAACTTGTTTCTAAAATACAGTGGTACCTCTGGTTACGTACTTAATTTGTTACGGAGGTCCGTTCTTAACCTGAAACTGTTCTTAACCTGAAACACCACTTTAGCTAATGGGGCCTCCCGCTGCCACCACACGATTTCTGTTCTCATCCTGAAGCAAAGTTCTTAACCCAAGGTACTATTTCTGGGTTAACGGAGTCTGTAACTTGAAGCGTATGTAACCCGAGGTACCACTGTAATGGATTTCCCCCCATTTCCAGTATAATGGGTTGTTCGCTTCTGCTGGATGAGCAACCTTTCAGGAGCTAGGCCTCCAAGACTGCTTCTGTTCTCCCTTTGTTGAATGCAGCAGGTACCGTTTTCAGATCCCACGAATCGCAGGTTTTCTTCTATTTTCTTCACTTTCCCCCTCCTTTTCAACTTCCTTACTACTTGTTGGTAGCTAGTACTGTTCCTGCTTAGGGGGTGGAGTTTTTTTACCTGGGCTCCTTTTCCATTCTTTTTTGTGCGTGTGTTCTCTGCCCTCCCCCTTGTTTTTCCTCAGTATATATATATATCTTCCACCTTCTCCCTCCCTCTGCGCATGTTGGGCATTTTTTAAAGGGATTTTTTCCCCTTAAAAATAAAGTGGTACAGAAATATAATAAAACTAAATACACTCTGTCTACGATCGCAGCCACTTTTTAAAAGAGGGCGGAGCAGGGCTGTCACGTGAGCTGACCCTACCCGGAAGAGCGTGTTTGGGAGCCACGTGGTGGGCGTCCCCTTGCGCACGTGTGTTTGGCGCGTCGGAGTCGCCATGCCTGCCGGCTGGGGGGCTGCCTTCGCCGCCGGGGCCGGTCTGTTGGGGGCGCTGGCCGCCTGCTCCGCAAAGCTGGCCCTGGGGGCGGATTACCTGCGGGGAGCCTGCGCCGCGGTCGTCGGAGGCGAGGAGGCGGCCTCTGGTGCCTGCTCCTGGGTAAGAAGCGGGATCTGCTCCCTCCCGAGGGCAGGATCGGGCGCAGCAGCGCTACGTTTGGGCAGCTGGGGAGGGATTTGTGGCCCGTTTGTCCCGGAAGAGACGAAAAAAATTAATGGATGGATGTAGCGACGCGCGCAAAAGCAGCTGGGAAGCCTCTGCAAGCGACCTTCCGAAAGCGCATCAGTTTTCATCCGTGCGTCTCATCCTACGCTGTGCTTTTAGTGTCTCTGGGCTTGATCCGTATCCTGGATCAAGGAGATATATACACACACACGCGCCCACGCACACACACGGTTTTACATAGGGGAAAGCAGAGATTTAAAAGAAACACGGCAAGCGCCCCGATGGTCCCGGTTTGTGCAAAGTTTTGGAGACGTCTTTATAAACACGTTGCTTTGCGCGCGCCAGAATTGCCAGTCTTGTCTGGGGTTCGGGGTGTCTTCGGAATTAAATTTGCGGCCGGGAGGCAATTTTCTAAGGCAGAGAGGAGTCATGGCTTTTCAGTGAAACAAAAGCATCACATTGGGACTTAAAGAGACTGAGCTGTGCGTTGGGAAATCTCATGTGCAAATCTCACCTTTGCCATGAGGTGGCTCTCGAGTTCTCGCTCTCCAGCTGCAATATGGTGAAGAATCGTTATACTGAGGTTCTTGTAGGATTGCAATTTGATCAGAGATGGGGAACCCTGCTGTAAAGTCAGCCCCGAATTTAGGGAGCTGTGGGTGCATAGGGCACCTTTCTGACAGGGCTCAGAATAATAATAATAATAATAATATCAAGAAAACCCGTTAAAAAAGGAACTGTTACCAAAAGGAACTATTGTGAAAATAAGAAATATCTAGGGGGAGTGGCAAAGGTCTTTGCTCAGGGCACCATATTACCAAGTCTGCCACTGGACAAGTCAACTCCAGCTTTCAGAAATAAGAACCGTAGTGTCTTCTGCTTTGTTGTTGTTTAGTCGTTTAGTCGTGTCCGACTCTTCGTGACCCCATGGACCAGAACACGTCAGGCACTCCTGTCTTCCACTGCCTCCCGTAGTTTGGTCAAACTCATGCTGGCAGCTTCGAGAACACTGTCCAACCATCTCGTCCTCTGTCGTCCCCTTCTCCTTGTGCCCTCCATCTTTCCAAACATCAGGGTCTTTTCCAGGGAGTCTTCTCTTCTCATGAGGTGGCCAAAGTATTGGAGCCTCAGCTTCACGATCTGTCCTTCTAGTGAGCACTCAGGGCTGATTTCCTTCAGAATGGATGGGTTTGATCTTCTTGCAGTCCATGGGACTCTCAAGAGTCTCCTCCAGTACCATAATTCAAAAGCATCAACTATTCGGCGATCAGCCTTCTTTATGGTCCAGCTCTCACTTCCATACATCCCTACTGGGAAAACAATAGCTTTTACTATACGAACCTTCTGCTAAGTCTTCTGCTAAGGGCGTCTAAACACAGAGTGCACAAGTGCTTCAGCTTGTGGGAAATGGTATCCCTTTTTTTGCAGATGCCACAAGAAACCTGAGGATTGTGAGACCCCCATTCTGTGGCTTCTCCCCAGCCAGCCAGCCAGCCAGCTTCCTGATGGTTGTGGTGCTGGAATGAGTTACAGTTTGGGCTGCATTGCCTTGAGCTTTTCACAGGACTCCAGCTCCCACAGTGCAGCTTACCTGCAAAGGTAAATTTCAGGATCAAAGTAAAGTTGGCTGGATCTCCTGATCTTTTCTTTAAAAAATAGATGAAATGCAGCCACCGTGGGCCACCAACTTCTTCATTCTTTCCTTCCGGCACAGAATTGCCCTCCTCTTCAGTATGTTTGCCCTGTAGTTGGAGGACAAGGAAGCATCACCCTGCCTTCAGCTTCTCAGAGGGTATAAATGCTGTTCTTAAAAAAATCATAACTAAAATTATGCGGCAAACAGTAAGTGTGGAGGAGGGCAAATCAGAAAATCAATACAGTGGTTCCTCGGGTTACAGACGCTTCTGGTTATGCGATTTCGGGTTGCGCACCACGCCAAACCCGGAAGTACCGGAACGGGTTACTTCTGGGTTTCAGCGCATGCGCAGAAGCACTAAATCACGCTTTGTGCATGCGCAGAAGCACCAAATTATGACCCACGCATGCGCAGACGCAGCGGGTTGCGAACGTGCCTCCCGCACGGATCACGTTCGCAACCCGAGGTTCCACTGTACGTGGGAGAGGGTGAAATACCCCAGGACTACAATTTTGTAGCCTGCATTTCCTTAGAAATGCGCCCATTGGGAGACCCAGCCACAGATCTCCTGTGTAACATGTAGTTTGTACTTAGATCCTCCTGGAAGATGCTTTTTTCCTCCTTTCTTGGCACACAGTGGGAAATTGATTGCTTCCCCATTCATCTTTAAGGTACAACACAAAAGCCTGCCTGGGTGGCCACCAGGTAACTGAAGGCACCCAAAGGTGTGGCAGAGGCCAGTTAATCCCCACAGTGAAGCAACGCCTTTCTCTTCTCTGTTTATTCAAAGGACCGTTTCTTTGTGCCCATTCCGTGCTTGATTCTCCCACCCGCACCCATTTCTTTTCCTTCTGGTATTCTGTCAGGTCCACCTTATGTAAGCCTCCTGCTGTGTAGGGCAGACCCACAAAGGCAGGATTTGCATTAACAACAGAAACCACATGTCCCTGTACATATTCACAGAGATTTTCAGGGTCATTTGCCCGTGGAGTTTCATCCTTGACAGACACACTTGGGACCCAAAATGCAGTGGGAAATGCCTGAAGCAGGGCTTGGGTCACGCTGCAAGTCCACAATAATCATAATCATCATAATTTATTGACTTTTAGAAGACATCTGAAGGCAGCCCTGTTTAGGGAAGTTTTTAATGTTTGAAGTTTTATTCTGTTTAATATTTTGTTGGGAGCCACCCAGAGTGGCTGGGGAAACCCAGCCAGATGGGTGGGCTATAAATAAATTATTATTATATTTTTATTATTTTTACTATTTTTATTATTTTTATATTTTTTTATTATTTTTATTATTTTATTATTATTATTATATCCCAGCCATCTGACTGGGTTTTCCCAGCCACTCTGGGTGGCTCGCAACAGAATAATAATAATAATAATAAAATGATAAAGCATCCAACGTTAAAAACTTCCCTAAGCAGGGCCACCTTCGCATTACCATTCAAGAAGGGGAAATGAGGCTATCTTTTAGACCATCCATGAAGGTGGACATACAATCGTATTCCCCTGTGTGTTTGCATTTATATTACGGTGGCCAGAGTAGGGATCCTGCACCTTAAAATAGCAGTGTGGAAGAGGGAATTGCATGACAAGCTACCACTCTTCCTCACACCCATTAAAGGTGAAGAGCCCTGCCCTCCTTTGCCTCAGGCCAGCCTAAGATGCTGTGTAGTCATGAACTGGCAGGATGCTGACAGTGAGCACACCAGAGAGAGGGGGGCAGTGGTCTGTGGGGAACTGTACCAGCCGGGAGACAAGAGTCAGAGGCAGGAGAAGCTTCAGAGCTGGAGGGAGAGGCAGGCCGGACAAAGGGAAGTGTTTCCCCACCCTCTCCTGCACCACTGTTTCCTAGAACCAGAAGGGGGCTGAAAAGGGATGAGCAGAGGACGTTGCCACACAGGCACAGTCTCTGGCTGCCTGTATGCAGCCCAACAGGGGAAGGTACATAAACTGGTGGAGGGAGAGTAGTCCCCTGTTGCTGCACTTGGTCCACAGAGTGCAGATCTGGGAACAGCTGCCTAGTCTCTAGATTGGTGTGTGTAGGAATCCAGAGCTGTAGAAGCAACTGTGCTATCTTTGTCAATAAAGAGTTGACAAAGAGTTGCATTGCCTGGAAAGTGCCCTTGACATGTGTCCAGTGCTTCCTCGGGCCTGCGTGAGGGTGTAAGCTGCTTTGCCTCTACGTGTGTGGTTCTGTTTAAATCAATTTGCTCTGTGTGCGTATGGCGTGCGTACGGATATCTCTGTCCCCCACAACAGGGCAATAAGCATGCAAATCTCACCTGAAGTTGCAAAAGCTATTTGCTAATAGGAAAGATTATTTGCCAAGCGCAATCGGACTTCGCTCAGAGTAAATACTTCAGAACTTGCCAATCAGAGTTTGTTTGAAGAAGGGTTCCTTGGAATGCTAAATTTAGTTGAGAAACGCTTAGTCAGTTTTTTTTTTCATTTGGCTAAGCTGTTTCCTGAATTGTAGAAGAAAGATCCTGCTCAAGAATGCTTGAATTGGGTGATGTCTCCTCACATTTAAAACTCTTGACAGGCTCATCCATAATCTTTTAGTATTCCGCTCTGAGTTGTTTATATCACCGGCTTCTGAACCAGAGTGAATCTAGATCAGAACTTGGCTTTAGCTCACTCTGAGGAAATGTGGGGCACATAGGTAATTATATATAATACACCAACAAAGATCTAAACTGGGGCCAGAGTGGTCTTGTTTCTACTGACCCATTTTGCTTTCTTTATACTTATGCGTAAAAAGCAGCTGATTCTCCCCCCTGCCCAAGCAAGCCTGTTTCCGTAGCTGTTGCAGAAGAAGTGAAGCCATTTCCTCCACAGGACAGAAGCCGATGGAGCTAGCAAGGCAAAGCGCTTTGTCCCTGCTTGGCCAGCTCAGTCACTTACCTGGAGGGAATTCCTGGTCGCCAGCGGTGACCAAATGAGTGGTTAAAAACAAGGCTCCGCCAGATGCATCATAACCATCTGAATAAAGTTGACCAGTGTCTGTTTATACTTCTGAAATTTATGCCATCATGCACAGCTGTGAGTTTGTTCTTCCAGAAGGATAGACTCATAGCTGTCAACCGTCCCTTATTTGGTGGGAAACTCCCTTATCCCAGCACCGTGTCCTGCTGCTGTCCCTTATTGATGATGTCTCTTAAATTTCCTGGGTTTCATGCTCACCTGGCTCGGGAGGGAAGCAGCAGCTCGGGGTCCTCCGCCACGCGAGAGAGCGCGCGCACGAGCTGCCGCGTCTCCGTCTCTCCCTTTTCCACCTCAGGGGTGTGTTGTGAGGAGACAGGTGGTGGTGGAGGGCGGGCAGGCAGCCCCTCTCTTGCGAGACTTCCGGCGCGCTGCCAAAGGAAGCCGGAGGCAGCAGTGGTGGCAGCGGCTGAGGAGGCGGCCTGAGGGAGGAGGAAGAGGAGGGGATGGGGAGGGACGCAGAAGTGCGGCGCTTCAGCGGCGCCGCAACCGCCTCATGCCGGGCTCGCGGGCGGCGTGGGCGAGAGTGTCTCTCCCTCCCCCCGCTCGGGCAAACTCCTTGCGCCAGGACGACGGCAGCCCCGACGTGCTGCTTAGCATCCCCTCCAACCAGTGCAGCATCTTAATGTAGTGATTTCCCCCTCTGCATCCCTTTCATAACTCTATTTTTATAAATCATTTGTCCACCCATAGTTCAAATTTTTACTACAAGTTTTCTGTCAATCCTACAAATGTATGTAACTCTTTACAATAGCTTTTCAACTAAATTATAAACTTTCCCCCTTCTTTATTAAAGAGGTCCTCTTCCTGGTTTCTAATTCTGCCTGTAAGCTTTGCCATCTCGACGTCGTTCATCAGTTTTGTCTGCCCCTCTTCTTTGGTGGGAGTTGTAGACCCTTAGGATCATGTAGTCCAACCCCTTGCAGAACACAGTCAGTGGCAGCCAAAGCAGCCTGGCTTCATCAGTGCCGGATTTCTGCATAAACTAAGCCAAAATCCCTTATTTTGTGTGCTGGTCCCTTATTTTCGAGGCTGCTGGTCCCTTATTTTCAAATCTGTAAGTTGACAGCTATGGATAGACTATAGAAGTTGACTTTGTAGCTCTGGCTTCTAGAGACCATAAGGACGTGCCTTCTTTTCCTCCAAACTCCAACCATCGCCTCTGTGATCCTAAATTGTATGGAGGAAGACATACTACTACTATTTTGTTGGCCTCTTCTGCAGTTCTCCTTCATTCATTCATTTCTCTTGTTCTTTGTATAAAGACTTGAGGGATGAGATTATCACCCCTCTTTTATTGTCCATTCTGGGTCGCCCAACCACCGCCACAGTGTCTTTTCTCTTGGCAGCTCAAGAGGAGCAGGTAACAGCAAAGTTTGCAAAGTTTTTAGCTGCGGCAATCGGAATAAGATCCACTATTTGACTATGGATTCAAAACCCTAAAATGTATTTTATATAATTGACTTTTTAATTCTATTCTTTGTATATCGTATTGTTGTTTTATTGCTATAGCCGATGGCTGACGCAAATAAAGATTCATTCATTCATTCCTCCCCTGAAGAACTTCATACAAACCGAAGAATTGACCTGTGCCACAAACTAGATTTAATGCATACTCGTATCAGAGTGCGCTGTAAAGTGATACCTATAGTCTTTTATATACTAAACTTTTATGCTCTTCCACATCCGTTTAATGCTCCTAACCCTTCTTTTAGATTCTTATAGTGTTTTTTATATACCTTCTGTTTTAATACTTTTTAGCTTTCCAAAATGAATGTACCCCACCCTACTCATGCTGGTCTATGACCGTAATAAAGATTTGATTGATTGAAAACGAAGAATGGAAATTGCTCTGTCGCCATTGGCACAGCAGATTCAGAACATGCAGAGCTCCCTGTTTTAACAATGCAATTCTCTCAGATCTCGCATCTCATGAAATGGGTGGGAAATGCAGTGCGGTTAAAATGTCCCTCCCCAATTGTTCCACAGTTGCCCATGATGCTTCGCATTGGATGCGGTGGCCTCGTGCTTGCATGCAACGCAGTAATGTGGACTTTCTTTGCCAAAGCCTTAAGGTACTCCTCCTCCTCGGCTACAGCAACTTTGACCTCAACAGCGTCTAACTTCATCTCTTCCGTAAGTACAAGTTACGCCTTAGGGACAGCCAGTGTGATCGGTCAAAGCATGTCCTGACTGCGTTTTTTAAAAAATTATTATTGTTTTTATTAAAGATTTTCTTGAATTACAAAGTACGTACATTTGCGTGATACTTTTGGAAGACCAGTTTTTGAGTGAAATGATGAATTGGCAGGAAATTCCTATACAGTGGTACCTCAGGTTACATACGCTTCAGGTTACATACGCTTCAGGTTACAGACTCTGCTAACCCAGAAATAGTACCTTGGGTTAAGAACTTTGCTTCAGGATGAGAACAGAAATTGTGCTCCGGCGGCACTGCAGCAGCAGGAGGCCCCATTAGCTAAAGTGGTTCTTCAGGTTAAGAACAGACCTCCAGAACGAATTAAGTACTTAACCCGAGGTACCACTGTACACCTTTTCTGTTCTTGGGTACTGTACTCCCTTCTCTACTTTTGTAACATAAATCAGGCTAGGAGAAAGAGCAGCGCCATGAAATTTAAGAATTGAACTCCAATGCTGCTAATAATATAATACGTTAAACCAGCACAAAATAGTGAGGCGTTGCTGCTGGAGGAGAAAATGGTATTTTTAGTGGTGTTCCTTACTTTTAAAAAATGTCTCTGAGCACGTACATGAATCCAGGTTGGCAACTTCCCTCAGTGCCATCTTTCAGAGTTGCTTTTAACCAAACCTCTGATAATTCAGTCCTAATTTAATAGTGTCTTCTTGTAAAGTCCTTGGTTCAAGAACTCGCTTTCTGGAACCCCTTTAATAGGTGCTTGCGAGGCGTGTGAGGTGAGCAAGGCACTCTAGCAGAGGGAATCTTTAAAAAGAAGCTGTTTGTTCCTAAGAAGGAAAATGAAATGTCCAAATGTAAATGCAACGTAAAATTTTGGGATTAAAGCACCTATTTTTCTCTGATTTCAACGTACAGTGATACCTTGGTTCTCAAACACCTTGCTTCCAAACAACTTGGAACCCGGACACTGCAAACCTGAAGTAAGTGTTCCGGTTTGCGAACATTTTTCGGAAGCCTAACATGTTACACTTCCGATTTGAGTGCCACGCTTCTGTTATGAGTGTTACTCTGAGGTCTGTCTGTTTTGGGCATTTATTTTGCTTTTTTTTCTGGTTCTTTTTGTGGCTGTGTTCAGCTACAGATTGATTGATTGATTGTGTGACCTGCAGTACATTGTTTATTGCTTTCGTTTTATGGATCAATAGTCTCGTAGTAAAATTCATGTTAAATTGCTGTTTTAAGGGTTATTTTTAAAAGTACGGAACGGATTGATCCATTTTGCATTACTTTCTATGGGAAAGCACGCCTTGGTTTTGGAACGGACTTCCGGAACGGATTAAGTTTGAGAACCAAGGTACCACTGTATTCAGCTGCCCAGACCCCAGGGGTGGGGAACATCCAGCCAGTGGGCCAAGTTTGTTGCTATTATTACTATGTCTATCTTCTGCTCTTCCTTCCGAAGGAGTACAGGGTGGCAGTTGCTTGAGCAGAAGTCTCCTTCTTGTCTTTTCAGGCTTTTCTTGGCAAGTTGCTCTTTGGAGAGACTCATGCCCTGTTGTGGTGGATAGGAATATCCTTAACCCTTCTCGGGCTTTTGCTGCTCCACACGACACCACCCTTAGCAGAAGAAAAGAAGGAAAAGAAGAGATGAAAACTCACCTGTGGGTTAAAACAACCACCACCCGGGCCTTCCGGCTTGCTTTACCTCGCCTGTTACCTCTCACTTTTCTTCATTGGGATGGATTTTGAGCCGATATCGTCGTCGTCCTGCAAAGACTACCGCATGGGTAGGCAAACTAAGGCCCGGGGGCCGGATGCGGCCCAATCGCCTTTTAAATCCGGCCCGCGGATGGTCCAGGAATCAGCATGTTTTTACATGGGTAGAATGTGCCCTTTTATTTAAAATGCATCTCTGGGTTATTTGCGGGGCATAGGAATTTGTTCATATTTTTTTCCCCAAAATATAGTCCGACCCCTCACAAGGTCTGAAGGACACTGGACCGGCCCCCTGCTAAAAAGGTTTGCTGACCCCTGGACTACGGGGACAAGGTGACAGTGCAACATAGTATGAAGGAGGAGGGCCTTTGAGGAGAGACATTGGCATCTCCCTGGCCTCTGAGGTAACACTTTGGGGCATTTGGTAAATGGCAGTTAACCACAGAGCTAGACTTCAAATGTGGCCCAGAGCTACCAGGACTTCTTGAAGCGAATCTTCTTTCACAGTTTCTAAAGGGGATGCCATTGGTCCCTTTGGTTAGGCTGTCAAGTCAATGCATTTGTCTGGACCAACATGCGTGTCGAGCACTGACATGTATTCATACATGCACTACCCACAGGCTTAGGCTCTTCGGCTAGCAGTGCCATTTTTCTAGAAAAAGAGGTGCCGGAGCTCACCATGAACACCTCCTTTGTTCTCTTAGAATGGCAATGGCGCCCACCTGAGAGGTGCCAGAACTGAGTTCTGGCTGAAGAAAAGCCCTGTCTGCTAGCATGCATTTGTTACAAATGTGTGTTTACCTGTAATCTTAATGCCCACGAGAAGTTCTCACACAGAAGAAATAATAAAGCAGGCATGCCCAAAGTCCATTTTGGGGGCCTAATCCAGCCCGCCATTTGGTTCAGTCCGGCCCCTGTGGCAGTTTATTTCCTAGGGTAAACCCTAAAAAACGCTGAACAACTTCAATCCAAAAAAAAAAGGTTGTCAACTTTGGTCAGCCCTCGCGCATGTTCACTTCATCAAATCTGGCCCTCTTTGAAAAAAGTTTGGGCACCTCTGAAATAAAGGAAGACTGGTTTATTACATGAAATGAAAGTGACAGAATATACGAACGCTGCTTCAGACAGCAAAATTGCAGTTTAAGCAAACATCAAATCCTGTACACCTTGATCTAAAGAGCGAGGGGATCCCTCACTATTCCCAGAAGCCAGCAGAAAGTGAGTGCACAATTTTGCCACAGAAGCCACACTAGCGAGAAGGGAAGGGCTTTTTTCAGCCAGAACTTGTCAGAACTCAAATCCGGCCCAAGAGAACAAGGGAGGTGTTCATGGTGAGTTCCAGCACCTTTTTTCCCTAGAAAAATAGCACTGAAGAAGGGTATATGTGATCTGTAGTGAAGCACACAATCTGGCTGGTCCTTGTGAAAAATGGTCAGTGTTGGAGCTTTGAGAGCTAACCAGCCATTGAAAATCCAGGGTTGAAATACTGTTCTGAACCAGTGCATTCTAATGGCGAAGGAAGTGGGGCTTTTAGATGAGCAATTCTTATAATTTCAATATTTCTATCGTTCTGTTGTCTCCTCCTAGAGTTTCCTGCCTGTTTCCCGTTTTGTTTATTCTGCTTAATTAAAAGTTGAAAGAATATAATCCTGGTGAGCTAAATGACTAAACTGGTTATCCTTGTTTGTTTACTGTCTTAAACTTATCTTGCTATTTATCTAGGTGGGAACCATTCTTCTACAGGAGGTGTTGATTAAATTTGGCCAGTAACTAGATTGCATGTGCTGATCTTGACACACAGGTGTTAGGAGCTCAAAATGTCTCCTTGATGCCTTCCAGGACAGGTTTGAGATAAGACTGGCACCGGGTTCAAGAAAAGTTCATAATGGAGATCTTTACTCATATTAAGTTATGCCAGCCTTTACTCATGTCGTGATCTACGGTAATAAACAATAGAAAAAGTTCAGATGGACAGACACCTCTTCACACTAATTCTACATTTGCTTGCCTCTCCCACTTCACAGATTGTGTATGTATTTTACACCTAGTCTTTCTTTTATCTGTTCCAGTTTAACTGCACGTAATAGACTTTAAATGACAGAGCCAAACTTGAAAACACATGGATTGATGTTTCTGGGGACATTGCTTGGTATAATCCCGTAGCAATTGTTAGCCCACCTTTTTTGTCTTCTCGGCACCTAACCTTCACTTGTTCAAATGTAATCAGACCCTGATAAGGCCGAATTTGAATCCAAATTCAGCCAGAGTCACTGAGCTAACGACCAACCGCGATGCCCATTTGCCCATCTGTGAAATGGAAAGAGTATGTGACCTCCTTAGGGTTTGTGGTAGACCAGGTGTGGGAAACATGGTCTTCATTTCATATAAGTGGTGAAGAATAAATGCAACAAGGAAGTGTGGTTTAGGCTGAAATCTTAAGGAATCTTCTTTTTTTTTAAAGATTTTTATTGATACAGCAAGAAAAAAGAAAAAAACACAAATACCAAATTACACACAGGAATAATCATAGACACATAATTTTCTTAGCAAACAATAAAACATATATTGGTCTTAACACTAAAGACCCGACCTCCTGTCTATTCCATATTTTGATTTCATATTACTTATTGCCAATACACACTTTTATCATAATTAAACTTTTTCTTAATATATCTAATTTCTTATATCTACCTTGCAACTATTACTGAAGTTCCTCGAATGCTACAACAGAATTTAAACTACTATATTTATTTTTCAGATATTCTTTGAAAACCTCCCATTTTGAAACAAATTCCTGTTTTGATTTATTCTTTATTTTTTCTGATAGACCATCTAATTCGGCATATTCTGTCAGCTTTTGGATCCAATCTTGAATAGAGGGGATTTCATTACTCTTCCATTTTGCCGCAATCAGAACTCAAGAATCTTAAAGGAAAGTACAGGTATCTCAAAGCAAAAGATCTCAAAGCACAGGGATCTCAAAAGCACCTAATTTTCTGTGGCACCACTGTTTGCCTGTTCATAAGACTTCTCGTGTCTGTTCTGTTCTTCCATAGAACACACTACATCAGGGTCTGTCGCACCTTTCTCAGAAAAAAATAATAATTACCCAGCGCACCCCTGGAAATCTACCTTCTTTAAGTGAACAAAGATGCAATGACAAATTGGTGTTCTTTTTATGTATCTATATTTCTACCTACATCCTACAACATAGGAAAGAAAGATGCTGTCGACGGACTTGACCACAGATCGGTTTTAACTTGCATTTTGTGTGTTTGTTTGGAAAATAAAGTAATCACTGCAACTTCAACTCTGCATTACATTGGTAAGCGTCATTACACAACAGGTGAAACGTTGTGAATTTTCAATAAATTCTTTCTTTATGCTTCCACACACACCCCTTATTTTTATTCATCGCCCCCCCAATTGCACCCAAGGCTACTACCACCCCGCCCCCCATGATCATTCCAGAGTCCCCCAGGGAGGCGGTATCGCCCACTTTGGGAAACACTGATTTACAGAAAAGGAAAATACAAAAATAATTGTTGCTCACTCGAGGAAGGAGCAGCTGGTCTGATCTCTGGTTTGCTTTAAGTCCCATCACTGCAGATCACCAAAAGGTTGGTATCAAAAGTACCAATTCACCGGTAGCGCAAGAGGCCAATGACTGACTCTGCTGCTTGACCAAATTGTAGCTTAAAAACTGGTAAAGGACCCCTGGACAGTTAAGTCCTGTTAAAAGGGGACTCTGGGGTTGCGGCGCTCATCTCACTTTCAGGCCAAGGGAGATGGTGTTTGTCCACAAACAGCTTTCTGGGTCATGTGGCCAATATGACTAAATCGCTACTGGTGCAACAGAACACCGTGATGGAAACCAGAGCGCATGGAAACTCCGTTTATCTTCCCGCCGCAGTGGTACCTATTTATCTACTTGCACTTTGACGTGCTTTCGAACTGCTAGGTTGGCAGGAGCTGGAACAGAGCAACAGGAGCTCACCCTGTCGCAGGGATTCGAACTGCCAACCTTCTGACTGTCGAGCCCAAGAGGCTCAGTGGTTCAGGCCACAGCGCCACCCAGACCACCACATCAGTCTTTCCTGCTAACTAGCTTGACAGCCTGGCACCCTGACGTGTTCCCAATTGAGCTATGGCCCGTTTACTACTTGTCTTCTTCCTCTCTTCTTTCTATCTCTGCTTGCAAATTGATCAAAAAGTAAATTCCGCTGAAACGGTGGAGTTTCCTTTCAAATAAATGTGTTTAGGAGTGAGCTGCGAATGTAAGAATATAAGAAAGGTTAAGTAACACAGTTGCTTCAGTGATTTTGGAGAAGAGCCTCTGTTGCTCTATCACTCCAATCGAGCCATTTGCAGATTGGCAGCCCATCCGTTATCTGACATTTTAAATACGTTTGGGCAATCTCAGCAAATTGGAACATCGTTTTTCAACCAAGTTCCTTTCTGCGCCAGTCCCACAGCTAGAAGCCTTACCAGTAAGAGCTCCCGGGCTTGTCGTGGTTGGCAAGACTCCTCCATCTCTGACAAAAGCTTAAAGGTGACCTACAAAAAGCAAAGTAGGGAGTTGGACTTGTGTCATTTGTCACCTTCCTTGGGTGACAAAGAGCACCTCCTTTTCAGTTCCTGATTCTCTCACAAAGCTAGTCAGGCTTTTGCTTGTCTTGGAAGAATATAGATGATGAAAGAATTGTTGGCAAGATTTTGACAGCATGGAGAGAGAGAGAGAAATGAGGAGACACATATTTTTATTTGGCCTGCTAACTGTGGGAAGAAAAACACAAATGTATTGTTTGAAAATACAACGCTGCTTCTGGTTTTTTGTTTTCTAAAACATCATGGGGGAATAATTAATGTATTAGTTTGAAGACTTTTCCATTACAGGAGAGAGCAGAATACATTAACAAACATCACATTGTACCCATTACAAGTGTAACTATCAAATATTCTCTCTTCAGAGTCACTAGAGATCAAATTCGTTGAAAGTGTAACAGGTTGTGCATGAAAAATCACACAAGAGACAACTTAACAGGGCATCGTTGTTTTATATCGGCCATTAGAACCATTTCTTCCTGAAATATTTCCATAGATATTTTGGCCATTATAAGCAATTCTCATACGTTGCCAAACCACTGATACAGTGGTACCTCGCAAGACAAAAAACTTGCTAGACGAAAGGGTTTTTTGAGCTGCTTCGCAAGACGATTTTCCCTATGGGCTTGCTTCGCAAGACGGGAAACGTCTTGCAAGTTTGTTTCCTTTTTCTTAACACCGTTAATACAGTTGCGACTTGACTTCGAGGAGCAACTCATAGAACGCGGTGTGGTAGCCTTTTTTGAGGTTTTTAAAGACTTTGGTGATTTGTGAAGCTTTTCCAAAACTTTCCCAACACCGTGCTTCGCAAGACGAAAAAAATCGCAAGATGACAAAACTCGCGGAACGAATTAATTTCGTCTTGCGAGGCACCACTGTACTTATATTGTTAAAAGCCTTGGGTATCGTATTTGATGGGAAAGTGAAACAGAGATTTGCTGAGATAAAATAAATAAATAAAATTTGCTCTTTAGGAACACCAGCATTTTAAAGGAAAAGGAGAAGATACTATAAGGCTGCCCGAAAATCCATTTTGATAAAGGATAGTATTGACAATTTATTTGAATCAGTGTTGGTGATCTGTTCAGGATTTTGTGGCTCTCTGATATTTTCATCCTCCACCATGATACTGTTTTATGTGTCGCTGGTTTATAAATTGTCTTATAAATTAAAAAATTAAATTATTTCTCTGAATGCATCCTTAGCCTGCCAGCCCTTGGGAGGCAAAAGGCAGGAGTAGAATAATAGGATGGTAGAGTTGGAAGGGACCATGAAGTGCATTAGCCCAACTCTCTGCCATGCAAGAATCTTTTGCCCGATGTGGGTCTCGAACCCACAACCCTGAGATTTAAGAGTCTTGTGCTCTACCAATTGAGATATGCTCCCCGTACAAGGCCTCTCTTGGCATATGTACTTTGCAGGCTTGTCCTGGGGCTATTGTGCCAAGTCTATAATACGATACGATAATCTTTATTGTCATTGTCCCATACAGAACAACAAAATTGAAAAAAAATCTACATCAGACATTCAAAAACCAACAAACCTGCTATCCCATCTATCCCAACCTGGTTAACCCCCTAAAAGCTCTGATACCTCATAATTAAATACAATATACTCCCATAGATACTACCTTACACTGCGTTTAAAACCAAAATCGCATTTGGATAGAAACTGTTTCTCAGGCAGCTAGTCCTAGTCTTTATAACCCTGTACCTTCTTCCAGAAGGCAGAAGCTGAAAGAGATCATTTCCAGGGTGCGCACTATCCTGCACTATCTCTGCAGCTTTCTTATGACACCTGGAAGCATAGATTTGATCCAGGATGGGAAGAGTGCACCCAATTATTCTCTCCGCAGTCTTTACAACCCTGGACAGCATTGTTTTTCCCCTGACCCAAACCACACACAGAGACCATAAGTTAATACACTCTCAACGGTACAATGGTAAAATGCCACCAACAGGTCCTTTGAGAGATTATTTTTCCAGAGGATTCTCAGAAAATAAAACCTGTTCTGTGCTCTCTTCATCAGGTCTTTACTGTTTACTCCCCAGGTTAGGTCTATGGAGAACCGGTCTCTTGAAAAACGGCATTTGTGTTGACAAAAGCCTTAATCCGTAGGCTGCCACAAACACCTAGCATTGCCTTTTGATTTGCACTCATGCAGTTGATGGAGACACTGGCATCTTTTTCTCCGCTGAGACCCAAAATCACCCCCCCTCTCTTTTTTCCTGGCAGTGTATTGATGCATGAAAAATAAACCAGAAAGTCCAGTTGATGATGCACTCTTCCAGGCATGCCAGACCATAGTCTCTGCAGGTTCCCAAATGTGGGTTCCCTCCAATTGAGGCCATGGCTTACAGCACTTGCAGAAATGAACCTTTGTACAGTAGTGGCATCCTCACCATTGCTACCCAGCGAAATTCCCATTGTTTTAGGATGACCTGAAATTCACAGCCTGTTGTGATGGCCTGGAACTCGAGCTTGGATTTGGAACCAGAGGAGTCTCAGTCTGCACCAGATCCTTTGCCTCAGGCATAACCTGAACCAAGTCTGGGGCCTGACCCTGAAGAGTCCCAGTCTACACAGGTCCCCCTGCAACAAGCACCAGCTGGGCTGAGTCAGGGGCCTGAGCCTGCCCTGGCTCCAGATGCAGGGATTACCTTGTTGCCTTCAGCTGGGCCATCACTTACAGCTGCTCCACTACCGGTTGGGTCAGGGGAGGCTGAGGCAGCCCCTGGGTCTAGTAACCCACTGACGTCACCTGAGCTGCAGAGACTAAGGTCTGAGAGAAGGAGAGACCTGATACTCGCAGGAGGAGTGCTCGCCTTCGGGCAAAACAGGGAAGTGAGTTGCCGGGGGATCAGGACCAGCCGTTACCCCGACAAAGATAAAAGGCTGTCGGACCCCGTCCCAGGTTGCGGGAGCAACATTGCTGTATGCCAAATCCTGCCTGAGATCCTGTACCTGTCCTTGCCTGGTTTCCTGCCTCGTGTCCTGCCTTGACCCTGTCGGACTGACTCCTAGTGGACCCTTCAGATTTTGGACCAGTCCTGGACCGCGTTTCACGGGTTACCCCCGGTCCCAGCGCACCTGTTGTACTTGGAAAGAGAATTACATGAAAATGATGTACCCGGTGGTATTTGACTCCTACCAAGCTGGCAAAAACGTATAGGACAAGTACAAATACCTGATGGAAATGTAAAGATAAAGAAGGTACTTTTTATCATGCGTGGTGGACCTGTAAGGTGGTAAAACTTTCTGGGAGATGATATATAATGAATTGAAAAAAACGTTTGAAACAACTTTTGTTAAAAAACCAGAAGCTTTTTTTATTAGGAATTACAGGTACTGACATCCCAAAGGAGCAGAAAAGATTTTTTTACGTATGGAACAGCTGCCCGGATGTTACTAGCCCAGAGATGGAAAGAAGACGAAGTCCCTACCAGAGAAGAATGGCAAACCAGGCTGATGGACTATGTTGAGATGGCAAAGCTGACTGGAAAACTCAGGAACCAAGAGGACAAAAACTTGACAAAAGAATGGGGAAAATGTGCAAGTTATTTAAGAGACCACTGTAAGCAGATGGGAACATTGGCAGGATTTTGATTTCACTCGTCGTGTAACAGTTACCATGGAAAATATGGACTGACATAATAGCTAGAGTTTGGAAGAAGGTGCCGTTTTAAATGTTTAAAATGGGGCTCCAGGGGTGGGGTGGGGTGGGGGGAAATCCTAAGATTCTGAGGAATCTCTGTATATGGATATGTAATTGAATTTATTTTATAATTTTGCATAGGAAAATCAAATAAAAATGTTTTTTTAAAAAAATAATAAAAAAGATTGCTTATTTCAAGTTTGGTTCAGGTTTTAAAAAAAAGAAACCAGAATTTTAAAACATGCATTGGGGAGGAGGGATGTGCTACACCCTAAAGACTAGGGATGGATAAATCTTACATTTTTGCATTCTGTCTTTTTTCTCTTTTGCCTATCTTCAATTTACCTCTCGCCATTTCTGCATCAGTTTTTAATATTTAGAAACGGTCTACATAAAAATTCTTATACCCCTTCATGCACATTTCTTCCAGTATACCCTTTTATTCCCAGTTTTGCCTAATATGCATGTATTTGCAAACAGTCCGCCATTTTAGAAAGCAATTTTGTATGTCATCTTCACTGACATCTGTGGGGGGTTTTTTACCTGGGCTTTTGGCCCTTACTTTGAAGGGTTTCAGGTACTTGTGGTCTCCCTTAATGGGGCAGGTTCTAGAAGGATCTGCCTTTTATTCTATCATATGTAGTGGACGTGTCCTAAAGTGAAAGACTTCTGGGAAAAGATATATAACGAGTTGAAAAAAATGTTGAAAAATACATTTATTAAAAAACCAGAAGCCTTTCTACTTGGAATTATAGGATTGGAATTGCCCAAAAAAGATGTTAGACTGTTTTTGTATGCAACTACAGCAGCGAGACTTTTATTAGCCAAAAATTGGAAATCGCAAGAGATACCAACAACAGAAGAATGGCAGATGAAGATGATGGACTTTTTGGAGCTGGCTGACCTGACTGGAAGAATCCGTGACCAGAAAGAAGAGGAGACTAGAAAGAAGAGGAGATTGGAAGAATATTAAAGAATACTTGGCTAAATATTGTAATATAAGATAAAGAGAAATTTCTTGGAAGTAATAATTTGGCTTAGGGGTAGAATATGAATATGTTATTAATAAATATTAAGGATTAGAATATTAATAAAGGACAAGAAGTTAGTAAATAAGTTAATATTAGAAATATGAATTTGGAGAACTGCTAAATAGGTGATATATTGAAATTCAATTAGAGGGGATTCGAGGAAGTCAGTTATCAATGTAATGAAATTAGGATTTGGAAGTTAAAATTCATTTTTATGTGTGTGTTTTTTGTGTATTGTAATGTTTTTCTTTTTTCCTGTTTTTCTTTTTTTATGTGATAAGTGTGAAAACCAATAAAAACTTGGGGGGGGGGAGTATCTGCCTTTGATTTGCATAGATGTTTTGTTTTCTTGTGATTGGTTTTAGGGTTAATATTGTGTTATAAGTCCCTTTGGGTCACTTTTGTGAGGAAAGTGACGTCACAATAATAGTAATAGAAAAGGTAGCAGCATCTTACAATCATTTTGGAAGTGCCAATTCGGCAGGTTTGTATTAAAACGTGAACTGAACAAATCTCTTGCCCATCCCTACTAGAGACTAGATCTTTTTGAATGATGGAAGTGTTCAACAGCCATAGTCCATATTTTATTTTTTAAAAAATCAATTATAAAGCATAGTACCTTGCCCTCGCAAAAGGCTTGAGCATTCAGGAGATAGTTCAGTGATCTAGCCTGGATTCTACACATAAAATAATGTCTATTGGACATACCAGATATGCTAAACCGATTGCAAGGTGAGGCGCTATATAATACTTACAGCTTTTCCCACTGGCAGAATGGAAGGAATACTGAACATGCAGATAGCAGGGCCTTAGCGTTAATATATCTAAAACAAATAAATCCTTAAGTGCAGCTATTCCAAGAATGCCAAAGCCAAACTCGGCTATGCCTCAAAATGAATCTTGAAATCACGTTTGCGCGATAAGGAAATAAAATGCATAGCCTCATAAATTTCCCCAGCTGATGATGATTAAAAGAGGTGATCAGTGCGCCTCTTTTTATATTCAGCCTGCAATTTTCATACCAATTCTTTTGCAGAAGTTGACTTGCGACAAAACTCCTTTACTCTGAAGTAAGTTCTACTTAGTTTGAGGTAGCTCACTGCCAAACAAGCATATAGAAAACGGCAGATTTCCAGCGACAGTACCCTAAGCCTGAGGGGGTTGGAAATTGCAGCGGGGACTCTATTCCTTGCGCAGAAATAGGTTTTCCTCCACTAAGGCTGATAAAAAACTATTAGGATTCCCAGTTTTCTTAAACTGTCTGTCCCATAATGCAGCAATTGTGAGAAGGGAGCACATCATTCATATTCCCAATTCTCACAATACATACCTACGGTGAAAGGAGGGTGGGAATTTTAACTTTTCACCTAGAAAAAGGGAGACACAACTTAGTTGTTAGGTTTCAACTTTCATCACCACCAGGCTGCTGAAGGGCCACAGGTTATCCATGCTTGCCCTAGGATGTTCAACTTAAAAGCATTAATACCACTAACTGTTTGGCAGATGTAGTTACCCAAACTAGCAACCCCAGTCAACATTTGTATCTGATTGTATCTAAGGGACGCGGGTGGCGCTGTTTTCTAAACCACTGAGCCTCTTGGGCTTGCTGATCAGAAGGTCGGCGGTTCGAATCCCCACAACAGAGTGAGCTCCCATTGCTCCGTCCCAGCTCCTGCCAACCTAGCCATTCGAAAGCATGCCAGTGCAAGTAGATAAATAGATACCACTGTGGCAGGAAGGTAAACGGCATTTCCATGCACTCCAGTTTCCATCACGGTGCCCCATTGTGCCAGAAGCAGTTTAGCCATGCTGACCACATTACCTGGAAAGCTGTCTGTGGACAAACACCAGCTCCATCAGCCTGAAAGCAAGATGAGCGCTGCAACTCCATAGTCACCTTTGACTGGACTCACCATCAAAGGGTCCTTTACCTCCCCCCCCTTTTTTTTTTACTAATTACCACTTTTAACTGTGTGTGATGGTGGGGGAAGCTGTGTTAGAACCAGCTATCTATACCAACTTGTATCACAGAAAATGTGCTACCTATATGCTATGTCTATATGCCTTAAAATAAACCTATATACCAGCAGTGGGAACGTAATTGTTTCCGAAGAGCTGGCCTTGGAAAACCTAGCCTTGAGGCTTCACAAACCAGCCACTTTGTAGAGTCATATACCAAAGGTGGAGAGGTGTTAGGTCAATAATTTTTCTTCTTCTCTTGGACAATTATGGGTTTTAGATATGTTTACTCCCAATCAATATTTGCTGTACTCAGCAGTCCACAACTTATGACCGCTGAAACATTATTATTTGCTTTAGGTGTTGACTGGTTCAGAAAAAAGGTGGTGTCTGTTTCTGTAATCTTCAGTGTAAAGAAACAGGTAACTAACTTTATATAGTAAAAACTCTCTAGGTTGAAATGGGCAATAAAACACTTTTTCAGCAATAGTCCTTTGAAAGTCAGGACTGAAATTAGCACCCTTCAACTTAATGGTTATTTTTCTTCTTCTTTACCCTTTTAAAGATCATGAATGGCAAATGCTATGAACGAATGCTTCTTTTTTACCAAACACTTCCTTAAAATAGAGAAGATTAACATAGAGCGCATTGCAATAGTCCGAGCAGGACATAACCATCGCATGCACCATTCTGGCAAGAAGGGTCTCAGCCAGTGTTATATGGTCTCGGCAGCCACTCCTAGTCACCAGTCCAGCTGCCGCATTCTGGATTAGTTGTAGTTTCCGGGTCACCTTCAAAGGTAGCCCCACATAGAGCGCATGGCAGTAGTTCAAGCAGGTGATAACTAGAGCATGCACCACTCTGGCGAGACAGTCTGCGGGCCGGTAGGGTCTCAGCCAGTGTATCAGATGGAGCTGATAAACAGCTGCCCTGGACACAGAATTGACCTGCGCCTCCATGGACAGCCGTGAGTCCAGAATGACTCCCAGGCTGCGCACCTGGTCCTTCAGGGGTACAGTTACCCCATTCAGGACCACGGAGTCCTCCACCCCCCCACCCACCCCCTGTCCCCCAGAAACAGGACTTCTGTCTTGTCAGGATTCAACTTCAATCTGTTAGCCGCCATCCATACTCCAGCCATCTCCAGACACTCACGCATTTGTATTTGTGTGTCCTTAAAATATCAGCTGCATTAAGGCCCAAGCAGGAAGCATAATTTCAGTGTTTATGCAAAGGCAATTAACTCTTTCTCTTTGTGTTACTATTCTTCTGAAAATGGTTTCAGACAATGGACTTGTAAAAGGGTAAAAAAATACTGGGAAATAATTTATAATGAATTGGAAAAAAGAATGTTTTAAAGTACTTTCCCCCCAAAAAACAAAGTCCTTTTTCTTGGGGATAATTCAGATAATTAAGATGGAAATACCCAGGTGTCAAAAAAGGCTATTTATGTATGACACTACTGTGGACCTTGTTTTGTTAGTCCAAAAATAGAAAATGAGTGAGGTCCCAACTAAAGAGGAATGCCAACTGATTGAACACACGCAGCTGGCAGACTTAACTTATAGAATAAGAGAACAAGAAGAATATACGTTTAAAGATGATTGGAAAATATTTAATGTATATATGGGTGAAGATTGTGCACATTTGAAAACGCTGGCAGCATTAAGACAATTGATTGATTGATTGATCTTTATTACGGCCATTGGCCCGTCACACGACAGTTTCCCATACCAACATAATGTACATGAACCTCCAAATTTAAAACCGTCAAAACTTACAAAAAACAGACAAGAACCAAAGCAGAACAAAAACAAAAGACCAACATCATATGTTGCAATAAATTTGTAACATAACCATCACCATCTGCTCACAGATCAATAAAAGACATCAATGGTGATTCACCTAGTTACATCCTAAAACATAGATCATGGTTTAAAGGGATTTTCCGAGCCACACAGGAGTCCGTTTCTCTTCTTTAGGGATAGGACACTGATCAAGAATCTGGCAACCGTGAGTGATCTTAGGGGGTCATCATCATTTAATAGATATCTCAGTTTGGCTTCATTCGTATCATCGGCAATTCCCTTTAGATATTGGGCAAGAAACTTGCTCCTGGCCGATGAGTGAAAAGCACAGTCAAAAATTATGTGATGCAACGATTCCGGTGCCCCACAATTACAATCACATAAGAGCGATATCTGTCCATTGGAGAATCTATTTCTCAGCATGTTCGATGGGAAGGTGTTGAATCTTGCCTTTACAAAGGCATATCTATGAGCCGAAGAAGTTAAGGAATTCAAATAGTTTGGGAGCCTTAAGAGGGGTGATAAACCAAGGTTTAGAGGTGAGCAGGTACCATTGCCCAAGACCATTTTCTGCTGCAAGTCCATCTCCTCTAGTTTACAGGTTACTGTTCTTTTAGCTGGAACTATGTCCTGCTCTAGTAATTTGGATGGGGAGATTCCCATTGTCATTATTTTCAGCTGTAAATTTTTTACCCATGGGCTCTGGAAATCATCTCTCCACATACATTGTATCAAGTACAAGTTTGGGAGATTGTGCCATAGAGATAACCAGTGACAAAGTATGTGCTTCCACAGAGCGTTTTCCAGGGATACAGTATTAAGTTCCATGCGTAACGCTGTATTACTTACACAGTTGGGCAGTTTCAATATCCCTCTTAAAAACTGATTTTGAATAACCTCTAGGTGAGATAGATTGACAAAAGTCCCCCAAATTGAGATGGCATAGGCAATTGTCGGGATCACCTTGGCCTTGAAGACTTTCAACGCCGATGGGATATGAAGAGCCCCATCGGTGAAGAAGAATCGCAAGATCGCCAAGGAGATAGCTTTGGCTCTATTTGTAACATAGGCTACATGGGCCTTCCATCTAAGGTTATGTTGTAACCAAACTCCCAAGTATTGGAATCTATAGACTTGTTCGATGACTCTCCCATCAATTCTCCAATTATGGAGTTTCCGGCTCTTTGAGAAAATTAGAATCTTAGATTTTCCATAATTAATTGTAAGGGAATTTGCGTTACAGTACGATCCAAAAATTTTTAAGGCCCTCCTGAGACCTACTCTAGAAAAGGAAAGGATGACTGCGTCATCCGCATACAGTAACAAAGGGCAGCGATAAAGTGCTAGGCGGGGTGCATGAATCCTTTCTTGAGCCTCTATTAGGGGGGGTCCTCATATCGCTTATGAATAAGTTGAACAGGAATGGAGCCAATATACAACCCTGTCGGACACCTCTGTTAATGGGAATTGGATTGGTGAGATCACCCTCCGGGGTGAGTCTCACTCTAGCCGCTGAGTTCTCATGGAGTTTGATTATTAGCCAGAGAAGCCTTCTATCGATGCCCCAGCGGGAGAGTTTTTCCCAGAGGATGTTCCTGGGGATACTATCGAATGCTGCCTTTAGGTCAATGAATGCCACACAGAGTTGGCCACCCTTTGGGGTGGAATATTTCCAGGCAAGATGCTGTAAAATTAGAATATGATTAATTGTTGACTGTTTTGGGCGGAATCCAGCTTGTTCGGGCCCAATTAATTTTTTCTCTTCGGCACTTTGGTTAAGTCTGTTCAGCAAGAAGCGGGCATACAGTTTCCCACTATTGAGAGTAGACTGATATTTCTGTAATTCCCCGGGTCATCTGGTGAGCCCTTTTTGTGGATTGGAACGATAACAGCGTCCTTCCATACTTCCGGGATCTTTCCAGAGTTGTTAACGGCATCGAAGATGGTCGCCAGAACTTTAGCCCACCAGAGCAGCATTAAGACAAATTCAACAGTGTAAATAAGTTTTGATGGATGTAAAAATGGAATACTGAATGGCTTAGTTCAGGCACAGGCAAACTCCGGCCCTCTAGATGTTTGGGACTACAGTTCCCATCATCCCTAGCCAACAGGACCAGTGGTCAGGGGTGATAGGAATTGTAGTCCCAAACATCTGGAGGGCCGGAGTTTGCCTATGCCTGGCTTAGTTTATGTAAAATATGCATAGATCTATGGCATGCAAACTGAACCATGGAAGGAGAAGAAGGGAAGTCATTGCTATTTTAAGGTTGTTCAAATGAATATTCTAAAATGTTAAATAGAAAAAAATTAATAAAAATTATACAAAAAAGAAAGAAAGAAAATGGTTTCAGATGAGCTGCTTAAAGTTGGTCAATCTGGCTGGCAAGGCTTCAGCCAGGCACATCCTCCTGTTGTAAGGAAATGACAAATGTTGTGCTTCCATGGAGACTAATGGTTACATCTGTTTGATTTTTTTCTCAGGGGCAAGTGGGGGCCACATACCAGTGGTGGGTGAGCTCCAAAGCCCCAAAGACCAAAGCACACAAATGACACAATAACTTGGCCATGCCAGAAGAGTTTGCAGTGCTTCCTCACTGAGCTAAGAAAGGGGCTGCCTGTTCTCAGCACATCGGAGAAACTACCGTATTTTTTGCTCCATAGGACGCACTTTTTTCCCTTCAAAAATGAAGGGAAAATGTGTGTGCGTCCTATGGAGCGAAGACGCCATAGCCCCGCGACCCTCTCCCGGCTGGAGAGGTGACGCGTGGCTATGGCAGGAGCCTCTACAGCCCTGCGTCACCTCTCCAGCCGGGAGAGCACGCGCGGGCTAAAGCAGCACCCGCGACCCTCTCCCGGCTGGAGAGGTGACGCGCGGCTATTGAGGCTCTTGCCATAGCCGCCCGTCACCTCTCCAGCCGGGAGAGCGCGCGGGGCTAAGCAGCCCCCGCGACCCTCGCCCGGCGGGAGTGGTGCCGCGCGGCTATTGAGGCTCTTGCCATAGCCGCCCGTCACCTCTCCAGCCGGGAGAGCGCGCGCGGGGCTAAAGAAGCCATAGCCCGGCGACCCTCTCCCGGCTGGAGAGGTGACGCACGGCTATGGCAGGAGCCTCTCCGCTGCTCCCTGAACTGCTCTTTGGGGCTGGTGGTGGGCTTCCCCCCGCCAGCCCCAAAGAGCAGGTCGAAGGAACCTGAAGCCTGGAGAGCGAGAGGGGTCAGTGCACACCGACCCTCTCGCTCTCCAGGCTTCCAAGTAGCCGCCTGAACGCACCTTAAATGGCACCTTGTTTTAGAGCGGGAAAACAAGAGGGGGAAAGTTCTCTCCCTCTCGGCACAGCGCCTCCTGCCACTTCGCTGAAGGGGCGCTGGGCAGAGAGGGGGAGATTTTTTTTTTCTTGTTCTCCCCCCTCTAAAACAAAGTGTGTCCTATTGTCCGGTGCGTCCTATGGTGCGAAAAATACGGTAGCTTCTTCTTCTTCTTCTTTGGCGATCGCTCAACGTAGCCGAGTAAGACTTAATAAATGAATAAAATATTCTGTATTTGAAAATGCCAACCTTAAATAAATATCAGTATAGGTTTCCTCTGCTTTCAGCCTCAACTGGCTACAGATGAGGATGATCGAGTTTTAGCGAGTCCTTGATCCTGACGCCACTAAAATCCATGACCAGAGCAGTTGATTAAACCAATAAGTCGACCAAACCTTTGACTTAATGGGAGAAACGACGTTCCCTTAAGGAGTAAAGTTCTTCTGATGGCCATTTTGATACAGTCCATTTCATCCAAATTGTGAATGAAGAAACAAGGCATGTGAGTGACTTTCACTTGATTTCAGATAAGCCACCTGTCACAGCGTTAATTGGCACATGTCTTTTCGGCTACTTAGGATGGTTTCATGCTTGTTGCAAACTTTGAAAGTTGTTCTTGCATTTCGATTTCCTCTTTCCTAGCCCCACCTCCTTGCAATGTGCATTCTAACACCTCAAAGAACCTGATAAATAGGAGGCAGCTTCCTTCAGCCCAGTCAGAAAAACGTGGGACCGCCCGCTCCTGCCTGTGCAAATCTTACAGAAGCAAAGCCCAGGCGAAACCATGAGCAAAGCAGCTGGTAAGTACATAAAGGATGTTTAGTTCTCCTCGAATTGATTTCTTCCTCTTTGCTTCTATCTGATAGCCCTGGGTAACACAACCTGCAATGAAATGATTTTATGAGTTTACTGCTGAGGATTTATGGGCACATCAGCCCCTGAGATTTAGAGCCAACACCTATAATTGCTTAATAAATGTTGAAGTGCTGCTCTTTGATCTTCAGATAACATGGGTATAATGCCCTTTAAGTTTGTGTCCCTATGCTATATACTCTAAAAGAACTAACAGGCCCATTAAAAAGCCTGTGAGGTTCATGCAGTGCTCCCCCCCCCGCTAAAAAAAATTTTTAAGGGTACTCTCCTTTTCCTACTCATGTTGAAATACTGCCCCTCAATGAGGCCAAACTTAGATTCGCAAAATGTTTAGGGGTATGTGTACCCCCACGTTCCCCCAGAAAAAAAAGCACTGGGTTCATGTATATTAAAGGTAAAGGGACCCCTGACCGTTAGGTCCAGTCGTGACCGACTCTGGGGTTGCGGTGCTCATCTCACTTTACTGGCCAAGGGAGCCGGCGTACAGCTTCTGGGTCATGTGGCCAGCAAGACTAAGCCGCTTCTGGCGAACCAGAGCAGCGCACCGAAACGCCGTTTACCTTCCCACCGGAGCAGTACCTATTTATCTACTTGCACTTTGACGTGCTTTTGAACTGCTAGGTTGGCAGCAGCAGGGACCAAGCAACAGGAGCTCACCCCGTTGAGGGGATTCGAACCGCCGCCTTCTGATCGGCAAGTCCTAGGCTCTGGGGTTTTCCTATTTTCTTTTTTAAAATGTTTTTATTAGCAATTTCAACATAACAAATTATCAAAACATATCATATACATTATTTTTCCCCTCCCTCCTTCAAACCCTCCCTCCCCCAAAAAAACTTCCCTCAGTGCCTCTCTCTGATTTCTCAGCACATATTATTCTCTGCATGTTATGAAATTATACATATCCTTACATTATCTATCTGCCATGTTATCAACCAATAAATTTGCGTATGTTTATTCAAAACCTGCCAAGGAATCCAATTCATTTTGTTGTCTTTTTAGATAATTTGTAAAAAGCTCCCATTCTTCCTTAAAGTCACAGTTGTCCTTGTCCCACAATTTGTATGTCAATGCAGCCAGCTCTGCGTAGCTCATCAATTTTTCTTGCCACTGTTCTTTCGTTGGGATTTCCTCGTTTTTCCATCCTTGTGCTATCAAGGAAACAGGGTAAAGGTCCTATTTTCTTATCAGCATGACTAATAGTTTTTAATGGTTTTGTGAGCACGCATGCCAAGTAAAAAGCAAAAAAGCAAACAGGAAGCATTTAATTAAAGGCACAGTTGCTCTTTGAAAATGCAATAGTGCTTTCCTGTACATACTTTCAACTACTGTTGTGTTTTATTGCAGAAATAAAATCAGGGTTTTTTGGAGGGGGGAATTAGGGGGAAAACACAGAAAACACTATAAATGTCACAATGACATTGTGTGGATTCTCTGTAAAAGGTTTAGGAGCCGGTTGTGGCAATTCCAGAGAAAAGGGCTAGAGTAGAAGTAACCTGTCTTTCACATATGCACGTCAAAAGATGAAGAGAGGCACAAAAGCACACCTGAAATCTGCCCATGAAGAATGCAAGCTAAGCGTCCATTGACGTAGAACAATTCCCCGGTGTTGACAGTGTACGCAGTTTTTGAGGAGCGGATCATGCATGACTAGCCATAGAGAATAAATTCCTCTTGTACACATTTTCCCCATGCCAAATTATTACCCCTTGTTTCCTGTTCTTGTTTGCGTAACAGAGAAGAAAGCCTTTACTAATTCCCTTTTTATTTCCTTTAAAAGGAACTTCTCCACTTTGTAATGAGCAAACAATTGCGGTAGGCATTTGATTAGAGGATATTTCTGGGGCACCTTTATTATATCCTTCAGCTGTGGTGATATTACCGTATTGGCCTGAATATAAGCCTTAGTTTTCTTTTCTTTTTCAAAAATTTCGACCGTGAAACGTTAAAGTGCAACTTAAATTCACAACCTTACAAAAATGGGCTTTTACGATATCGCTGCTGAAACAGACCTACGGTAAAACGGAATGGGTGTGAGTGCCTGCGGAATTTTAAGGGAGCGGCTTATATTTGGGTATTGTCCTCCCCCCCCCCTTGAATTTTAAAGGTGTGGCTTAAATTCGGGTGAGGCTTATATTCGGTTGCGGCTTATATTCGGGCCAATTTACGGTATAAAGGTGATATCAGACATATCAGACATAAGCTAATCAACTTCCTTCTATATTTAAAGTAAAGAGAGAGGGGGCACCAAATTGGCAGCCCGATCTTTGCCACACTTGCTATGCTGGCATAAGTGGAAGTAGTATCTCTTCCAGCAGAGACAACCGAAATCTGGGGTGTTCTGGGTCAATTTTTTGTCCAACAGTGTGAAGAAGAGAGGAGGATTCTAGATAGAAAATGGCAGAGGATGAGCTCTTTCAGAACAGGAGCCAAAGTGGTTCTTTAAAGATGATGTTGGACTACAACTCCCACCATCCCTGACAATTGGCCTTGCTGGTTGTGGCTGATGGAATTATTATTATTATCATTATTTATTATTTATACCTCGCCCATCTGGCTGGGTTTCCACAGCCAATCTGGGCGGCTTCCAACAGAATATTAAAATACAATAACCTATTAAACATTAAAAGCTTCCCTAAACAGGGCTGCCTTCAGATGTCTTTTAAAAGTCTGGTAGTTGTTTTTCTCTTTGACATCTGATGGGAGGGCGTTCCACAGGGCGGGTGCCACTACCGAGAAGGCCCTCTGCCTGGTTCCCTGTAACCTCACTTCTCCAGCGAGGGAACCGCCAGAAGGCCCTTGGCACTAGACCTCAGTGTCCGGGTAGAACGATGGGGGTGGAGACGCTCCTTCAGGTATACTGGACCGAGGCCGTTTAGGGCTTTAAGGTCAACACCAACACTTTGAATTGTGCTCAGAAATGTACTGGGAGCCAGTGTAGGTCTTTCAGGACCGGTGTTATATGGTCTTGGTAGCCGCTCCCAGTCACCAGTCTAGCTGCCGCATTCTGGATTAGTTGTAGTTTCCGAATCACCTTCAAAGGTAGCCCCACGTGGAGCGCATTGCAGTAGTCCAAGCGGGAGATAACTAGAGCATGCACCACTTCTGGCGAGACAGTCTGCGAGCAGGTAGAGTCTCAGCCTGCGTACCAGATGGAGCTGATGGAAGTTGTAGTCTAACTCTTATCTGGCAGGTGTCTTTTGCCTATCCGTGAAATAGGCTAGAACTACCTGTTGCTCAGGGACACGGATGTTGCTGTGGGTTAAACCACAGAGCCTAGGACTTGCCAATCTGAAGGTCGGCGGTTCGAATCCCCGTGATGGGGTGAGCTCCCATTGCTCGGTCCCTGCTCCCTGCATCAAAGTGCAAGTAGATAAATAGGTACCACTCTGGCGGGAAGGTAAACGGCATTTCCGTACGCTGCTCTGGTTCACCAGAAGCGGCTTAGTCATGCTGGCCACATGACTCGGAAGCTGTCTGCAGACAAATGTCGGCTCCCTCGGCCTATAGAGCGAGATGAGCACCGCAACCCCAGAGTTGGTCACGACTGGACCTAATGGTCAGAGGTCCCTTTACCTTTACCTTTACCTTTACCTTTACCTGTTGCTCATTTGCTGAGATGTGTGGGCCCACCCATTTTCTTTCAAATGGCCAAGAACATTGCATTGCTAAGAGTGCCTGGACTAAAATTGTCTACCAAAAACTTCACTCTTGTGGTTTATCACCACAACAACTACTCACGCTGGGTTTTAGTAAAGCAAGCAATTTAATTTAAGTGCCTATATGATATCGAGTGACAGAACAACCTGCCCGCAATAAGGGAATTTTGCCCGTGGTATGACTATTTTCCACCTAGTCATCTTGACTCTCTGGTACCCTATCTGCATAACTTAATAATTCCAAAATATAGATGCGCCTTTACTCTTGCAAGATTGAATATACTGCCTTCGGCTGTACTTGAGGGACGATTCCAAAAAATTCCACTAGAAAAATGATTATGTCCCTGTGGAGATGGCAGTACCGAATCGGTGGCACGTGTCCTTCTGGCTTGCACTCTTTATAAAGATTAGAGAAGTGAAGTTATCACTCCACTATTATTGTCCATTCCGGGTTCCCCAACCACTGTTACAATGTCCTTTCTCTTGGCAGATCAGGATGAACAGGTGACAGCAAAGGTTGCAAGGCTTTTAGCCGGGGCAATTAGAATAAGATCCATTATTTGACTATTGCTCCAAACCCCAAAAATGTATTTTATATAATTGACTTTTTACCTTTATCTTCTGTATACCACATTTTGTTTGTTTTATTGCTATGGCTGGTGGCTGATACAAATAAAGATTTATTCATTCATTGCATTGCATTGCTAAAACCTACTCCTGCTGGTTTCTGCTGCTACAGACAGCGAGTCAGCCTCTGCCCATAAAAACAGAAAGCATGCTTAAACTTTCTGCTGGTGTTACTAAATGTCATCGTAAGCGGAATGAAAGATTTATATTCTGTCTTGCATTGAGTGGCACAAGCAAATCATACTTTCTATCCGCCGATCCACTATGTTAAAGTAGAACCTAAGAATCTACCCAAGCATGTAATAAATACTGCCTAGTAATGTAACTTTGAGAGATGTTTTAATAGGTAAATCTGTTTTACAGCACGTATTTTTGAAAACTGCTAATTTTATTTATATTTGGTGGGGGGGAATGGTTAACTTGTTTCTAACATCTGGTTTTATTGGTAATTTAATGCAGTGCTTTTTTTCTAAAAAAAATGTTTAGGGATACTCTCATTTTGGCTCAATTATAATTTCCCCCCATTCCTTATTAAAATTTTGGTCTTCCTGATTTCTGATTCTTCCGGATCATTTTTGCCATTTCGGCATAATCCATCAACTTAATCTGCCGTTCTTCTCCGGCCAGGACTTTGTCCTCTTTCAATCCCACGGCCAATAACATCTGCGCAGCTTGGGTCGCATACATAAATAGTCTTTTCTGCTCCATTGGGATTTCAGCGCCTAGAATTCCTAAAAGAAAGGCTTTGGGTTTTCTAGAAAAAGTTATTTTAAACATTTTTTCCAATTAATTATATATCATTTCCCAAAATTCTTTTACTACCTTACATGTCCACCACATATGATGGGAAGGTGCCGCCTTTTTCCTTACATTTCCAACATATATTTCACCCTGACTAATCCACTTTTCCAAACCCCACTGTAAAAAAATAACGTGTCTAGCTCACAGTCAACTCAAGGTCTGATTGAGAGATTTATTAATGGGAGGGAAGAGGTAGCCTTTCAAAGTTAGAATGGTCAACATTTGCCTGCAAAGGTGTGCCTGTGCCTTTTAGTAACTGTACGGCAGGGAGACACGCAATAGTTAGCACATCTGTCATCACATCAATGCAACAATAGTTTAAAACAGAAAGCGTTTGCTGTCCCCACTCCCTCTCTCTCTCTCTCTCTCTCTCTCTGTACATGTCTTAAGTGCCCTGGACAGGTATAGCTCTAAGAAGCAGGAAATTGCTCATCCAGAAATGAGAATAAGGCCATGGTGTTTTTGTATTGACTTTCCGTGGCCAGTTCTGCAACCAGCTCCTGGGGAATCAGAATGCAAGTTTGGGCAAACCTAAAACGACTGTTAGGTGTAAGCACAAAGATGGCATGGGATCATTTCTATCTCTCCTTTGATATTAAGTAAAGGTGGTATCAAAAACTACAAACCTGTGTAATGTTTCTTACGCAGGTTTGTAATATCAGTACTAAGGCACTGATAGTAGTCTCTGTTTCTATGCAGTGGGGAGAAAGCCCCTTCCTCTGCGGCCAGCACAGAAACGCAGGCTGCTAGCAGGGTAGTAAAAATATTTGCCTTCTCCTAAGCAGACTGGCATGGGACGTGGGTGGCGCTGTGGGTTAAACCACAGAGCCTAGGACTTGCCGATCAGAAGGTCGGCAGTTCGAATCCCCGCAACGGGGTGAGCTCCCATTGCTCGGTCCCTGCTCCTGCCAACCTAGCAGTTCAAAAGCACGTCAAAGTGCAAGTAGATCAATAGGTGCCACTCTGGCGGGAAGGTAAACGGCGTTTCCGTGCGCTGCTCTGGTTCGCCAGAAGTGGCTTAGTCATGCTGGCCACATGACCCGGAAGCTGTACGCCAGCTCCCTCAGCCAATAAAGCAAGATGAGTGGCGCAACCCCAGAGTCAGTCACGACTGGACCTAATGGTGAGGGGTTGCTGCATCTCTCCTCCGCTGGCGTGCTGCGTTCCCATGCTGGGTACAAAGAAGGGATGCAGGTGTTAGACCACAGAGCCTAGGGCTTGCCGATCAGAAGGTCGGCGGTTCAAATCCCTGCAACAGGGTAAGCTCTCGTTGCTCTGTTCCAGCTCCTGCCAACCTAGCAGTTCGAAAGCACACCAGTGCAAGTAGATAAATAGGTACCACTGCGGTGGGAAGGTAAATGGTGTTTCTGTGCGCTCTGGTTTCCATCACTGTGTCCCATTGCACCAGAAGCAGTTTAGTCATGCTAGCCACATGACCCGGAAAGCTGTTTGTGGACAAATGCTGGCTCCCTTGGCCTGAAAGCGAAATGAGCGCCGCACCCCGTAGTCGCCTTTGACTGGACTTAACCATCCAGGGGGCCTTTACCTTTTACCTTTTGTAAGCTTATACATGTTGTAGTGTTAACATTGCCTTTAAACTTCAGAAACCACCAAGCTGAATGAGACGCCAGCCTCCTCTAATACACAGGCAAACATGAAAACCATTGTCCTAAATGGCCTCAGCCCAGTACAGGGAATTTTTAATGTCTGGTGTTTTATTGTATTTTTAATATTTTGTTGGAAGCCGCCCAGAGTGGCTGGGGAGACCCAGCCAGATGGGCGGGGTATAAATAAGTTGTTGTTGTTGTTGTTGTTATTTATTATCATCCTTTCCAGGGGATCCGCTGAAGGTTACTGGAATCGATTTTCTCCGAGAGCAGAATACCCGCCTCCATCACACCAGCGACTACAACAATGGCAGCCTGATTGTGAGACGTGGGCAGCCTTTTGAGTTGAAGCTGACTTTAAGCAGGGAGCTGAACAACAATGACAAAGTCACACTGCAGCTCAGAATTGGTAAGCGAGCAAAACATGGCTTGATTCATCCCAGGTTGTCTAGGAATACAGCAGAGTAATTCAGACATTTGTCCTTCAGAGATGCCACAATCTGCTAATCAGGGTGGGTATTTGTTTGGTTTTCTGAATGGCTTCCAATCCGGATATTTTTAGATGTGTTGAGAAGACAAATGGAACTCAATAGGGGAACCAGAGCTGGAGATCCATGTTGTCGTTTATTATTCCACTGATTTCCCAGGTAATCTCTTCCAGGTAGACTACCATAGAATCATAGATTGGAAGGGATCCTGTTATGTACTGAAGTTCTCACCCTGGGCCAGCAGGGGGATACTGTAGATAGTTATGCAAATAAGGGATCGAAAGTGACGTTCAGTGATTGGATAGTTTTAGAAAATTGTTAGTTACATTGTACTGGAGCTCTATATGAGCAGGCTGACTGAACCCTTCAGTTGAGTTCTATTCTGGCCTGTGAATAAACAAGAGCTGTTTGAAGAATCGCTGTGTCGTCTGATATGTTCACCCACAACTTAACAGATCCCAAGGGTCTTCTAGTCCAGTGTGGGAATCTCAACTAAATCTCTTCCAGGAACTGATCACATTGAGAGTTGCTTGGCTTTAGCAATGTAACAGTATCATAATCTTTGAAGCCACGCTACTCCTTGAGTACAGAAAGAACAACACACACTGCTAAGCTTTTAATTTTTCTAAGGATTAGAAACAGGAACGCTTTGTTTAATCGAGGGTTTTGTGATTCTACATCAGATGCCAAATTGTGTGGTAAAGAGATTGTGAATACAATGTACTGCTTACTTCCTGGGACTGTTGTATTAAAGGAAACACACAAGCCACTTAGCAAAATTATTTTGCATCTTCAGCATCCTTCTCTGCGCAGTAGAAAATGCTTCAGAGATGAGGCCTGAAAACAAAGGCTATTGTCATATTCGCTGCTGACACTTTTTGGGGGAATTTATTGATGATGTTCTTTGTGAATTTGTGTCCTTCCAGGTGAAAAACCAATGCAGTCCAATGGGACTCTTCTATCCATGAATGCAAGATCAGGACAGACAGATCAATCCTGGAATGCCAAGATTTGTCAAACAAATGGGAAGGAGGTACATATGTTTGGGATAGCCTAGACTGAAATGGCCATTTACATTTTATGGCCTTCATGATATCCAGAATGTGATATAGGGGTGCTCAAGGGACCCCGGTAATCAAGACCTGAGTTCAGTTGCGTTCCAACTTGGGGGGGGGGGGAGCCCTGTTTCTATGTGTGGTAGGACTTCTGAGAGATGTTCCTTCTGTAAGTTACACGTGAGTACCCAGGGTGGCACTGTGGGTTAAACCACAGAGCCTAGGACTTGCCGATCAGAAGGTCGGCGGTTTGAATCCCCGCAATGGGGTGAGCTCTGCCATCCCACTTTCCAGCTTCCATTATTTGCATCTCCAGTAGAAGAGGTTCAGTAGAACAGTTTCTTCTCTCTTTAACCAGAATATTTTTGTAATCTGCTTTGAGGTGTTTTTGTTTTTTGTTTTACAATCAATTGGTGTGTGAATTTTATGAAATAAATAAATTGGGCAGATGTGTTTAATGTTAGTTTTGCTTGTTCCGTATTTTCTGGAAGCTGTTTGTTTAATAACTAAGACACTAGACCATATGGACTAGGGTGTGTTCACATTTAAATGGAATAATGGGGATACCTAATTATCATGTACACTATTATAGCCCTATGATGTTCTCGTGTTTTTCTTAGTGCCGCATAGTTGTAACCAGTCCAGCAGATGCAATTATTGGAAAATATCTTCTAAATGTGATCACGGGACCTAGCGTTTATACTCCTGATAAAAAATGTGTCTACGTTTTGTTCAATCCCTGGTGCGAAGGTAATTCATGTGACCTAATGAGATTTAATTCATATTGCTATAATATAAGGTTAACTTTAAAAAATGTGTCTCTTGTTTAGCTCTTCCCCTCATAAATGCAATGAAAGCTGGTTTTGCAGTGATTCTATGAGGTGTATGATATTTTTTAATGAGGTCATCAGGTTATGAAACTTCCTTCTGTTGCTGCTCACAGTATAATTATTGCAACCCAGTTTAAACGTAAGCAGGGGTACATTTCAACACCCTGAAAAATTGCCCATAAAGCCCTGCCTGTGGGACATTTAAAACACATGATGTCTCTCATGGGATCTTGGGAGTTGTGGTTTTCCCCTCACAGAGCCACCATTACTAGAACCATTAAGAAACTACAGTTCCCAACATTCATCTGCTTTGAATGCTGTGGAGACAAGAGTTTTATTTGGCGTTCTCTTGGGATGAGTGGATAACAACTGCTCTGTTCCAATAATGTGTTTGAAAATATTGTGCTTGTGAATGAACAGAGCCAGTAGTAGGAGGCGAGTATAAATGGCATAGTTGCTACTGGGGATCTGATCTGTTTTATTGGCTGTCTGCTTCGCAGCCAAATTTACCTCACATTAAACCGCCACAAAAGGGTCATGCTTTCAGCATGCACAACAGTTGGCAGAAGTAGTTCTGAAAAGCAGCAATATTTCCCCCTCTTTCTGGTGTGCATGCTCCCATTCACCCACTCTCAAACTCAGTGCTGTTTTTCTAGAAAAAGAGGTGCCATAATTCACCATGAACGCCTCCCTTGTTATAATGGCAATGGCGCCCACCTGAGAGGGGCCGGAACTGAGTTCCAGAGAGTTCCGGCTGGGGAATAAAGCCCTGGTCAAACTAAGGCTCAGTCCTTACCCAGATGGGAGCAGTTTCTGGAGAAAAGCAAGGTCCCTTGTTTGCACAAAGGAGTGAGTTAGGCAGCCTCTCCCCAAGTCATGGATGGAGTGAATCCAGCGGAGGCAGATTCTTTCCCCCTTTTCTTTTTTTGGTAAATATTTTTATTGAAAGTTTTCAACACGAGGTACAATAAAGCCAAACAAATCTTTAAAAAAAGGGGAAAGATACAGAAAAGCCAAAACAAGAGAAAGAAAGATAAAAAACCAAAAAATAGAGGCAAAGGATAAAAGAAACAAAGAAAGAAAGAAAGAAAAAGAAAGAAAGAAAGAAACTCTCTATCACAATATAATTTATCCATATACAGAAAAGTAGACCTTTCCCAGCTTTCACCTGGGAACTTCTGTTTCTTCCCCCAGCCTCCCACCCTGGGAGATCCCTTTTTCTCTGTCTCTCACACCAAGCCCCTCACCATTCCCCCGTCATCTCTCCGTGTATGTCTTCGCCAGTCCAAGATAGCTGGTTCTATTTTTAACTTTTAGAAGTCCTCTAAGTTAAGGGCAAAAAAAGAGGGGAAAGTAAAGAAAAAAGAGTCAGATTCTATATCTGATTCAAAAAGAGGTTTATTCACTGAGCCTCTTGGGCTTGCCGATCCGAAGGTTGGCGGTTCGAATCCCCGCAATGGGGTGAGCTTCCGTTGCTCGGTCCCAGCTCCTGCCAACCTAGCAGTTCGAAAGCACACCAGTGCAAGCAGATGAATAGGTACTGCTGTGACGGGAAGGTAAACGGCGTTTCCGTGCACTCTGGTTTCCGTTACCGTGTTCCGTTGCGCCAGAAGCAGTTTAGTCACGCTGACCACATGACCCAGAAAGCTGAATGTGGACAAACACCGGCTCCATTGGCCTGAAAGCGAGATGAGTGCCGCAACCCCAGAGTCCCCTTTGACTGGACTGAACCATCCAGGGATCCTTTACCTTTTTTATTCAATGCTTTTCTTCTAGAAAAAAATGGTGCGAGTACACACCATGAAGTTGTTCCAGTAAGTGCCACACTTTTAACCAGTGCTTTTCATCTAGAAAAAAGTGTTGGTACTTCATACCATTGAGTATCCCCAGAAAAAAAGCACTGAACATGTTTTATAATGAGAAGAAGAAATATCTATAGTGGGCCATTTTGTTAATGTGGGTGGGATCCATAGCTGGGACTGGAAAGCCAGAACACAAATTGATAGTTTTGAGCCCATCAGTGTTCTTATCTGTCTATCCATCCGTTTCTTACTGTCTAAAAGCTGCAAGTATGTCGTTTGCCCAGTTTCTCCCCAGTTAGACTTCCTGAAAAAAAGAATTAACACACTCACATATTTTCTTTAGCGGATTCTGTCTTCATGCCTGGTGATGCTGAAAGAGCTGAGTACGTGCTCAACGACACCGGCTATCTCTACGTTGGATCAACAAAAATGATACGTGGAAGACCTTGGAATTTTGGGCAGGTAAAGACTCGCATGTTTCTCTTTCTGTCTGGATGTAAGCAGGTTGCAATTTCTGTGTGAGGTTCCAGCCACCACAAACAAAGCCTTGGAATCCTGTTTAGGCTTGGGGTTGTTTGTTTTTTGAGATGGGGGGAGAGGAATTTCAGGAACGGGGACATGGGGAGGGGGGGAAAGGACATCTTCACTTGTTGCACTAAAACGATCAGTTGCCCAATGATTCCTCACATAAAATATAATATCTAAATTCCAACAGTCGCAAGCAGAGGATCCTGGCGCCAGTAGCAAACCGCAATGTACAGCGCATGTACGGCGTCGCACGTGTGCATTGTAACGACGCCACACATGCGCTGTACATAGCGGTTTGCTGCCGGCGCCGCTCGAGTGCTGTACGTACAGCGGTGGGATCCCTCCATCGCCACTACAGCTGCATGTAGAGGAACTTCCATTCGCGGCTGTAGCGGCAACGGAGGGATTCTGGCACCGTCTGTACGGCGCTGGAGTGGCGGCGCTGGCAAACCGCTATGTTCAGCGTGTGTGCGGTGTCGCTACGTACGGTGCATGCGTCATATGTAGCGATGCCACACATGCACCCTATGTAGCGACGCCCTGCCCCGGGTGTCACGACACCTTCGTTTCCCCCTGTTTTTAGGGTAGGCCCATGTTACTTCCAGGCACTCAAAAACCTAAGTCCTCTATTAGAGAAGCCTGCAGCAACAAAAGAGCATTTTGGAGTGCTCTTGCTCAATGTTGCAGACACTGAGGAGCCATGCCTTGCTTTTCAGGGTATTTCATTCCAACCCCACCAACCCGTTTTCTGTTTTTCCTCCTAACATTTGATCAGCATCCCCTGACCCCCTGAGCAACTTACAATTTTGTACGCAGCCCAGAGAAATAACTCCTCGGCATTATTGATAGAACAGCAACTATTTTATTTATTTATTTATTTATTTATTTTTATTATTATTTTTATTATTATTATTACAGGCGCTGTGGGTTAAACCACAGAGCCTAGGACTTGCCAATCAGGTGGTCAGCAGTTCGAATCCCTGCGACGGGGTGAGCTCCCGTTGCTCGGTCCCTGCTCCTGCCAACCTAGCAGTTCAAAAGCACATCAAAGTGCAAGTAGATAAATAGGTGCCGCTCTGGCGGGAAGGTAAACGGCGTTTCCGTGCGCTGCTCTGGATTGCCAGAAAACGGCTTAGTCATGCTGGCCACATGACCTGGAAGCTGTACGCCGGCTCCCTCGGCCAATAAAGCGAGTTGAGTGCCACAACCCCAGAGTCGGCCACGACCGGACCTAATGTTCAGGGGTCCCTTTACCTTTTTACCTCGGGTTAAGAACTTAATTCGTTCTGGAGGTCCGTTCTTAACCTGAAACTGTTCTTAACCTGAGGTACCACTTTAGCTAATGGGGCCTCCTGCTGCCGCCGCACGATTTCTGCTCTCATCCTGAGGTAAAGTTCTTAACCTGAGGTACTATTTTTTTTTTTTTTATAATGATATTTATTGAGATTTCAAAAAGAATACAAAAATTACACAATAACAAAAAATAGAAAATACAAAAACTTACACAATAAAAAGAAAAAGATAGAAAAGTAAAAATAAAAATATAAGAAAATAAAAAATACAGAAGAAAAATAGTAATAAAAAAGAAAAAAGAAAAAAATATATTAGACCTCCTCCTCCTCCCTTCCTTTGTATTCTAGTTGTTAATTATCCCAGCAAATCCTTTCCATCTTTCTATAATAGAATAAACCTTAAAATTTAAAATTTAGATCTTAACTTTACCAGCTTCTTGTGTTCATAATGTTCTTTTCTAATTCTTTATACATCTTTACTAAAGCCAGATAATTTCTTCCAACATTTTTCTATCATTCATTTTTCTATCATTCTATCATTTAACAACTTTATAAAACATTCTGTTAGTTAGAAAACAAGTACAAAGAGAAAAACATATAAACAAGTCCAGTCTTTATCCAACGTCCCTTCCTCCTGGTTTCGGGATTTGTCAGTCCTTATTCCTCAATCTAACCCGGTGACCTTATGTCCGAGGCTCTCAGATCACTTCCATGGCCCTTCCACAGCTTTTCTTCATATTTGTGGCTGTAGTCACTTGCTTGTAGTAACTCCAACTTAATAGTGTTTTTAACCCTTCTCATCAGTTCAGATCCTTTCCCTGTTCATCGCTGCAATCCATGTAGTATTTAAAAACATACTTCAAGGGCCCTCCGAGTTGTGGGCCCCCACAATTCCAAACATGTCGCAGCCTGTTACTGTATTTAAAAAGTCCAGATATCCCAACATAGGGGGGTCAATCCAGCCCCCCATTTCCAAACCACGCCAAACTTTCCCTTCCCATATCTGGTTTTTCCAAGTTCTATTATCAAATCCAAGGATCAGGCTCCTGTTGAGACTGTTCTGTCAAACCACACTCCTGATTTAGTGCCACAAACCCCTGTTCTGTCAAAACACACTCCTGGTTTGAGTCCTGGATAGACTCCACATATATTCCCACAGTTTGATCAACGCCTTCCGCTGCCAGTCTGAGATTTCCAGTCGACTTGGCCATCTGGTTCACCTTATCATGTAGTTCTTCCAGTAAAATATTTGTTTCATTGAGCAGGCAAACCACAACTTCTGAAAACATTGTTGCACTCTCCCACTATTATTTATAACAGCTGTCAAGTCCTTGGCATTAGTTACAGTTTCTAAGACTCCCCCTAGGGAGAAGACTTATATTTGTTTCTGTTACATTTCCATGTTACTTAAAGTACTTTATCCATATATATTCCTTTAAAATGCGAAAGGGAACAATAGAGTCACAAAAATTCTCTTCTTTTTACTATCTGTCACACACAGATATCTTGATGGTTCACGTCAGTCCTGACTTCCCCGCTCCAGGATCAGGACGAAAATAGCTTCCTTTTACTGCTTCAAATAGTCCAAAAAAAAAATATCCCAATTTGAAATGTTGGAATCCACTCTTTTAAAAACAATTTTCGAAGCTCTAGTATAAGTTGTCTTTGCTTTGTTATGTTTACAAAAGAACGGAAGGGTGACTTCCTGTTTAGCCCTTACCGCTCCGTACCAAATTCAATCAATTTTTCTTTTCTTTTTTTTTATAGTCCAATTCTGTCCTTTTCACTAATCTTCATTTAATGTTCCAATTTGTTCAAATTCTGGGTACTCACGGATATTTGTTTTAAAGTCCGAATTGTCCAGGAAAAAAGGCAGCGCTCTCCGGCAACAGCTACGCGGCTTCACTCCACAAAAGAAGCAGACGACTCGATAGCACAGCGCCACTTCCCCGCTCTGTTCCGGAGCCCGTTGCCGGGTTCCTTTGCAGGTTGGGGGGGCGCAAACAGTGCCCGCCGAGTCCCAGGGTCACAGGCTTCACCCGCCTGTGGTTTGAAGGGTCCCCGCTGCGCCAAAGCGGTTTTAGACCCGATTTCTGTGGAGCGGTCTCCCTCTGAGTTAGAGGGATTCCGCCATTGCCGTTGGCGCCACCTCCGGAAGTCCTGAGGTACTATTTCTGGGTTAGCAGAGTCTGTAACCTGAAGTGTCTGTAACCTGAAGCATCTGTAACCCGAGGAACCACTGTATTATTATTATTATTATTATTATTATTATTATTATTTATTATGCCCTGCCAGTGAGGACAATAGAGGATGTGTTGAGGGTAAACAATAGGCTTTGGCCTCTGACACTCACCAGTGTCTTGCTTTTGTACCACATCTACACAATACCATGTCAGCTGGATGGGGGACCGCATGTTGAGATTCCTGAATTGCAGGGGGTTGGACTAGATGACCCTTAGGGTCCCTTTGCAACTCTGCAACTCTGAAAATTTGCATTTAAACAGATTGTATTCCTGCCAGTAGAGGGCACCCAACAATTCTCATCAGGCTTTTCGAAAGCCTTTAGAGACGGAATTTGTGTGATGCACTGCTATATTTTGTGCATGAAAAAAGAAGACCCCTTTCTACATTCAAAAATGTTGTGTGTCTCAAATGCTTTATGTAGGCATCTGTTGGCATCCGTCTGCCTCAAGAGACAATGGAGGAGCATGCCTTTGTGTAGGGCTGCCGTATGTCTGGGTTTTCCCAGGAATCTGGCTGCAAAATGCTGTCTGGGCAGATTTTCGGTGAATCTGCAAAATGTTCGAGCAATTATTATTTTTTAATGCTTAAAAAATCCAAGAAGAGCCCTCGGCCCCCAATGGCAACCTACTTTTGGGGGGTGAAGTCAAACCATTGGAGAGTTATAGCACCTTGTGTGGCTATAGAGACCGATACGGGAGAGACATGTTTTGTTGCAGCTGGGGCAGATGAAAGCATCTGGTTTAACAGCTACGGATGCAACATGGCATTTCTTCTCTCTGTACTCCTCCCAGCAGTCATTTCTCCTCTGGTCACTGCTGTCTGTCTCCAGACACTGCTGTTCTCTGCCAAGCCCGCCAATTAAATATCATTCACTGCCAAACAGCAGCAATGATTTCAGAGACAGTCCCATTTTTCCTTCTGCATGTCAACACCGCACATTTCGCAAGCATTGAATTCATTTGAAGTTTGCGTATGACGTATTGACATCTCAGCAGCAGTTTTATGCTGTGTTAATTGAAGGAAAATGTGTTAGTTTGTTTTTCCTGCGGTGCACAGCTTAAATGTAAGACTTTGCTTTCTGTCTCAAAACAGTTTGAGGAAGATGTTTTGGACTGTTGCATGTACCTTCTGGACAAAAGCCAGCTCAAACCAAAGGCCAAGAAAGATCCCGTGATCATCTCCAGGGCCATGTCAGCATTGGTAAGTCCTTAAATGTATCTTTTAACTCAAGATTGGATTCTTTGGGGTTAGGACAAGAAATCTGAACCAATACCTTCAGATCATGCCTTGTACACCTGTCGTGGCCATAGCATAATACAGAGAAAGGGAGTGTGTGGCCGTCCAGAGCTATAGCTCAGTGGTAGAAATTTAATTAATTAATAATAATAAACTTATATGTCGCCGATCTGACTAGTTTACCCCAGCCACTCTGCACGGCTTGCTTTCCCCCTCTTTTTTCTTTATTGGAAATATTTGTTATTGGTTTTCACAAGAACAAATTTAAAATAATAAAAAGAAAAAACTCTTAATATATCCCTATATGAGATTCTCTGAATCTCGTGACTTTCCCCCATCCCCCTGCATGGGTCCTTAAAATAATTTTTTTAAAGCTAAATATCATTACGTTTGCCACAGTTTTCATCTCTCTAAATTATCCATGTCTTTCATTTCTTTACAAGTCATTTTTAAAGTCCAGCTAATGTTTTTATTTGTTTACAATGGTCTCCTAAGTAAGTTATGATTTTTCCCCGTTCTTTTTTAAAGTCGTTATCTTCTTGATTCCTGAGTCTCCCAGTCAGTTTTGCCATTTCAACATAGTCCAGCAGTTTGGCTTGCCATTCTTCCCTAGTTGGGACTGCTGGTTCTTTCCATCTTTGGACTAGTAGTATCCTTGAAGCTGTTGTCACATATATAAACAGTCTTTTCTGGTCTTTTGAAATGTCAGAACATGTAATTCCTAGTAGAAAAGCTTCTGGTTTTTCGACAAATGTTATTTTAAACATTTTTTCCCCAATTCATTGTATATCACTTCCACTGCGCGGCTTCCAGCAAATTAAAACACAACATCAAACATTAAAAACTTCAGATGTCTTCTAAAAGTCAGGTAGTTTATTTCCTTGACATTTGATGGGAAGGCCTTTCACAGGGCGGGCGCCACCACCAAGAAGGCCCTCTACCTGGTTCCCTGTAACCTCACTTCTCGCAGGGAGGGAACCGCCAGAAGGCCCTCGGAGCTGAACCTCAGTGTCCGGGCTGAACAATGGGAGCGGAGCTGCTCCTTCAGGTAAACAAAGCCATTTAGAGGTTTTGTTGTATGGTTCTGCTATCTTCGTTTGTTTTTTAGGTTAACTCCGAGGATGATCGTGGAGTGGTGTTTGCAAGCTGGTCAGGGAAATATACTGGTGGTACGCCGCCTCTAGCCTGGACAGGAAGTGTCCCCATTTTGCAGCAGTATTACAGAACCAAAAAAAGTGTCTTGTATGGTCAGTGCTGGGTTTTCTCTGGAGTGCTTACCACAGGTGAGGCATGCATTTTGGAGGGAATTCAACTAACCAAATCCTCCATCTTTGCGAGCAGCCTTCTTTTGATGGATACAATACAAGAAGCTGGGAAATAAGAGTGGGGCTGTTTCCCTCAAACCAAGCTTGCAGGCTCCCCACTAATATATTGGAAACGGGGTGTTGCACTAGGTCAGGGGTCGCCCACCTTTTGGACCCCAGTGGGCACATTTCAAATTTTGAGGAAGTGCTATGGGCGCCATTCACAAAATGGCTGCCAGGTTGTGCCACAAAATGGCTGCTGTGAGGGGAACTGCACATAGTATACCATTACTACTGTTCCATTAACCCAGGGACTATCTCATGCTTTCTGTGACAAGTCAGCTATGTCCACTGGTCCTGACTGTAGAGATCAAAGGGGATCATTCCCTTGTACCAGGAAAAATATACAAGCATTGCTATCTCTCTTGCACACAGACCCACTTGCTGCACATTTGCAGGTCAGAGACACGCCAAGCGTCTCTGCTTCTCACTCAAATACACACACATCTCTTCCTGTCCTTCCCTTCATGGTGGTGCCTGCTGCCAGCTCCACAGACCTGGTGGGCAACAAACAATGAAATAAGATGGGCCACTAAACAAGCAGGGATCCACTCTTGCCAACTCCCTCCCCAGTGCCCAACAGCATCAAGGAAGACCTTTGTGGGTCTTCAAACTGTTGTACAACTGCACAATTGAGATCACGGCACCATTTGCCCTCCTATTCCAGCCCAACCTCATATCTCCTTCTGTGAACTGAGCTCATTCTTATCCCTTGGAATATTTCCCCTGATTAAATTCTGAACTCTAATGGGTGTTGAGTGTGGCTGAAAGGAGCCGACTGAATCTGGAGCCGACATCCTTCTCTGTGTTTCAGTTATGCGCAGCCTGGGGATTCCAGCCAGGAGCGTGACCAATTTTGCTTCAGCTCACGACACAGAGGAAAATCTTAAAGTTGACATTTACTTGAATGAAAACGGAGGAAAAATGGAGAATCTAACAACAGACTCGATTTGGTAATCATCGCTACAGATTACTAACTAACTCTTTCTGAAATTCCCACTCGTGGGGAAAAAATGGTTGTTAAGGAGCAAGTTGAGAGCCTAACCCTTATTGCATTTAATATCATCCTCTCCACCCCATCCTTGGTCTAGTTTCATATACTGAGATGCCTGGAAATTCATCAGATTACACTGAATTGTTAAATCGATGGCCAGTTACTATTTATGCCTTCCTATACCGTCCAATTCTAATGTCTGTTTGATCATGAAAGTACAGCTGATGATAATTTTTGATTTTAATTCTGAAACCTGACTGAATACAGGAACTTCCACGTATGGAACGATGTCTGGATGAAAAGGCCGGACTTACCAAAGGGCTTTGATGGCTGGCAGGCGATTGATGCCACCCCTCAGGAAAAGAGTCAAGGTAAGACTTGGCTGAAATTTGCAGGAATGGATGTCTTCTGTGCAGATGAAGCCTGCCAAATTTCAGACAGACAGGTGCTGTGTGTGTGGTGTGCATGCGCAAGCAAGGGAACTCTTCAAAGTTTGGAAGTAAAGAGATTTGTTCAGTGTTTTTATTTGCAAATACCACGTATGATAATATTTCCTGGTTGAAAATCAAAGCTGTCAGTCCCAAAACTAAACCTTCCTTCTTTCCCATCTTCTCTTCTGGTGTTTTCATTATATGGAGAGCTTGGGGATATGTAACAATTTTAAAGAAACAGTCTTGAGTTCTCTGGACTGCTGCAGTTTCAAGGCGGTCCTGAAGTTTAACTAGCAGATTTAGTGAGTTGCAGATGCCTTGAAGTACATTTGATTCATCTTGGAATAAGTCTAAGCCGAAGGCCAGGCAGAACAGCTCTGTCTTGCAGGCCCTGCAGAAAGATGTCAAATCTCACAGGGCCCTGGTCTCTTGTGACAGAGCGTTCCACCAAGTTGGGGCCAGTGCTGAAAAGGCCCTGGCCCTAATTGAAACCAATCTGACCTCCTTGAGGCTCGGGACCTCCAAAGTGTTGTTATTTATGGACTTTAAGGTCCTCTGCGGGGCATACCAGGAGAGGCGCTCCCATAGGTACGAGGGTCCTAGGCCGCATAGGGCTTTAAAGGTCAAAACCAGCACCTTACACCTGACCCTGTACTCCACCGGGAGCCAGTGCAGTTGGTAAAGCACTGGGTGAATATGCTCCCATGGCAGAGACCCCGTGAGGAGCCTCGCCGCTGCATTCTGCACCCACTGGAGTTTCTGGGACAGCTTCAAGGGCAGCCCCGCGTAGAGCGAATTACAGTAGTCAAGCCTGGAGGTGACCATCGCATGGATCACTAAATTTCTCCAAAGTCACCCAGTTTGTCTCAGAATTTGGGATTTGTCAGAATTGAATTCACAACCCAATACACCATATGATTCCATGCAAGAAGTTTTGTTTAGTCACGTGAATTATGAAAATGTGGTACAGTGGTGTGTCCCAACAACATATTCTAATATCCACCTTTTCTACCACGCTGAGACCCAGCTCAGTATAATCTTAGAACAGACAAATTCTATGGACTTCCTGACATGATCCAAGTATTTTCATAGATGCAAAACTGCAGGTGACAAAGACCTGCAAATGACAGTGAAGGTTAATTGAAAACATAGCACACCAGGAGCTGCAATTTTAGAATAGTTATTGCTATTATTTAGCTGTCATTGAATTCTGGGAATTCTGGGTGAACATACAAATAGTAAAACAGCTGATGTAGGTTGTGTATGTGTGTTTTTTTACAGGGATTTACCAGTGTGGCCCTACTCCAGTAAATGCAATCAGAAAGGGAGAAGTCTATCTTCCCTATGACTCCAAGTTTGTGTTTGCTGAAGTGAATGCAGACAGAGTCTTTTGGCTCGTAAAGAATGTGGATGGCAAGGAAACATACACCAAACTGCGTGAAGAAACCAAAGTAATAGGGAAGAGCATCAGCACCAAAGCTGTTGGGAAGGACACTCGTGAAGACATCACAGGCCAATACAAATTTCCTGAAGGTGACCAAAACACAGAAGTATTTTCTGTCAGGGGAGGAAATGATTATTTTCCACACAGACTAGTAATTTCAGATGGAGGCTTCTTGGGTAATAATAATAATAATAATTTATACCCTGCCCATCCGGCTGGGTTTCCCCAGCCACTCTGGGCGGCTCCCAACAGAATATTAAAAACACGATAAAACATCAAACATCAATAACTTCCCAATACAGGGCTGCCTTCAGATGTCTTCTAAAAGTCAGATACTTGTTTATTTCCTTGACATCTGATGGGAAGGCGATCCACAGGGTGGGTGCCACTACTGAGAAGGCCCTCTGCCTGGTTCCCTGTAACCTCACTTCTCGCAATGAGGGAACCGCCAGAAGGCCCTCGGAGCTGGACCTCAGTGTCCAGGCTGAACAATGGGGGTGGAGATGCTCCTTCAAGTATTCTGGGCCGAGGCCATTTAGGGCTTTAAATGTGAGCACCAACACTTTGAATTGTGCTCGGAAACATATTGGGAGCCAATGTAGGTCTTTCAGGACTGGAGTAGGTCTTTCAGGACTGGGTCTCAGCCGGTGTTATATGGTCTTGGTGGCCGCTCCCAGTCACCAGTCTAGCTGCCGCATTCTGGATTAGTTGCAGTTTCCGGGTCACCTTCAAAGGTAGCCCCACGTAGAGCGCATTGCAGTAGTCTAAGCAGGAGATAACCAGAGCATGCACCACTCTGGTGAGACAATCCGCGGGCAGGTAGGGTCTCAGCCGGCGTACCAGATGGAGTTGGTAGACAGCTGACCTGGACACAGAATTAACCTGCGCCTCCATGGACAGTTGTGAGTCCAAAATGACTCCCAGGCTACGCACCTGGTACTTCAGGGGCACAGTTACTCCATTCAGGACCAGATAGTCCTCCACACCTGCCAGCTCCCGTCCCCCAAAAACAGTACTTCTGTCTTGTCAGGATTCAACCTCAGTATCAGAAATGGGTGGCATTTATTGCCTTAAACGAGTAAAACAAACAAAACAGAACCTTCAGCTTTGCAAATTGTACACCTAAAATGTAATGGATTCATGAGGCAAACATGTTTGGAAACGCATATATCTCTCAGCCATGCTTGTCAAGTAACTAATTTGGGTTTGCCATCCTCTACACTTCACAGAAACCTGGCTAACAGGTAGTGTTTGAAGTGCCCTTAGTCAGAAATTATACACACTCATAAAATATTTTGGCTAGAGATTCAGATACCATGTCTTCATCCTGAGAGAGTGAGCATGGCCTGCCATGCTCTTTATATTTGACAAAAACAAAGGGTATTTTTGCTCTGGCCATGCCATGCAGCTGACAACGGAAAATGTTTCCAATGACGCCAGGGTCAATTGTTTCCCCGCTTTCCTGTTTTTGCAGAGAGTCCCGAGGAAAGGAAAGCTGTGGAGACGGCTTGTTCCTATCTGCAGTCTAACAATCTGGGAATCTGTGAAGTGACACCTCCCCCTGAACCCCTCAAGGCGAACTTGAAACTTGGAATGGAAGGAGAGAAAGAATTGTGGCCAGGGCAGCCGATTGAGTTGAATCTTATTATAACGAACGAGTCTGCAGGTGCCTGGACAGTCAACGTTGCAGCATCGTGCCAGTTAGAATCATATACTGGGAAAGTGGAGGCTAGCCTTGCCACCATCAAACAGACTGTCCAAACAAAAGACAAGGCAGGTGTGTATACCTGAAAACGGCTGTTCTAAACCACATGCTTTTTGATGCCATGATCGCTGCCCACTTCCCTACAGGAGGAGAGCCTCTCCCTGCTGGAAACACAGCTGTTTTGAGCAATGTACAGAGCTCCTTTTGCAGAGTTAGAACATTGAGAACTGCCTTATGCCAAGTCAGACCATTGGTATATCTATCTCAAAAGGGACTCAGGTGGCGCTGTGGTCTAAACCACTGAGCCTCTTGGGCTTGCCAATCGAAAGGTCGGCGGTTTGAATCCCCGCGACGGAGTGAGCTCCCGTTGCTCTGTCCCAGCTCCTGCCAACCTAGCAGTTCGAAAGCACACCAGTGCAAGTAGATAAATAGGTACCACTGTGGCGGTAAAGTAAACGGCGTTTTCGTGTGCTCTGGTTTCCGTCACGGTGTTCCGTTGCGCCAGAAGCCATTTAGTCACGCTGGCCACATGACCCGGAAAGCTGTCTGTGGACAAACGCTGGCTCCCTCAGCCTGAAAGTGAGATGAGCGCCACAACCCCAGAGTCACCTTTGGCTAGACTTAACCGTCCAGGGGTCCTTTACCTTTTATATTTAGCTCAGTAATTTCTACACCAGGGATCAGGAAACTTTTTCAGCAAGGGGCCGGCCCACTGTCCCTCAGACCTTGTGGGAGGCCGGACTATATTTTTTGGGGGGAAATGAACGAATTCCTATGCCCCACAAATAACCCAGAGATGCATTTTCAATAAAAGCACACATTCCACTCATGTAAAAACACCAGGCAGGCCTCACAAATAACCCAGAGATGCATTTTAAATAAAAGGACACATTCTACTCATGTAAAAACATGCTGATCCATTGGCGGGCCGGATTTAGGAGGTGATTGGGCCGGATCCGGTCCCCAGGCCTTAGTTTGCCTACCCATGGTCTACACTGACTTGCAGTGGTCCTGCAGGGTTTCTGGCAGGGTTCTGTAGATGCCAGAGAATGAGCCTGGGACCTTTTACAGGCAAGGATCTACCACTATAGCTAAATCCCTTCTCTCGCCAGGTCTTTCACTCTCTCACTGGTTTATTTGTAGTGTTTTCCAGTTGGAAGCAGGAGGCACTGAGGAATAGGGTTGCCACCTTTCGGCAAAATAAGGGACAGGTTGGGGTGTGTGGGGGATTGGGAAGCTAAAGATTACCGTATTTTTCACTCTATAGGACGCACTTTTCCCCCTCCAAAAATTAAGGGGAAATGTGTGTGCGTCCTATGGAGTGAATGCAGGCTCCTTGGCTTCAGTGAAAGCAACGCGAAGCCTCCAAAGCGCAGAGGGAGCACTCCCTCCGCGCTCCGGAGGCTTCGCTTTGCTTTCGCTGAAGCCTGGAGAGCGAGAGGGGTCGGTGCGCACTGACCCTCTCGCTCTCCAGGCTTCAGGGATAGCCACCTGAAGCCTTCGGAGTGCAGCGGGAACTCGCGCTGCACTCCGGAGGCTTCGGGTTCCTTTTGCTGAAGCCGGGAGAGCAAGACTCTCCTGGCTTCAGCAGAGATGGAGAGCTGCACAGCGCCCCTTCAACCAAGCGGGAGGAGAAATGGAAGGGGCTCTGTTTCTCCTGCCGCTTCGCTGAAGGGGCGCTGAGCAGAGAGGGGGAGAATTTTTTTTTCTTCTTCTCCCCCTCTAAAACAAGGTGTGTCCTATGGCCGGGTGCGTCCTATAGAGCGAAAAATACGGTACTTTACCTGGTAAAGAAATGACTTCAAAGCGACCCATTACAATCATCAAATGGAAGCTGTCAGTACCTGCAAACAATCCAGCAACAATACTGAAAGGCAGTGCTCCCCACCTGCTGAATTTCTGCCTGCCAGGAGGAGGATAAATGTAGAAACCCAGTCGAAACAAAAAAGAAAGGAAGGTGGGGACAGATAGCAGCAAATTCTTAGCTTTGAAGGGGCCGAGGCTGTTGCTCCAGGAAACATTTCTTCTTAGAGCCATTGGTAAGAGTTTGGCCCAACTCAGAAGAACCTTCTGGCGAGCTCTATTGGCTAGCCTGGAGCATCAATCAGCCAGCTTTGGAGGGTGGGCTCAACACAAAGGAGGAAACTCTAATGCTGATTTTATTTTTTCATGACTCTGAAAATGGGTTTGACCCTTCTGGTCCCTTCCATCTCTAAAAATTCTATAACTGTGACTCGATAACACCATCCCATATGCAAGGCCCGCGGGCTTCCTCCTTCTGCATTGTTCCTCTTCCTAGCTGTCTCCTCTTTCTGTTGGTGCAGTTAATTCCATCCCTCTGAAAATAGCAGCTGATGCTTACCTGAAAGCACTGATGTCAATAGAAGATGAACTTCTGGTCAATGTCAACATTATTGCCGAGGTTCAAGAAACAAACGAGAAGCTCACGGAAGAGCTGTCTTTAACCTTCAAGTACCCACCTCTGAAAGTGGAGGTAAGAAGTTAAATAATATTAGCTCGGTGCAGGGTGGTCAGTTTATGTAAAACCCGAGAGCAGATGAGCTGGAAAGAAAAATAATATAAAATAATATAAAATAAAATAGGTGAATGGAGAAGGGGCTCCACTGAATTATATGCCGTATTTTTCGCTCTATAAGATGCACCAGACCATAAGACGCACCTAGTTTTTGGAGGAGGAAAACAAGAAAAAATATATTCTGTATCGCAGAAGCCAGAACAGCGAGAGGGATCGCTGTCAGGCTTATGGGATAGCCGTGCGAAGCCTCTTCAGGTCAGGGGGAGCCTTCATCCCGCTGCCCTCAACAGGCTTCACGCGGCTATCCCAGAAGCTAGAACAGCGAGAGGGAGCGCTACACAGCTGTTCTGGCTTCTGGGATAGCTGCGCAGCCTGCATTCACTCCATAAGACGCACACACATTTCCCCTTACTTTTTAGGAGGGAAAAAGTGCATCTTATAGAGCGAAAAATACGGTATATTAGCTAGCAGGGCAAACACTGCTGCCTTAGGGCTCCACTTACCTCATCTGTTCAGATGGGGTTTGGGCTCGGAGGAAGTGTGTTTTGGCCCCAAGACCCATAATAAATTCCAAGTTTTACTTCTGGAGTGACAGTGGCTCAGTGCACCTGGTCAGTCTAGGTCCCAGAACTGGCCACTAGGAACTGACTTCTGCTAGGTTATAGTTCTCCCCAAACCAGTGGAACTCCCTTCCATAGCAGACCTTGCATCTATACATTGTCAGAACAAGGAAATCACACACTTACAATACTTACCTGGCCATCCAGGAGGGTGACTGGAGGGGAAAGAAAGGCAAGTGTTATAAGAAAAACTGCTCCCTTTCCCTTATGGGGTATTCCAGAGCCCGTATAGAGTCCTTAAGTGGCTTTCCTATTGGTAGGAGAAAACAGAGGCCAACCAGAGTATATTGAGAAGCAAAGCGGCTAGTAAGCCTGATCTTTATTAAAGGAACTGTTGCAACAGGGTCCCCACTCACCACACGCAGGAGGGAGGAGAACCCCAAACAATGGTGTGCAAGCCCACATATAGACTTTTGAAATTGCCCACCCTGTAGCCCAAGACCACCCCCCCCCCAAAACATCATACATACATCACAGAAGGAGGCGATCTACAGCAGAAAGACATCACAGGAGGTGGTCTATAGCAGAAAGACATCACAGGAGGTGGTCTACAGCAGAAATCCTGCCTGCCAGGATACCTGATAATGGTCACTGATTGTATTACCTGGCCAGTCTGGCCATGATTTTGTGATGGTTAATACTTTAGTTCCTGAATCCAGGTCACAGGCTCACCCTAATCATACACAAATGTGCTCTTAAGATAGGATTTGCAAGCAAAAAAACAAATGTGAAGGCTTTCCCTATTTGCCTCCCTTACTGCAGAGGAATATTTGAGGTCACTGGGAGAGTCAAAATGGCTTCAGGATTGCTCCCCCACACTATTTCAGACACATGGTTCATATATTCAGATATGTGTGCATTTATGAATATTTATTCTAGATTTCAGACCTTAAAATTTTTGTAACACAAGCAAGGGGATGGTTTGAACTCCCCACAATTTTTCTCCTACCCTAACCCAGCTCCCTTTCCCCGCAATATTGTGCCTTCAGACCTGTCTATGGATGGTGAACATTCACAATCATAACCTTCCTATTGTTTTTATATGAATGTGGATTGCATACACCTGACGTTTCCTTTCGTCATCTCGAATCCGTTCTTCAGTGGCCCTTCTTTCTTTTGCAGATGGCAGACACTGCAAAGATCAACCAGGATTTTACCTGTGCGTTTATTTTCAAGAACACACTGTGCATTCCCTTGGAAAACTGCAAACTGCACGTAGAAGGCCTTGGCATCTTTACGATGGAAACGTTTGATCAAGGGTAAGGTGCATGTAGCTAAAAGGGGGCAACATGCTGTGCACTGTTTTGCTGGCACTGCCTCTCTGACCTCCTCCCCTGGACCTTAAAGGAGAAGTTCAGTCTAGAACTTGAAATTGTAATAGTTCTTTCCCCCCCTTCTATTGCAGTAATCACTCACAGGATTACTCAGATTCGGTGGAGGACAAGGCTATCAAGATGATGCCTATGTTCTGTCTCCATCAGAGGCAGTATGCCTCTCGGTACCAATTTCTGGGAATTGCAGGAGGGGAGAATGCTGTCGTCCTCAGGTCCTGCTTGCATCTTCCCAAAGGCATCTGGATGCTCCCTGTGAGAACAGGAGGTTGGACCATTAAGAGCCAAAGAACCGCCATGTTGAATTTGTCTAGCATCATCTCTCCAAGACTAGCCAGACTGTTGATCATTTGTTTGAGCTGCATACAGCCGTTAAAAGGGGATGCAGGTGGTGCTGTGGTCTAAACAAGGGACGTCCAACTCCCAATAGCCAGCGATCTACTCACAATATTAAAAAACTGGCAGTGATCTGCCAGAGTTGTTGAGGTGGTTGAGCTTTTTCTGGAAAGGCAAAGCTGTTGATCTTGTTTTGGAAAGGCAAAGTTGTTGAGCTTCTTTTAGGAAGCCAGAGTTGTGGAGGTTTCTTTGGGAAGCCAAAATTTTGAGCTTTTTTGGGAAAGCCAAAGTTGTTGAGCATTTTTTTTGGGGGGGGGGAGGGGAGGGGAACACTGAGGGGCCAGAGATCTACCAGGAACGCCCCGCGTTCTACCAGTAGATCACGATCTACCTGTTGGACATGCCTGGTCTAAACCACTGAGCCTCTTGGGCTTGCCGATCAGGTCGGCAGTTCAAATCCACAGAACAGGGTGAGCTCCCATTGCTCTGTCCCAGCTCCTGCCAACCTAGCAGTTAGAAAGCATGTAAATAGGTACTGCTGTGGTGCGAAGGTAAACGGCGTTTCCGTGTGCTCTGGTTTCCATCACTGTGTTCCGTTGCACCAGAAGCGGTTTAGTCCTGCTGGCCACATGACCCGGCAAGCTGTCCGTGGACAAACGCAGGCTCCCTTGGCCTGAAAGTGAGATGAGCACCATAACCCTAGAGTTGCCTTTGCCTGGACTTAACTGTCCAGGGGTCCTTTATCTTTTTTATTCAATGCAACATCTCTCATTCATCATTTCCTAGACTGGAAGATACCCCGTTTGACAGATCCACATATCTACAAATATCTCACACAATTCATGCGCACCATGTTGTGGTTGCCACGTAGCTGGTAGGCATGACATGGAGCCCTCAATCAGTTTTGCCCACCTCATTACCAACCAAGCCCAGTGTTGTAAGTCTGGCAATTCATGAAGCCACTTCCAGGCATTTTCCTCTTCATTCCTCTCCTGATTCGAGGAGAGCACCAAAAGGGCAATCCTACTTGTGTAGGAGCTCCTTCGCGTGGGCTTTTGATTGTGGATACACTCCCCCAAGGAATCTAGCACACATAGAGCTATGATATGTGAGTCTTTGTCATTTTATTTTTTATCCTTTGTAGGGACATAGCGCCGGGTGGAATCTTTAAATCAAAAATTGTGTGCGCACCAAGGAGAGCCGGACTGAAGAAGATTGTGGCCAAACTGAACTCCACCCAGCTGAAAGGAATAACTGCGGAAAAGATTATTTCAATCACAGAGTAGCTGTCATTCCAAAACGCCATCAGGCGCTGTCAGTGGCGGTGTGTGCAATGAAAGAGCCTTGTTGACGCTGCCTGAAGTCTTGATTATGTGCCCAAACATAGGAGAGTGAGAGACATAAATGCGATATTAAGGGAGTTTAAAGTGGCTTAAGCTGTTTTGATTCTAGCTAATGGGAATTTAATAGAGATTATTCAAATCTGTTCTTGCATGTGTGGCGATTTAGCAGCTTATGGTAACTAAAAGCATGATCTGTGAACTCTGGAGTGGGTTAGAGCTGTCTCTGTTTTCCTTTTGCCTGCACTTCTGAGCTTTGTGTAACGTCAGCAATCCTTGTTGACTTCTTATTCCTTTTGGCGTATGTGGCTACTTCTGCCATTTTCTTACTTCACATCGTTTGTAGGCCCAACTGCAGTACATTACGAATGTGACAGCAAACTAGTGCGGCTATAAACTGAGCCCCAAAATACAGAGGGGTAAAAAGATCATCACAACCACCAGCAACTAAAGACAAAACAGCAGGTGTGAGATGAAAATATCGATTCTTTAATAAGTACTGTTACACAGTCGAAGTCGGAAAACGAGGTACAAAGAGCAAAAAATAGAACACGTGAGATTTGTAAATGTACACACTCTTTAGTTGCATAGAATAGGCTAGTGCACAGTCTGCTTGTGAAAATAAAAGAATATTTTCTTGCATGCTGGCTCCCAGCCCATCATTTATTTAAAGCCTTTGAAACGAAGGCACCTTTAGCTTCCAGAACAGATGCATTTCTTATTTAAGACGTACTTCTGGTTTCAAGCAAACACTGGGGTCAATGGTTGCACAATATTGCAGTACATGATGAGTTTAATGCACAAGAGCATCTTCAACACAGCCGAGGTGCCACTTGTGCAAATACTTAAGATACTTCGCTTAAGGCAGGATATTCTGCTGGCTTCAACTGAGCTATTCACAGTAGGTGGAAATACACCTAGAAATGTAAACACTGGATCTCAGATCAAGAAGCTCATTTGGTGTGAAGTACCTTCTTGGGCTCAAGCCTAAAAGTCTCTCCGATAAATGAACAGAACAGTGTCTAAATTCATTTGGGTTCGGAAAGGGGGAAGGCAAGATTAGAAGCTTTGGTCAATTAACCTTGGTATTCTGTAAAACCGTAAAGCTTTATAAAATGGCCTGGGGACCTGAGTAAGGCACTTTTATTCAGTGTAAGGGAAATAGCTCCTGCTAAAATATTGAATCCCAAATTGCATTTATTCCTCAATTTTTCCTGTTTTTAATTTTTAAAAAAGGATGGAAGGGGAAGAATGGAAATCCATCGCTAGAGGGTATGTGACCATAGTAACCAACTCCCATGGGCCGAGGTCCCTTCAACCCCCACCCACAATAAAATATTTGAGGGGCTGAGTCCCTCCACAGTTGCTGGGCGTTGCCATTCAAATGGTGTGCATGCCATGAGTCTTGTGATGGGTTGTGCAGGGTGGGGCTTACCTGGGGCCCCCAATACAGTCATACCTTGGAAGTCGAACAGAACCTGTTCCACAAGCCCGTTCGACTTCCAAAACCAAAGCACAGCTTCTGATTGGCTGCAGGAAGCTCCTGCAGCCAATCGGAAGCCCTGTCGGACGTTCGGCTTCCAAAAATAGTCCGCAAACTTGAACAGTCACTTCCGGGTTTGCGGCGTTTGGGAGCGAAAATGTCCGACTACCAAGGCATTCGACAACCAAGGTTACGACTGTACAGGACAGGGAGGGAAAGCAGAATCCCTCTGTCAAAAACCAATAAATGTCACAAGACCACAGTGGCTTGGATTTTACCTTCTATTCAGAGAACACAACCCAGCTCCCTTCACAGAAAAGGGCTCTCTTGCTTTCTCCTTCAATCCACTGGCAACCACGGGAAGCAGAAATTTTGCGTAATTTGTGTGAGTGGAATTGCTTTCCCCTCACGGAGCCCCCGCTTTGGAGCCCAAGCCACTGGGAGCCTGCCTCTTGCTGCATTTACCTTACGCAGGCAGCGTCAAAGCAGAAATCTGCCAATTGTTAGACGGTTCTCACTTTAGGCCCTTAGCACTGCAATAGTAGCTATTACGATTTAACACTAGTACTTTGGAATGCAAAAAAACACGAAAACCACCCCAATCCTGCCAGCAAAGGCACGACATAGGTCCCTTTCGAAAAGGCATGTTTTCCCACACGGATGGCGAGCTAAAGAATTTAAGTAATTAGCATTTCCTGAACTGTTCACGGGCAGGAATTCATATTAAAGGCCACACATTATTTTCCTATTTATTCCCCACGCTCAGGACTATTTATTAGGGCAATAAAATTAGAATTTTTGTTAGGCATTTTGCTAATAGGTGCTCTACTGATAGCAGTGGAGAGGCTCCTTACAGAAAAATATGGATTACTGAACGGATTGCGACGGTCCCTCTAAGACAACCGGCAAATATGAGCTAGGATCACTGTTGAGTAGCAAGTTGCTATGTTCCCATATTTGACATTTAGCCTTCAAACATGGGCAGGTACAAATACATAGCCTGTCCGCAGTGTCAAAGAATTCCGTGCCTTATTCCAATTCAAGAGACTTGTTTTTTTAATGCAACTCCCAGACACAAAGCCAGAAGGTGAGTTGAAAATTTTGCCATGTAGCAGGAGAGGTTGCCAAGAATCATCATTGCAGATCTATCCATTCTATTTGGCCGTTGCTTTTATGCTTATTAAATCCCGCCAGAAAAGAATTCCACACACTTAATAGGCACATAACAATCATGACCGTCTGTGTTTCTTTTCTTCACTGAGTCCTCAGGTTTGAATTAGGGACTCGCATATTATGTATTGTGGAATTCCAAATATTTTGACAGCTGCCATTTTGATATATTTATCAATTTCCATTTATAAAACTACAATGCCTCTCTTCCTCCAATTATATAGCTCCATTATCCCTTCTAAAATGATATACTGCTTTAGAATCAAGCAGGTATTTAACTGAAGGCTGGCAAGTTGTAACTTGGACAGTGTGCGGAGGGAGTGAAGGTATAACTGCTCCTAGATTTTCCTTCCCCTTTGTTTGCTAGTTTAAAAAGGACCAGGTGATAAGCAAAACCTCTGCCTGAAATCTTGGGAGAGTCCTTGCCAGTCAGATTTGACAATATGGGCTAAATGGACCAGTGGTTTGACAGCATCACAGACCCCTGCTCATGTCCTGTAAGGGGTGGGGGGAAGAGTACAGGCAAAAAGGACCGGGGAGGAATGAGCAGGAGTTTAAAAAGGTACGCACGCATATGCTCCCAGTTACGAGACAGCCCTAGCTTAACTTCAATCCCTAGTCCCAAAATGGTGGGAATCTCTGAGAGCTTTTCAGTTCCCTTTTTGATACCTGAAAATTAGCTTCCCGTTTTAAAATTAGCTGTATTTCGATTATATTTTGTTATCAATAAAGCTTTAAGTCCTAATACAGTGGTACCTTGGTTCTCGAACTTAATCCGTTTGACTCCTGAACCTGTTTGAAAACCAAGGCGCGGCTTCCGATTGGCTGCACTCAATCGAAAGCTGCGTCGGATGTTCGGCTTCTGAAAAATGTTCGCAAACCCGAACACTTGCTTCCATGTTTGTGGTGTTCGGCAGCCAATTTGTTCAGGAGCCAAGCCGTTCGAGAACCAAGGTACCACTCTAATAGGCTAGGATCAAAAGAGCTACTCCTGGATATTTTTTTTCCCTTTAAATGTCACACAGCTCTTTTAATCAGGACGCCCCCCCCCCTCGTAAGCTGCTTTAGAAACTCCCTTCAGTTTCAAAAAAGTGTTTTGCTATGCCCTAATAGGCAGTGGGAGCTGACACTTAAAAGCAACACAAAACCCCAAAGCACAAAGAACACAGGTTGTTGTTTTTTAGATCCTAGCTATACTGAGCTCATCCATCACAGAGCTCTCCCTGTTCCCTCTATTTTTACAAAAAGACAACGGATAAGGTGCTAAATGGGCTCTCCCAACTGATAAACAACATAAAACGCAAAAATCCCCTTGGTAAATTATTATTTTTTTATAGCACCTGGTATTAAAAGGGAAGATTGAAGAAGCTATTTGTCTCTTTCTTAAGTCTTTGCTTCCAGAAACATTCTTGTTCTTAAAAACACTGCATCACATGTATCTTCTCTTGCATGGGGGTCGAGATTCAATAACACTGCGGCACTTGTTGTTCCCAGACTGCTCACTAGGCCCTACAGCTGCAAAGTAACCCGTCTCTGTTTTTATTAGAGATGCTCAGTATCCTCAACACTGAAAGTTAACCCTTTTGAGATACACGAGAATATTCACTCAAGGCTCTGCCATTCAAAGCGATCAGCCAAGTTGCTATGATAAACCAGCCTCACGAGAACAATTTACAAAAAGATGTGCTTTGGCCTTCAAGCTTCTACACCAGGCCAGAACCACAATTGCAACAGTTCTCTTTCAGAGCCAGAGACTCTCTGTGCTGCAAATTACCGAATTTTTCGCTCTATAAGACACACCAGACCACAAGACGCACCTAGTTTTTGGAGGAGGAAAACAAGAAAAAAAAAATTCTGAATCTCAGAAGCCAGAACAGCAAGAGGGATTGCTGCGCAGTGAAAGCAGCAATCCCTCTTGCTGTTCTGGCTTCTGGGATAGCCGCGCAGCCTGCATTCGCTCCATAAGACGCACACACAGTTCCCCTTACTTTTTAGGAGGGAAAAAGTGAGTCTTAAAGAGCAGAAAATACGGTACTCTTTGAAATAAATGTAGATCAATGGGGTATCTGTAAGTACAGTGGACCCTCCACATACAAACTTAATTCATTTCGGGGGTCCGTCCGTACCCCGAAAAGTCTGCATCTAGAGGTGCCGCTTTCTGTGCATGCGGTGAAACCTGGAAGTATACACTTCCGGTTTTGCTGCGCTCGCAACCCGAAAGTTACATTACCCGAAGGTAACGTAACCCAAGGATCCACTGTAAATGGTCTAATGCCAGATTCCAAACCACAAAAGACCAACACCCAAAATGTAGTTTTTACATACAAAGTTTCTACAGCTTAGCTGTACTAATGCTGGTTTTTTTAAATGTGCGTGGGGGGGGAGGAGGCTATTACACCTAATCTTTATAGTGATTTTGCCACAAAAAATGTGGCAAAACCCAACCGTTTATAGCACATTAATACTTCCTGAGGAATCCACTTACATATGTTCAATGGCGTGAGCGGAAACAATGTGGTTTCACTGGTCTCCAAGAGTCCAATACTGGGCTTGGATTTTAGTCCATGAATCCATTTTCTTGGCCGGTCTTTCACGAGCGCTCACCACCAGATCTGATGGGTAAGTAAGAGTTAAGCTAAGTTTTCGTTATTGCATATTTTTAGGCATGGTCAACTTTCGACAACCCGTTAATGTTTTGTTTTTCGAGTTACAGAAACTTGGTTAAAATCCTCATCGCCATCAGAAGGTCACCATCGCAGGAATGTAGCTGTACCGCTTCTTGTCAAGTGAGGTCCTTGGCTAAAGGAAGAGGGAAGCCTCATTGGTTTCATGCGTCACAATCTCTTAAAAAGCTACGGCTCAAGTGCTCGAGCTACAGAAGCATACGGAGATCTGCAAGGGCACCTTATTCGTCTAGCACACCCACAACCACCTCTTGAGGAGAAAGCTGCTCGAAAGCTTCCTGGACCGCCATCTCAGATGGAGCCACTGTTGCTGTGCCGGCTGGAGGAGCCTTCTTGCAACTGAGGTCTGAAAAAGGATTGAACCACCTCGGTGAAAGATCACCCCCGAAAGCCAGTTTCATCCCTTCCCAGCCGCTGACTTTTTCCCACGTCGGCTCCTGTTTTTTAAGCCGCTCTATGCCCTGCAGAAGACAAAAGTTTGGGGTTTATTCATCGCCGGCAGTTAAAAACCACAGAACTTGGGACACTGCTAACTAATCACCTGCTAATAACAGCATAAATAGAATTTTCTAGTTAGGGCTGTGAAGATTTTTTTCCCCCTTACAGTGTCCAGGCATAAATAAAAAGGAAGGAGCAGCTGGAAGGAGCTTGATAAATAAACTATTGTGAGATATTTCTCTCTACTGAGAGAAAAACAGTGTATTATACACTAACAGGGCATGACACCCCAAAATATTTTTTTAAAGATGTTTTTTCTTGAATGTTGCTCAGGGCCGCCCAAAAAGGCCTCAGGCTCAATGCAGGAAGGAACTATCTTATGAAAGAAAAAAATACCCTCTCCTTCTTTCCTAACCGTTAAAAAGCATGCAATTGCTAAAGGCATCTTTCATCTGAATAAATTGCTCTACTTCAAGCACACAGTGAGATCGGCTAATCCACTTTGTGCATTCCTATAGCAACAGAGACACTTCTACACCCAACTGTTGAGCAGCGAAACAGATTTTGTTACAGAAATATCTGCTTACTCATTGAACCAAGTCGGTGGGAACTAATTTAAATGAGTAGTCAGTGTACGGTTGATTTCAAACATTTTTTTTTAAAGACATGATTTAAACCCAAATTCTGGTACTCAACTTTCTTCCTCCTTGCATGCAAGTGGTTATTCAAAGATGTTTAACAACAGCAGCAACAACAACAACAACATCATAAAAAGGCACAGGAACAGTGTTCAGAAAAGGTTTATTGCATTTGTTTCCCATATGGAAGCATTGACAGAATTGAAAAGATGCAGCATTTACATAGTTTTGAAACGAGACAGATCTTAGCCTCCTTCACTGATTCCCACCCCGGCTTTGATTCAGTCAAAAGAATTAATTTGCAGTCAAAAGAAGAATAGCTTATTTGCAGTTCTACCATCTTATAGTGCTGGATCTTGTTTTGTTTTTTGCAATTACTATGATGGCTCTAATCAGTAGTTTTTTGGATCCAAAATATACAATAAAATCCCTGTCGAGATACCCCAAAAAATAATAATTCTACAGACTTAAGTCGTTTCGGGTGTAAACTAGTTAATTCTACTCGCTTTTGTTTTATACAGAATGCCCTCTACTCAAGTTCCCGTTTCCCAGATCTTACTACATATAGAGCTTGCCGTCCACAAAGCCGTGACAGAAGACATGCATGATCCTTTAACACTTGACATCTCCCCAATGTAAAATATATAATATGTATAAATATAAAGGAGAAAAGACATTTACAGAGATATAAAAAAGGTGGCAATATTTCTTTTAAAAAAAGACAACGCATCTACGGAAACATCCTGTGCTTAGGTTCTCATTTGGACCGGCAAGCCTACATACATATGAACACTGTTGAATCCCTCCTTTTATTTTTATTTTCCAAAACAAAGACAGACATCACCTTGCTATTCTATACATTGAAATAAAGATTTCTCCCTCCTCCAGTCGTAAGGCATCAAAACCCACACACGCCGACAAAAACCTTCCGCCGTTTAGCCCAGGAACCAGGGAGAGGATGGAACCAAACAGCATAAAAAAATTGAAAAAAGGGGGGAGGAGATGGAATCCTTTCTGTAGCTTCCCAAAGTACGGTAATGTCGGCAATACATTTGAGACATTAAAAGCTAGGCAATTTTGTTATTAACAGGCTCGGACTTTTGTTCTTCCATCTTTCGGTTCTTAGCGAGGCTTAAAAGCTCAGGGTGGGGGTGGAAGGGAATATCGCAACACAAAGAGGCCCCCATAGCCCACCGAAAGCGTCAGCTGCCATCCCAAAGTCCATAATTTGTTACGCAACGAGATGGCACTGTTGGCACAGATTGTCACTCGGGTGCCAGTCAGGGTGTGTAAAGACTGGAGGTGGGCGCCAAGAAAAGAGAGACCCCCCCTTTTCCATTAGTTATGTCATACAGAAAGCAGACAGGAAACCAAAACAGACCCATCAAGTTAACAGGTTAAAAAAGAAAAGAAAAAAAAGCTTTAGCCACCAGAGACAAAGAATGACCGAAAAGTTCTCTTTTTTAGTTGTTTTTAGACTACAGGGCGCTTTTTTTTGTCTTTTCTCTGCCATCATCAGCCATTTAATAGGCGTTTTTTTCTTTAAAAAAATTCGTTTGAAACATTCATGTAGAATAACAGTAGTGCTGTAAATGTGGTTTTTGTGTTTTAGTGGAAATGCTGTTCATGGAGTCTTAGACCACATACTGATAGGGGTCTGCTTTTCCTTGATCAGGAGTGGCAAATGGGCTAAGCCAAACTATAGAGAACGGATGGCCAAATACTGCTTTCATGTTCATCCATTTTGTTTTTTTAGCCCATCTTCTCTCTTCTTTTTTCAACTGTTCTATTCCCTGAAAACAGAAACATGACATTTTCAGTCAGGAACTTAACTTGGTAGTTCTGGTTTCGGGGAAAAAGGGTCCCTACCCTTTAATCAAATGGCTGCAGCAGGAAAATAACCAATTCCCTGAACACTCCCCACTTTGTGAGTTTGCAAAAGGAGAGAAAAAGAACGAACACAAACCAGCAGCAAATTTATGAACAAAGAGGAAGTCATATAACGTGTTATGAAAGTTTTAGGAAGTCTCCAAATAAAAGCATTGGATAAGGGAGCCAAAAAGGTTTTGTGCAAATGGTTAATCCCTCCAACCGCTTCCAAGTTCTCCACAAGGAAGTTCAAGAAATGCCCGCTTTTTAAGCCCCACTGAATCTTCTGACTAGCAAGCTACAGGCTGTGTCAGCAGGGAAAAAGAGTTGCAGGATAAAGACGGTGCATATATCAAAGTGAAAAAAGGTACCCCATTAGTTTAGGAACGGTTAGGGGGAGAGCAAACTGAGACGTTTCCGATAACACATCATTTGTTTGCTGACCACTTGCATGTTAGCGTTTGCAATCACGACTCCAAATCTGAAAGAACACCGACACAAAGTGTAGAGTTGTACACTGGGAAATGAATCAGTTTTCTAAAATACAGTGCTACCTTGGTTCTCAAACGCTTTGGTACTCAAACAACTTGGAACCCAAGCACTGCAAACCCGGAAGTAAGTGCTCTAGTTTGCGAAGTTTTTTGGGAAGCGGAACGTGCTCTGTTTGGAGTGTTATGCTTCCGATTTGAGTGCCACGCTTCCAATTTGAGCGCCACGCTGAGCTCTACCTTTTTTTCCTATTTATTTTGCGTTTTTGTGGCTTGTTTTTTGTTTTGTTTTTGTGACTGTGTGGAACCCAGTTCAGCTACTGATTGATGGATTGTGTGACTGCGGTACGTTGTTTATTGCTTTCATTTTATGGACCAATGGTCTTTTTAGATAGCAAAATTCATGTTAAATTGCTGTCTTAGGGGTTGTTTCAAAAAGTCTGGAACGGATTAATCCATTTTGCATTACTTTCTATGGGAACGCACGCCTTGGTTTTGGAACGGTTTGGTTTTGGAACGGACTTCTGGAATGGATTATGTTTGAGAACCAAGGTATTACTGTATGCCGTGTCAAAGATTTGAGGCCCATTTTTCACACTGACATTTAGAAAGGTAGGAAGGACAGAGTGCAATGAAATGAGAAACTCTAGGGAGAACCAAGTCACAGAGCCAAAGGAAGCTGGGGGGGGCGGGCACTCACAATACCAGGTCAAACACAGAGGAACTACAGTTGTCACATTTATCAAAATGGGGACCTGGAAATATATTGGAATCTTGGGTACAGCCAGAAGGGATCATGTGATAACAGGTGTTAATTATGCAGAAAACCTGTCATGGTGGTTAAGTGTACACACTGTGGCAAAGAAAATATTCCTATATTTCTAAATATTTCTACGCGCGCACACACAAAAAATGACTGTGCCTAAAAATAGCCATGCAAGCTAAGGAGAGATAAGGTGATCCTTGATTTAAATGCTTAGCAGTGAATGGCTCTCATCTGAGCAATGAGCAATTTCAAGCCACTTGAAGAGAAACTAAAACAGTATCAAATTCATCATATACACACCAGAAGAGAATTGCCTAGAAAGTCCCCCCCAGTCAAATGCATTTCCAGAAGCAGCCATTCCTCAAAAAAGGGGGGGTGGGGGTGGAGATAAGTTAAAAAGGAAGTTGGAGGCGAGAGTCAGGAAGCCCCAAAATTGCTTTATAGCCACTATAAAAAATGATCCAACAGAACATAAAACTCCAATTTAGGCAGGCATCAACGGATGGGTGCTTCCGGAACGCTTCAAAAACTTATTTGCTCAGGCTTTTCCAGGTCATTAATGCCTGAATCCTGTAGTTTATATTCATATTTGACTGAAAGGTTTTTATAGATGTTTTATGATTTGGGGGAAAGATTAGTACTCACTGGGGTCTTTTTGTGACCCTTCCTGGAGTCAAAGGCAGTACAGAAAATTATACTAATCAATAAATACATCAGAACTGGTATGAATACGAAAAGAGCTGCAAATTTAATTCTTTAATAAAACAGAAATCTTCCTAAACTGAAGGAAATGGGCGGGTGGCGAGAAACAGCTCTGGCAAAATGCGGAAATCGCTAAGGCGTAGAGAGAAGAGAGGTGAGGAGCAAATTGCTGGAGGCACAGATACAGCTAAATATTTCTTTAAGAAATATAGGCAAGGAGTCAGGGAGATGGCAGGACCTCTGGATAATATATAAAAGGGTCATCTGAAGGAGGACCTGGCGACAGCAGAGAGCAAGGTAGATTATTTTCATCTGCTTAAGCCGCAGAAGATGTTAGCGATGCCAACATCTGACACATCCGAGTCAAACCGAGAAAGGCAATGTGTTTCAACTAGCGATCGCTGGATCTGGATGACATTCATATGCAAATGTAAAGTTGCTCATCTAAATAGTCTACTTACAAAATCAACCTCATCACCGACAAATATAACACTTTTTTTTAAAAGGGAGATTTGGAGGCAAATTGGGGTAACGGCAGACTCATCAGCCTAATTTCTGAGCCAGGTAAGATAAAATTATGAAGCGTATCGAAGAATAAGCCTCGCTGAGAATGAAGTAGCACGGCTTCTGGAAAGACAACTTCTGCCTTAACAATATTTTGAGAATCCTTTGAGTCTCAACAGGTGTGTGAGCCAGTAGATCCTGAATGCATTCAGTTGTAACAGCAAAACATGATTTACTGTTATGAACAGCTATAAACTTGGGGCCTGCACATACCCTTCTCTCCTATGGCATTCAAACAGAGGAGGAATTCAGAACTTCTGCTTGCAGCAAACCTAGTAAACTGTGGTTTATGCAAAGCAGGTTTAGGCCACAGTTTGAAATCCTGGCTTTGCCTTGATGCTTGTGAAGGTAAAGTACTGTTTGCCATCATGCCTGGAAGCATAACTTGAAGCTTTTAACCAAGTTTGGCAGGATGCACTAAGGATGGTGGAATCTAAAGCAGAATGGAGAAGTTTTGGAACATCTCTCCAAACTGGGTGATGAGCAACAAAAGGGCAAAACAATATTCAAGTAAGTGCAAAGTGATACTCAGGGCAAAAAAAAAAAAGACCCAAAGTCTAACTTCATATTTACATCGGTGGGATCTGAATTTACATGCAACTACCCAGAAAAGAGATTTTGTAGTTCTGGAGGACTGTGCATACAAAACGACAGTTTAGCATGTAGTAAAATATAGTTGTACCTTGGTTCTTGAATGGAATCCATTTTGGAAGTTTGACTTCCAAAAATGTTTGAAAACCAAGGCATGGCTTCTGATTGGCTGCAAGAGCTTCCTGCATGCAATCGGAAGCTGCGTCGGACGTTCGGCTTCCAAAAAAAGTTCTCAAACACTCACTTCCGGGTTTGCGGCATTCGGGAGCCAAAACGTTTGAGTCACAAGGCATTCGAAAACCAAGGTACAACTGTGTGTATGTGTATGTGTCGACAGCAATTTGTCAAGATTTACGTTAAGCCATTCTACAGCTGACCGCATATATGAGCATCTATATTCAAAATGCAAGTTGTAACTTTTCTAGATGCAATTGGCTTAGGGCCTGAGTACCTTATGGACTGCCATCTGCATAGACCTTTCCAGGTATGAAGATCTCCCTCCAATGTGCTTCTCCATGTCACTCCCTCTACACACACACACACACACACACACACACACACACGACGAGGTCTTCTCTGCTATGGCATCATGGCTTTGGAATGCCTTCCCCAGGGAAACTGACTGGCTACTGAATCTGACGTCCCTTTGGCACCAGTGAACAACTTTGTTTTGCTCGAGTCATTTAATACCTTTTAGAACTGTGAAGCTCTTAGCCTCCTGCTTGCTGCCATCAGTTAGTCATTTGCCATTTTTATACAGAATCATTTTGTTGTGTTTTAACTCCTGCCCGCTGCTGCTGGACTTTTGTATGCTGTTCTGTTATTGAACTTCTGGCACCTACTGAAGACTGTTATATTCCAGCAGACATTTTAACTGAAGTTTAATTTTGCAGTTTTAACTGATTTTTACCTTTTTTTACTGTATCCTTGTAAAGCACTTAGAGCCAATGGTAGTCAAGTGGTTTATAAATAGTTTGAATAAATAAGAGCACCCAATTAAAATTTTGTAGCGGCAGCAAATGTGAGTGACATTGGAAGCAGTGACTACCGTATTTTTTGCTCCGTAAGACGCACCTAGTTTTTAGAGGAGGAAAACAAGAAAAAAATATTCTGAAAGAAACAGTGGGTGTATGATTTTTGTGGTTCATGCTGTGGCCACAGACATGTGATTTGACGGTGAGTTTGGGGTAGCCCAATGCAAAAATCCTGAGGATCCATGTGGATCCGTGCTTTGTAACCACGTTTTAAGTTGGGAGGGAAGGAAAAACACTGAAGGGACAAGGAGCATGCGTGGGGTGTGGAGAAGGAGCTTTTCAGCGAGCTGAGCAGGGAGGAGGGAGGGAAAGAGCACGATTGCTTTAAAGGAGCCAACCGGACAGGAGCCGCTTATAGCTACCTGTGTAAGCAGCTCCTCTCCCACTTTGCTGCTTCAAAGCCATGGAGGAGGGAAGGAAGGGGAACCATGGATCCTCTGCTCACGACTGCAGCAGGATCCCCCCACCATCCGTAGGCATTCACTCCATAAGACGCACAGACATTTCCCCTTACTTTTTAGGAGGAAAAAAAGGTGCGTCTTGTGGAGCGAAAAATATGGTAGGTAAATAACCTGTACAGTCGTACCTTGGAAGTCGAACAGAATCCATTCTGGAAGTCTGTTCGACTTCCAAAACGTTCGGAAACCAAAGCACAGCTTCTGATTGGCTGCAGGAGGCTCCTGCAGCCAATCAGAAGCCATGGGACATTTGGCTTCCAAAAATAGTTCACAAACCAGAACAGTCACTTCTGGGTTTGTGGGGTTTGAGAGCCAAAACGTTCAAGAACCAAGCTGTCCGAAAACCAGGGTATGACTGTATAGAACAGTTTTTTCTTCGGAGATTATTCATTTTTAACCCTTTCTGCTTTGGCATTCAACTTACTTTTAGCTCCCAAGAAAACATGGGTAAGAGCAATGCGGTTAACCTGAAAGCGGGCATAGAATTCTTGGAAGGTTTATGCTTAAGCAAAACCCTCTGCAGCCTGGGGCTGCGGTCCTAAGCATGCTTACTAGGGAGCAAGCCCCACATAACAAAGTGAAATAGGCTGTTTAGGATTGCAAGGCATGACATGTACGTTTAGGCAGCTGAACTTAGACATGTTCACCTGGTAGGATGTGGGTGTGGTGGGGAGATTAAGTAGTGACACTACAGGTTCTGACTCCATGGATGCACTTTCAGGTATATATGACCTCATTAGTTCAAAGCCGTTTACTCCAGGAACGAAGTATTTACTTCCCACACATAGCAATGGATAGTTAAATATTAATTCATTATCTATAGGAGATGCCCTTTGCAGAAGTTGCTTTTTTAAAGATACTACTAAGTTGCCAAGCTCAGTTGCATGACAACCTTTTTATATAAGGTAAAGGACCCCTGGGCGGTTAAGTCCAGGCAAAAGTAACTATGGGGTTGTGGCGCTCATCTCGCTTTCAGGCCAAGGGAGCCAGTGTTTGTCTGCACACAGCTTCCTGGGTCATGTGGCCAGCAGGACTAAACCACTTCTGGCGCAACGGGACACCGTGGCGGAAACCAGAGCATACGGAAACACCATTTACCTTCCCGCTGGAGCGGTACCTATTTATCTACTTGCACTGGCATGCTTTGGGATTGCTAGGTTGGCAGGAGCTGGGACAGAGCAACGGGAGCTCACCCCGTTGTGTGGATTCAAACTGCCAACCTTCCGATCGGCAAGCCCAAGAGGCTCAGTGGTTAGACCACAGCGCAACCCGCGTTGATAATGGATATCAACAAAGGAAACAAACAGGCCTTTCCGTCTGATTTATGAGGGGAAACAAGCAGAGGACAAAAATGACTGTGTTGGGTCAGAGTGGCATCTATTTACAGCTGTCAATTCACAATAAAAGAACATCCTACTAACTAGGGAGTGCACCCCCCAGCAGCCATGTCGGAACACAGACACATCCGTCCTGCGACACAGAAGTTGTGAAAGGATGCTGAGACTGCAAGTTTCCTTCAGGTGTGTCAAGCGAAGGTCAATACTACAACATACCGTATTTTTTGCACCATAACACTCACTTTTTTCCTCCTAAAAAGTAAGGGGAAATATCTGTGCGTGTTATGGAGGGAATGCCTACGGGTGGCATGACTATGGATTTTCCTCCTCTAAAAACTACGTGCGTGTTATGGTCGGGTGTGTGTTATAGAGCGAAAAATACGGTAATAGTTCCTCACAATTCTCCTTTGAAAGGGGCAGAAAGCAGAGACGCAAGACATCCACTTTAATGAAACACTATGGTCCAACGCGGGTGGCACTGTGGGTTAAACCACAGAGCCTAGGACTTGCCGATCAGAAGGTCGGCGGTTTGAATCCCCATGACAGGGTGAGCTCTCGTTGCTCAGTCCCTGCTCCTGCCAACCTAGCAGTTCAAAAGCACAGCAAAGTGCAAGTAGATAAATAGGTACCACTCCGGTGGGAAGGTAAATGGCATTTCCGTGCGCTGCTCTGGTTCGCCAGAAGCAGCAGTCATGCTGGCCACATGACCTGGAAGCTGTACGCTGGCTCCCTTGGCCAATAAAGCGAGATGAGCGCCGCAACCCCAGAGTCGGCCACGACTGGACCTATTGGTCAGGGGTCCCTTTACCTTTATCTTATGGTCCAACTAAATACAGTCTTAACAATTGGCATGTTTCCCACCTAATTGGATGGTGAAGATTGTTATTTTAGGATACAGCTCCTCTACAGGCAGCTCGTGAATAAAAACGGCTTTCTACCATGTATCTCATATTGTCTTTGCATGTCAAGGTGTGAACAATAGTAAGAGACAATAGGTTGTACCCAACAAAGTTCTGCTTAGTGTAGACCTACTGGTATAGTTAAGTCATGTTTATTAATGTCAATGGGTTTACTCTGAGTAGAACTGACTTTTGCTACAACCCAGTGAAAACTGGGAACTTGGAATTACAGAAGCCGTTAAGATACCAGACTGTTGTGTGAGATTCTAGTCTATTTGGTGGAGTGAAAGAAAACTGCAAGGTGATTCCGATTACCATTCATAAAATACTTTTACACCTGCCTGGGGAACACGCTCACCAAAGTGAGAAAAGCATTTTTCTTAAAAGCGGCGTTCATCCAATAGAATAAAGCAAATTCACGCACTGTACGGAATTGGGGATGGGAGCAAGAGATCAGGAAGCACTCACCGTTTCATCAGTGCAGATGGAGTGTACCTGCGTTCCAAACATTACAGACGTGAAGATTAGAAAGAGGAGAGCCTCAAAACACAAGAGGATAAGAAGGATCACAGTCGTTGGCGGAGAGAAAGAACTGCACTCTGCAAAAACAAAGCGTGACATGGTATTCCAGGTAGAAGCAGGAGCCAATGGATGTTGTTATAGTACAGGCAACTCCCTGTTTAGGCGCGTCCAAATGACAGCGCCGGACCCGGAAGTAGGCTTTATGACATCATAAAGATGTCATGAAAAGGGACGGAAGAGGGCGGGGCAGATTTAGGTGCGTGGGGGTCTGCAATGGAATCCTCATGCAAAATGGGAATTATCTGTACAGTTGTACCTTGGTTTTCAAACTTAATCCGTTCTGGGAGTCTGTTCAACTCCCAGAACAGTTCGAAAACCAAGGTGCACTTCTGATTGGCTGCAGCCGCACCCGACGTTCGGCTTCCGAAAATCGGAACAATCACTTCCGGTTTTCTATCGTTCGGGAGCTAAAACGTTCGAGTTCAAAGGTGTTCGGCTTCCGAGGTTCCACTGAACTCAGAGTGACTTACAAGTAAGAAATAATGCAATACACAAAACAATAGACTAGGGAAATATATATTTTCAACCCATCATAAAAGCATGCAATAAAAACAGTTAAGAACAGAACTGAGTCTTAAAAGCCTGTGTAAATAATAGTTTTAGGAATAAAGTCATTTGCATTTTAGTCAAGTGTAGAATTGGAAATTCAGCTTTGTCAAAACCTCAGCTTTCAGTTTTTAAAAAATAAATGCTTCTAGCTCTTTTGTTCCGATTGTCTGAATGCACAAAGCATGGTGAAATCTCAGTAGCAAAAGTTTGTTTCTGTTTTTTGGGGGGTAGGGGGGATATGAGCAGAAAGCTGGCAGCCAGAGACATTGTTTCAGCATGTGGCTCTTTGCAGGAGCTTAAGCAAAACAAATATAGAGCGCACAATTTATACATTTCCTAGAAGGTTCTTGTATAAATTGTATAGAATTTGGGTTGCACTTAAGCTTTAAGCATTGTGCACTAAATGGAGGCATGGTATGATATATATATATATATATATATATATATATATATATATATATATATATAATATAGGTACCTGTTCAACTGCCAAAGTTAGAACACACTACACTTTTGTGGAAAGGATGTGAGAAATTTAGGCAAGTGTTAGTTTTATTGATCTGAAGACATTTTTAAGGGAAGTAGCTGTGTTGGTCTCTTGCAACATGAACAAAAAAGTATTGTGGCACCCTAAAGACTACCCAAATTCATAGCATCTGGATTCCTCTTCCAATCAAGTACAGTGGTACCTTGGTTCTCAAACGCCTTGGTTCCCAAACGCCAAAAACCCGGAAGTAAGTGTTCTGGTTTTCAAATGTTTTTCGGAAGCCGAACATCCAATGTGGCTGTTGGCTATTGCTTCCAGGGTGCCTGCACCAATCAGAAGCTGCACCTTGGTTTTCGAACATTTCAGAAGTAAAACAGACTTCCAGGACGGATTAAGTTTGGTGTTTTATTTTTGCTATTTATTTTGCATTTTTCGGTTCATTTGTTTTTGTGACTGTGTGGAACCCAGTTCAGCTACTGATTGATAAATTGTGTGACTGTGGAAATGGATAGAAGTCCCCCATCCAAACAATGACTATTATCAGTTCAGTTCAGGTAAGAAAAGAAATTAATTTTCATTTTTATCATTTACAATACTCTCTTGTTTATTTTATAGTACAGTACATTGATTGTTGCTTTCATTTTATGGATAAGCAGTCTCATTAGATAGTAAAATTCATGTTAAACTAACTGCTGTTTTAGGGGTTGTTTTTTAAACTCTTGAACGGATTAATCCGTTTTGCATTATTTTCTATGGGAAAGCACACCTTGGTTTTGGAACGGACTTCCTGAACAGATTAAGTTTGAGAACCAAGGTATCACTATCTCTCCAGAGCGTTTACCTAGCCCTGAGCTCTTGTGCATTCTGACAGCTGGAGATGACTAATATACATGGTTGTCTTTAATACATTCATCATCATCTATGTAACCCACCCTGCGACCTTAGGGTGAAGGGCAGGAAATTAATCTCAAAAATAAATAAAACACAAAGTGTAACCTATGCTCTGCTTTAAATTTATTTTTATGTAGAAGAGAGGGAGGAAATGAATATAAAACAAGTAAGTCACAGTACATAGATTAAACTGTTTAGGGAAATTTTTCAGAGCCTTAGAAAATAGGCTCCTTCTCACTCAGCCTAACTAGCCTCACACAAGGAGAGATTATTTCTTATTTTTGGGGTTCACTGAAACATGAAATACTCTATATTTCTTATACACATGTCTGTGAGGGCTGCACCATGCAGATGGTCTCCAATGGGACAGTTTTACCCAAATCTGAGTAGGATGTGAAACAGCTTTTTAAAAATGTGTCACTTCAGAGCCTTGGCTCAAGAGCAAAACAAAGGATCCTGAACACGAACTGTTAACAGTCCCTGGCCTCTGAGAGTCCAGCGAACTTATACGGGACCTAAAAGGGCTGATTTATGCACAAAACCACAGTAGGAAGAGACCATTCTGCATGTCTGGATCATAGCTGTCAACTTACAGATTTGAAAATAAGGGACCAGCAGCCTTGAAAATAAGGGACCAGCAGCCAAAATAAGGGATTTTGGCTTAGCTTATGCAGAAATCCGGCACTGATGGATCCATGCTGCTTTGGCTGCCACTGACTGTGTTTTGCAGGGGGTTGGACTAGATGATCCTAAGGGTCTACAACTCCGACCAAAGAAGAGTGGCAGACAAAACTGATGAACGACGTCGAGATGGCAAAGCTTACAGGCAGAATTAGAAACCAGGAAGAGAACCTCTTTAATAAAGAAGGGGGAAAGTTTATAATTTAGTTGAAAAGCTATTGTAAAGAGTTACATAAGTTGGTAGGATTGACAGAAAACTTGTAGTAAAGATTTGAACTATGAATGGACAAATGATTTATAAAAATAGAGTTATGAAAGGGATGCAGAGGGGGAAATCACTACATTAAGATGCTGCACTGGTTGGAGGGGATGCTAAGCAGCACATCGGGGCTGCCGTCGTCCTGGCGCGAGGAGTTCCATCAGCCCTTCCCCGCCCGGGGGGGGGGGAGAGAGACTCTCGCCCACGCCGCCCGCGAGCCTGGAATGAGGCGGTTGCGGCGCCGCTGAAGCGCCGCCCTTCTGCGTCCCTCCCCATCCCCTCCTCTTCCTCCTCCCTCAGGCCGCCTCCTCAGCCGCTGCCACCACTGCTGCCTCCGGCTTCCCCTGGCAGCGCGGTGGAAGTCTCACAAGAGAGAGGCTGCCTGCCTGCCCGCCACCACCCGTCTCCTCACGACGCGCCCCTGAGGGGGAAAAGGGAGAGACGGAGACGTGGCAGCTCGTGCGCGCGCGCTCTCGCGTGGCGGAGGACCCCGAGCCGCTGCTTCCCTCCCGAGCCGGGCGAGCATGAAAGCCGGGAAATTTAAGGGACATCAACAATAAGGGACAGCAGCGGGACACGGCGCTGGGATAAGGGAGTTTCCTGCCAAATAAGGGACGGTTGACAGCTATGGTCTGGATACCATCCTGATTTGGCAAATCCTGCACAAAGCAACTTTGTGGATCGGGGGCACGAAGCAATTTGCTAGCTCGAAAAGAATCGGATCCAGTTCACGAGAAAGCATGGCATTTGTCAATATACTCACTTGTCCAGTCTTCTTCAAAGCAATACAGGAAGTGAAATCCAACCATGATCAGGGCATGCAGGGAAATAAGTGCTATATACATCTGAAACACAATAGGATTTTGAACTATGAAGACACACAGACTTCAAGGCGCATTTCTGAATGCCCCCAATTTGTTTGCCGGTTTCAAGCTGAAGCCGAAATCAAAGACATGGCATTCAGGACAGAGAAATATATTCAAGCTCACATGCTTATAGAGATCGCCTTATCCTCAACCTCATCTCCTAAATTACTTCAGCCAAAGAATTAATAGGCCTAGCTATATCCAGTGGAAAAATACCTGGAGTAAACTGACTGAACAAGAGGTCTATTCTTCTCTAACAATACTGAATTATGAGATAACGGCAACGGTAAGAAGGGATCTATTCTTCCATGCGATAATAGCAGGGTGTTTTCCCCCAAACCCTTTTGAAATATGATGGTTTATCAAGCAAAATAATCGATAGACTTGATTTTAATCATTATATTTTTTTACAGAAAGAGTCATTCTTGCTGGTATAATCTTAATATTTACAACCAGATGAAGGTTTCATTTTTGGAATAATATTTTTTTCGGAGTAGTTTTTACAGTTTACTTCCTTGACATCTCATGGAAGGGCATTCCACAGGGTGGGCGCCACCACTGAGAAGGCCCTCTGCCTGGTTCCCTGTAACCTCACTTCTCGCAGGGAAGGAACCGTCAGAAGGCCCTTGGAGCTGGACCTCAGTGTCCTGGCTGAACAATGGGGATGGAGACGCTCCTTCAGGTATACCGGGCTGAGGCCATTTAGGGCTTTAAAGGTCAACACCAACACTTATTGTGCTTGGAAACGCACTGGGAGCCAATGTAGGTCTTTCAGGACCAGTGTTATATGTTCTCGGTGGCCACTCCCAGCCACCAGTCTAGCTGCCACATTCTGGATTAGTTGTAGTTTCTGGGTCACCTTCAAAGGTCGCCCCACGTAGAGTGCATTGTAAAGAGCGGGCCAAAATCAGGGTTCAGTATTAGCAGGGTGCTAGGTGCATTTTGCACCTAAAGATTCTCCATTTTCGAGCACCTCAAAAAGTCGGGGTGCCATTTTTTGCACTTGGCTGACACTCAAGGATTACTGAAATGTATGTGATCTGAATCCTTAAAGTATATGTTAAGAATAGATAATATGTTACGGAGTGTTTTGAAAACTCAAGTACGGTACCGATATTTTTATTGTAAACACCAAATTAAACGTGTCAATTTTTCTGCTAAAAATGTGGTATTAACAATGTGTCACTTATTTGAATGCATATTAGTTCATGCTCATCAAATTAATAAATAAAAAGTGTTGCCCACACACACCCCAGTGGTGACTAGACATTTTTTGGTGCCCCCAACCCAGGTCCTAAAAGCCATTTTGCTCCTAGCTTTTCCATCCTGGGTTCTAACATCGGCCAAAATTCCTCCACAACGATGTGAGAGACTGATAAAGACATACAGAAAACCATTACTTCAAATTATTGCTGCTAAAGGTGGTTCTACAAGCTATTTAATCATAAGGTGAACTTAAGTTTTTTAATTCAGGTAGGTAGCCGTGTTGGTCTGAGACAGTCAAAATAAATAAATAAAAACTTAATAAAATTAAATAATTGTCCAGTAGCACCTTAGAGACCAGCTAAATTTGTTCTGGTTATAAGCTTTCGTGTGCATGCACACTTCTTCAGATACACAAACAAACATGCACACTTCTGCAGATACAGAACAAACATTCCTGCTAAGGAATGGATAATTGTTATTATGTCCTGATATGTAAAATCACAGAATTCAAAGAGGGTATGCCTTCTTTTTCACATAAGTGTGTGTGTGTGCGCGCGCATATATATGTACATAAATATACATATATGTACGTATGTTGCCCACCACTGTGAAATCTGATCCAATCCAAGATGGGATGCTTTAAATAGGTAATAATGGATACCTTTGCCAGCTTGCTTTCATCCTTTTAAACTACTTTGCCCCGGACATTTTGCAGTGTTAACAATCCATTACTTTCCCATAAGAATTGCAGTGTAATTATACTGATAACCACAGAAGTCCCACTTGACATTTCAAGGCCCCTTTATGAATTCCAGGAAAATCCAACACAATGAAATACTTACTGTAAACAGTACAAAGTACTTCTGGTTGTTCTCTCCCACGCAGTTGTTAACCCATGGGCAGTGGTGATCCATTTTCCGTATACACCTCTTGCAAACACTAAAAGAAAAATGCACACTGTAAATCGAATGGACACGGAAAATCCTTGTGGACTTGTAAAAGGGTAAATGAGTATTGGGAAATGATCCATAATGAAGGAAGAAAAAAGTGTTTACAAGTACTTTCCCAAAAAACCCCAGTCCTTTCTGTCGGGGATAATTCAGACTGAAATTCCCAGGTGTCAAAAATGGTTATTATGTATGCTACTACTGCGGCCCGTGTTTTGTTAGCCCAAAAATAGAAAACGAGCGAGGTCCTAACTAAAGAATGGCAACTTAAGCTGACAGAATATGCACAACTCGCGGACTTAACATATAGAATAAGAGAACAAAGAGAACATACGTTTAAAGAAGATTGGAAAACGTTTACTGAATATATGGGAAATAATTGTGTACTGCTGAAAACGATGGCAGCATTAAGATAAATTCAACGGTGCAAACAAGTTTTGACGCATGCAATAATGGTATAGTTTTTGTAAAATATGCAGGGATTTATGATGTGTAAAATGAACCATGGAAAGAGAAGAAAGGAAGTCATTGATATCTTAAGGATGTAAAAATGAATGCTTTAAATTGTAAAACAGAAAACTTAATAAAATTATACAATCGTACCTTGGTTTTCGAACAGCTTAGTTCTCAAATATTTTGGCTTCCGAATGTCGCAAACCCAGAAGTCACTGTTCCGGTTTGTGAACGATTTTCAGAAGCCGAATGTCCGAGTGGGCTTCCACAGCTTCTGATTGGCTGCAGGAGCTTCCTGCAGCCAATCAGAAGCCGCGCTTTGGTTTTCGAACGTTTTGGAAGTCAAACTGACCTCCAGAACGGATTCCGTTCGACTTCCAAGGTACAACTGTATATAAATCAAAGTGGAATTCCATCCGCTTCAAAGACCCATGTTTTCTCCAGACACCAGATCGCAATAGAACTATTTCCACTTGGCCAAAAGCCTGAGGTCACAAGAGCCAAAATGGAGCCAGGGTGCAAATGAAACATGGAAATGTGCTTGCATCACAATAATGACCGGTACAACCCGCCCTATATTGGATTACTGCAGATGTAACGCATCAAGCCATCCAGCTCATCATCATAAGTAAACCATAAACGAAAGAATGTGCCCGTACCTGCAGTGATGCGCTCTGTCAGGTTTGATGCTACAGCATTTTGGACACTTGTAAACTACTTGCCCCGGCTTCAGCTGCAAACTTTCTATGAACTCTTTTGTGGCGTTACCTTTGGGGACTGCACCCTGCAAATGAAAATAAAAGGGTTCCGGAGTGCTTTCAGTCACTATCAGGGGGAAAAACCTCAATAGGCCCCATCACAGAACTGCTGATTATACAGGGTAAGTTAAACTTTGCTCTCCTAGGTACATTAACAGAGTTTTGTTGAAATGGTATTCAACACCAGTGCAAAAGTTTTGAGAAGTTAAAAAACACAGGCCCTTCACTCTCCCCTCCAGGGTTGGCACAGCCAGCCTCGAACTCTGCCATTAACTATAGTTTCCCATTACAGTGGGGCCTTGGTTCTCAAACGCCTTGGTACTCAAACAACTTGGAACCCAAACACTGCAAACCCGGAAGTAAGTGTTCCGGTTTGCGAACTTTTTTTGGAAGCTGAACGTGCTCCGTTTTGAGTGTTACGCTTTGGATCTGAGTGCCACGCTTCCATTTTGGGTGTTACGCTGAGGTCTGTCTGTTTTTGCTATTTATTTTGCGTTTTTGTTTTTGCAGCTTTTTCGTTTTGTTTTATTTCTGTGAATGTGTGGAACCCAGTTCAGCTACTGATTGATGGATTGTGTGACTGTGGTACGTTGTTTACTGCTTTTATTTTATGGATCCATGGTCTCGTTAGATAGTAAAATTCATGTTAAATTCATGTTTTAGGGGTTGCTTTTAAAAATCTGGAACGGATTAATCCATTTTGCATTACTTTCTATGGGAAAGCGCGCCTTGGTTTTGGAATGTTTTGCTTTTGGAACAGACCTCCGGAAGGGATTAAGTTTGAGAACCAAGGTACAGTGGTACCTTGGGTTACATACGCTTCAGGTTACATACGCTTCAGGTTACACACTCCGCTAACCTAGAAATAGTGCTTCAGGTTATGAACTTTGCTTCAGGATAAGAACAGAAATCGGGCTCTGGCGGCGCAGTGGCAGTAGGAGGCCCCATTAGCTAAAGTGGTGCTTCAGGTTAAGAACAGTTTCAGGTTAAGTACGGACCTCCGGAACGAATTAAGTACTTAACCTGAGGTACCACTGTACCACTGTATGTCTAAACTGGGTAACTCTGGTTAGCAACTTCAGAGCAAGGCAGGAAACTAAGACAACTTCAAACCATGGTTTCATGTTCTGACTTATTCTGAAGCCATCAGCCACAGTTTCCCTGTTCAAGTGTAATGGGAAGCTATAGTTAATGGAAGTCCTGTTCATTTGAAATGTGAAACAATACAGGGTTAGAGGGAAGACCATGGATCTGTATGCCTCTTTCGAGGTCGGCTAGAACTCCAAATAAAAGTTTAGGAAAATGAAAACAGACCCACCCATTTTGCTAGACTGGGAGATTCCCATCTATGTCATCTGTTACAAATTTGCAAGCTGAATAGATAACATTTGGGCAATAATCCAGATAAGAACATAAGTCAAGACTTACACGCAAAGGGGAAAGCTGCTGTTTCCTGAAAATTTCAATCTCGCAGCCCTCTAAAGAGCTGAAAGCTTGAAAAAGTACTTTAGACAGGACCACAGATAAAACACACTTGGATAAAACTTGGGTGTCCTTCAATAGCCACTAGCCAGTGCTAACACGAAACGCTTTTATTCAGAATAGATTTTAGTCGTGGTGGAACTTTCCCAAAGAAACAAGAATGCAAGACAGGCTTTCCCCAGCTTTTCATGCCACGACATGTCAGCAACATTGCACACACTACTGAGAGAGAAAAGGACAGATTTCTTCTCCATCCTCCTTCATATCTTATTCAAATAATGCCTTATTGCCCCTCCATAGCTTCTCTTAATCATGACTCCAGTATTATGATCTGCCCCACCCCCACAAAAATGCATATAAAGGGACAATGCTTCAGATAAATCAAGTTCTTCCCACTCATGGGGACAGGTTGGTAGAAACCCAGACGCTTTATCAATACAGTGGAACCTTGGTTCTCAAACTTAATCTGTTCGACTCCCGAAACCGTTCAGAAACCAAGGCACGGCTTCTGATTGGCTGCAGGAGCTTCCTACACTCAAGCGGAAGCCGCGTCGGATGTTCAGCTTCCGAGAAACGTTCAAAAACCAGAACACTTACTTCCGGGTTTGCGGTGTTGATTTGTTCGTCAACTAAGCCGTTTGAGAACCAATGTTCCACCGTATCGTGTTTGCGTGTGTTCAATAGGTTCTAGAATATTTAGTCCCTAAATCACCCTCAAAAGAACAAGAGAACTAGCCAGCAGCTGGTTAATATATTCCGAGAGGAAACTTACTGGATCTGTTACCATAGCTCTCATGTGCGATGCCAGAGCCAGGAACGCCAATGTGTTGAAAACGATGGCGTTGATCACACTGTAAATATAGTCTCTGGAGGGAAGCAGCATAACGAGGATGACCACAAAGTCGGCATAGAAGACCAGGAACCAAGTGACGACCGCACAGGCAATACCACAGCCATCACGGATAAACCACATTGTTCCCGAGGAACCGCGGCTGGGAGGTGGAACGCACTGGTCCGGTTGAAGGTATTCCGGTTTCCTCTCAATATCTCTGCATCGGTGGATTGGAGTAATCATCATAGGCTATAATGTCCATTCTTGGATCTGGAAAAAAGATTAAAAATAAAAAACCGTCCTTCGTCTCATGAACTTCGTCAAAGGGGATCGCCTCTAAGTCATGCAATTCTCGTGAGGGAACTCTGTTAAAGGGCGATTCATTGGGGGGGGGGGTTTGTTTAAAAAAATACAAAAAGGTAGTGGTGGTTATTTATTGAATTTATTTCATACACTACCCTATACCTGGGGGTCTTAGGGTGGTTCACAGAATACAATCAAGATATAAAACCAAAAAATACCTAATCAAAATAAAAACAACAACCCAATGTTATGTACGCAACACTTCACAACCAAACACATTTTGGCATGATGCATTAACATTAAAATTAATATGAATAAATTTGGGTTTTTATATATATCCCATTATGGACTGATTCTTTTTTAAGTTTAAAAGATCAATATTGAACAGGGATATAAAGGAAAATTGTTAATTAAACTTGAGTTAGTCTAGGAATGCTACAAGCACCTACTATTCTACCACACATGCTAGAAGGACTTGTAATTTCCAAACCACAAATGGCTCGTTTTCATCGTAGAGGCTGATGGCGACAAGTTTTATTTTACAGTATAGGTACAATTGAGATGAGTTCTTAGGCTGTTTGGATACGCAAGTAGAATCCATAAAGAAATGTTCCATGTTGTATTACACACAGAGAGAGACACAAAACTATATCCACATACACAATCAGTTCCTGAGAATGTTCTAAAAATTCAAATGAGGAATTCTATTCCTTAATATGGATTATATGTAATTAATGACAACCGTGAGTTGATTATTCTAATTATCAATGTTCAGATTGAGCAAACACATAAATGGAAATTGTTCAAGGTCCACAAATTAAAAACTAGTTGAACAGAGCATGGGCTACATTACGCACAAGTAAGTATTCTGCATTTACTACCATTTAAAGAAGATCGGGAGGGGATGGTTACCAAGAGGATATTTATTTTTAGCTGGAATAGGTTGGGTTTTTGTGTTTTGTTTTTAATCAATTTCCAACAAAATATGACTAGGACACTCCTGAAAACAAATCTACTGTATGAGGAAGAAAGTTGCTGGATTACTGAAATACCTATTTCTGCATTATTTTGGCATCTAACCAAGACAAAAGAAATTACATTCTGTGAAGAGACTCTTCTGTGCTACAGCTTCACGCTAGTTTTCAATGCGTTAATCGTATTCAAGACTTAAATTGCGAAAAGCCCTAGAAATCCAGTAACCTCCCTTCTACCCACCACTTTAAATATTCAATGGATTTTTAAAAAACCTGTAATTTCCAATTGCCAATGGGGAAAACATTAAACACAGCAATTCTTTCTTCTCTGGCAATCACTCGTAGCTGAGGAAGATTGTCTTCCATAAAAATGGTTTTAACAATGAGTCTGTAAATGACTATGGAGGCCAATTCTGGATCCACATGTCCTTCCACAGTGGGGACATGGGTTTCCGGGTGGGAGTTGATCACGGTGAGGGTTTGCCAAGCGTGCCTTCCTCTTAGCGCGTTTCTCCCTTGCACCCTGAGTTTGAGTGTCTTCAAAGCCCACAACACCTTTGGTAAAAGCTGTTCTCCAATTGGAGCGCTCGCAGGCAAGTGTTTCCCAATTGTTGGCGTTTATACTACATTTGCCTTGAGATAGTCTTTAAACCTCCTTTGTTGACCACCAGCATTACGCTTTCCATTTTTAAATTCAGAATAGAGTAGTTGCTTTGGAAGGCGATCATCAGGCATCCGCACACAACATGACCAGTCCAATGGAGCTGATGTTGAAGAATCATTGCTTCGACACTGGTGATCTTTGCTTCTTTACTAGATTCCCGACGGCTTCGCTCACATGGGTCATAGGAACGTGCAAGCCCACTCACCTCACCACGACAAGGTGATGATCCAGCGAGTGAGACTCAGCAATTAAACAAGTTTATCACTGACTTATGTATGGAAGTGAGAGCTGGACCATAAAGAAGGCTGATCGCTGAAGAATTGATGCTTTTGAATTATGGTGCTGGAGGAGACTCTTGAGAGTCCCATGGACTGCAAGAAGATCAAACCTATCCATTCTGAAGGAAATTAGCCCTGAGTGCTCACTAGAAGGACAGATCCTGAAGCTGAGACTCCAATACTTTGGCCACCTCATGAGAAGTGAAGACTCCCTGGAAAAGACCCTGATGCTGGGAAAGATGGAGGGCACAAGGAGAAGGGGACGACAGAGGACAAGATGGTTGGACAGTGTTCTCAAAGCTACCAGCATGAGTTTGGCCAAACTGCGGGAGGCAGTGGAAGACAGGAGTGCCTGGCGTGCTCTGGTCCATGGGGTCACGAAAAGTCGGACACGACTAAACGACTAAACAAAAACAAATCACTGACTTCCGTTCGGAATCTGGGATACGGATGGTAATGTTGCTAAGGGCTTTACAGACTTGCATTGCCTCCCCATACTCAGCAAATGTCCGAATGCTGAAAATTAAAGATCAAAACACTCCACCTTTGCAGCTTTGCAACCCCCCATAGATGGTAACGCTTCGTCTGCAGTGATAATCACAATGATGGCAGCTTCCTATTCTTGAAGCCAACCAGAACTACATTTGCCTCCATCCCAGGGTGGATAAAAATGAATGACTTTTTATTTTTAAAAAATTAAAATTAAAAATCGGATTATTATTTTTATTCAAATCGGGTTTTTAAAAATAAAATGCTTTTGGAGGAAAGATCTTTCTAAAGATTTTATTTAAATTACATTATTCTCGAAGATTATTTGGGGCAGTTTTTCTAACAAGAAGATATTATCACAGATGCTTGTTTTTACAGTTCTCAAAAGTGTGAATTTGTGTCTGCAGAGATAACATGCCTTTTCTTCACAGGAAAAATGTTATAAAATAAACATACAGAGTGGAGGAAAAACCTTAATCCCATTGTTCCTTTGCAAGTTTATATACACAGAATCTATTTTAGTTAAATAAATTGTTTAAATTGTTATTAAGGAAATGATTCTTTTTCTCCTTCCAATAAAGTACAGCATAAAAGTTGCCCAAATATAAACAGTTAACTTAATAAACCTCACAATAATTTCATATTTATCGGTCTATGTATTTCTAATAGTACAACCAAATCAGTATTTTTTTATATAACTGTAAAAACTACTCTGAAAATTTATTACTCCAAAAAATGAAACCTTCATCTGGCTGTAAATATTAAGATTATACAAGCAAGACTGAGCCTTTCTGTAAAAAAATGGTTTGAATCAAGTCTTACTGACTAGTGATTTAAATCAATTTGATTTAAATCAAATCCATCCTGCTGCATCCTCTCAGCAATAGCCACCAAGCCTCCAGGAATCCAGGAGCACTCCCTGATCCTGAATGGGGTCAATGTGCCCCTGAAGGACCAGGTGCGCAGCCTGGGAGTCATTTTGGACTCACAGCTGTCCATGGAGGCGCAGATCAATTCTGTGTCCAGGGCAGCTGTCTACCAGCTCCATCTGGTACGCAGGCTGAGACCCTATCTGCCCACAGACTGTCTCGCCAGAGTGGTGCATGCTCTGGTTATCTCTCGCTTGGACTACAGCAATGCACTCTACGTGGGGCTACCTTTGAAGGTGACTCAGAAAATGCAATTAATTCAGAATTTGGCAGCTAGACTGGTGACTGGGAGTGGCCGCTGAGGCCATATAACACCAGTCAGAAAGATCTTCAATGGCTCCCAGTACGTTTACGAGCACAATTCACAGTGTTGATGCTGACCTTTAAAACCCTAAACAGCCTTTGTCCAGTATACCTGAAGGAGCACCTCCACCCCCATCATTCAGCCCAGAGACTGAGGACCAGCACTTAGGGCCTTCTGGTGGTTCCTTCCCTGCAAGAAGTGAGGTTACAGGGAACCAGGCAGAGGGCCTTCTTGGTAGTGGCACCTGCCCTGTGGAACGCCCTCCCAGCAGATGTCAAGGCAATAAACAACTATTTTACTTTTAAAAGACAACTGTAGGTGGTTTAGGGAAGGTTTTAATGTCTGACGCTGTATTGTTTTTAATATTTGGTTGGAAACCGCCCAGTGAGGCTGGGGAAACCCAGCCAGAAGGGTGGGGTATAAATAATTTCTTCTTCTTCTTCTTCTTCTTAATTTCTATTTCTTCTTCTTCTTCTTCTTAATTTCTATTTCTTCTTCTTCTTCTTCTTCTTCTTCTTCTTCTTCTTCTTCTTCTTCTTCTTCTTAATTTCTATTTCTTCTTCTTCTTCTTCTTAATTTCTATTTCTTCTTCTTCTTCTTCTTCTTCTTCTTCTTCTTCTTCTTCTTCTTCTTCCTCCTCCTCCTCCTCCTCCTCCTCCTCCTCCTCCTCCTCCTCCTCCTCCTCTAAATCAGCCTTCCCCAACCTTGGCTCCTCTGGGTCTTGCTTGACCAAAACACCCATAACTCCCTACCACTGACCATGTTGGCTGTGAGCTGCACTTTCAAGAACATCTGGAAAAGCCAAGGTTGGGAAAAGGTGTCTCCAGTCTCTTATTTGGAGACTCCAAAGCTATAAACCTAACAATCAGGAAATCATCTGCAAAGCCAATGAAGGGAGCTGGGGTTCTTTCCCCAAAACCTCCCCAACCTGTTTGACCAGATTCAACACTGGGGGAAAATGCCGTAGGTGTGTTTAAGCAAAGTGCCTTCAAACCACTGTTTCAAACTCTTGCCTGCTTTTAGCCTTACAGCGCCGTAGTCATTCTCCTATCCAGTTATGGATTATCAACCATCTCACATTATGGTGTCAAAATACAAGGGTGACCTTCTGGGAGCACCAATTCTTAAAGCGAGAAGCAAGAAGCACTTTGTGGTTTGAGCAAATCACTGGAACTCATTCCTGTTCCTCCACCTATATTAATACTGCAGTATTAGTTATGTAACACCTTACACAGAGCTGTTGTAAGAATGAGTAACATCAAGATAATGCAGTTTGAAGGGCAGAGCTGCCTATAATCAAATAATACAGTCATGAAGAGCAAAGACTTCTTTAAGCGGAAGAGAAAAGAAAATCAGAAGGTCTTGGCAGAAGAACGAACAGTCTCCATTGAAAGCAGTGCCTGTCTCTAGGCAGCAAACATTTTAATGACTTTTCAAAAGCTAAATGGACACAAAAGTCAGGGTACTTATTGACCGTAGCTGAAAGTGCCTTAAAAGTGACTGAAATTTTTGGGATAATAACCGTCCCTTTCGATCCGACAAATCATTATGCCGCACCTACAACATCCCCGACTGAAAAAGTTGACAGTGAAATCTCCATGCCTAATTTTCTCACGAGGAAACAGTGACGATCGAGACAGAATTCCAGGCCTTGCTGACAAATTACAAACCAACAAATCAACAGTTCCAGATGATATTCTCGCAAGAGTTCTTGAAAGAACTCAAATGTGAAATTCTCATTTTCTAACAAAAATATGTCATTCGCCCCTAAGACTGGCAAGGACCAAAAACGAGTGGTGGAACACCAAGTTTTAGAAGTGGATCCCAGGAAATTAAAGGCATTAGCTTGATGTTCGTTCCAGGAAAACTGGTGGAAAGCATTATTAAAGATATAATCAGCAAGCACACAGAAAATGTCTTGCAGGAGAAGAAACATCATGACTTACACAGAGTAAGGTCTTCTCCTTTCAGAGTACAGTGGTACCTCCAGTTGCAAACGGGATCCGTTCCGGAGGTCCGGCCGTATCCCGAAGTTTTCGCAACCAGAGGACCGCTTCTGCGCATGCACCAACGGCAAAACACTTCTGGGTTTGCTGCTTTTGCAACCCGAAGTTTACGTTACCTGGGGGTAACGTAACCCGAGGTTCTACTTTACTTTGAGAGTATCAATAAGCACATCAATGGGGTGATGCAGTAACTGGTTAAAGAATTGGAAGTCTCAAGAGTAGGGGAGGAAATGGCAGTTCTCTCAAAGGAGGGGTGTAAGAATTGGGGTTCCCAAGGATCTGTATTGGGGCTGGTGCTTTTTAAACTTGTTTTTAAATGATTGGCATCTGGGGGTTAGGAATGGGAGGGCTTGGTTTCCTGACTGTTCTGGGTGGTTTAATCCAAAAAGGATCTCTCCAAACTGGATGAATGGGTGTTAAAATCAGAAATGCAGTTCAATGTAAGAGAGTGCAAACTGATATTCACTAGGGCAAATAACACACGACTTTACCTAGACACTTCTGGCATATGAAGTAGCGAGGGAAAGTATCTTGGAGTCGTGGCAGATCGCTTGATGAAGATGTCAACCAAGTGAATGGCAGCCGTGAAAAGATTCCAAGTTAGGGATCATTAGATTGAAAGTAAAACTGCCAATATTCACGGTGTGACTGCACTGTGAATATTGTGTTCAGCTCCAGTTGCCGCATCTCAAAATGGCTGTTGTAAAAGCTGGAAAGTTTCAGAAAAGGGTAGCCCAAACGGGGGGCTGGAGCAACTCCCCTACGAGGAAAGGTTACGACATTTGGACTTAAGTGCGGGCTATGAGAGAAGTATACAAAATTTTCCATGGTGTGGGGAAAGTAGGGAGAAGGGAGTTTTTCTTCCTCTCATGTAACAGTAGAACTTGGAATCATCTAAAGAAGCTGGAAAAGTCAGAATACAACAAAGGTGTATTTTTGCACAATCGCCTGTAGAGAGGGTGCTGAGGTACAGTGGTACCTCAGGTTAAGTACTTAATTCATTCCGGAGGTCTATACTTAACCTGAAACTGTTCTTAACCTGAAGCACCACTTTAGCTAATGGGCCTCCCGCTGCTGCCGTGCCGCCAGAGCACAATTTCTGTTCTCATCCTGAAGCAAAGTTCTTAACCTGAAGCAATATTTCTGGGGCAGCAGAGTCTGTAACCTGAAGCGTATGTAACCCGAGAACCAGCGCCGAGGGCCTTCTGGCGGCTCCCTCATTGTGAGAAGTGAGGCTACAGGGAACCAGACAGAGGGCCTTCTCGGTAGTGGCGCCTGCCCTGTGGAACACCCTCCCTTCAGATGTGAAGGAAATAAGCAGCTATCTTCTTTTTAAAAGATATCTGAAGGCAGCCCTGTTCAGGGAAGTTTTTAAGATGTAACGCTGTATTGTTTTTAACACTTGATTGGGAGCTGCCCAGAGTGGCTGGAGAAACTCAGCCAGATGGGTGGGGTATAAATAAATAAATTTAAAAAATATATATTTATACCCCGCCCATCTGGCTGGGCTTGCCCAGCCACTCTGGGCGGCTTCCAACAAAATATTAAAATACCGTAATACATCAAACATTTGTAGCACTTATGTCCTGCTTGTGGAATACTGGGATTCCTGTATATTTTTCACAATATCTCCTCACAGACATGAAGGTTAGGGGTTAGGAATTCAAATACAACCACCAGCTTAAAAAAACAACCACCTGTGTGGAATGCCAGAAGAAAGACAAACATTCCTGGTCACTGTATAAACCTTGCTTTTTCAATTAGACTGAGTAAAAGCGAGTTAATTCAAGGCTCAGTAGGTAATGGCTGCATGTCTGGAACCTACTCCCATGTCTTTTTTAAAATATATATATATTTTAATATCGCTAAAAGCCACTTCCAATTAACCACAAACATCCAGCCTCCAAAATATAGTACAAAACCGAATGTAAAGGGTTACCTAGCAACCAGGATACAGGGCCAACTTAGGGCCTTTGGCTGTGGGATGGGGAGGAGGGGGCATCAAACTTCTAGGCCTGATAAGGATAATATCACCACGGAGCCTTTGATCCTCCGCATCTTGGCTGGGGAGAAGCTGGCCGTTCCTGAGAAGATATAAAAATGATCTAAATGTTCTCCAAGGTATTTCCTTTCCCGCAACTGTTAGCCTTCAACAGCGCCTTTGTTGACATAACATAGGTGCGCGCACACGGATGCCCAAATAGTCGGCCGGCTTGGAACTAAAGCCAATTTGCTTTTAAATAAGTCAGTTTTGCCACTAGCATGCATGCTTAAACTTTTCTGAGACCAACTGCTTGCATTCAAGAATCCAGAATCTCTGCATCGCCGAATTTGGTGATTCAGCCAAGAGTAACAAGTTCACAAATAGCAACAGGTGCTTGCCAAGGGTATTAGTTAAAATAGCAAATATATCAATAAACTCTCCTTTAATATCCAACAGAGGGTAATATCTCTCTCTCTTTTGTTTTATTTATTTAGGGTTTTTGCTATTTTGGGTGCTGCCTTCCTTTCTATTGTAGTCACTTCCTTTTCCCAGAAAGCCAGGTATAGGAAAATCACAGAACCCGTCGTCTGATATGCAGTGCCACAGAATAAGTCTTCAACTGGCTATACAGTTAAGAGATTTTTTTAAAAGATTACCTGCAGTGGGAAAGGAGGAGGTGATTTTAGTTGGGATCGTGGCTGGGAAGTGGCCTGGTGTGCTGCAGGGCCAATGAAAATTGGGAAATAGACACAACTAGGTTTTAAAAAATTCAAACCTCCTGATGTGGCTACTAACCATGCAGATAATGTAACAGGTAACTTGACCCCTACTTAGTTCCATCTTCAAGAATGAACGCAAAAAAGAAACTTAGATTAAACTACTGCTCCAGCACCCAACACAATATTGCCTACTCTTAGTTAGTGGCAGTTCTCCAAGGTATCGTTAAAGCCATGGTTTTCCCAGTAGTGATGTATGGAAGTGAGAGCTGGACCATAAAGAAGGCTGATCGCCGAAGAATTGATGCTTTTGAATTATGGTGCTGGAGGAGACTCTTGAGAGTCCCATGGACTGCAAGAAGATCAAACCTATCCAATCTGAAGGAAATCAGCCCTGAGTGCTCGCTGGAAGGACAGATCCTGAAGCTGAGACTCCAATACTTTGGCCACCTCATGAGAAGAGAAGACTCCCTGGAAAAGACCCTGGTGTTGGGAAAGATGGAGGGCACAAGGAGAAGGGGACGACAGAGGGCGAGATGGTTGGACAGTGTTCTTGAAGCTACCAGCATGAGTTTGACCAAACTGCGGAAGGCAGTGGAAGACAGGAGTGCCTGGCGTGCTCTGGTCCATGGGGTCATGAAGAGTCGGACACGACTAAACGACTAAACAACAACAACTCCCGAGGTATCAGGGCCAATCCCATTGCCAGCTCAAGCCCTGAAGATGCAGAAGTCTCCTCCTCTTTGATTTTTCATATTCCCAAAGATGCTCACCTACTTTCCCAATCACTGCTTTGTAGCTTGAGTCCTCCCCAAGCAGTCTAGATATTTATAGCTTAATTAACAGTGTCCTGTTTCTTTGCTTCATTTTAGAACAGACTCTGTGGGTAAACATCAGCTTGTCTATAGGAAAATCTGTTTTATTTTTCTGCTGCAAAAACACACAGGGTGGCCCATGCAAATAATAATCATAATAATCCCTTCCATCTGCTTTTTAAGAACGGCTAGTTGTAATTTGCTTTTACTGACTCCGAAATCAATGCTGTGTTAAGAGACACAAGCTCCCCATTTTCATGTACACTGTTTCCCCCTCTGTGCTAGTTGGCCTTTTATTTTATTTTGAAATGGCTTTTTATACGTTCAGTATTTAAATTTTTTATATACAATATAAAATAATAATCTGCTTGGAATTAAGAACTGCCTCATATGGCACAGGAAAAGATGGGATTCCTATACCTCCACTACGAAATGATCGTGTCTTTTCTGTAAAATTTAAAGAACATTTTGTCTGAAAATAAATTTACTCAAGAGGCCTCGAGCGAACACGACTCCCACGTACAAGATTGTTCAGATCCTTCAAAAAAAACTCAAAACAAATTGCAGAAAATCTATGGCATAAATACAGGGACTAGTTTTTTCTGTAAAATGCGTAGCAGCCCAGAACAGGGTGCTTGGTATAAACTGTGCTCACTTATATGGTACAGTGGTACCTTGGTTCTCAAACTTAATCCCTTGCGGAAGTCTGTTCCAAAAGCAAAGCGTTCCAAAACCAAGGTGCACTTTCCCATAGAAAGTAATGCAAAACGGATTAATCCGTTCCAGTCTTTTAAAAACAACCCCTAAAGCATGAATTTAACGTGAATGAGACCATGGATCCATAAAATGAAAGCAATAAACAATGTACTGCAGTCACACAATCCATCCATCAGTAGCTGAACTGGGTTCCACACATTCACAAAAACAAAACGAAAAGAGCCGCAAAAACAAAAACACAAAATAAATAACAAAAACAGACAGACCTCAGTATGACACTCAAAACGGAGCATGTTCAGCTTCTGAAAAAAGTTTGCAAACCGGTTTGCAGTGTTTGGGTTCCAGGTTGTTTGAGTACCAAGGCATTTGAGAACCAAGGTACCACTGTACTTGAATTCATACTGGATGCCATATGTAGCCTTGACCTGGGATCAGATGCGGAGTCCTCAGAGGACAACCCAGACATCAAACGTCAAAAATACGTCTTGCGTGCCGAGGATCCACTTGATGGGTCATGTGGGTCAATGCGTAAGATGCCTGCTTGTGAGTAAGCAATCCCTAGTATGCCTTCACTGCCAGGAGTTGTGACTTAGGCGGTAAGAATATACAGTCGTACCTTGGATCCCAAATGTCTTGGAACTCGTACATTTTGGCTCCCAAAAGCCGCAAACCCAGAAATGAGTGCTCCGGTTTGCGAACCTTCTCTTGGAAGCCAAACACCCAACGCAGCTTCCGCGGCTTCTGATTGGCTGCAGGAGCTTCCTGCAGCCAATCAGAAGCTGCACTTTGCTTTCTGAACGTTTTGGAAGTCAAACCGACTTCCGGAACGGATTCCGTTCGACTTCCAAGGTATGACTGTATAAAGCAGGGTTTATCTTGCCTGGGCCGGATCAGCCCCGTGGAGATCCCACTGTGGGCCGGACTGCGCATGCATGTTTTTCGGCGTCTGTGTTTGCGCAGGCGTGATTTTCAGTGTCTGTGCATGCACAGATGCGATTTTCGGCACTGCAGAAGCAAATCCCCATGCTGCGCTACGCCGGTTTCGCACTGTGCACGAGCGGGAAACTCGGTTCAGGGGCGGCTCGTGGGCCAGTCAAACGACCTCCACGGACCGCTTCTGGCCCATGGGCCTTAGGTTCCTGACCCCTGGTATAACGCCTCCCTCTTCAACAAAAACCAACAAATGAATAGAACCTACCCATGTGACACTGACACAAAACCTTGCACATACACTATGTAGAAGAATGAAAGTTTACTTCTCCACCTCTCTTCTCCCCCAACTTTATACTGCCTGTAACACTGGTGACTCACATCGAACATGAATGATCTGTAGAAAGAACTCTATGAACTTCTTTAATAAAAAACCAATTTTAAAAAATAAAGCCTCCCTCTTGAACTTTCCGGTTGCTAGAAACAACATAACTCTTTCACTCCTTGGTGAAATATTAGATTGTTTCCAGATCAGGTTTTGTTTTCTGTTTTTTAAAAAAATATTTTTTATTTGTTTTCAATTGCAATAGTGCAATAAAAGCCTCATTACAATAATGCCAAATTATACTACCATTAATAATGTCAATCACTCAAAAGCCAAATTGTACAATTTAGGTGGGAGAATTGATGGTTTGGCGATTTACTCTATTTCTGCGTTCCAAAATCTTATAAATTTCCATTACACTTCCAGTCAGAATCACAAACCCTTATACCGCAGCTGCAATTTTAACGACTTCCATTCGCATTAACACCTTAAATGATTTATAGTCCTAAAGGTGAAGTATTCAAACTCTCTCTTTGTTGTTCTTGTGTGTGGCAATTTATTCTGTCCTTGATGTTTCTCCCTGTCCTTGTAAAATATTATGTCTATCTTTGGTCAGATGTTGCTGTTCTCCATAATGCCTTGGGCCCTCCTTCCGATAATATCTGGGTACTAAAGTACCGTATTTTTCGCTCTATAAGACGCACCAGACCATAAGACGCACCTAGTTTTTGGAGGAGGAAAACAAGAAAAAAAATATTCTGAATCTCAGAAGCCAGAACAACAAGAGGGATTGCTGCACAGCGAAAGCAGCGATCGCTCTTGCTGTTCTGGCTTCTGGGATAGCTGCGCAGCCTGCATTCGCTCCATAAGACACACATACATTTCCCCTTACTTTTTAGGAGGGAAAAAGTAAGTCTTATAGAGCAAAAAATACGGTAATTCTCTGTGCTTGTCCTTGGCTTTGTTGCTCCTATATTGCACATTGACTCCCACTCTCCTGGGCAAGTGTTTTGGTAAAAAGCTTTATCCTCTAGGACTCCAGGTCCTGAGGGCATCCCCGGAGCATAACCGTGTGAATAAGCCAAAATCAAACCTTGCGAATAAGCCAAAGGAAGATAACCAGCCTGCAAACAATTTCTCTCGCCTACCAAGGGATTAGCAGCCTGTGTTTCTATGCTGAATATGGAGAAATGGAACCTGTCTTCCTCCTCTACAGTCAACATGAAAAAGTCTTCTACCAAGTGGATTAGTGGCAAAGCAACAGAGCAATATTCTGCAAATCTGCTCCATTTCTGGGCCAGCTGCAGAGGAAAGGGCTTTACGTCTAACATGGCTGATTCAGATTTCATCTCTCTTTTGCCAACCTGCTTGTCTTCGTGGGATTTCCAGGTGCCTGTGGCTGGCAGGTGAACCATGAGGCTGCCAGGATACTCCCTTAACCTCCGAATTGTGCAAAACGGAATGGGAAACCACCATAAAATGAGATGCAAGGGTAGCAGCAGCTCATTACTTGTTGGTACAACTAATTATTCCAACCACTTAAGAGAGAGAGCCCAGCAGAGCAAACTTCCCCATAAATATACCTCAAGTTGAGGCAAGTGCCTTCATTTACATTTAAGAAACGCCCCAAACTGTGATCTACCAAGAGTTTGTGAACGGTGCCAATAGCTCAAATGTATGTGCTTTTTTTTAGGCATAACAGCAATCCTACTAGACATCTAGTCTAGAATCAAGTTTCTCACAGTGGCCAGTCAGAGGATAGACAACTTTCCTTTTTATTCAAGCTCCAACAACTAGTACAGTGGTACCTTGGTTCTCAAACTTAATTCGTTCCTGAAGTCCGTTCCAAAACCAAGGTGCACTTTACCATAGAAAGTACAGTGGTACCTCGGGTTACATACGCTTCAGGTTACAGACTCTGCTAACCCAGAAATAGTACCTTGGGTTAAGAACTTTGCTTCAGGATGAGAACAGAAATTGTGCTCCAGCGGCGCAGCAGCAGCAGGAGGCCCCATCAGCTAAAGTGGTGCTTCAGGTTAAGAACAGTTTCAGGTTAAGAACGGACCTCCAGGACAAATTAAGTACTTAACCTGAGGTACCACTGTAATGCAAAATGGATCAACACGTTCCAGACTTTTAAAAACAACCTCTAAAACAGCAATTTAACATGAATTTTACTATCTAACGAGACCACTGATCCAGAAAATGAAAGCAATAACCAATTAACTGTATTATAAAATAAATAAGACAGTATTGTAGATGATAAAAATTAAAATTCATTTTTTTCCTTACCTGCACTGATGAGTCATTGTTTGGATGGGGGGCTTTTATCCATTTTCACAGTCACACAATCAATCAATCAATAGCTGAACTGGGTTCCATACAGGCACAAAAACAAATTAACCAAAAAAAACCAAAAAACAAAAATGCAAAATAAATAGCAAAAACAAATGTGCCAAACTTAATCCGTTCTGGAAGTCCGTTTGACTTCCGAAATGTTCAAAAACCAAGGCGCAGCTTATGATTGGTGTAGGTGCCCCGGAAACAATAGCCAACAGCTGCATCAAACACTCAGCTTCCGAAAAACATTCGAAAACCGGAACACTTACTTCCGGGTTTTCAGCGTTTGAGAACCAAGGCGTTTGAGTACCAAGGAACCACTGTATTCAGAAACATGTTCTATTCATGGCTAATAGTCGCTTGTCTTGTTGGCAAAAAATGAGAAGGCAAGCTTGCTGGAATATGTTGTCTCCAGAGGAGGAGCGTGTAGCCACCCTACGCTTCCTCCATCCTTTTTGTCCCTGTTCAGCACCCAGCTAAGCCAAGGTTTGGTTTAGCATGGCTTCAAAACTCAGGCTCAGAGTTCTCCAACCCAACTGCAAGCTGCAGCCAAAGACAAACCTTCGGTTGGTGATTTAAATCACGCAATAAAATGCGATTTCGCTCAGTCCACACTCTGCTCTATGCCATATTCATGCAATCGCTCATTTTATCTGAGCCTTGTTAATACTTGTTTTGTGTACATTCAATTGTAAGATAAAATATATGCAAAGGGACTTGACAGGAAGTCAAAATAGAAGTAAAGATTTTGTAAGATAAAAGGGGGAAATATTTATTTTCATTATTATTATTACTATGTGTTTGTGCGGGTGTGTGTTTTCTATGGAATGTTTGGGAGGAAATATGATGGTAAATAACAAATAACAAACAAAATATTGGTGTATGTCATTTTTCTTTCTCAATTATATGTTGTGGTAGTATGGTTGTAATGTTTTCTATGTAACATAAAATCATTCAATAAAAATTATTTTTTTAAAAATAATAATAATACTGGTTTCTTCCAAATGTCCCGAGGATATTCAATCATCCTGACTTCAACTTGCTTTAAACTAATCCTCTGATAAATTTTTTTACAAATGACTCCTTTAGAAATTCAGTGTTACCCTGTCGGACTTTCTAGGCAAGCTTCCACTTTCATTGTAGTTGAATTTGACAGTGTGGCCCTTGTTTCCAAACAGAGTGACATTGGTTGCATCTTGCACTAGATTCTAGCATCACTCGGGATTAAATCCTGGACTGGCTCCAGGGCATACAGCAGATTGTATACATATTCACTCCCTTTTTTCAATTGGAATTACTTCCAGTTAAGTATGCAGAAGCTAGCAGAGTTTCCCAAACTTGGGTCTCCAGTTGTTGTTGGACTACAACTCCCATCATCCAGGAACAGTGGTCAAGGATGATGAAAACTATAGTCAAAAAACCAAGTTTTGGCAACCCTGGAGCATTCTATTTTGTCCCCTTGACTTTAATTATTTTTTAAGCGAAGGGAGTAGATTAAGTCAGACTACTATAGAATTCAGAAAACTGGTCTCAGACATTCAAATAATCTATACAATCAACATGTGCGTAGTCTTGGAAGTAACATTAAACCACTCCAGTATATTTACAAAAGGCAAATCAAAAGTATTTAAAAAGTAATGAGAGTCTAACACACCACCTACAATAAACAAAATCAATAGCCATAATTTATGTCTGTAAAAGTTCTTCTATAATCATGCATTTGATGCAACACTTGTTGCCTGAGAAAACTCACACAAGCAAGATGCTACAGTTTATTTTTTTCTATTTGCCCACATGAATACTGCTGTGCTATCTGAACAGATCTGATTATCTTCATAAATCAGACAGACCTAGAGCCAACATTTGTGCATATAAATCTACTCTCAAGCCAATACTCTATAGAGGCAGAATATAACTTTGTGGTTGTTGTTATGTTGCAACAAGCTTGGGGTAAAAAATAAAAAATAAAACACGTATACAGTATTTCTGAAGGAAGCATGCAAACAGAAGCAGTATATTTAAAAGTAACAACCTTTAAGAAAAAAAAAAAAGATTTTTAAATCTTTGGACTTCAGAGTCAAGTTTTATTCTATTTAGCCTCCAAGTTTAATTGTCTAATCAACAGACTGGGAGCAGGAAATATGGCTATGATGTGACAAGCTGTAGAAAACTGATTTCCACTGTACAAACACTACTTCTCCTCATTTCCACAAATAAAACTTTGAAGGAAGTGGAGAGATTAACAGCATAAGGATGAGGACCAATTTTCTTTAAAAAAAAAAAAAAAAAAACACCTGCCACCCAAATACATTGGTTTCTGCAATGTATAACATACAGCTTAACGCTAAGGTCTTCTGTACCACAACGGTTCTGGTATTTCAGGCAGATTCAGACAGTTGCGCAGCTAGATGCATGAGTGCCGCATTTTTATAGGACAGGGTTTGAGTTTTATTACTTCAAAAGACGCAGTTACACACAACAACGCAAAAAGCATCAGAAAACAAGACTCGTGGTGCCTCTGAAATGCCTGAAAATGATTCAGTCATGTGCTAGAAGCACACAAAGCAGTAACAGAATAATCCCTAGCAGGAACAAGTTGCAGAACGTACCCATTTTTTAACAAGAAGTCTGGAAAGCTGTACTTCTTGATTAGGAGGTTAGAATTAAATATTAGCCCTTGGGATCACCAATGCAAACTGTTATCTCCTAGGTTAATAACCTACGCCCTGTAGTTGGGGTTAAGTAGTAAATGAAAGGCTTTGGAATTATGCATTTTTCGCACAGAGTGGCAGGAAAACTGCCATGCGGGCAAGACTGCTATGTATTCCAGGTGCGCCGTTGGAGAATCAGTATACAGTGGTACCTCGGGCTACATATGCTTCAGGTTACATATGCTTCAGGTTATAGACTCCACTAACCCAGAAATAGTGCTTCAGGTTAAGAACTTTGCTTCAGGATGAGAACAGAAATCGTGCTCCGGCGGCGCAGCAGCAGCAGGAGGCCCCATTAGCTAAAGTGGTGCTTCAGGTTAAGAACAGTTTCGGGTTAAGAACTTAATTCGTTCCGGAGGTCCGTTCTTAACCTGAAACTGTTCTTAACCTGAGGTTCCACTTTAGCTAATGGGGCCTCCCGCTGCCGCTGCACGTTTTCTGTTCTCATCCTGAAGCAAAGTTCTTAACCCAAGGTAATATTTCTGAATTAGCAGAGTCTGTAACTTGAAGCGTCTGTAACCCGAGGTACCACTGTACAGTGGACGCTCAGGTTGTGAACGTGATCCATGTGGGATGCACGTTTGCAACCCGCAGCGGCGCATCTGTGCACGCACGGGTTGCGATTCGGCGCTTCTGCACATGCGCAAAGCGCAATTTAGTGCTTCTGTGCATGCGCGACAGCCGAAACCCGGAAGTAACCCGTTCTGGTACTTCCGGGTTTCGGCGGGTGCGTAACCAAAAAAACGCAACCTGAAGCGGCTGTAACCCGAGGCATGACTGTATATGTAAACTCAACTGTCATGAAGAAGAAGAATATTTATACATACATACATACATACTCCGCCTATCTGGCTGGGTATCCCCAGCCACTCTGGGCGGCTCCCAATCAAATATTAAAAACACAATAAAACATCAAACATTTAAAACTTCCCTAAACAGGGCTGCCTTCAGATGTCTTCTAAAAGTCAGGTAGTTGTTGTTGTCTTTGACATCTGATGGGAGGGCGTTCCACAGGGCAGGCACCACCACCGAGAAGGCCCTCTGCCTGGTTCCGTGTAACCTCACATCTCGCAGAGAGGGAACCGCCAATAGGCCCTTGACGCTGGACCTCAGACCGCTGAACGATGGGGTGATGCTCCTTCAGCTATAAAAGGCCAAAGTTGTTTAGGGCTTGAAAGGTCAGCACCAACACTTTGAACTGTGCTCGGAAACATACCGGGAACCAATATAGGTCTTTCAGGACTGGTGTTATATGGTCTCGGCGGCCACTCCCAGTCACCAGTCTGGCTGCCACATTCTGGATTAGTTGCAGTTTCTGGGTAACCTTCAAAGGTAGCCCCACGTAGAGCACATTGCAGTAGTCCAAGCAGGAGATAACCAGAGCATGCACCACTCTGGCGAGACAAAAACTTGATCAAAATGAGCGGTTTAAAAACACAGGAGGATATCTTCTCCCTGTGCTCCTGGATTTATCAGAAACAGAAAACCCTGTTTTCCAAACTATTGCAATTGGAAACAGATGCCGCAGGGTATAACATCTAGCCACTGGTGTATCTCTTAACCAGTCATAGCAAAGCAAGGTAATAAAGCCTTCATTGTCCAGAGTTGCAGAGAAGACCAGAGATAAGTTATCTCCTGTAATTAAATCTCCTCTATTCACCGGCCATCTGAGGGTGCAGCAAGAATCACAAAGGTGCTCTCTATCCTGGCTCCTTGAATTCTCAACTCTTCTGCAGAATCTGCTAACCAGGGTTTGACACATCTGTGTGATTTAAGGCGATGTCCAAAATATTGATCAAGTGTTCTGAGACCATGTCCACATACAGTCGTACCTTGGATCCTGTACGCCTTGCAAGTCGAACGTTTTGGCTCCTGAACACGGCAAACCGTTCCGGTTTGCAAACGTTCTTTGGAACCCAAACGTCTGACAGGGTGCCCCGATTGGTTGCAGGAGCTTCCTGCAGCCAATCAGAAGCCGTGCTTTAGTTTCTGAACATTTTGGAAGTCGAACGGACTTCCGGAACAGATTCCGTTCAACTTTCCATTGGTACATAATGCATTGTACTGCTGAATCTTCCTTTATCATCAACTGCCTGTTTATCTTTGTTCAACTGCACTCCCCACTCCTTCCCTAGTTCTTTGCTAATCCCACCCCCCCTAAAAATCATATACTGCTTTGTAGCTTTTACTGAATCTGCTTACTGATCAGTGTTAGATATATACCGTAAGCTAGTCCACCAAATGGTACCTTAAACCTAGATTCCAGCTGCCACAACGGAATGTCTAGGCACTGCCTTAACAACAACAACAACAACAACATTTTTCATTTCTATATTGCTTTATATTTTAAAGAAAAAAACTCAAAAGTGGTTTACAACACATTTAAACAACGCAGAATAAACCAAACTCAAGCTTCAAGGAAAATATTTCAGATCCTTCTCTAAGTAACATTTTGCTTTCCCCGTGTTTCTTCACCTACTTAGTTTATACAGCTGCCCCATAGCAAAAGTGCTCCAGGAAGCCAGTATGCTTTTCTTTAAAATGCATCTCTGGGTTATTTGTGGGGCGTAGGAATTCGTTCATTTTTTTCCTCCAAAATATAGTCTGGCCCCCCACACTGTCTGAGGGATGGTGGACCGGCCCACGGCTGAAAAAGGTTGCTGACCCCTGTACTAGAGACCCAAGAGAACTTACTTGGAGTTAAATACCAATGGTACATCATCTTTATATAATTTTATTTCAGTGTATAACAGCGCTTTGTGACACTTTCATTCTGGCAGGTGCTTGAGCTGCTTATGGGCAGTTTGCATCAGAGCTTTCAGCTCAAACACCTGCCAGAATGAAAGTGTCACAAAGCGCTGTTATACACTGAAATAAAATTTTATGAAGATGACGTACCATTGGTATTTAACTCCCAGTAAGTTAGCGAAATTGTATAAATGGAATAAATAAAAATAATTTTAAAAATTAACCTTGTCTCTCTTCAATTATCCCTTTATGCTGCATCGGTAACTGTTTGCGGCAGCGATAGTGAGGGAGTTAATTTTTTTCGTTGGAATGGGAGGTATAGGAATTCGTTCATTATTATTTTTCAAAATATAGTCCGGCCCTGCCACATGGTCTGAGGGATAGTGGACTGGCACGCGGCTGAAAAAGGTTGCTGACCCCTGGGTTAGAGTGTCGAAGTAGGACCTGGGAGATCAGGGTTCAAATCCCCACTCAGCCGTGAAATTGAGGGTGACGTGTCTCCAGTCGCAGTCTTTTAACCTACCTCGCAGGGTTTTTCTAGGTATTAACTGAGGAGTGGGGTGAACCATGTACTCCCTGGAGAAAAAGGCGGGATATATAACCATATAACACCGGTCTTGAAAGACCTACATTGGCTCCCGGTACGTTTACGAGCACAATTCAAAGTGTTGGTGCTGACCTTTAAAGCCCTAAACGGCCTCGGCCCAGTATACCTGAAGGAGCGTCTCCACCTCCATCGTTCTGCCCGGACACTGAGGTCCAGCTCCGAGGGCCTTTTGGCGGTTCCCTCGCTGCCAGAAGCCAAGTTACAGGGATCCAGGCAGAGGGCCTTCTCGGTAGTGGCACCTGCCCTGTGGAACGCCCTCCCACCAGATGTCAAAGACAACAACAACTACCAGACTTTTAGAAGACATCTGAAGGCAGCCGTCTTTAGGAAAGCTTTTAGTGTTTGATGTATTGCAGTGTTTTAATTTTTTTTGGAAGCCGCCGAGAGTGGCTGGGGAAGCCCAGCCAGATGGGTGGGGTATAAATAATAAATTATTATTATTATTGTTGTTGTTGTTATTATTATATAAATGCAGTAAGTAAGCTCTTCTGCTGACCTGCTGAAGAAAGATGGAGGGGCCGGCCAGAGGGAGATGTGATTCGGCAACCTGGCATCCAGAGATCTCCACGTGGTCAAAACTGGACCAGCGCCAGTCGCAAAACACGCCTGGCAAATTTCCATCACTGCTACTTTTTATGAGAAGTATCACCCTGTGTGTTTCTTTGCATATTAGGTTATGCCACATACAGGACTGGTCATTATCTTTCAGAAAAGCTACTATATTCACCTGTAGCTTCAGAAGAAATCACTGTATTACTTCAGAAACCTACTGGTTTATGACTACCGGAGGGATCATAAGAAACGTCCTATTTCATCCGATTGCCATAACTGGGCTGAAAAGGCAGTACAGTGGTACCTCAGGTTACATATGCTTCAGGTTACAGACTCTGCTAACCCAGAAATAGTACCTCGGGTTAAGAACTTTGCTTCAGGATGAGAACAGAAATTGTGCTGCGGCGGCGCAGCGGCAGCAGGAGGCCCCATTAGCTAAAGTGGTGCTTCAGATTAAGAACAGTTTCAGGTTAAGAACAGACCTCCAGAACGTATTAAGTACTTAACCCAAGGTACCACTGTAAACACATTCCTGCAAGCAGAAATTGCTTTAACGGAGTGAAATTAAAGATAATGGGGATACAAAATACTGCCTAGCTACTTCTATGCAAACACATTGTACAGCCAAATGAAAAGCAATTTACTCGTCGTACTCATCTCATTTAACGCTTACTCTAGCCTTAAGATACTAAAATCTATTAATTCATACGCTGTGGCTTCGCACAGTAACTATCCTGTGAAACTGCTCTGTGAAGCCATTGTAAAACCAAAGAACAAGTACCAAAGGAGCCTGAGGGTTTGTCAAGACGGCGGTCTTTCCCCTGGCCAACTCTGCGCCACAACACGAAAACTGTGTATCTGTGTATTTGTGCAATACTATAGGGGTCATTTAGAACTTCGCCAGCACGCAAAGCCTGGAACAAAATGAGCTCTCAATCTTATTTTCCATTGTTTTAAATTCCATACATTTGTTAGTTCCATTTGCATCCTAGATCCTACTTTTCCCGCTGAGAATTCGAGGCAGCCTCACAACATCCCTGTGAAGTAGGACAGGCCAAGAGATCTAGTGAGCTTGGCCTCTCCACTTGTGGCCTCATCCACTAACTACAGCACATAAATTTCCTTCAAATACTGTTATTGTGGCTAACAGATGTGAAGCGAACTGCAGGAAAGTGATATGTGTCTTGGGACTTAAAATTTGCTTCTAATAGACAAATCAAGGGAAATTTATGGCTCGAAATATGTTAAATTCTGCATAGCTTCTCTTCTGTTCCCAAACATGCTTCAAATCTATCCGTGATCCTAGATATGAAACCGTTTACTGTTGGAGCTGCCAGAACCAGTCGACTGAAGGTTTTTTGGAACTACTAGTTCAGCAGAATTTGCAAAGGTGATACACTTATGGTATCACAATTCAGGGCAGACATGCTTTTACTGTACTTTAATTTGCGTGTGATCAAGTTACACGGAGCCAGATTATGCAGAGGCAATGCTTCTACTATCCCTGTTTTGGATCACTACTCTCTCTTTGCATTCATGCGATTAACCAATTAACTTAAAACAGGAATACACCTTAGAGGAGAATGACAAAAACGGAACGTGTGTATAAAATGAATACTGTAGTTTCTTTAACAGCACAATTCTAGCCATGGCCTCCTGAAATGCAAATTCAAGTGCAATGAGAGTTGCTCCCAGGTTAAGAATGTGTTATCACAGGACTGCAACCTCAGATAAGAAATAACACTCATGTAAAAGAGCAAACAGATGATCAGAATAAAGTTATTTACTATCCCACACAAAGGCAAATCTGAAGTCCTGTAACTAAAGGTTACCCACTGTCTAGCTCGCATGAACAGGCTGTAACAAAGAATAAAACAGCTCTGTACAAGTAAGAAAAGTTACAGCTATATACTGCTAAACTTAATGGAAAAATAAGTACCTATTTCACCACTTAAAATGTACTCCTACTGCAAATTTATGCAACTGTCTCCTTTTGAAAAACATTGCAATAAACTAATTTACGTAGCTTTAAAAATCACAAATTAATCTGAGAAATGAAACAATCTAAAAAAAGTGTTTTCTGAAACTTTCTATTTGTTTTAAGTGTTGAGGCCAAAGTGTAGCATCCCCACCTTTTGTTGGGATATTGAAGAATGCTAACAGAAAATACCGTATTTTTCGCTCTATAACACGCACCCGACCATAACACGCACATAGTTTTTAGAGGAGGAAAATCAGTAGGCATGCCACCCGTAGGCATTCCCTCCATAACACGCACAGACATTTCCCCTTACTTTTTAGGAGGAAAAAAGTGAGTGTTATGGTGCAAAAAATACGGTAATTCAAGGCTGCACTACAGAGTACTGTACATGTAACAAAGAACCGTTGGTTACAGTGACAAACTTCTACATTCCTCTTAGAATTAAGGTTACTGGTCAATTAACCGTTTACAAATCAAGATCTGAATACTGACCCTAGCATTATAAAAGAAAAGCACTGCTTAGCACTGCAAACATTGCTTGAGTTATTGAAGCCTTCCATCCGTCTCGAACACCACCAATTTAACAATGAAGGAAAAAGCCTACACAGGAGAAATCTTTTATCAGGTCCACACATTCATTTACTAGGCAAACCTTGAGGACACAAAAATCTCACCATCCAGAATATATTTAACAAAATTACCCTTTAAGCAACATGTTGCTGTCCGATTATCAGGAAAATATGCCGTGTTTAACTTTTATCTTCTGGAATTTACTGGAGCAGGAAAATCAGACTTGACCATTATAAGTATTTGCCCAGGTCCTCAAAAATAAGAGAGTAACTTCATAGGCTTAGTACATGAAGAGAAGGCTTCTTCTTTCCAGGGACCGAGTAATTGCAACACTCCTCTACGCAATAAGGGCGTGTCGAGATTGGAGCTCTTGTCTCATAGAAATGTCCTTTTTGTCCCACAGAATTCATCACGTGTGTATGCACACATGCAATTCCTCTTCCAGTTAGTTCAGGCTTAGCTTTTTTCAGTTCCAGCATCACCGCAATACTTAATGTTGATCGTTACACTTCTCCATTTGAGAGCATGCTGAATTTAAAGGGCTAATAACATAGTTTATTATGTTTTCCTCCTGCCCTTTGAACAAGGATCTCAGGGTGGCACATATGAGTCCCTCCCTTATCCCCGCAGTTACCCTGCAAGACAGGCTGAGAGATAACCACCAGTCCAACATCACTCAAGAGAACTTCATACATAAGAAGTCCAAACTAAAGAAGAGTGCATAACCAAGGTGATGAACTAGGCCGAATTGACAAAGATGACCGTGAGGATCAGGCACCAAGAGGACAAGAAATTCAGTCAAGAGCAAGAAAAGTTTACAGAATATCTTAAGGACCGCTGTGTATACTTAAAAACATCAGGAGGATTGTTATAGCACTTGTAATATGACTGAAGGTAAAAAAGGAGATAATATGGATTGGAAAAATGTAATTAGATGCAAAAAAAATAGGGAGAAATTGGAAATCGGGGGTGGGGGTAGAAGTCTGAGAGATCTAAGTAATCCCAGAAGTGTAGAAATTGAAAATGATGTGAATGCATAAGAATATCGTTTTAAAAATGAAAATAAAATATTAAAAAAAGAGAACTTCATAGATATGCAGATACTTGGCCTGAGTGTTAGAACCCGGGATAGAAAAGCTAGGAGCCAAATGGTTTCTGGGACCTGGGTTGTAGGTGCCAAAGCTGAATGTCTAGTCGCCACCAAGGGCAGGGAGAATTGGCAACACTTTTTATTTATTAATTAATAAGCATGAACTACTACGCAATTCACATAAGTGACACATTGTAAATATCACATTTTTTCAGAAATTGTTAATACATGTTTAATGTGGTGTTTACAATAAAAATATTGGTACCGTACTTGAGTTTTCAAAACACTCTTTACTGATAAACTCCTTAATATATTGTTTATCCTTAACTTGGAAGCTTCAAAGCACATATCGTACATTTCCGTAATCCTTGAGTTTCAGCCAAGCGCAAAAAACGGCACCCAGACTTTTGGAGGTGCTGCAAATGGAGAATCTTTAGGTGCAAAATGTGCCTTGATAATTTCGAACCCTGTTTGACCCAAAGTCTTCCCAAATTCCAGCGCTTCACCAACTAACACAACACAGATAGATGGTAGATTTGTATGGTAGCGTAGTTCCACCAGAATCACCAAGCAGGTAAACGTGAACTTCTGTTAACAGAAATTAGCAAAGGAAACAGAGTAGTTCTGTATTTTTCCTAAGAATATAACTTGTGTTTTATTCCGTTTTTGTATGTGTTGGAAGCTGCCCAGAGTGGCTGGGGCAACCCAGCCCGATGGGTGGGGTATAAATAATAAAATTATTCTTACTGCTGTTATTATTGCAAGCAGAGTAGCCCAGCAAACGCAGCCCAGCAGTTCAAGTGTTTCATCCAACCCCTTTCCCCTTTAAACTTCATCCAAAACAAGTACAATCCAACCGGTTAGCTCAGGTGGTTTAAGAGCGCAGGGCTGAGAACGCCAAGGTCATGGGTTCGATCCCCTGTATGGACCTCCTGCATTGCAGGGGGTTGAGCTAGATGACCCTCAGGTCCCTTCAGGGGAAACCCAGCCAGATGGGCAGGATATAAGTAATAAATTATTATTATCAGTGTTTTTTTTTCTTAAAAAATGTTTAGGGGTATACTCTCCTTTTCTTACTCATATTGAAATACTGCCCCTCAATGAGGCCAAACTTAGATTCACAAAATGTTCAGGGCCCCTTTTTTCCGAAAAAATGTTTAGGGGTACTCTCATTTTGACTCAAGAAAATCACCATTTTATAGTTCAAATCGGGAAAAGCAAATACAGCCAACGGACAAAAGTACAAAGATTCACAAAATGTTTAGGGGTATGCGTCCCCCTGAGCCCCCCAGAAAAAAAAGCACTGATGATGATTAACTCTCCCATTCTACACATGGGGCTTGGGGGGGCATATTGATTCACACAGTTCCTATTAGGTAGGTTCACATTAAAATCCTATGCCCTTTTAAAATGTGGGGTTTTGGGGGGGCTTGTTATTGGGTTGTTGTTGTTATTTTTATTATGTATTTTGTGGTTTTGTACAGCATATACTTGGCACAGTAGCCCCAAGACTGCCTGCAAAGGACATATGCCGAGAGAGTCCTTGTATGGGGAGCATATCTCAATATGGGGACCATATTTCCATTCTCAGGGTCGTGGGTTCGAGTTCCACATCGGCCAAAAGAAGCCTGCCTTTGCAAGGGGTTGGGCTAGATGGCCCGCGAGGTCCCTTCGTGTGACACTCGACTCACCTTGCAGGGAGCGGCATCCCAGGACCTGCCCGCGGCTTCCTGAGCCACATTCACACGTGCACGCGCGACACGCGCACCCACACCTCGCGTGCATTTGCTTTGCTGCAGAGCAGCCCACGGCTGCCAACCCCCCCGGGTCCTGCCAATTTCCCCACCCTGCCCCGGGAATCCCCCTCCCTCGCCCCCGGGGGCTCCAGACTCGCCTCCCTTCAACCTACCAGGGCTGGGGATGAAGCAACACGCCGCCGCCGCCGCCGCTCGCGCCTCCCGGGTCAAGCTTCCAGCGCCCAGCCAGACGTTCCATCCGCCCCGCCAGCGGCGGAAGGCAGCTCGCGACGCCCCGGCAAGCGCGCGCCTCTACACCTTCCTCTCCCACCAACGCGCTACATTCACGCTCCCGGGGGCGGGCGGGGGAGGAGGAGAGGGAACCAGGAAGTGAGCAGCGCAGAGGCCACGCCCTCTCCCCATCCGCTTCCTCCTCTTGCCAGAGAGGCCACGCCCTCCCCGTCCGATTCCTCCTCTTCCCTAGAGCCCCGCCCTCTCCCCATCGGCTTCCTCCTCTTCTCAGAGAGGCCACGCCCTCCCCCATCCGATTCCTCCTCTTGCCAGAGAGGCGGCGTCCCTTCGCTGCCCGGCGTTGTGCGCGGGTCCAACGTTCCGGGCTGCTCCGAGCGCCGCCCTTTCTTTAGTTCCCGCCCTTCGCCCGAAGATCCCAGGGCGGTTCACCGCAGGAGGAAAAAGACACAAAATTCGGAATAAAAGTAAAAGCGAGCGAGAAACTCTCTCTCTCTCTCTCTCTCTCTCTCTCTCTCACACACACACACACACACACACGAAACACATTGAAAAGGCCGTAGGAGGTTTAATATCCTGTTGGAAGCCGCCCAGAGTGGCTGGGGAAGCTCAGTCAGGTGGGCGGGGTATAAGTAATTTTTAATATTATTATTATTATTATTATTTAGCCCAAGGTCTGGTTACAAAGAAACATTATGTTGCTTCATTGTTATTTCTAAATTGGTATACCTCCCTTCGCCAGAAGAGCCCGGGGCGGTTCACCATAGAAAAATAACAATGTCAACACAAAATACATAATAAAAATTTAAACCAATAATAATAGCAAAAGTAATAATCCAATAATAATAATAAACCAATCATCATCCAATAATAAACCTCACAAAACAAAAATAAACCAATAATAATAATGAACCAATAATAAACCGTACAAATACAAAACAAAAATAAACCAATCATCATCTAATAATTAACCACACAAAACAAAAATAAACCAATAATAATAATGAACCAATAATAAACCGTACAAATACATTTAAAAAGGCCACAGAATGCTTAATCAGCTAAAAGGTCTGGGAGAAAAAGAGGCATTGATTATTATTTGTTAAACTGATCACCCAAGAATCCCAGGGCGGATCAGCACAAGAAAATAATGACAGTACAAAATGTTCTGGTTTTTGAACGCTTTTCAGAAGCCAAACGTCTGATGCAGCTGTCAGCTATTGTTTCTGGGGCGCCTGCACCAATCGGAAGCCACACCTTGGTTTTTGAACATTTTGAAAGTCAAACAGATTTCCGGAATGGATTAAGTTCAAGAACCAAGGTACCACTGTTTTGGGCGATTTTGTTTTTGCTATTTATTTTGCATTTTTGAGGCTTTTTTGGTTAATTTGCTTTTGTGACTGTGTGGAACCCAGTTCAGTTGTTGATTGATAGATTGTGTGACTGCAGAAATGGATAAAAGCCCCCCATCCAAACAAAGACTATCAACAGTGCAGGTAAAAAAAATTATTTTATTTTTTATCATATACAATACTGTCTTGTTTATTTTATAGTACAGTACATTGATTGTTAATTTCATTTTATGGATCAATGGTCTCATTACATAGTAAAATTCATGTTAAATTGCTGTTTTAGAGGTTGTTTTTAAAAGTCTGGAACGAATTAAGCTGTTTTGCATTCCTTTCTATGGGAAAGCGCACCTTGGTTTTGGAACGCTTTGGTATTGGAATGTACATCTGGAATGGATTAAGTCTGAGAACCAAGGTACCACTGTATTGCTGAGGGCAGGCTGAGGTTTCTTGCCTTTGCCCTGAATCCATTCCCTTGGCTGGCATAGGATTTCTCGAGAACTGAAAACTGGGCATTAAACTCGCAGCGTTTCTCAAGCGTGGGTCCCCAGCCATTGTTAAGACTACAACTCCCATCATCCCTAGCGAGCAGGACCAACGCTGAGGGATGATGGGAGTTGTAGTCCGACAACAGCTGAGGCGCTGTAGCCACCGTGAGGCCATGCACAGGCTCGCCTGCGCTTACTCGGGAGTAAACACGAGCGAACTGACCGGTCACGAGCGTCCCCAAAAAAAACAACCGCTCACTTTTAAAAGAGATTATTCCGGGCATCCGCAACGCGCGTGCGCGTAAGCCCAGCCGCTGGGCGGGAAAGGCGCGAGGACGCCTGCGCCTGCGCGGTCAGGAAGCAGGTGTGGAGGGGGCGCGAAGGAGCGAGGGCGTCATCAGACAGCGCCGGAGAAATGGGTAAGCAGGGAGTGGGCGCCCTTTCGCTGATGGCGACGGCCGGGCGCGCGGCGTTCGGAGGGCGGAGCATGCGCGTGAGGGTGTCCTCGCCATGGCGTCGGTGGTGCTGAGCGAGGCGGAGAAAGTGTACGTCATGCACGGCGTCCAGGTAACTGAGGCGGGGCTGGAGGCCTGTCTGGGGCCGGTTACTTTATTATTATTATTATTATTATTATTATTTGCATTTATTTCCCACCTGTTTTCTCCATGGGACTCAAGGGGGGTGGTTCTTCCCCTCCTCTTTCAATTCCTCACAACGACCCTGTGAGGCTGGGCTGCCACCTGCCCCGTTCAGGATTGTCCCAGTTACTAATTATTATTATTATTAATAATAATTATTTTATGTATTGCAGTTATAGCCCACCTGTTTTCTCCATGGGACTCAATGGGGATGGTTCTTCCCCTCCTCATTCAATCCCCACGACAACCCTGTGAGGCTGGGCTGCCACCTGCCCTGTATAATACAGGATTGTCCCGTGTTTCAATGAAAAATGCTCCATCCTGATTAATATGGGGTGCAGTTTGTTCTGTTATTTCAGATCTTTTTTTCTCTCTCTCTCCAAATACACATGTTTCCAAGGGTGTGTGAAAGGTTATGTATTTAAGCTCTGGGTAGCAAAGCACAGACAGATTTACAAATCCGTGCATTTGTTTGTGACATATTCCAGAGGGGCCATCCTATTAGGCTGCAAAAATAATTCAGCCACCTCATCCCGTCCTGTATTTTGCCAAAACAAAGATGGGAACCCTACTACTGTCAGCTACGTTAGACTGAGGTTCAGTGACTGGCTCCAGGTCACCCAGTGAGCTTCCTGGCTAAATGGGGATTTGAACCATGGTCCTACTCTGACAGCTCCCATCATAGCCAGTGATCAGGGATGATGGGAGGTGTAGTCCAACAACATCTGGAGGGCAGCAGGCTGTGCACCTCTGCTCTAACCACTGCACCACACTGCCTTTTGCTCCAGGAGGCTTTGTTTGGTCAGAATCAAGTATACACTTCCAAAGTTAATGCTAAATACATTGCTTTTGGTAAATGAGTGCCATGGCCATGAGAGGACTGTGAAAATCTCAGGCTTTTTAGACCTTTGGTACTATCAGAAACCAAAGTTGCGCATTGGTTGACAGATGTGGATTTTTCTTCCAGCCAAGGTGGAAAATTGAAAAAAATGTTTAAAAGTACCTTTCCAAAAAAAATACACCAGAGTCCTTTTTTTTGGGGGGGGGGGATAATTCAGAGGGAAATTCCCAGGTGTCAAAAAAGACTATTATTATTATTATTAATTTCATTTCATTTCTATACCGCCCTATACACAAAGGTCTCAGAGCGGTTCACATAACCTGAACCTGAAGTGTCTGTAACCTGAAGCGTCTGTAACCCGAGGAACCACTGTATAGGATATAGATCAAATCAGGCAAACGCCTGATTAAAAAGGAACGTTTTTGCCTGGCGCCTAAAGGTGCATAGTGAAGGCGCCAGGCAAACTTCCCTGGGTAGTAGCATATTTATGTATGCTACTACTGCAGCCTGTGTTTTGTTAGCCCAAAAATGGAAAACGAGTGAGGTCCCAAGAAGAATGGCAACTTAAACTGATGGAATACGCGCAGCTTGCAGATTTAACTTATAGAATAAGAGAACAACAAGAACGTACATTCAAAGAAGTTTGGAAAATGTTTATTGAATATATGGGTGAAAATTGTGTTTATTTAAAAATGCTGGTAGCATTAATATAAATTCAATAGTGTAAATAAGTTTCGAGGGCTGTAACAGTGGATTACTGAATGGTTTAGTTCATGTAAAACATGCAGGGATGTATGGTATGCAAAATGAACCATGGAAAGAGAAGAAGGGAAGTCATTGATTTAAGGTTGTTTAACATATTTTGAAATGTACATTTGAAAATTTAATAAAAATGAGAGAGAGAGAGAGAGAGAGAGAGAGAGATGGCATTCACTTATAATCACAAGCTTGTGAATAATATGCATTTGTCTGTTCGCTCAGCAACATTTATTTGTGTGATCAATCAAAGGCATTAGGTAACACATTGTGATAAATGACTGTTTCAGGAGGATCTTCGGGTGGATGGCCGTGGTTGTGAAGATTACAGATGTACTGAAGTGGAAACAGATGTAGTATCTAATACAAGTGGGTCTGCCAGAGTAAAACTTGTAAGTATGCCTTGCGGGGACTTCTATACATTGCTAATGATATTGTATTTTTCGTTGAAGCTCACTCTGCACAGTGCTAAAACATAGTTTGGGTCTGCCCTGCCCTAGCTAGAACAGTCTGGTGGCACCTGAAAAAGTAACTCATTTATAGTGGCATACATTTTTGTGGCACAGGAAATGTATTGTTCATTTATATTGCAGGAGAGAGATGTGTCACATTAACATGTAGAACACAAATAGAAAGGAGAACCACATGCAAGACTAATAATTCTGTTGTAGTGGCCCATTACTCCCCAGTTCGTACTGAGTTGGCAAAATTGTGTTTTTAAACACCCAGTAGTATTTAAGGAATAGAAGGATGGCATACAGTATGGAAAATGAAAGGTTAGTATGAATGAGAAAAGGACGTTGGCTTAGGGCAGGCTTCCTCAACCTCGGCCCTCCAGATGTTTTTGGCCTACAACTCCCATGATCCTAGCTAGCAGGACCAGTGATCAGGGATGCTGAGAATTGTAGTCTCAAAAATATCTGGAGTGCCAAGGTTGAGGAAGCCTGCCTTAGGGGCTGTTTGCTGTTGGAGGAAACGAGGAAAGAGTTGGCTGAATGCCCAACATAGAAGGAAGCTAAGGGGGTGGCAAGCTCAGTGAGAGGAAGACCCAAAATGTCTTGGAACCAAGCAACAGGAAACCTAAAAGCAAGGGTGAGTGGAGGAAGACAAAATAAGCATTGGTGTGAGAAGCAGGGATCAAAAGGGAGGGGGTGGAGGAGAAAGATTTGCAGGAAAGGGGACTGAAGAAGTAAATTGTCAGAAAAGTGATTGGATTATTACAGTGGTACCCCGCAAGACGAACGCCTCGCAAGACGGAAAACCCGCTAGACGAAAGGGTTTTCCGTTTTGGAGGCGCTTCGCAAGTCGACTTTCCCTATGGGCTTGCTTCGCAAGACGACAGCCCATAGGAAATCTCAGGGACAGCGGGGAAGCGCAGCGCGTCTTCCCACTGTCCTCGGACCTCCTCCGAAGCCTGGCGGCGGGGCGGGGACACCTCCTCCGCCGCCGCCGGGCTTCAGAAGGCTCCTCCGAGCCGGGCGGGGAGGGAACACCTGCCGCCGCCGCCCGGCTCGGGACGGTGCTCCGGGCCGGGCGGGGGGAGGGAACACCTGCCGCCGCCGCCCGGCCGGAACGGTGCTCCGAGCCGGGCGGGGGAGGAAGACCTCCCCCGCCGCCCGGCCGGAACGGTGCTCCGAGCCGGGCGGGGGAGGGAACACCTGCCGCCGCCGCCCGGCTCGGGACGGTGCTCCGAGCCGGGCGGGGGGAGGGAACACCTGCCGCCGCCGCCCGGCCCGGACGGTGCTCCGAGCCGGGCGGGGAGGAAGACCTCCCCGCCGCCCGGCTCGGAGCGGTGCTCCGAGCCGGGCGGGGGAGGGAACACCTCCGCCGCCGCCCGGCCCGGAGCGGTGCTCCGAGCCGGGCGGGGAGGGAAGACCTGCCGCCGCCGCCCGGCCGGGCGGTGCTCCGAGCCGGGCGGGGAGGAACACCTGCCGCCGCCGCCCGGCTCGGAGCGGTGCTCCGAGCCGGGCGGGGGAGGGAACACCTGCCGCCGCCGCCCGGCCCGGGACGGTGCTCCGAGGCCGGGCGGGGGAGGGAACACCTGCCGCCGCCGCCCGGCCGGAGCGGTGCTCCGAGCCGGGCGGGGAGGGAACACCTCCCGCCGCCGCCCGGCCCGGAACGGTGCTCCGAGCCGGGCGGGGAGGGAGACCTCCCGCCGCCGCCCGGCTCGGAGCGGTGCTCCGAGCCGGGCGGGGGGAGGGAAGACCTTCTGAAGGCGGGCGGGGGCGAAGTCCTTGCTCCCCCTGCCTGCCTGTCCCGGAGGGCTTTTGAAGGCGGGGAGCAAAGACTTTCGCCCCCGCCCGCCTTCAGAAGAGGTCCAGGACCTCTTCTGAAGGCTGGCGGGGGCAAAGTCTTTGTCCCCCTGCCTGCCTTCCCAGGGGCTTTAAATTGCCCCGGACAGCGGAGAAGTCCTCCGCTGTCCCGGGTGATTTTCAACTGCCGCCCGCCCGCATTTTAAGATCGCCCGGACAGCGGAGAAGTCCTCCGCGGTCCCGGGGTATTTTAAAATGCTGGGGGTGGGAAGAAAAGCCCTTGCCCCCCCCCCCAGCCTTCAGAAGAGGTCCGGGGACAGACTGTCCCGGACCTGGTCTGAAGGCGGTTTCCCAGGAACGCATTAATTGATTTTCAATGCATTCCTATGGGAAACCGTGCATCGCAAGACGAAAAACTCGCAAGACGAAGAGACTTGCGGAACGAATTAATTTCGTCTTGCGAGGCACCACTGTATATTGAACAACCAGTACTTTTTTACAGGGTATTCAAGGATATGCAGTACCTGCACCACTTTTTGTTGTTAAAAAGTGTGGCACTTACTATAACAATTTTATGATGAGTGCCAGCACCTGTTTTTCTAGAAAAAAAGCACTGTGAACAACAAATATTCACAATCTTAATCTCACAGTCTACCAGACTCAGTGCTGTTTATTAGCAGTGAGTGTCTACAGTAGTCCGCATCAGATTGTGATATTAAGTTGGTTGGCCCTTTCGGTGCTTTGAAGGTGCTTCAAAGGTTTGCCGTTGTGTTTTCAAGGCGTTCTGTTTTTTTTAAGGAGAAATACTGGGTAGTATTGGCCGACACAGAAAGTAAAGGGAGGTGTGCTGGTAAGATCATAAGACTTGGAAAACATCTGTAGCAGAGTGCTGTTATTTCAACAGGGGCACACAGACATCCTGGTTGGAGTCAAGGCAGAAATGGGAGCACCGAAGCTGGATAGACCAAATGAAGGATACTTGGAATTCTTTGTTGATTGGTTAGTGCAAAATGGGCCACAGGGGGGTCTATTTAACTAAATACCAGCAACCTTAAAGTGATGCTAGTTGCAGGACTATATGCTCTGTGTTTGCTTTTTTATAAGGATTTCAGAATGCCAGATAACAAATCATTATTTTGACTGCCTTTTTGCCTTTTCCTTCCCCATCTTTTGCATTTGGCAGTTCATTTCTTTACTTCCTTCTGCTCATGGCCAGTGTCCCACCCTTTCCTAAAATGGACACACAGAACCTTCTAGTCCTCACCAGATCTCTGTAGGCTATTCCTTTCTGCAAATCCCTTTCGCCTGCTGCTGATGGTGGTGGTACCTCATTAGTTTCCTTCACCATGATGACCTTGCCTTCTTCGCCAGAGTAGTGAACACTGCATTCAGTTCTCTGCTGCAATTTGCATTTCTCAAGGTGACATTGATAGTTAGCAAGATACTGCCCAGAGATGTACATGCAGTCAAAAAAATTTAAATAAGCCCTGGGCAGAGGAGCCAATGAGATTCAGAGCAGCATTTCTTCTGAAGACATGCCAGATGCTATAGACCAAGACTGAAAGGAGGCATGTTTTTTCTTTCTTTCTTTTTGCTATGCCAGATCTAGGCTGGCACAGTAGATGACTCCCATCTCAGGTCCCTTTCTGGAAGTGAATCAATGGTTGGCCAAACCCTTGCCCCATCCCAATAACACCACTTTGCAAAGCTAATAATAATAATTATTATTATTCAGGTATACTGGGCCAAGGCCGTTTAGGGCCTGAAAGGTCAGCACCAACACTTTGAATTGTGCTCGGAAAAGTACTGGGAGCCGATGTAGGTCTTTCAGGTCCAGTGTTACATGGTCTGGCAACCACTCCCAGTCAGCAGTCTAGCTGCCGCATTCTGGATTAGTTGTACTTTCCAGGTCACTTTCAAAGGTAGCCCCACGTAGAGCTCATTGCAATAGTCCAAGCGGGAGATAACTAGAGCATGCACCACTCTGGCGAGACAGTCTGCAGGCAGGTAGGGTCTCAGCCTGTATGCCAGATGGAGGTGGTAGACAGCTGCCCTGGACACAGAATTGACCTGCACCTCCATGGACAGCTGTGAGTCCAAAATGACTCCCAGGCTGCACACCTGGTCCTTCGGGGGCACAGTTACCCCATTCAGGACCAGGGAGTCCCCCACACTCACCCACCCCCTGTCTCCCCAAAACAGTACTTCTGTCTTGTCAGGATTTAACCTCAATGTGTTAGCCGCCATCCATCCTCAACCGCCTCCAGACACTCACACAGGACATTCACCGTCTTCACTTACTATTGCCAGCAAGAGCACTATGAGCTGTAGTAGGAACATATGTGCTTTTAGATCTGCACATACAGCTACTGGTATACTGTTAGGGCTGCCATACGTCTGGGATTTCCGGGATATATCTAGGATTTGTCTGTTGGAAATAGCATCTGGGCGGAATTTACAAAAATTGATTAAAATGTCTGTATTTCCTTTAAATTGCTCAAAAACTTCATTTTATTTATTTTTTACTGTGCATGCTAAAAGCAACTGTAGAGCCTTCTCTGCCACAATTAGAAATGGTGGGGTTTCAATCTCTGGCACATTATTGGCCTGCCGCTAGGTGGTGCTAACTGAGCGTTTTTGAACACCTGGAGCATTTTGACAATTCCTCCTCTCCATTTTAAAGGGTTGTCAAATCATTAACTCGTTTTGAATTGCTGTCCTGGTCCCTCTTGCACTTTCTGAGATAATGTAAGATAAAATTGAGGAGCAGAGTCTTCCACCAAAATTTTGAATGTGTATGTTGGTACACATTGTTGAGATAAGAAACGAGGTTGGCACTCTTGCTTGTGGTTGCATGCTTAAGAGTGACTTCAGGGATCTGTGCCAGGAGAGTGGGCAACCAGTTATGAAGAGCATGGCAAACACATACAAGGTTGATACTAACTTGATTTAGGTCTAATTCATATAATTTTCCTAAATCTTGGGGTACAGGGTGGGATGAAATCGTTTTCTGGATTTCTTAAACCTTCACACATAAAACCTTGACCAGGCACTCATATATAAGATAGACGCACATGCCCAATTTCTAATAGCTGGCTGACAGTGAGAATCCCTACCATTGGCAGAACCGCTGGCAGTGATGGCCAAACTTGGCCTTCCAGCTGTTTGGGGACTACAATTCCCAACATCCCTGACCACTGTTCCTGTGATGGGAGTTGTGGTCCCAAAACAGCTGGAGGGCCAGGTTTGGCCATCACTGCGCTACAGTATCCTGGAATGTTCATAGTTATTCCAACTGCTCATGATGTGGTTATTGATAAAGAATATGGATAAAGTGCAGCTTCTGTGGTGAAAGTGAAAGGGCAGCGTGAATGGGGGAACAGCTCTGCTTTCAATGAACTAGGTGGGGCTAGCCTCCCGCTCACACACTCAAACAAAACTCACTTCAGTCCACCAGAGGCAACCAACCATGCCAATGAAAACTAATGAATGAACGGAATCTACACATGTGACGCTGACACACAAACCTTGCACATGCACTTTGTAAAAGAATGGAAGTGTACTATTCCCCTTCTCCTCACCCGTCTTCTCCCCCAGCTTTATACTGTCTATAGTCGTGGTTCCCAACATGGGGCACATGCCCCACAGAGGGGCAATTTGATTTTTAAGGGGGGCAATTCGAGAATGAGTCATTAACAGTTACTTTAGGCTTCCTCCACGTGCATAGGAGTTCACTTTTTGAATAATAAGAATTATATGTCATGGGGGGGTGCAATCAGGATTTTAGAGTTGCTTAGGTGGGGCATGGTCAAAAAAAAGTTGGGACCCACTGGTCTGTAGCATTAGTGTCTCACGTTGAATAAAATTGACAATCTTTAATAAAAACATTTTTTAAAAAACTAAATGGGGCTAATAGGCTAGTCTAACCTATTTGTACCTGCCACTTGGCAATGACAGCTGTTGAGGGAGACGCTTGACTACAGTCGTACCTTGGTTCTCAAACGGAATCCATTCAGGAAGTCCGTTCGACTTCTGAAAACGTTAGAAAACCAAGGCACGGCTTCCGATTGGTTGCAGGAGCGTCCTGCACTCATTCAGAAGCCGTGCCAGACGTTTGGCTTCCAAAAAAAAGTTTGCAAACCGGAACACTCACTTCCGAGTTTGCGGCGTTCAGGAGCCAAAACGTTTGAGTCACAAGGCTCTCGAAAACTAAGATACGACTGTGTCTGGCTTTTAATCATTGTGATTTGGAGAGGAAGGCTGATCCATCCTGCTCTCTTGCACCAAGCCTCTGCATCCTGCTTTTATGCATATACAGAGCAGGATTCTGCCTATAAAGCTTTTTGTTTTTTAAAAAACAAATTCTATTGTGGGTTTGAGGGGCCAAATGTAAGTCTATAATGGGGACGCTTCTGTCTATTTAGCACAAGGCGATATGGACAGAAGCAGCAACCGACACAGAGTAGCGTATTACTTAGCTTTCTAATTGGAATATTATCCTGCAATAAAGTTCTAAAACGCCGAAGTTCAAAGAGGCAACCTCAAGGTGTTGCTATGAGAACTGTGAATCTTCCCTTTAATTAAACATAACTTCAAACTCGCCCTCAGTGCGCTAGAGATGACTGTGTGATTTGATATTCATATAAATTGGCTATTAAAACTTTGCCACAATTTAAAAATCAAGTGTGCTTGGAGGCTAACTTGCATAGTGCAGGTAAATTAGATAATTGTCGGAGTTGTTTTTTATATAAGCTGCTTCTCCCTAGGAAACCTTTAAGAATCCTTTGTAAGTATACTATTAAGAAATGTTCCATTTCTGACTAATTGCTTGTGGCCTGACTCAAAAAGAATCAATGTGAGATAAATGCTTTACGAAGATCCTGCCTATTTTCTGTATTATGAAAAATAGTACCTGTACCTGCCATTCAGCTATATATGCCAGCATTTATCAAACTTGGGTCTCCAGCTATTGTTAGACCAGTGGCCAGAGATGATGGGAGTTGTAGTCTGACAACAGCTGGAGACCCAAGTTTGAGAAACACACATGCTATAGGAAAGCGGACAAGATAAATGCCTGAGGGCTCGCTTTAATGGGAGCACTGAGAGTTATATGCTGCCCTCCCAACAGTAGGGGCACTGTTGCTTACTATCGAAGCAGGACAGTGGTGAAGCAGGGGCTGCACACATCGCTTCTCGGCCTTTTGGCTAAGATGAAGTGTAGGGGCTGCACAGCAAACAGGATCAGTGGAATGGATCCACCAGTGTACCCACATAGTCCCAGCTTGCTTCTGCCCTGCCCCACATTGTCCTGGTAGCAGTGATGCTGCTGTGAGGAGGTTGCCTCCATGTCCCTCCCACACCAGCTTCTCCTGCCCTTAAAGGTTTGCTATGATTGGTGCTTCCACGTCGTAGTGATGTATGGAAGTGAGAGCTGGACCATAAAGAATGTTGATCGCCAAAGAATTGATGCTTTTGAATTATGGTGCTGGAGGAGACTCTTGAGAGTCCCATGGACTGCAAGAAGAACAAACCTATCTATTCTGAAGGAAATCAGCCCCGAGTGCTCACTGGAAGGACAGCTTGCGGACGGCTGCACAAAGCCTTCACCCCGCTGCCCTGCGGAGGCAACAAAGCTGTCCCCGACACCAGAACAGCGAGGCGGAGCACTCCGTCTCGCTGTTCTAGCTTGTGGACAGCTGCACAAAGCCTTCACCCCGCTGCCCTGCTGAGGCTACAAAGGCTGTCCCCAAGCCAGAACAGCGAGCCGAAGCACTGCGGAGTGCTCCGTCTCGCTGTTCTAGTTCGAGGATGGCTGCGCAAAGCCTCCGCAGGGCAGCGGGGTGAAGGCACCCCGCAACCCTGCGGGGGCTTTGCGCAGCCATCCCAAAGGGTGTGCCTTCAGCGGGGTGACTATCCCTGAAGCCTTTGGAGCACAGCGGGACCTCGCGCTGCGCTCCAAAGGCTTTGGGTTCCTTTTGCTGAAGTCGAGAGAGCAAGACTCTCCTGGCTTCAGCGAAAGGAACCCGAAGCCTTTGGAGTGCAGCGCGAGGTCCCGCTGTGTTCCAAAGGCTTCAGGGATCTTTGAGGCTGGCGGTGGGGGAAAGCAGCGCTTCCCCCCACCGCCAGCCCCACAAGCTTGGGGGGTAGCGGCAAGGCTGCGTGCAGCCTTTGCGCTGCTCCCCGACCTGGTCTTTGGGGCCGACGGTGGGGGAAAGCAGCGCTTCCCCCCGCCAGCCCCAAAGAGCAGGTCAAAAGGAACCTGAAGCCTCCGGAGCCCAGCGGGAACTCCTGCCGTACTCCAGAGGCTTCGGGTTGCCTTCACTGAAGCCTGGAGAGCGAGTGGGGTCAGTGCGCACTGACCCCTCTCACTCTCCAGGCTTCCAAGGTAGCCGCCTGAAGCCTCCAGAGTGCAGTGGGTACTCCTGCTGCACTCCCGAAGCTTTGGGTGAATGCACCTTGAACGCACCTTGTTTTAGAGGGGGAGAACAAGAAAAAAAATTTTTTCCCCCTGTTCTCCCCCTCCTATGGCCCGGTGCGTCCTATAGAGCGAAAAATACAATAAAACATTTACTAATACCCTTAATGAAGACTGCTATGATTGTTTCCCCAGAGGCACTCAAACCCTCCTTCATAGAGGGTTGGTGCAGTGCCTCTCCTGCTGCAATGGCTTGTGACTCTCTTGTTTTGTTTTTTGTTAAATTTGTATACTGCCCTTCATCTAAAGATTTCAGGGTGGTTTGTGGCATAAAAACACAAAATAAAAACACAAAATACATAACAAAAACAAGAACGAAACAATAGCCCAATAACTCTTCCTGACTTAGACTCAAATTGATGCCAAGCACTGGTTAGGGGCTGTTGACTTGTCTCCCTACAGAGAGGAGGAAAAGGAGCTGGTCCTTGCAGCCACTTCTACCTGTTGTGGACCTGAGAGCTTCTAAATCCAGGTAGGAGATGGGAGGAAATAGGATGGGCAGCATTGAAAGCTGTAGGCTTCTAGTATGCTGCACAGTGTCTTCTGCTGGAATAGCTTCTAATTAGGCTGATTTTTGCCTTGCATATTTGAAATTGTGTGTGCATTTTTTAAAAGATTAGAGCCCATCACGACTGATGCTTGTTGAAGGCAATGAGACTTTTTCAGTAGAGAAATACCCAGGACAGGAGAGGCCAATTAAAAATATGCCAGTCTTCCTGTCAGGTTATCTGTTCTCTCCCCCTGTCATGTTTAACAGGCTATATTGTTAGCCATGCAACTTTCTTTTCTTATTCTTAACCTGAAGAAAGCAATTGTTCTTAATTTCCATCAAACCACAGTAGTTAGACTGTAACAAAGAACTGGAGCTGAGATACCAAACTATATTGTTGCCTGTTTCAGGTAATCTATAGCTCTCTCTGTCCCCTTTATTATTTTGGTTTATTAAATCTTGTTCCTAAGGAAAGGGCAGGATTTAATGTCCTGTGCTGAGCCGTAGATCCCTGAAAGGTGAAAACTGCTTTGATTTTTTATTTCTTCCTTTCAGCTCAGCTAATGCCACTCCCGAATTTGAGGGCCGCGGCGGAGAGGAGCTGGGCACTGAAATAGCAAATACCCTTTACAGAATTTTTAACAACGAGAGCAGCATTGACTTGAAGTTGCTTTGCATTGCTCCCCGAGAGCACTGCTGGGTGCTTTACGTCGATGTCCTGGTAAGTAAAACAAACTTCAGCTTAATCGAAACTAGATATTCAGAGATTTCCTCGGGCCATTGACGGGTTGAATTCTGATGAGATTGCTTCTGTCTCAAAGTCAGGGCAGATAGTTTAAACGCCATCACAACCCTGAACCTCAATGTCAGCCTTTGCTCATACAGGACTGTATCTTGATTTAAAAAGTCAAGATAAGAACACGCCTATCTGCCACAATCAGATTATCACTAGTAGGTTCTAGGATTGATATAACTGAATGGGCTATTCATGTAAAACACACTTCTTCTTTTAACATTTCAGTTACTGGAGTGTGGTGGAAACTTGTTTGATGCCATCTCTGTTGCAGTGAAGGCAGCACTGTTTAATACCAGGTAAGGCACACGTAATTTTCTAAAAGAAACTTGTGGAGGAAAATGGAAAGGTCTCTGTTGCAGCCAAAACAATGTGTTCTGGCGCCATAACAAGTTAACAAATTTATTATGGTATAAGCTTTTGCGGACTAGGGTCCACTTCATCAGACACGTCAAGTGTAATCCTCAATCGTATTTATATATGCATATTGTGTGTGTGTGTTTGTGTAATCTGTGAGATTGTTGTTGTTGTTTAGTCGTTTAGTTGTGTCCGACTCTTCGTGACCCCATGGACCAGAGCACGCCAGGCACTCCTGTCTTCCACTGCCTCCTGCAGTTTGGTCAAACTCATGCTGGTAGCTTCAAGAACACTGTCCAACCATTGCGCCCTCTGTCGTCCCCTTCTCCTTGTGCCCTCCGTCTTTCCCAACATCAGGGTCTTTTCCAGGGAGTCTTCTTTTCTCATGAGGTGGCCAAAGTATTGGAGCCTCAGCTTCAGGATCTGTCCTTCCAGTGAGCACTCAGGGCTGATTTCCTTCAGAATGGATCGGTTTGATCTTCTTGCAGTCCATGGGACTCTCAAGAGTCTCCTCCAGCACCATAATTCAAAAGCATCAATTCTTCAGCGATCAGCCTTCTTTATGGTCCAGCTCTCACTTCCATACATCACTACTGGGAAAACCATAGCTTTAACTATACGGACCTTTGTTGGCAAGGTGATGTCTCTGCTTTTTAATCGGTGAGATTAGAAGGACATAAAGTGCAAAAACTACAGACAGTGGCAAATAGAGACAATCACAAATGCTGTTTCATTGTCACTGCTGCTGTTACAGGTCACTTTGCTTATTTTTCATCCGTCCAGTTCTAATGAAATCTCACTGTCTGTGATTTTTTGCATGCCACTCATCTCTGAATTCACTACTTGCCGCAAACCACCCCCGCTTCTTCAAAGTGGACTCTCGTCCAAGAAAGCTTATGCCATAATTAAATGTGTTAATCTTTGAGACAGGCATAGGCAAACTCCAGCCCTCCAGATGTTTTGGAACTACAATTCCCATCATCCCTAGCTAACAGGACCAGTGGTCAGGGATGATGGGAAGTGTAGTCTCAAAACATCTGGAGGTCTGGAGTTTGCCTATGCCTGCTTTAGGATGTCACAAGCCATTTGGTGTACCTGCTGAAAATGGGTATAGATACTCCTATCCGCTGAGGCTACCTGGGACTCAATGGACTAAGATGGTTCTCAAACCTACGCACCTGCTCCTTCAACAAGAGTGCAGCCTCATTAAGGACAGGTAGTTTTTCCAACTCCTGGATGCGTCAATCGCCCACGCATAGCACTTCCGTCTGTTTGGATTGTCTCTAGTTTGTTTTTAACTCACCCTTTACAACCTCCCAATGCTAGTTTTTTATCTGTTTGTTTTTTGAAAATAATTTACATTTGATTTTACAAATTAAAATTTACAACAAAATCAATTACAAAGACATATAAAGGGATTTCTTTGAATCTTGAGACTTCCCCCCCTCCATGGGTCGTAATTTCACCGCTTGCAACTGCACATCCACATTTTTGTCCATCTAGTTTATCCGTAGTCTTTGTTACCTTACAAGTGAGATTAAAATCCTGCCAGTGTTTCCATTTGCTTACAATGGTCTCTTAAATAAATTATAAATTTCCCCCCAAAGTTCTTGTCCTCTTGGTTCCTGAGCTTTCCAGTTAGTTTTCCAATTTCAGCATACTCCATCAACTTGGTTTGCCATTCTTCCCTGGTCAGGACTGCTTCTTCTTTCCACCTCTGGGCTAATAACATCCGTGATTCCGTTGTCGCATACATAGTCTTTTCCAAGCCTTTGGAATCTAGGTACCTATAATTCCTAATAGAAAAGCATCTGGTTTTTTAAACAAACATTATTTTGAACATGTTTTTTCATTTCATTATATATCATCTCCCAAAAGGTTTTTGGGACGCGGATGGCGTTATGGGTTAAACCACAGAGCCTAGGACTTGCCGATCGGAAGGTCGGCAGTTCGAATCCCCACACCGGGGTGAGCTCCCGTTGCTTGGTCCTGCTCCTGCCAACCTAGCAGTTCGAAAGCGCGTCAAAGTGCAAGTAGATAAATAGGTACCGCTCCGGCAGGAAGGTAAACGGCTTTTCCGTGTACTGCTCTGGTTTGCCAGAAGCGGCTTAGTCATGCTGGCCACATGACCCAGAAGCTGTAAGCCGTCTCCCTCGGCCAATAAAGCGAGATGAGCGCCGCAACCCCAGAGTCGGTCACGACTGGACCTAATGGTCAGTCAGGGGTCCCTTTACCTTTTAAAAGGTTTTTATTACCTTGCACAACCACCATATACTCCCAGTGCTAGTTCAGGACTTGGTACCAGTGGAACCGAGAGACAGAACTGTGCGTCATTGCCACTTTATGTCCCAGAGACAGCTCTCAGCAGCTTTGTATAGATGTTGAATAACATGCATGACCAAGTTGAACCCTGCAAGAGAGCTCCCACAGGGCTGAGCAAAAGTCACCCAATTTGAAACAGTCCCGAGCCAATATTGTGGTGGTAGCTTCAGGGTAGATATCCCCCAACACCGCAACAGAGACCCTGTTCCCATCCCACACCTTTGCACCACTTCCTGTTGGTCAGCTGGATAGGATACAACAGGTTCAACTTAGATATAAAATGTACTCTTGGTTGCGCAGACACATGGCAGTGGTAGATCCAGACAAGCAGGAAACATGCATATAACCAGAATTAATTGCTAGTTATTTCAGGTACAGTTTGACTGAATAAATTTGAAAGGGATGGCAGGGGCTGGAGTAGGGCTGGGCGATAGCTGGTTTTCACCATCACAATATCACACCAGCGAAACAGTGTGATATATTGATATATCATGTTGTCTTAAATAAGGATGGAGAGGCGAACACTAGGGCTGGGTATTAGCTGGTTTTCAACATCGTCATATACCAATACATCACGATGTCTGAAATAAGGATGGAGCTATGTAGAGGCATTGGCTGGCATCGTGGTTTTTCCTGCATCCTGATTTTTTGCCGGCGCCTGCTCTTGAGATTCGCTGTCCCCTGCAGGAGGCAGGGGAGAATGGAACCAGCAGAGATAACAGGGGCTGCAGGACTCAAGAGAAGCATTGGCTGGCTTCACGGTTTTTCCCATATTGTGATTTGTGCATCACACACACACACACACACCATGATTCACGATATGTTGCCAGGTCAAAAAATTATGAAACCAGTATCAATATATGGACTTCAAACTGGTTTTTGATGATATATCAATATATAAATAATTGCCCAGCCCAAGGAAGGGGGTAGGGGGAATTCTCCAGTGTTCCTCACGGCTTAGGACCCTCGTACCTACAGGACCGCCTCTCCCGGTATGCCCCACGGAGAGCCTCAAGGTCCATAAATAGCAACACCCTAGAGGTCCCGGGCCCTGAGGAAGTTAGATTAGCCTCAGCCAGAGCCAGGGCCTTTTCAACACTGGCTCTGGCCTGGTGGAACGCTCTGCCTCATGAGACCAGGGCCCTGCAGGATCTGATTTCTTTCCGCAGGGCCTGTAAGACAGAGTTGTTCCACCTGGCCTTTGCCTTGGAGCCAATTTGATTCCTTCCCCCTCTTTTTTTTCCCTTTCTCCTCCTGTGATGAGGCTGCATTTTAATATTTTAATGTTGTATTTTAATCTTGTTTTTAAGTTGTATTCATTCAACTTGTTTTTATTACTGCTTGTTAGCCGCCCTGAGCCCGGCCTTGGCTGGGGACGGGGTATAAATAAAAATTATTATTATTATTATCATCATCATCATCCTTCTTTAGTGTTTGTTTGTTTGTCTGTCTGATTGATTGATTTATATACTTCGTCATAAGATCTCAGGGCTGCTGTAACTCCATCAGGTTTCCTAACTTTGCCAAACAGCCTAGTTGAAAACATCTTGCCTTGTTTTTTGTTTCTCATTATATTATATAAAACCTACATAACACTTTGGCACAGCTGCTTTGAAAAGCAGTCCAAAACACTTCTCGGCTGTTTATTTTAAATGACCTCAGCTTTAGAATGGAATGAACCGTATTATGCCGGGAATGTGCCTTTTCTTTTTTTACAGATGGGAAGCTGCTCTAAATCATTTAGATACAGCTTCCATTTTTTAAAAGTTCAGATAAGGAAAAGAACACACACACCCTGCGATTTTGTGGAAAACCTCCCTATTTGGACAATGAATTGGGTCTCTTCCTATTTTTATTGTTTAAACTGCTTACTGACCAACGACAACAAAGATAATTGCCATTTCTGCACTAACTACAATCACAATATATCCTTTTAAAATGATAAATATGGTGTGGTTTTCCCCCTCATGTTGCCAGGTTAAAAAGCTGTACCTCTTAGAAAGATGCTCCATCACCGAGCTATATCTCTTCTGCAAACTAATGTTCTCTTAATTGTTTTGGTATTGGGTGAGATGCTCTTCTGGAGTATGAAAGCTAATAGGATCTATCTTTGGAAACTAATCTCAGCATATGAATAGGAATTGGAATGATTCCCCGTGGCAATATGTGCAGAAATGACATCTTAATTTGACATCACCTTCTGCTTTCTTTAGAATACCCAAAGTACGCGTTTTGGAGGATGAAGGTGGACGGGAAATTGAACTTTCTGATGATCCTTTTGACTGTATTCGACTTAATGTAGATAATGTACCTTGTATTGTCACACTAAGCAAAGTAAGTCGCTGACAATTCTGAGCTTATCTCCTATGGGCTTGTTTTGATAGAAAAGTTCTAATACAGAAGGCGGACCTGCCATTTTTATTGTGGACACTGCCGTGGAAACCATCAGATTATTTCACTATTTCTTTCTAGGTTCTTGAGTTTCCAGTATGGGAGAGATTAGTTATTTTGTTTGTGTGTATGTGTGGTGGTCTTTTATTATTATTATTATTATTATTATTATTATTATTATACTTTCTCAGCTTAGAAATGGAACTCTGTCCATTAACACCTTTAACAACGTGGTTGACTATTCTATAGCAGTGATTTGAGAAGCCATTTTGACACGTATGGAAAAAGGGTTTGCGGTTTGAAAACGTTAGGTTTACAGAAAACAGTCGCTTTCGAGGGCTTCTCTTCATCTTGGCTTGGTCTTTTGGTGAATTAATTGTATGAGAATTCTGGATTAAAATGCTGTGGTTCTAGAATTCCTTCCCCGTGTTATTTCTCAGTATTGTTCTAACTTTCCTCCCTCAGATTTGCACAAAACCAGAAAGTTGCACAAGCAAACCACATATAAAATTTGTAAACCAGATATATTGGGCAGCGATCTGAAAAGGCAGTGCTAGGCAGTGTTTTTTTTCAGGGGGTACTCAAAGCTATGCAGTACTGGCACTTTTTTTGTTGTTGTTAAAAAGTGTTTCACTTACTTAACAACTTCATAGTGAGTACCGGCACCTATTTTTCTAGAAAAAAAAGCACTGGTGCAAATACATTTTCAGTTGCTTTCATTTCTTTTCCAGGATTTTAGTAAGGTTGTGTGAAGAACGTAGCCTTTTATATTTCCCTTTTCCTTTTACCCCTTGGATTTGCACACACAAAAAACCAAACACACAAGCGAATTTGCAATCACCTGCCTGTGTTTTTGCACACTTCTCCGGTGGGGATTTTTTTAAAAAACCCACAAAGGTGCATATGCAGCTCTTTGCACACTTTGTACTTAATTGGTGTAATAGAATCAACAGATTATAAGGAAGGAATAAACACAAAAGGGAGTGCCTAGAGATATGAACAGGAAAGGCTAGAGTTGCTCTGCATATACAAATTCAATTACGTGAGGGTGTAGATTACTCTGGTCTAATTTGAATGAGGGGGATGGGGAATGGATTAACAGCTAAATAATGCTGACAAGCCCTATGTTTACTTGGAAGTAAGTCCCACTTTGTTCACCTGCCTTACTCGCAGAGAACTGTACAGTGGTACCTCGGGTTACAGACGCTTCAGGTTACAGACTCCGCTAACCCAGAAATAGTACCTCGGGTTAAAAGCTTTGCTTCAGGATGAGAACAGAAATCATGTGGTGGCGGCGCGGTGGCAGCAGGAGGCCCCATTAGCTAAAGTGGTACCTCAGGTTAAGAACAGTTTCAGGTTAGGAACGGACCTCCAGAACAAATTAAGTTCTTAACCCGAGGTACCACTGTATAGTCAAACCTTGGTTGTCGAACGTAATCCGTTCCAGAAGACTGTTGGACAACCGAGGATCAAAGGGTGTCGGCAAAGTAAATGGAGAGAAAAGTGAGGGGGGACTCCCTGGAAGCTATTCGGCTTCCGAAAAATGTTCAAAAACCGGAGCATTTACTTACGTGTTTTTGGTGTTCGGAAGCTGAAACGTTCCAAAACAGAGCCATTCGGAAACCGAGGTCTGACTATAGGATTGCAGCTTACCTTTTTTTGCCGTTGCTTTTCCAGATTGGTTATAGGCATGTAGTGGACGCTACACTTCAGGAGGAAGCGTGTTCTCTGGCTAGCCTCCTCATTTCTGTGACCAGTCGAGGTGTCCTAACCTGTATGAAGAAAGTGGGAAGGGGGAGTCTTGATCCAGAAAGCATATTTGAGATGATGGAGGTAAGATGTGGTCAGGTTGTTGTAAATCAAGCCATAGTGGGATTTTTTAGCACCTTAATAAGTACAGTGGTGCCTTGGTTCTCAAACTTAATCCCTTCTGGAAGTCTGTTCCAAAACCAAAGTGTTCCAAAACCAAGGCACGCTTTCCCATAGAAAGTAATGCAAAATGGATTAATCCGTTCCAGATTTTTAAAAACAACCCCTAAAACAGCGATTTAACATGAATTTTACTATCTAACGAGACCATTGATCCATAAAATGAAAGCAATAAACAATGTACTGCAGTCACACAATCAATCAATCAATCAGTAACTGAACTGGGTTCCACACAGTCACAAAAACAAAACAAAAAAGCCACAAAAATGCAAAATTAATAGCAAAAACAGACAGACTTCAGCGTAACACTCAAAATGGAAGTGTGGCACTCAAAATGGAAGTGTAACACTTAGAAAGGAGCATATTCAACTTCCGAAAAAAGTTCACAAACCGGAACACTTATTTCCGGGTTTGCAGCGTTCAAGTTCCAAGTTGTTCAAGTACCAAGGCGTTTGAGAACCAAGGTACCACTATGCAGCATCAACCTATTTTGGTTTTAAAATTCTAACTTCTCCAAATATCTCAAAAGAAAGCTGAAAGACAGTTTATATCAGTCAAAAGCATTTAGTTATTATAGTTAACAAACAAGGATTCCTGTTTTAAAAATGATGTTTATATAGATATTTTTATATATTGTGTTGCATACTCATCTGAAATGGTGATCAGAGTCTTTTCATAGGAAATGGAATGAATATTTTTGCCGGGGCAAGCAAGATGTAAAGGAAAATGCTGGAGAACATGTTTTTTAACAGTTTCATAACTCCTCCTTAGCATTCTTAAATGCACTAACATATCGACACTAAGTCATGAATTCTATTATGTTTGCCAGCCTTGAGGCAGACAATAATTCCCTACAGCCCACAAAATGACAGGTACAAGATAGCTTTGGAAAAGTCGATTGAATTACAATCCAGGTTGGGTGTATTTATAGTACACATTGTTTGTCTATAGTTTTCAAATCTATATCATACTTATTGTAGTCATGTCTTTGTTCCATTACTTTTATGTCTATGGCTTACACTCCCTCCCTCTTAAGATATTCAAGAGATTCAAAAGGTTAAATTCTTTTATTTCCCTTCCAAGACATACAGCATTGGCAAAGTTGTTCTGCTTTGTTTTTCCTCCATGACCTCTAGCAGTATTTTCTGCATCTTCCCTATAATCTTTGCGGGTATCAAGAAAGCTAAAATGCTGTTAGAGAGTACATTTTTTGCTTCCAGTGGGAGGCTAGGGTATTTCATGCTAACCCTTCTGATTTACTACCGTTGTCGAGATCTGCAGAGATAATGTTAGCACCAGAGCTTCTTCTGGTCTGAAAGGCTAGACACTAAGGTCTAGGGGGAATGTGCAAGTCTATAACTCAAAACTCCACTGGGTTGTTAGCAAGTAGAACTTTTCATCAGCTAGACAGAGATCTCCAATTTGGGGGGGGGGGGGTCTGGGGACATATTTGGAAATCTGAGAAGTCCTGGGCACCACAAAATATCCACTTCACAGTAGAAAAAACTGGTGATGCTCAGATCCACCAAACCCCAAATCTCTACACCCGCCAACACCAAAACAAATAGAAAGTAGAGAAAAAGCAGAGAGGTAGGTATTAACTTTTAAAGAAAAACGTTTCCACAAAAGAAGGAAGCTTCTATGCGGATCCTCTTTTTTACAGGTAAATTCTCCTGCCACTCATTGGTTTTTGTCTTTTCATTTGCATTTCAGACTGGAAAGAGAGTGGGCAAGTTGTTGCACACCTCTTTGCAATCTGCCTTGGATAAAGAAGAAAGTCTTGGACCAACACGGAAAAAAGTTGGATTCCTGGGATGAGCCTCATTGTTACATTGAACATCTGTCAAGGACTGGGTTGGTTGGTTGGTTAGTTAGTTAGTTGTTCAGATTTTATTTTATTTTTACAAAGTTGGCTATATATTTGTTGAATAAAGGTGGTTTCCTCTCACACACTTGTCATTTCAGCTCTTTTCTCACTGGGCGTTGGTGGCAAAATTAAAAGATTCGATCAACACTAGGGCTGAGTGATATGTCACTATATCGTCCAAAACCAGTTTGAAGTCCACATTGCAATACCGGTTTCATAATTTTTGACCTGGCAATATATCATGAATCGTGTGTGTGTGTGTGTGTGTGTGTGTGTGTGCGCGCTATGCAAAAATCACAATGTGGGGGGAAATGTGAAGCTAGCCAGTGCTTCTCTCACTTCCTGCAGCCCCTGTTAACTCTGCCAGCTCAACTCTCCTCTGCCTCATGCAGGGGGCAGCAAATCACAAAAGCAGGCACTGGAAAAATCACGATGCAGGAAAAACCATGAAGCCAGCCAGTGTCTCTGCGTAGCTCCATCCTTATTTCGGATATTGTGATATATTGGCATATTGCAATGATTATCTGGTGCTGGAAACCAGATATTGCCTAGCCCTAATCTACGCCTTGATAGAAATGTAAAAGCAAGCAATGGATTGTAAAATGGTTGCATAGCTGTCAACCTTCCCTTTTTTTTTTGCGGGAAATTCCCTTATTCCAGCGCTGCTTCCCACTGCTATCCTGGATTGTTAGATATCCCATAGACTGTCCCCGGAATAGGTGAGGCTGCTGATCCCTTATTTTTGAGGGTGCTGATCCCTTATTTTCTGAAAGTTGACCGCTATGTGGTTGTATTCACTTACCCTAGGGGCGAGAGGAAACTTTCCAGGGGTTGCTTTCTCTATTCACAGGGCCAAATGCTGGCAGTGGGAAGGACCAGAAACAAAAGGGGGCAAAGCAATTAATGCTTCTTTACGCGTTAACAACAACAACAACAATTTATTATTTATACCCTGCCCATCTGGCTTGGATTCCCCAGCCACTCTGGGTGTCTTCCAACAGAATATTAAAATACAATAATCTATTAAACATTAAAAGCTTCCCTGAACTGCCTTCAGATTTCTTCTAAAAGTCTGGTAGTTGTTTTTCTCTTTGACATCTGGTGGGAGGGCGTTCCACAGGGCGGGTGCCACTACCGAGAAGGCCCTCTGCCTGGTTCCCTGTAACTTGGCTTCTCGCAGTGAGGGAACAGCCAGAAGGCCCTCGGCACTGGACTTCAGTGTCTGGGCAGAATGATGGGGGTGGAGGTAGATGTCCTTTGCTATATTCCACCTAGGGAAGCAAGCAGCAATGTCAGAGTTCAAGGGCCCATTTTAGCCTGGCCAAAACACTTAGCAGGCCATTGAGAGTGTAACCTGGGGAGTGTCCTGTGGGCTAGATAGAGATTTGACCTCCAAGCCTGAGGTTCTCCATCTCTGCCTTGGCCCATACATCTTGGTTGGGGTGGGGAACCTTTTCAGCAGTGCTTCCCAAGCTCTTGACAACCAGGCTAAGCCTTTGATCTCAGCCCCATCTTTACCAGTTGTTTGAGTATACAAGTCACGAATAAGAAAACTTTGGTCTGTGGATGTCTATCCTAGTTTAATCCCACCGTATCTTTCTTGAAACGGAATCGAAAGCCTCTTTCAAGTCAATAAACATTGTAAACAGTTCCCCTCTGCTTAGATTAATACATTTCTCTGCCGATTGAACTGACACAATACAATGATCCAGTGTGGATTTGTGAAACGGCAAAAGCCAGTTTGCTCCTGTCCCAAAAGAACTGATAAATGACAAAGGACTGATGATGGGAGAGGGGACTCGCAGGCCCAGGAAAAGACATCAGAATGATTTGTGCTCCGGTTTAAAGAACTGCACTCAAAGCTAAATGGCTCAGAGGTGAACTGTCTGTTCTGCACTGCCAGGAGAGGTGTGCCCACTTTGTTGGCAAGATGCATTGCTTGGCACAGAAATACATGAAGACGTTGCTCCAGACAGGCAACAGCCTGCACACCCAACCGGAATTCCTGTCTGATTCTTGAACAGGCTTTTGCCATGGCAGCTGTTGCCATTGCGGCTGGTGGAAATTTCCATGTGTTGCTGTGCACTTATCGCCACGTTTTCATTGTCATGTGTCCAGTGGAGCAATAAAAGGAAACATCTGTGGAGCAAAGAGTGTTTGTCCCAGAAACATTAAATTGCTTTTGCTCTAAAAGCCTCGTGGAATAAACCAAGGATTTCAGCAGCTCCTTGGAGCTTAAGAGAGTATAAGAAATAGCCTATCTGGTGGTTGTAAAATATTTTTGTGTCAGCTATAGAAGCATTCTTCCCAAAACAGTGGGAGATGAAATGCAGATCAACACCACACACAAAAAACTTGTTCAAGAGCAGCAGTTGGTTGGTTGTTTATTCTTTCAAAATCTTTGCTCTTGTTCATTTTTGCACAATTTTCAAGGTAGCTAGTTAGTGTGTCCCAAATCACATATTCTAAGCTCTTTCAGTTCATTTTCTCCCCATTAGGAGGGTAACATGAACCAATCCTTAGAATTTTCCTCCTATGGGGCCATCATAACTCCCAGCTGGAATATCAAGACTGGTTTACACAAACAGCAGTGCCACCAGATCCCTGCATATTCATGGGAGGCAGGAGACAAGTTGTACCTAATTAAATATAACTCAGTTAGCATTTCAGGTCACCAAGAGATTAATATTCAGATTTGGGCAATCTTTTATAACCAGGTAAGTGCTTGCTTCTGGTTCACATGTTACTTCCTACAGATAAATGCAGGTAAGCATAAGTTTAAAGCTGTCAGTTTGATATCATCCTTGTATATATAAACCAGCTATTGAGTATGGATAGAATCTCCATTTTAAGAGATAAGATTTAAACTTAATAATGCAGCCCTTAAGAATTGCAATTCCTAATCAACCAAAGTAATCGTGTTTATTTGTTGCAGATATGGAATTTGGCTGTGTCCAAAATGGGAATTGAAAAGACTTGTCTCGTAACTTGCTTCTATTTCCTTTCTGCGGCTTCTTTTCCTTTCTTCCAACAGTTATTCTTTAGTGCCCATCTACTGAACCACTTTGCAATACCTGCTTGTTTCCTAGAACTGCAATGGAACCTCGGTTTTTGAACGCAATCCGTTCTGGAAGACCATTCAACTTACGAAACGTTCAAAAACTGAGGATGAATGGGTGCTCAGCAAAATCCACTGAAAAAATGGAGAAACATGCCTTGGAAGCTGTTCTATTACTTCCAGGTTTTTGGCGTTCGGCTTCCGAGACGCTTGAAAACCGAGGTTCCACTGTCTTCCCAGAATTGTTAGTGATGCCACTGTTTGTTTTTCCTTCCAACTGGGTGTTATATCTGTCTTGTTCCATGACCTGAACTATCCAGCCATTCATCATCTCTGCATTCCATTTTCCACATGGAGATCTGTGTCCATTCACTGTAGTGTTAGGGACAACTCTGTGCTTTTTTACCTGCTGGCTCCATCTGCAGAGCTTCCTGGGATACTGAAGTGTGAGCCGCTCGAACTCGGGACCTGCTAAAAAGAATGCCACTAAATACGAGAAATAAGTAAAATAACCAAGCAAGTACAGTGGTGCCTCGCAAGACGAAATTAATTCGTTCCGCGAGTTTTGTCGTCTTGCGATTTTTTTCGTCTTGCGAAGCACGGTGTCGGGAAAGTTTTGGAAAAGCTTCAAAAATCACCAAAGTCTTTAAAAACCTCAAAAACGGCTACCGCACCGCGTACTATGAGTTGCTCCTCGAAGTCAAGTCGCAACTGTAATAACGGAGTGACGACAAAGGAAACAAACTTGCAAGACGTTTCCGTCTTGCGAAGCAAGCCCATAGGGAAAATCGTCTTGCGAAGCAGCTCAAAAAACAAAAAACCCTTTCGTCTAGCGAGGTTTTTGTCTTGCGAGGCATTCGTCTTGCGAGGTACCACTGTATTAGAAATCACCCCAGAATTGACCTTACTAAACATCTTCCAAGACAAGAATGCCCATGTACACCACAAAGAACTCATAACCCACCTACTTTCAGCAGCCAGAAGCATCATAGCCAGACAGTGGAGAGACGTGTCAGGAGTGAGCATGGACCAATGGTACCAAATAGTATGGGAAACAGCCCTACTAGAAAAATTAACCAATAAACTGAAACTGACATGGGGACAAATAGAAGAAGACACCTTCACCCCAGTATGGCTCCCCTTTATCACATACACAGCCCAACAAGACAATGACAATAATCCACCAACAGCATACAAATCAATATGGCTAACCTGATCCAAAACACCCACCCACCTCACCCACACACGAAAACAAAGATGACCACAGCCAATCACAAACAACCACGCCCTAGGCCAACCCCAACCTCTCTCACCACCAAAGAAACACAAGCAAACAGCAAAGAACCTGCACAAGCAACACTGACACAAAACCCTACATATAGTAAGTAAAATAGAAAACATCGCCACCCGACCCCACCTCCCCCCCACCTCTTTTCCCCTTTTCTTCCTAATGTCTCAACAACTGAAACTGATTTGTAAAAATGTTACATGGGGGGGGCGGGATACGAGAGAGAGACATTGCACACTTGTAAATCAAGAAAATCTTTAATAATAATAATAATAATAATAATAATAATAATAATAATAATGTCACTAAGTAGCCATTGGAGTGCATTGGTTCCTATAAATTGCTGTAGGGATACATTGGCCATTAAAATGCATCGTGACAAATGTAACTGGTTGCTTACAGAATTGTAGAGCTGGAAGGGACCCAACGGTCATCTGGTCCAGCCCCCTGCAATGCAGGAATCTCAACTACAGCATCCATTACAGATGACCATCCAACCTCTGCTTAAAAACCTCCAAGGAAGGAGAGTCTGTAACCTCCCAAGGAAGACCGTTGCACTGTCGAACAACTCTTTAGGGGCTGCCTTTACGGGCTATCTCTAAATTGCCAAACAGCAAAATCTTGCTCCCAAGTAGGTTCAGTTCCTAGGTGAGGGCTTTGATTACTAGCACGATGGCAGTGTTCCCCTGCCTTTAACTACTCTGTGACAGGTAGAGTTGTGTGCCTCAAAATGATGCCCACCAGTTTATCTCCATGCTGTTACACCTTTTTCAAAGGGTGGCGCTGTGGTCTAAACCACCGAGCCTCAGAAGGTTGGCGGTTCGAATCCTTCAACGGGGTGAGCTCCTGTTGCCCTGTCCCAGCTCTTGCCAACCTAGCAGTTTGAAAGCATGCCAGTGCAAATAGATAACTAGGTACCACTGTGGTGGGAAGGTAAACAGCATTTTCCGTGCGCTCTGGTTTCCGCCTTGGTGTTCTGTTGTACCGGAAGCAGTTTAGTCATGCTGGCCACATGATCTGGAAAGCTGTCTGTGGACCAACGCCGGCTCCCTCGGCCTGAAAGCGAGATGAGCACCGCAACCCCATAGTCGCCTTTGACTAGACTTAATCGTCCAGGGGTCCTTTACCTTTTTTCACCTTACACCTTTTGAATTTCCAATTCAACCATTAGTAGGCTTTCTAGCTTACCAGGAAAAAAACGTGGCTCAGCTTCCTGTTGTGCCTTTACCAACAGATTACAGCAGGAGAAACTTTGCACCACGTGAAGCTGAACACTGCTAATGTGTCTCTGAATTTCCGTATAGCCCGGGTGATATTAAAAGCACCTAAGAATGTAAGAAGGGACACGGGTGGCGCTGTGGGTTAAACCACAGAGCCTAGGACTTGCCGATCAGAAGGTCGGCGGTTCGAATCCCCACGACAGGGTGAGCTCCCGTTGCTCGGTCCCTGCTCCTGCCAACCTAGCAGTTCGAAAGCACCTCAAACTGCAAGTAGATAAATAGGTTCCGCTCCAGCGGGAAGGTAAACGGCGTTTCCGTGCGCTGCTCTGGTTCGCCAGAAGTGGCTTAGTCATGCTGGCCACATCACCTGGAAGCTGTACGCCAGCTCCCTCGGCCAATAAAGCGAGATGAGTGCCGCAACCCCAGAGTTGGCCATGACTGGACCTAATGGTCAGGGGTCCCTTTACCTTTTAAGAATGTAAGAAGAGTTTGCTAGATTGGGCCAATGGCCCATCTAGTCCAGCATCTTTGTTCTCACAGTGGCCAAAAAGATGCCTTTGGGAAGCAAGACCTGAGCTCTCCTAATATCTAGAAACATTACTGCCTTAGACCATGGAGGCAGGGCATAGCCATCATGACTAGTAGCCACTGATAGCTTTGCCCTCCATGAATTTGTCCAGTCCTCTTTGAAAAATCATCGAAGTTGGTTACTGAAAACCAGCAGCATGGCAGACTCAAAAGTTGGCAACTTGGCTGTTAGGCACAGACTCGTTCCGGAAAAAAGTTGGCCGCACACTTTCGGAGCCCGAATAAATCCATTGGAAATGAACATTTTCATTCTTATTTCATCTGCAAGTTTGTACAAGACCTTAAAAAAGACCCATCCCATTCTACTCCCCTCTGTGATTATGGGAGAGTCCGAAAGCTCTTAGGATACTGGATCTCTCCCAACAATCTGTAAAAATAAGCTCCAGTCACTGCGTTGCTTACCGAATAATCTGGAACGTATTTCTTGGCCAGACATTTTTGGTTAAAGCCCATGTTAAGAAGCTCGACTCAGGGCAGCTCAAATTCACTTCAGCTCCTCCACTCCCTTTGAGAACAGCAGCCGGACAGCGATGGAGCTCCGAGGTGTTTGCCTTCTGGTGTGCCTCTTTTCTGTGGTACAATTGACAACTCAGCAGAACATCAGACCCAAGAAGAAGCCAGAGAAAGGTAAGAGAACCAGAAGGAATTTCCCAATCGCTCCCCAGATAGATAGATAGATAGATAGATAGATAGATAGATAGATAGACAGACAGACGATAGATAGATAGATGATAGATAGATAGATGACAGACAGATAGATAGATAGATGATAGATAGATAGATAGATAGATAGATGATAGATAGATAGATAGATGATAGATAGATAGATAGATAGATAGATAGATAGATAGATAGATAGATAGATAGATGATAGATAGATAGATAGATAGATAGATAGATAGAGATAGATAGACAGACACACAGACAGACAGACAGATAGATGATAGATAGATAGATAGATAGATAGATAGATAGATGATAGATAGAGATAGATAGATATAGATATCGATAGATAGATATAGATAGATAGATACACACACACACACACAAGCATTCAACGGTGTTTCTCCCACTGAGTTTGTATAGTTTAGCAAAAGCTGCATGTGTAAATGGGTGTCATCTGTGCCCTGCTGTCTATTTCATCCTTTCCTGTGTTGAAATGACTCTCCAAACAGGGTTTATTAAAAGGTCAAGAAACAGTAACACTTATTATCACCCCTTTTCCCTTATCCACGCTATCTAGCCCAGCGGTTTCCAATTAGCTAAGTACTGCAGACCCCCTGTTTTTATTTTCTTTTTTTTTACTATAATTTTTATTAAATATTTCTAATTCACATTTCAAAATATTCATTTAAACCACCTTAAATCAATGACTTCCCTCCTTCTCTTTCCATAGTTCATTTTGCATACCATACATGTTCTACATGAACTAAACCATTCGGTAATCCGTTGTTACATCCATCAAAACTTATTTACACTGTTGAATTTATCTTAATGCTACCAGCGTTTCACCCATATATTCAGTAAACATTTCCAATCTTCTTTGAACATATGTTCTTCTTGTTCTCTTATTCTTATGTTAAATCTGCAAGCTGTAGCGTATTCCATCAGTTTAAGTTGTCATTCTTTTTAGTTGGGACTTCGCTCGATTTTCATTTTGGGGCTAACAGAACACGGGCTGCAGTAGTGGCATAAATAAATAACCTTTTTTTGACAGACCCCCTGTTTTTTCAAAAGCCAAGCCACGGGCCCCCTACTTTTGAAAATTTCAATATATCTATGGTGCTCTTTGTTATGTGAATGGGTTTTGCAGACCCCCTGGGGTCCTCGGGACCGCTAGTTGGGAACCACTGAAAATAATAATAATAATAATAATAATAATAATAATAATAATAATAATTGTACCCTGCCCATCTAACTGAGTTGCCCCATACCTTCCAGGTATGACTGTATATGACAGTAATCTAAATTGGGTTTTGCAGTATTGCATGGCAGACTGGAAGAGATCAAGGCAGATTTTTTTCCTGGTTTTGTGGCAGAGCCTTCAGATCACAACCAGTGTGTGTTTAAATAAGCTCGTGCACAATATGTGCAAATCGCATTACTAACTAGAGGGGGGCATGTGACCTGCTTTGCAGAGTAGTCGTCTATTTTGAAAAGCTGTCTGGTCCAAGTCCAGGTTAAAAATGAAGAACCACAAGAAAGAAGAACGAGGATCATGTCGCATTCATAGAATCATAGAATGGTAGAGGCGGAAGGGGTCCCCAAGGGTCATCTAGTCCAACCCCCTGCAATGCAGGAATCTCAGCACCCGGTCTCCCATCCAATTTGAAACCAGACCAGACCCTGCTTAGCTTTGCAAATGTGCTAGCAGTTTTATTGCTGCACCTAAGGCTGGTAGCTAGAACAGTTGCACACATACTGGGGACAAGCAGGGTGTGATTTAAAACAGATAATATTGCGATGAATGATGGCTAGGCTACGGCACCGCAATGTAGACATTTATTATTATTATTATTATTATTATTATTATTATTATTATTTATACCTCGTCCATCTGGCTGGGTTTCCCCAGCCACTCTGGGTGCCTCCCAACAGTAATAATAATAATAATAATAATAATAATAATAATAATAATAATGTGATAAAAATGTGTATTGATAAGAGGAGCCAAACTAATAATGACAAATTTAAAATTAGTGGAACCCATTAAAGTTAATTGAGCAATGACTTAAAGCATCCACATCTCATTCTTTGCTTTTCTATTTTTAAGACCCACTTGTAATTCTTGCTTTTTAACAGGCGATAATTGACATTTGATAGATGCCTATGATTATAAAAATAAGGTTATCAAGTTTGAGGAAATTTTAGGTTCCATGTGAACCATATACAGAAACTGTTCCCCCAGTACTTTTTATAACCACATTTAGATATTTGGGCTTCTTTTGTTTTTATATTTCAGGGTCTGTGGAACATCCTGCCACAACAACATTTCTCCACATGCTCTTATGTTGCATGGATTAACTATTCAGATGTTGTTCACACATGCACAAACCGCCTCAGGCAACCTTTTTTTTAAGAGCCAAAAGGCAGTGTAGAAATAATTTTAAAAGGCTGAGGCCAACTTGGAAAGTTCTGTTGGAATCCTGGAATCCAAGACCCAAGTTTGGAGCACATAGTCTTTGGTGAGAAGAACTCCTGAAGAAATTTAACATTGCAATACATGCAGCAAAGGAAGGCATGGAAATATAGGCTGTAAAACCTGCATTTCCAGTGAACCCCAAAATTGTCCCTTTTAATGGTTCTTTCCAAAGTATCCCACTTCCCTAGCACACAGATAGACTTCACATTTAGTAAGCCATAAAATGCTTTACTTACAAGACTCTTCAAAGCTCAGATTCATGTGTTTTTCCATACAGCAGTCAGAAAAGACACACAGGCAATAAAATGTTGCTTGGTTACAAAATAGCAGAAGTTCCTAAACTACAGGTATACAAAAACACTAGTTTCATATTCCGTTCTTGCCTGAAACAAGAGAGGCTGGTTAAAGCCATGCGGCTGAGCTGAAGCAACCAGCTCAGACCTCCTCACACACCAAATCCACATGTAGACTGAGTACAACAAAAGGTTTGGTTGCCCATTTCCTTCTGAGGTGAGGGGAAGTGACCTAGGCTAAGCCTGGCAGGTCAGCTTACTCTATGGCATTAACCCCTTCATGTGTTAATTAGAATCAATCATGCTGGTTATATGGGGCTGGTTCCTGACCACTGTTTTACACAGGCCTTATTTATTTGTAATGGTCAGTTGTCTTGCAAGAACCATGATGTAGAACACAGTGGTACCTTAGTTTTCAAACGCCTCCATAGTCGAACATTTCGAAACTTGGAACGCCGAAAACTTGGAAGCAAGTGCCTCAGTTTTTGAATGCGACTCGGAAGTCGAACAGGGAACACGGTTTCCATTTTGAGTTTTCCGTATTGAGGCTTCCGCTTTCAGTTTTCAAATGATTCGGAACTTGAATGGACTTCCAGAACGGATTACATTCGAAAACCGAGGTACCACTGTACTTAATTGAACAAAACATACCCGCTGCCTTGTGGGACATCTTCGGGAGAAGAAAAGGCGAAGGAGTAAACCCTACACAATTCTGAAGTGGAGTCCCTAAGATAGTTGGATGGCATCTTCTATGCCTCCCTTGGACAACTCCTGCAGCCAAGCTGGTGCCAAACGTATCAGTCCTCTGCTTTCCTTTAGTCCACATCATTGAGACCAAGAGGTCAGATTATCTGGACAGCCCAGGATCTCCAAACACACTGCCCAGGCTTGCACCCCATGAAGGTCACTTCAGTGCTGATAATGCAGTAGAAACTACGCAGGAGGCAGCAGTTACAAATTTCTGGTCTCTGCCTCCAAAGCAGGTGCTGTAATTCTCCAGCAGTTTGATTTCACCCCTGGAGGCACAGACAAATGACAACAACAACAAAACATAATGTAGCATTAGGTAAAGGTACCCTGAACATTAGGTCCAGTCGCAGACGACTCTGGGGTTGCGGTGCTCATCTCGCTTTATTGGCTGAGGGAGCCGGCGTACAGCTTCCGGGTCATGTGGCCAGCAGGACTAAGCCGCTTCTGGCGAAACCAGAGCAGCGCACGGAAATGCCGTTTACCTTCCCGCTGGAGTGATACCTATTTATCTACTTGCACTTTGACATGCTTTTGAACTGCTAGGTTGGCAGGAGCAGGGACCGAGCAACGGGAGCTCACCCCATCGCGGGGATTCGAAACACCAACCTTTTGATCGGCAAGCCCTAGGCTCAGTGGTTTAGACCACAGCGCCACCCGTGTCCCTTAATATAGCGTTATTGAAGGTAAAAAAGGGTAAAGGACCCCTGGACGGTTAAGTCCAGTCAAAGGTGGCTATGGGGTTGTGGCGCTAATCTCACTTTCAGGCCAAGGGAGCTGGTGTTTGTCCACAGACAGCTTTCCGGGTCATGTGGCCAGCATGACTAAATTGCTTCTGCGCAACAGAACATCATGGCAGAAGCCAGAGCACACAGAAATGCCGTTTACCTTCCTGCCACAGTGTTACCTATTTATCTACTTGCACTGGTGTGCTTTCAAACTGCTAGGTTGGCAGGAGCTGGGACAGAGCAACAGGAGCTCATCCTATCGCGGGGACTCGAGCACCAACCTTCTGATCCACAAGCCCAAGAGGCTCAGTGGTTTAGACCACAGCGCTACCCGCATAATTCAAACAGAACATATTAAGATGAGGGCATTGTGCCACAAATATAAAGCATATTGATATAAAAGAGGCAAAGCATATAAAGTAGTTGGAAAGGAAAGAAAGAGTAGGGAATGTTGAAAAGTTGCTAGGAATACCAGTTTCTAACCAACTTCCATGGAAGTGATACACAGCAAAGGTGGGACATTTTACTGCATGGACCTGTTACGAATTACTGATTCCATCTATTGCGAACTCTCTCTATAACAAACGCTGCATAATACGCTGCTTTCTTCTTTGTTCATTTGTTATATTGCCAATGAGGGAGGAAGTTCGGGTTCCATTCATAAATATGATTGCATTCATTCTGTGTAGGCAGACATGATCATCAATCTCTTCGTTTGCTCTGCAGATGTTGTGAGCCTCAAAATGTTTGAAGACCTGAAGGAGCAGTTAGAGAATATCTCCCAGGAGGTGGCTCTGCTAAAGGAAAAGCAAGCACTTCAAACAGGTACAAAACCCAATGGCCTATAATTTTTCATACGCCACAAAATGGCCTCACTTTGTGAAATAAGGCTATTTATGACATAACATTAAGCCGTGATGTGTTAGCTAAAATGTGGTTTATTTGTATTTCCAGTACATTAACATTAACTGTTCAGTAACCATAGGTTGTTTGGGATCAATAAATCTGGATTTTAAACTACAATACGAAGCACCATAGTTTGCACTAACTAGTTTCCCATTGTGCTAAAGCTCAGATGTACTGATTTGTTCTGTTGCTGCATTCTCACACCCTGCCTGGTTGCAGAGATGGAAAGGGAGAGTGGTTAGAAAACAAAATCACTCCCGCATTTTAAAAGACTCTGTCTGTCCACTTCCCTAATGTCAGCCTCTGCGGGTCAGGCATCCAAGCTCCGAAACCAGCTTGCAAGCGCAGAAAAAGCACAAGAGCTTTTGTAGACAGATGCTTAATGTTGTTATCCTCGCTCTAGGAGTGAAGTGAACAGTATTGTTCAAAGTGACATATGCAAACAGCTGAAGGCAATTTTGCAGCTTGCATTGCATTTCCTCTCAATCAGTGCTCTAAACATGTGTGATATGCTGTGTCCTCCATTCTTTGTTGACCAGGGAGCAGGCTCAAATGATTCACATTGTCCCAGGGCAGCTGTTTACCTGCTCCACCTGGTACGCAGGTTGAGACCCTACCTGCCTGCGGACTGTCTTGCCAGAGTGGTGCATGCTCTAGTTATCTCCCGCTTGGACTACTGCAATGCGCTCTATGTGGGGCTACCTTTGAAGGTGACCCGAAAACTACAACTAATCCAGAATGTGGCAGCTAGACTGGTGACTGAGAGTGGCCACTGAGACCATATAACACCGGTCCTGAAAGACCTTCATTGGCTTCCAGTACGTTTCCGAGCACAATTCTAAGTGTTGGTGCTGACCTTTAAAACCCAAAATGGCCTCAGCCCAGTATACCTGAGGGAGTGTCACCACTTCCATCGTTCAGGCCGGACACTGAGATCCAGTTCTGAGGGCCTTCTGGCAGTTCCCTCACTGCGAGAAGTGAAGCTACAGAGAACCAGACAGAGAACCAGACAGAGTGGCACCCGTCCTGTGGAATGGCCTCCCTCCAGATGTCAAGGAAATAAACAACTATCTGACTTTCAGAAGACATCTGAAGGCAGCCCTGTTTAGTGAAGTTTTTAATGTTTGAAGTTTTATTCTGTGTTTAATATCCTGTTGGAAGCCGCCCAGAGTGGTTGGGGAGGCCCAGCCAGATGGGCGGGGTATAAGTAATAAATTATTATTATTATTATTATTATTATTATTATTATTATTATTAATGTTTTCACCCCCTCTGTACTGCAGCAGGGGTCACTAACATCATATGGCACATGCTGAGGACTGCACCTCTTCAGATGGACCATGGCCGGTCCCTAAATCCCTCTGGCTCCGCCACATTCATGTTGATTCCTGTTCCTCTCCATACTGAGTGACTGAGGAATGAGAGGACCAAGGAGGCGCAACCTTTGAGGCACCTCATCTTCTCCCTCTGCCTGGTTGTGTGGTTTAGGTCCAAAGGAATAGGGCAGTAGCAGCAGTGTGGAGGAGAAGGACCCATTCAGAAAAGGTGGCCCGCTGAAGGACTCTTCTCCAAGGCCTCCCCAAAACGTGGAGAGCAAACCAGCACTGACTACCATTCACAAGGACAGATGTGATTCCAAGACTCTCATCCAGGGGCAGATCTACTTTGAAACTAATGAGTTGTAAGCCCCTAATTCTAGAGGGGTCCCAGACATTGCTTAAAATTTTAAGGTCTAGTAGACCCAATTTGAGTCGCATGACTCAAAATGATTACTTTTTCGTTGTCAACTGTTAAGTTGTGGGTGAACCTATCAGACGACAGAGCGATTCTTCAAACAGCTCTTGTTTATTCACAGGCCAGAACAGAACTGAACTGAAGGGTTCAGCCAGCCTGCTTATATAGAGCTCCAGTACAACGTAACTGTAACAATTTTCTGAAACTATTCAATCACTGAACGTCACTTTCGATCCCTTATTTGCATAACTATCTACAGTATCCCCCTGCTGGCCCAGGGTGAGAACTTCAGTACATAACATCAACAATCCCAAAGTTTGAGAGTCAGTAGCACAGATGTCATAAAGGTTTAGTGATCTGTTGTGGAACAATCCCGTTGAAGAAGATGACAGCGGTTGCCCGGACCTCATCGCTGGTTGCGAAGAGGCCCACATAACAGTTCAAGCTTCAGGGCTCCACCCCCCAAAAATGTAGGTCCGCCACTGCTCTCAGCATCCTTTTTTAAGTCTAATGCAGTGTTTCTCAAATTTGGTTGTTTTTGGACTACAACTACCATCATCCCTAGCTAGCAAGACTGGGATAATGGGAATTGTAGTTCAAAAACAGCTGGAGACCCAAGTTTTTGGGAAACCCTGCTCAAATGGAAAGAGTAAGAAATGCTTTCCTTGCAGATACACCGAACAGAGCTAGTACAGTGGTACCTTGGTTTGCGAACTCAATCTGTTCTGGAAGTCCGTCCAACTTCCGAAACGTTTGCAAGCCAAGGTGTGGCTTTTGGTTGAGAGAGAGAGAGATAAAACTTTATTCGCATTAGCCAATGGCCATAGCAACATTAAAACATTACAGTGTACGCAGAAAAGGAAATTTGATATAAAAGCACAATTTAAAGTCCTGAATCAGCAGTCAGTTAGTGGCCCTTGCCCCTGCTATGAACCTAGCAACCTTTGCTGTTATCTGCTCATTTTGATGTGATAGAAGAAAAGACATTGTGGCAGTGGTTGAGCGCCCTGGGATGGTTAGTAGGAGTGGGGTGACGATCTCGTTCCTCAGGTCTTTGTAGAGAGTACAGGACAGGAGGACGTGTGCCGCTGTTTCAGTGCTGCCATCTCCACAGGGACAAAGACGTTTCTCAGGCAGGATCTTTTGGAATCAACCCTCAAGTACTGCAGATGGCCAAACATCCAGTCTTGCAAGTGTAAAAGCACTTCTGTATTTTGGGATAATAAGTTTGTGCAGATATGGGGCCAGAGAATCAAAGTGGAGAGGTGGAAACTGAACATACCAAGGGCAGAATTTCCTTACAGTGGCCAGGTTATTCTGATGCTCAATATCTTTTAGACGTTGACCAATTAGATTGTTTGCTTTAGTGGGGCCCATAGTGAGTAGGTGTTGCGGGGATAGGCCACAAGAGTAAAGTTTTTGATAGACGGTTTTAAGCCAGGCACTTTTATGGGAGTCTTGCAGTACAGTACTATGGATAGTAAACCGGGGGGATTTGACGGCCTCTGGTTAGCTGATTGGCCCTGGAAACAACGGCGACAGCCGAAAGAGACGTTTGGCTTCCAAAAAATATTTGCAAACTGGAACACTTACTTCCGGGTTTGGGAGCTGATTTGTTCGGAAGCTAAGCCATTCAGGAACCAAGGTACCACTGTATTGCACTCCAAAGCACATGGTTCCTTTTCTGACTCCACTGTCTCCCCGCACCACCTCCTCCCCTTTTTGTCTCTCGCTAGTTTGTCTGAAAGGCACCAAGGTCAACCTGAAGTGTTTCCTGGCTTTCCCCAACGCCAAGACCTATCACGAAGCCAGCGAAGATTGCATCTCTCAAGGCGGCACCCTCAGCACCCCTCAGACGGGAGACGAAAACGACGCTCTGTACGACTACATGAGGAAGAGCATCGGGGCCCAGTCGGAAATCTGGCTCGGCATCAACGACATGGCCGCCGAAGGGAGATGGGTAGACATGACAAGTACCAGCATCGGCTTCAAGAACTGGGAAACAGAGATCACCACTCAGCCTGATGGTGGGAAACTGGAAAACTGCGCCACGTTGTCGGGGGTCGCCACTGGCAAGTGGTTTGACAAGAGGTGCAGAGATAAGTTGCCATATGTGTGCCAGTTCATGATAGTTTAACGGTGGGACTCCCGCTGTGGACAAGGAGGTCAAGGCGTTCCACTTGGCCCCAGGAAAAGAGCTGAACAAAAATATGTAACTCATACATACCCTCATATACTCTTGGCAGATAAACATGGCTTGGCAGAACAAGTTACATCTGTGCTGCCATTTTAATCGGCTAAAAACTACATTCCGCTCAGTAGCAGCTACGTTTTTCTCACTGAGGCATGAGTTATAGATATCTGTATTTTTTACATCCAAAGCCTAATAGGATGACTTCATTAGTCGAGCGGTGTTTCAACTTTGCCAAAATAATACGATCCTTAAGACTCATTAGTTGTTTGTTGCATGTACTCTTCCTGCCGACCCTTTTTCTTTCCTGCTGATTGCACCAAATTAAAGCAGTTTTTTCAGAATTGTCCTTATTATCATCTTTGGGGGGACGCCAAACCGAAAGTGCTTTAGCACAGCTGCCTTTCATTAAACGTTACAGCTCCTTATGGCCAAATTAACCCAAATAAATCCATCGCACACCTTTTGTTCCACTGAAATAAGAGTTCGGTAGAGTTGTCTCAGCCTAAGTTATAATACTGGACAATACTGGTGTAAAGAGGAAGGGAGGGGCGGTGCTATCGAGAGCTTTCACTCTGTTGTGCAGAAAAATAAAGATAATTTTTTTATTTAAAAAAAGGACATCTTGCATATGTTGATGGGGCAAAGTGTGTTCTCTCTCTCTCTATCTCCAAGCTACAGTAACTTCCTTCTGGGCACAATTGGCTGAAAATATAAGGAAGGAATTTCAAAAGGTATGAGTAGTACAGTGGTACCTCAGGTTAAGTACTTAATTCATTCCGGAGGTCCGTTCTTAACCTGAAACTGTTCTTAACCTGAAACTGTTCTTAACCTGAAGCATCACTTTAGCTAATGGGGCCTCCCGCTGCCGCCGCACAATTTCTGTTCTCATCCGGAAGCAAAGTTCTTAACCCGAGGTACTATTTCTAGGTTAGCAGAGTCTGTAACCTGAAGCGTATGTAACCCGAGGTACCACTGTAGTAGTATATTTGTACCCTGCCCATCTAGCTGGGTGGCTTCCAACACATATAAAAACATAATAAAGCATTAATCATTAAAAACGTCCCTCCCTCTGATGCCCTCTCCTATCTCTGCCTCCCAAAGGCTTGCACAGCTGTTTGTTGCAGCAGCCCTGGCTACAAGCTCCCCAGGCGAATGGTGCCTCTGGGGCTGGCCAAGGGATGCTTCCCAGGCCCCTGTGGGGCAGTGTGAGGAGGCCCGTCTCTTTGGGGCGGGGGGGAGCTCAGAGACCAGGGGACTCCCAAGGAGAAGGGAGAAGAGAGGAGGCTGAGGGAACACTCCACAAGGGAGGGTGTTCGAAAAAGGGTGTGAGACTGCCAGCTCTGCAGGCAAGGGGTGACATAGCTGGGCTCCTGAACCCTAAAGGGGTGCTGCAGGAAGAATGTACAGTGGTACCTCTGGTTAAGAACTGAATTCATTCTGGAGGTCCGTTCTTAACCTGAAACTGTTCTTAACCTGAGGTACCACTTTAGCTAATGGGCCCTCCCGCTGCGCTGCCAGATCACGATTTCTGTTCTCATCCTGAAGCAAAGTTCCTAACCCAAGGTACTATTTTTGGGTTAGCGGAGTCTGTAACCTGAAGCGTCTGTAACCTGAAGTGTCTGTAACCCGAGGTACCACTGTAGCTGGTCAAGGGAGCCATGGACCTGAAAAAGTTGAAAACCCTGATTTAAACATTTAGGTAACAACCCTTTTCCATTTTACTTTCTGACAGCATCCTAGACACTATTCACATATTTTGACAGAGTTCTGGGGGTACCCATCACAAAATGGCTGTTATGAAAATGAGAGAGATGCCTCCAGCAAGCTTAAGCTTAGGCTTGATAAGTCAGCTGTGCCCGGCTGGTCCTGATTGTGGCACAGTGTATCAGCTGCAGCTGTCTGAAAGCAACAGGAGAAGATAGCCAAGTATCCACACCAATTCATTTCACAGAAAACACTTTGAGAAGGTACCTGCACAGTTCACCCCATAATTTTATTTCTAGAGACTTTTTTCAAAAAAAATGAAAGCTAAGTCTGAGGCACCTGTTCAAGGGCACCACTGAAAGCACTCACAGATGCCATGGTGCCTCTGGGCACCAGACTGGCAACCCCTGAATTAAATACCGTATTTTTCACTCTATAAGTCGCACCAGACCACAAGATGCACCTAGTTTTTGGAGGAGGAAAACAATAAAAAAATTATTCTGAATCTCAGAAGCCAGAACAGCAAGAGGGATCGCTGCACAGTGAAAGCAGCAATCCCTCTTGCTGTTCTGGCTTCTGAGAAAGCTGCACAGCCTGCATTCGCTCCATAACACACACACACATTTCCCCTTACTTTTTAGGAGGGAAAAAGTGAGTCTTATAGAGCAAAAAATACAGTAATTTTCCATTGGTTCCAGCTGGATGTCAGTGTAACTTAGATTGGGGTCACCGGTAAGGAGGAAGAAAGAGAGTCTAGGTCATGAATTTACAAAACGTGCATGCAAAAAAATATATGCACAAATGTGGTCAAATTTGCTTAATTTTCTTTTACATATTGGGATTTCACAAAATCTGGACCTATTTCAGCAAATTGGGGTTTTTTAAATGTATGAGCTGTCTATCTATACATCACAGAATCTGTTGTGTCAAAAGTCATTGATTTATAAATCGCTGTTCATGAATCTGTTGCTGAAAATTTGTGCTTACATATGTCAGTTATGTAACTTGGCAAAGGCCCTCTCTCTAGTAACTTGTACCATAGTGATGACGACAACTCTGGGAGCAAATTAAAGCACATTTAGAATTGTGCAAGAAAAATATTTGGTGACAAAGTATATGAGCCCCATCTGAACAACCACCAAAGCAAATTCCACCCAGTGAACTGTGGAAAACATTCCCCTTCACTTCAATACACTCTAAAAATATGGGCTGTAAAATATTGTTTTACCATCAACCTCTTTGACTCCAAAAACTCAAGTCTGGCCTGGATTTCAAATAAACATACTTGAAGATTTGCTATTTTCATAACTCCCCCCCCCCTTTTTATTAATGGGCTGAGTTCTGAAATTTAAAAGTACATGGAAAAACCTGAGAGCATTTGTGCTTCTATTAAACTACTTGGAGCTCTGTGATGGGGAGCATCTCATTAGCAGCAACTATGCTTCAGTAATTGGTCATAATATTTTCCCAGCAACTTACTCTTGCGAACACCCTTTTCTCTTTCTGTTTTGCATTTCTCTCCAATGAAGGAGAGTCCATCACCTTCCAAGGTAGTCTGATGACCAGCTCTTACTGTCAGAAAGTCCCTCCTAGTGCTTAGTTAGAATCTCCTTGTAATTTGAAACACTGGTTTGGGTCCTAACCTCTGGAGCATGGGTAGGCAAACTAAGGCCCGGGGGCCAGATCCGGCCCAATCGCCTTCTAAATCCGGGCTGCGGACGGTCTGGGAATCAGTGTGTTTTTACATGCGTAGAATGTGTGCTTTTATTTAAAATGCATCTCTGGATTATTTGTGGGGCATAGGAATTCGTTCATTCCCCCCCCCCCAAAATATAGTCTGGCCCCCCACAAGGTCTGAGGGACAGTGGACCAGCCCCCTGCTGAAAAAAGTTTGCTGACCCCTGCCTGGAGCAGCAGAAAACAAGCTTGCTCCATCTTCCACGACAGCCTTTCAGATATGTGATGGGTGCAAAAAGAGTGCATTTGTTATAGGATTACAGGGACGCGGGTGGTGCTGTGGGTTAAACCACAGAGCCTAGGACTTGCCGATCAGAAGGTCGACGGTTCGAATCCCCGCGACGGGGTGAGCTCCTGTTGCTCTGTCCCTGCTCCTGCCAACCTAGCAGTTCGAAAGCACGTCAAGTGCAAGTAGATAAATAGGTACCGCTCCAGCGGGAAGGTAAACGGCGTTTCCGTGTGCTGCTCTGGTTCGCCAGAAGCGGCTTAGTCATGCTGGCCACATGACCTGGAAGCTGTACGCCGGCTCCCTCGGCCAATAAAGTGAGATGAGCACCGCAGAGCACCGCAGAGATGAGCAACCCCAGAGTCGGCCACCACTGGACCTAATGGTCAGGGGTCCCTTTACCTTTACCTTTATGGGATTACAGTGGTACCTCGGTTCTCAGACGTAATCCATTCTGGAAGACCGTTTGAGTTCCAAAACGTTCAAAAACCAATGCACAAAGGGCTGGCTGCAAATGCCATTGAGAAAAGTGAAAAATAGGCAGCGGAAGCCGTTTGACTTCCGAGGCGCATTCAAAAACGGAAGTATTTAACACTCAAGATCCTTTATTAGGCATAGCAAACCACACATTATCAAACAGACACCGTATACAAATTGAGCAACATACGAGCTCAACATAACAAGGTTTGTCCCGGTCAGATCTTTAACTCCAGAGAAAATCAATTTGCATAAATAATACAGGAAGCATTTACTTCCGGGTTTTTGGCATTCGCGTCCTGAAATGTTTGTCAACGGAGACATTCGAGAACCGAGGTACCACTGTATACAGGACCATCTACACATCATTCAGCTTCATAGCTGTCAAGCGTCCCTTATTTGGAGGGACAGTCCCTTATCCCAGTGCCATGTCCCGCTGCTGTCCCTTATTGATGGATGTCCCTTAAATTTCCCGGGTTTCAAAGGAAGCAGCTCCTCTCCCTCCCTCCCTCCCTGCCGGCCAGGGAGGAGGGAGGCTCCAAGTGTGTTGCTCGGCTGCCCGGCCCGCCCCCCTCCAGCCTCCTCTCACCAGCCTCGGCCCCCGGGAGCCCCTCCCCGCTGGGACTGGCGGGAGCCTCGGTCCCTTCTGCCGCCATCCTCCTCCTGAGCGTCTCTGCCTGGGGCCTCCCCTCTGCCCATCGCTGCCGCTCCCGCTAGGCCGTACTGCGACTGTGCCGCTGAAGAACCCGGAAGAGATGGGCAGCCTGGCATGGCCTATGAATTGCTGAGGAGCCTTGAGAGGAGAGCGAGGGCAACCATAGAGAAAGCAGTTCAGAGAGAGGAGGAAGAGGAGGAGGCGGAGGCGCGGACAGGTGTTCCAAGGGCTACAAGGGAAGGACCGCAAGCGCTTCTCCCATAGATTTGTAGTGGTAGACTAGCATAGATGGTCTGATCTGCGGGTTTACTTCAGGCGCTATTCCCCCCCCCTTCCTCCCGCCCCGTCTGATGGAACCGAGAGCTGCAGATGGAGCACGAGAGAAAAGATACAGAACTGCAGCAGCATCTTCGTAGCTTGGACTTCGTTTTGCGCGAAAAGTGGTTGCTGCTTGTAGTTATTTAATTGCAGTGTTTCATCAGCTTGAGCAGCAACCTCTGGAAACGAAGGGCTAAAAACCGGCGCTGCTCTCCAAAATTACCTGGTCCCTTTTAACTGGTTGACTAAAATCCCTTATTTTGGCTGCTGGTCCCTTATTTTCAAGGCTGCTGGTCCCTTATTTTCAAATCTGTAAGTTGACAGCTATGTTCAGCTTTATTAATTGTTCTGTGGTGCTCCTCTGACATTGTCATGTCATTGCCATCTGGAAGGGCACCCTTGTGCTATAGTACGGCAAAAGTGGGACACAAAAAAAACCCAGAACATTTATGGTAGAAGAAGTTACAGGATTTCAGCAGGGACCTGCATCGACTGGAA